CCTCACGCTCATCTGTTGTCACATCGGCAGTGGTATGCATACTCGGGGGCTCGTCTGATTCTTCATTCAAGTCCTCGAGTATGTGCGCACTATCTTGCGCAAGCGTGTTAGTTCGCTTGTTATTAACTTCGTCATCTGCAACCTCTTCGACTGTCGCTTTAGGGCGCATCGTAGTGGTTGCTGACGGCGATAGTCAATTGCTCTTAGGCTTGTTCGCTTTCCGGGGTGATTGTCTGGCAGAGGTAGTCTTACGCCCTGCCCAGTACTTCTCATCCTGGTCGTAGTCGAACGCCTCAATGATCTGGTCGCCGATTTTGATAGTACGGCTGGCGAAGCTCACTTCTATGCCGTACTTATTCATAATCGGCGTCCCAATGATGCAGTCGTAGCGATCTAGGTTGACAATGTCAAAGTACACGTCTTTGGCATCAATCGGTCCTAGCTTCATAGGTACTCGAGCACCGTAGTTGATCTTAGATCGGCTACCTGAGCACCCGAGTTGCAGTACAATCTGCTCGTCTAGCACAATACGTTTTGCGGGGTAGTGTGCACAAATTCCGGCGTGAGTGCGTCGGTCGTACTGCCTGTATCGAACAGTGTGTACGCTTGAAGTCCGTTGATATCGACCAGGCAACAGAGTGCGCCTGGTCTGCCGGAGATCGTTCCGGCTGTGCCGTAGAAGGCGTATTAGTCTTACGCCGAATATTCGCAGAAAATTCGGCGTGCGGCGTAGTACGCATGGCACCAAAGCGGAGGTTCGGAAGCGTGCGCATCGCGTAGGAGCGTACAATTTCCGATCCTTCAGAGTCTGGATCTTCCCCCTCTGGAGCGAGCTTCGCTCCATCGGATTCTGAGCCCGACTCATATTGTGACCCACCCCACGCATCCTCGCTGTGGCCGTCATCTCTAACAATTCGCTGCGCGTGGAAGCGTGTGGTTTTCGGGCCCTCGCTCTTCATTGTTTCGCTGTACTTGGGGCACACAGGATCACGCATATAGTGACCTGTCTTTCCGCAAGCAAAGCACGCATTTTCGGCGGCTTTCACACCTGGAGTAGATGGACGTCCTCCTGCTCCAGTGGAATGCTCACGCTTTGAGCTCGAGTGATCACGTCGATTATTTGAGAAATTTCGGCGTGATCCTTGGCTCGCTGACTTGTTACCGTGATTTTGGTGGCTGCGGTCGCGCGATTGCGTTCGGCCGCGGTCTCCATCACGGCGATCCTGCTGGTGGTTCGGCTTGTGGCCTTCACGACCGCTGCGGTCATCCTTTGACGATGGTGTGCTGGACGCCGCACCATACGTTCCCGTACGCGGCGCCGAACTAACCACCCTAAGGGACTCTTCAAGCTGTCGTGCATTCTCGACAATGTCGAGCCATGAGTTGTACTCAGGGTTGATGCTCCGGTTCACGCCCAGGTGAGTGCGAATATTTTCGGGCAACCCATGGAATAGACGGAGCTTCATCTCGTAGTCTGTGGGGTGTTCGATCATTTCGCCTGCACGGCGTTGGAGATCCGAGGCAAATGTGAGTACACCCTTCCGATGCGAGTACATACACTTTGCGAACTCCTCGGTTGCTTTCGCGGCCGTACTGGAGTGCACAAAGTGCGTGTGCATCTTGCAGATGATCTCTTCAAACGACAGATGTGGTACGCCAGGGCGGTCTATTGACTGGGTCCACCAGTCAATCGCTCGTCCTTCAAGGCATGGCCGAATTTGCCGCGAACGATGTTCATCAGCATCAGGGCCGCACAAGTTGTACGCCCTGAGCCAATTCAGGAATCCGTCCAGCCAGAGCACAAATTTCTGGTGGTCATCTTCACCACCGTACTTGTCTGGCATGTCCGGTTTCGGCTGCTTTGCACCCTGAGGCAGTGGAATGCTGCGTCCGCCGACTTTAAAGCGGATGTTCTCCACAATTCGCCGCATCAGCACATCAAGGTGCTGTGTGCCAGGCAATTGTGAATTCGGCGTGGGTGCAGACACATGCGCAGAGGGTACTACTTGCACAGGTTGTCCCTGATAGTAGTAACCACTCGGTGCATGGTTTCTTGTGATTGCGGGGTACGGTGCACGGCTTGCACTTAGGCCAGGAGCATACAAGGTGCTCGATGCCTTTGCGAACCGCGCATTGCTTGCCGCATTGCGGTCGTACGTTGGACGTGATTGCTCAGCTTCGAATCGCAGCTGTTGCTTCGCATCCTCATGTTGCTGATCCAGAATTTGCGTATACGTGGACCGGTAGTCACGGTAGCGATCCTCAGGTGAGGGAGCACGTACAGGAACTTCCGGTTGTGCATACCTTCGCGCGTCCTGGCTCGCAAGAGCGAAATGCGGTGGCTGTTGCCTCCGAATTTCGCTATCACTGTCAGGCAGCGGTTGGGGAGCATTATGCGTGGGTGCAGCCACACTTCGCCGACTTTTATGAGAGGCAGAGCCTTCTATCACAGAGCTATGCGAAGTTCGGCCACTCTCATGTGTTGCATGGCTCCTTTCGTCAATCTGGGACGGCGGCCGCTCAGCGATTGGTGTTGCTGGCCGCAGTGGGTCCTGTTCATGCATAGCGTGGAGCGTGGAGCGGAGCACACAATTCTCTTGCTCGCGTGCTACCTGCTCTCGCTCACGTTCCAGTTCGTGCGCGATCGTAGCTGGGCTTCGGTAGGGCAGTCGTTCAATAAATTTATTTCTACTGATTACCCCGTCGACGTCCAGCAGCGCGCTGGTTGCGTTTCCAAGAACACGGTTCGTACGTGACATGGCGTCATGAATTTCGGCGCCAAGATCACGGTGGAACGCGTCCAATCGTGCCGAAATTGACACCAGGCGGTTGCGGTGTTGCATTAATTCCGCCTGGGTATTTTCGACGGCAGGGCGTGCGGCGTACGCACGCTCGGCAGGCGAGTCTTCAGCGAACCGTCGAGGGTCCGCTGATGGCCCGGCCTGCACACTCGACATAATCGAGTCGTGGTACGTAGAGTAGGAGGCATCTCGCCGCGGGGAAGGTGCGGCAATGGGATACTCACCGAATCCACGTACTCCTGTTGATGTTGAGGCCCGAGGGGTCGGCGTCGGAGGCGTTGTGATAGGCACTCCGGCGTCGCGCACTCGGGCAGATGGGCGATATGTTGTGTCGTCGTCGCTGGGAGCATGCGAACGTGGCGAATGTGATGTTTCGCCGCGTGCAAATGTTGAGCTCGAAGGGCGAGACGGGATTGGGGTGTAGGGACGGCTGCGTGTCGCGCCTGCAGTCATATCGAGGGCTGCAGACGACGACGACGCGCCGAAATGGTCTTGTTGGGGCGACCTGTGACTCATAGTATTCAGTAGACCTCGTGTAGAGGTAGCGGGGAGTCAAAAAAGATGTAAAATGACAATATCACGATCGCACCGGTGCCAGACTCGTCCAAACCTTCGATTGAGGTAACGAATACAGCGGTAGTGCGGGTGGAGGTAAGCTGGCGTCCGTGGGACGCGCGTAGAGTACATAAGAGTCCGTATGGTCTCAGATCGCCCGATCTGATGGCCGAAGTTCGGCGAAATACTTCGCCGAAGTCAAGACGCCCGAGCCCTGCTCGCAGCGTGGCCGAAATTCGGCCGGTACGCCGAACTCCGGCACCGAAATCCGGCACGTCCGCGCCCTGCACGCCCGTACCTTAACAGCCACATATCAGTCGAGATGGGATTCACGCGTTCTGGGCGGCGTACTCGGGGTTCATAATCAATGCTCCTTGTACTGCGGATCTGATCGCGATGTACCGGCGCAAGATCAAGTCACCCCCGCCAGATGGCAGATCTCAGACGAACGCAGTGTAAGAAACGCAGGTCGCCGGTCGGCGTCTTTCTGTGACTGTGGTCAGAGATCTCCACAGCCACAGATACTCGATTGGCTTCAAGTTGGAGTGGCCAATTGCGCACCCACCTATCAAGTCGACTCCCGGTTCACACCGGATCGCTTCGCAGGTATTTGAATAGATCAATCTCGAGGGTTCACCCCCAGAGTCAGACGACCCTCGAGGACACATCCGGGATGAGGGGTACATTCGGATGCTTCGCAGCTTTGTGTGCATGCATGTATATGCTCACATGCAGAAGCTGCAGGATTAATTGCGTCAAGCCAGGCTGGGTTCCAGGGCGGTCGGGGTCAGCACCAACAGAAAGAGGACGCATCAGAATCTGAACGATACAAAGTTAGTTCAATTCTGACTAAGAATGGGTTTAGAATAACGGCTGAGACTGTGGGTAAAGTTGACTCGAGCGGTGGGCCTCGATGCAGGGAAGATAGACTCCGCTTTGAGCGACCGCTCCCTTGCTGGTCGACGACGATGCGCTGGTTGCGCTCATCGAGGCGGTCGGACTTCATGCTGTACGACCTCGGACTGGGATGAATGTTCTCAGCGAGTTTCGCGATGGTAGACGGATTGGGTCGTTTGAGGACAACTGAGCTGAATGCTGACTGTTGCACTTGTGAACACGGCTGATAATTTGGACCCAAAATGCATGACTTGTCACACCAAACGGTCGTCGACTCCGCGCAACGCCTTGTGATAGTGCCGATGGTGGGGGTATGAGGTGATCAAGCCCTGGTGTCAAGCGCCGGCCCAGCATTTGAAAGAAGCTGAGGGTGTTGAGTAAGCAGCGGCTCTTCTGGGCTCTTCTCCGCCCTCAGCTTCTCCTTCCTGCAGCATGCTGGCCCGCCCTAAACAACACTCCTCCCAGCATGATTTCCGTCTTTCCGAACACACGTCATCTTCTCTTGCAACGGCCATTCAGCAACGCCGTTGTTGACGAATAGATGCAGCGAACCCGCGACTATTTCAAGGCCATTAATTTCAATTCTGTCCCACACACGCCGCTTCGAACGGTCTGCTGGACACACGATGGTTGAGGGCAGACCTGTCCAAGGAGTCGTTTAAGCCCGCGGCGCACCATGTGCTCCTGAGTAACATTCCACCATACCTCCTCCCCACCAGCCACACATCAGCCACAACAACTCTTACGATGGCCCCGATCGTCCCACCTTTCACTGCGGAGACGGCACTTCAGAAGGTCAAGGTCGCGCAAGACCTTTGGAACACTAGAAACCCAGAGAAAGTCGCGCTTGCCTATACAGTACGCCCTCCCGCTCGGGCTACAAGTACTTCGCTAGGACCCTGACTGTGGCACCATACAGCCCGACACGATCTGGCGGAACCGCGACTCATTCATGACCGGGCGAGATGAAGTCATCGAGTTCTTGCGCAAGAAGTGGGCAAAGGAGAACGGTTATCGGCTCAGGAAGGAGCTCTTCGCGTTCCAGGACAACAGGATTGCGGTACAGGTGCGTGTCTTCCCGGTACCTTGTATGCGTCCACTTCTCTTCACCCCATCATGAGCTCTTTCATCGAGGGAAGCTTCGAGGCGTCTGTTTCTACCGCGCATCCGGAGGCTGATATCGTGATCCCACCTCCTTTAGTTCTTCTACGAATGGTTTGAGGAGAAGTCGGATGGCGTGAAGCAATGGTACCGCTGCTACGGACTGGAGGTATGTGACCTCCGATATTCCGTACATGCAGCCCTTTTTGACCTACGTTGAACCGACACAGGATTGGACGTTCGCGGAGGACGGCCTCATGCGGAAGCGGCAGATGAGTGGGAACGACGTCCCCATCTCCGACGATGAACGCTGGTTCAAGGACGGCGTTGACCTCAATGTGTTCCCTATTGCCGAGAAACATCTCTAGTGTCCGGCCCTGAACGCCTTTTCTGCGGACGAAGGTGAGACTGCAGGACTGTCCGACTAGGATATCCGCTTTCGCAGCAGCTATGACGACAATGCTCACCAGACTGCATACGCAGGGCTGTCTCTTGGTTCACAAACAACCGAACCTGCTCAAGTTGTACGATATCCGTTGCTGTCGTGTAACAAACCCCCAATCCCATGCAATCTCTTCTCCCGAATACGCTCTACATAGTTGTACAGGGCCGTCATACCCAACCAAAGCAACAGCCGCCAATGCTAGATGACGTCTGGAGATCTGACGGGCTCGCCACCGTCTTCCTTGAAGTGGGCGACAACCCCACTGTCTGGTCATTGCCTGGTCCAGCACCCGACTATGCACTCTTACTTGGACGGTACTCCTCAAAACTTAAGTGGCCACTAGCCTGATAATTCCGGTCCCGATCTCCCGCCGACATATACTCGGTGGCCACAAATTTGACCCGCTACCATGATGCGTCGCACACGGACCGCCTGTCCTTGGTGTGTATATCTCCTGTCATTTATTCCCTAATGGCGAATAACGCGTGGACGACTATGCATATGCATAGACATGACCGAAATGCCTCCGAGCACGGAGGTCGTCACTTGTTCGTGCCGCCTGCGTGGACGTCGACTCTGCAGCAATATCTAGATTGCTTCCACTGAAGCACAACATCCTCGGACACGTTCGGGCAATTCCAACGAGCCTCGATCAACTGAGCCGCAAACCACGTCCAGCGAATTGCCCTGTCCAGTTCACATCAAGGTTTCCAATTGAAGTACATTCGCATGTCCGTGAATATATAATGTAGCGACACAACACACAACATGAGAGACTGATACAAATGTTACACGTACTGTTGACACAAACCGTTATCGAGTGGGTGCGGGCCGGACGGCGCATGCATCGATGACACCGCTCGTCCGACCTCGTACGCGAGGGGAACGCGAGCGTGACGATGTGGGAGCGCCACGAAGCCAACGTGTGCAATCCAAGCGGACGATCTTCCGGTCCCCACCCTCCGTCCTCCTTCCCTTCCATCCGTTCCGGAATCCGAGACCATGCCGCGACATAACATACAGAGCACATACCGGCGGCCCGCCTCCGCGAGACCCGTCTGCCACCGCGCAGCGTGGCATCCGCGAGGGCACGGCCCCCTTGCGGGACCGCGACCCCGTCCGTCTATCGAGACCGCACTACATCTCCATCTCCATCTCCATCCCGTCCCACTCCTCTTCGATCTTCTCGTCCGCGGCCTGCTTCCATCCACGGCTCGTGAACCCGAACCGGCCCGCGCGCACGCCCTCGTCGCCGTCGACGAAGTCCGCGTCACCCATCTCGACCTCCTGGTCTGCGCTCCCGCTGCGGCTGCGCGAGCCCCCGCCCGACCCGGAGCCCGAACGCACCGAGGACCGCGGCAGGCTCCACCCGTCCGAGAACGAGCGGCCCATCGCCGACGCCGAGTACCCAGATGTGGACCCGACAGACGAACGGAACGAGGACTGCGCGAAACCCGAGGTGGACACCGGGGAGCCCCACGCGTCCGAGACGGACGCTCCGCTGACGAACGAGTATGCGCCGTCCGGTTGTTGCGGGGCGTGCCGCGCGCCTCCTGGGACGGGCATGGGCGCGGACCGCGGAGGGCCTGGGAAGCCTTGGCGGATGCGGGCGGGGTCAGGCTCGGGTGTCGCGGTGGGGTCGGTGGGGACGCCAACGACGCCCGGGCGGACGTGCGTTAGACCTCCGCCGGAGGAGGGCAGCGCGTAGTTGTGCAGGCGCGGGCCGGCCGAAGGGGAGCGGCCGAGGCTGGTTGCGGTGCCAGAGCGCGAACCGGAGCGCGACGAGACGGTGCCGAAGCCGGGTGCCGAGGATGTGCTGAGGCTGGCGGAGAGGAGAGAGGGCGCGGGAACGGAGCTCGAGACAGGGTGCGTAAAACTGTGCTCGAGTGATCCAGAGATAGAGACCGAGCGTGGCTTCGAGGGGCGGGGTTCGTGGATGAGGTTCGCCTGGTCTGGAGGAGGGAGGAGACCACCGGAGAGGAAGGAGGGCCAAAGGGAGCGGTCTTCTGGGAGCGATGTGCCTCCCGACGCGGAGGGCGCGAGGTGAGAGAGGATAGCTGCTGCCTGCATTGCTGATGTTCAACCCAGACAGATAGATGACAGACAGTTGCATGCTCACCTCCAACAACTGGACCTGCTGATGTTTGCTGAGAAGGAACTTCGAAGCCTCGCGCCAGTGTGGAGAGTGCTCCCAACGGTGCTTGATCAGACAGGATGGGTGACGGTAAACCTGCGAACTTCAAGATCAGCCTTCTCCATCTACAGAAGCCGCGTCCGACAGAAGTCCCAGCTCGATGGAACGGACCAGCTTGACAACTCTGTGCGCCCGAGGATCTTCGAGGTACGAAGCAGGCGGCAATGTTATGAGCGCGCGAAACTCCGGCGCAACCCTAATCGCCCCCGAAATAGGACACCAAGTGGCAGCAACTATCAAGTTGGACCATGCCACGTACGTCCGCCCAGATCCAGGGCAAGAACGGGGACAAATAAAGCTCAGGACAAAGAATTGGTGACTAACCTTGGAGCAGCTCTCACACTTGAAGATGGTCCCTCTCTTCTTTCCCGACTTGGACACACTGATCCCGGCAGCTTGGATCTCCGCTTTCGCGGCAGACGCCGCGAACGTGTCCTCCAGAGTGATTTCGTCATCTCTCGCCTCGACCTTCGGCACGGGTTCGAAGGCCATCGTCCCGCTTGCCGAGGTGAACGACGTCGCGGCTTGCGGGACGCCCGGCGGGGGCGGAGACCCGGAGAGCGAAAGCGCCGCCAGGGAGGAGAGCGTTGCCGCGGCATTGTGCAACATCGCAGGACTGCAAGCAAGGCAAGGCGTTTGCTCGTGGGGAGAGAGGAGTATTCATAGAGCATGAATAACGCACGAGGGCCGACTATTCGCCTCTCTGGCGTCGCTCATCCGCCTCCGCGCCTGGCCCGTGGACGACAACCTTCGGTGCTTCATCGCGGCGTGGGCCTTGGAAGTGCTCCCGACGCTGTTGGACGCACCGCCCAGGCTGCTGGGGCCGTTGAAGCTGCCAGGGGCTAAGGACATGTCCGCAGAGGTTTCGCCGATGGTGGGAACGGGGTGGGAAATGGCGGCGGCCTCGACGAGGGAGAAGAGACCCTTGCCACCGGTGTCGATCTTTGTCACATAGACTGCAATAAGTTTGCGGAAGAGCGGGGTGGTAGTCGGCAGCAAAGGAAACAGACCTCGGCAACGGTTTCGGCCATGGAGAGGTCGTGAAGGGAGGAGAATGGAGAGTTCAGACGTGGCAGGGAAGAGGAAAGGGTAGATAAAGAGAACGTAGGCTAGATATACATGCGTCGCTGTGCGCGGAAGTGGGTCGCATTGGGCAGTCAGCAGCGAGCGACCATGGTGGACGAGAGCAAGGACGACGGGCTCGAGAGCCGTCTCCGAGGACGCCAGACGCAGGTTCAAAGTCCGCCAAAATTCAGCGCCACACCTTATCCGGCAACTGCCCGCCAATAAAGCTTCCGCACAGCCTCCATGAAGCCTTTCTCCTGCGCCGGACCGCCGTGGAGCAGGTCAAGGAGGCTCGCGAGCGTGTTATCAATTTGATGCAGTCCTTACAGTACCGCACGCTGCAGGCAATTGCCAGGTGTTTTTTCCCGAGCATATGTATCGTCTCCCTGGCGAGTGGCGATGGCAGTACAGACTACAGTACTACCTGATGACAACCTCAGTACGGGGGTCAGGTAGACGATCTCGTACTGTTGCATTTCGACCAAAAGTTCATCGATTTTGGGCGTGACCATGAACTTTTCCAGCCGAAAAAGTTCATGGCCCTGCGTGACCGCGGACATCAAAGTTCACCCTGTTCATGGGCCCCTGTGACACCATGAATGTTCATAGCGCCGGTGGACCCTCTAGCCGCCCGCGACTATACGATGATGATAAACGCGCAATATTGTCAATATCAGAGCTTGTCTAACGGTGTCAACGCTCTCGCTAAAGTGATTATAATGTGTGTTTATTAGGGATTATTGTAGGCTATAATGGCAGTGAATGACAATCGCCCACGCAGATGGGACGCAGGCAGCAGCCTGCACCTGTCACATTGCCTTCACCCGTACCTTTTGAACCTGATACCACGCATCCCTCCATCCGCAAGGATCCTGTCACAGGCGACCTCGAAACGCACGACCCAACCGATAGTCTTGCCATCAATGAGGTTGGGGTAGTGACAGAGCCTGGGGAACTTGATGACATGGACTTTCCATGAGACTTGCATGCATTGGATGGGATGGATTGGGAAGTCTAGATCTGGAAGCATCCCTCGCAGGTCGACGATAAAGAGCATAGGAGGATGGTCGATGTCAACGGTGGGGGTACCAGCTGGGTCTGTTGCCAGAGGCTCGGCGCGCGACTCCCGGCTAAACGCCCCTGAGTACCTAATTTGGAAGGCGACCTCTTCCCACGCAGGCCAGAGAAGAGGACGAAGCTAAAGTAGGTATCCATCGTGATATTTCCAGTCTGACTATCTCAATAGACATGTAATGGCTCCCCTGTTCATAATCCGTCGTTTTTTCGTCGCTCAGGCCGCTGGAACGGCGGCAAATTAGACGCTGTGACATCCCGTGGGCGGAAAGTTCATGGCCCTCCGTGACACTTTGATCGAAAGTTCACGGGCCTCCGTGACGCGTGACATGAACTTTTGGTCGAAATGCAACAGTATCTCCAGGAGAGTAGACAGTACAGTAACATGCAGCCCATGCCAGTGTTTCATGGTCGTTCAGCGGGAGTTGAGGCACGAAATGGAAGTCGTAGGGAGGTCCGAATATTGTTGACTATGGAATGCTGCGCCGCGGTTGATGCACTGATCGCTCGGCCCCAGGAAGCTTGTTCTGGGAGGCGCCCATGTCCGGAGCGCATGCGGCAGCGTGACGCAAGCGCGCTGAGCATACATGGCCCGACGAGCCCACCAGCGCAGGCCAGCCGGGCTCGCCCCGAGAGCATCTGATGCGTAATGGAAGCTCTCCGATTGGCCCACGCGACGCTTGGAGGGCACCTGGAAGGACGGCCTGCAGGGCGAAGGAGCGGGGAGCTGGATGGATGTGCGCTCAGAGTCAGAGGCTCGAGAGACGCGTCGCGCATCCCACCCGGCTGTACTGTATTTAGACCTCGCGGCCTCCTCGCACTTTTGGCTCGACGCCCCGTCCACTCCCTCTCGTCCGCGATGAAGAACCCGCTGCATCCTCCACCCGCCCCGCCAGCGTTCGCGGATGGCAAGCTCGTCCCCGAGGAGTCCTCCAAGTACGTCATCGATCACACCTGCTCTTGGCGCGCCGCTTTGGCTTTTCAACCGTCCTTCCGGGCGCTTGCCCTCGTCCTCTGCCACAATACTCGTGCGGCGGTCATATGCGCTTGCTGACTGCCTACTACCACACAGTCCCTTCTCAAGGCTTTTCTTCTCGTGGTTGGGCCCCTTCCTCGCCGTGGGTTTCTCGCGCCCCCTTCAGAAAGAAGGTGTGTTTGCTGTTCCCAAGATCCCGATGCGCATATAGTTAACATTGGCGCCTAGACTTTTGGACGCTCCCCAACTCCCGCCTGACGGGTCACCTCACTGAACGCGTCGAACATTCATTCTACAGACGATGCCCTCCCGAAGAACGCCCTACGTTCATACGCGACCCTGCTGCCGGTCCACAAGCTTCGGGCGTCTCGCGCCAATCATCCGTGTCCAGCGAGACGCAACACGCCGAGGATGAGAAGCAAGAAGACAAAGCCACCGCAGAGGCGACGAGCAAACGAAAGGCGCACAGCACCCCACCCGAGACCACCAAGTCGGGAAAGCCGAGGAAGTATGACGCCAACCTCGCGATCGCTCTACACAACGTCTTTTGGGTACAATGGTGGACTGCTGGAATCTTCAAGCTCTTTTCTGGTGCGCACATATGTGGTCCTAGGGGGGTTTGACTCGCTAACCATGGTTTCCAGATACCCTCAACACTTGTACTCCCCTGGTGAACCAAGTCCTCCTAACGTGGCTCACCCAGTCATTCGTATATCTCCGTGCCAACGAGGAAGAGCGGGCTGTGATGTCGAAACCACAGGGAATTGGCTACGGTATCGGGCTTGCATTTGGGATCTTCGCGATGCAAGGTAAGCTCCTTTCTTTAAGTTGTGTGCTCCACTTGGTGCTGAATGGGTCGTTTGCAGAGGTGTCCAGTCTGGTATGTACGAAATCCGGCTCAAAACACTTGATTAGCTAAACATCGCAATGTAGCTGTCCAACCACTACCAGATGAGTACGTTGAGTGTTTGTCCTCTTTGATCACGGATGATTTTAACCGAGCGCATTCAGTCGCAATGACCAACGGTCTTTGTCTTCGTACGAGCGTATGTCGTGCTTTTGCTTGTCTCCGTGTGGTCTCTCACCGTCTTTTCAGCTCATTGGAGCAATCTTCCGCAAATCATTGCGCCTTAGTGGCAGAGCTCGAAACGAGCACAGTGTGGGCCAGATCACGACCATGATCTCCACAGACGCTACGAGGTTGGACCGAAACAGCTGGACCCTTCACAAGTACGACATAATCTCTACGCTCTCTCATTTTCACTAACCGTGTTGCAGTTTGTGGATTGCCCCCATCCAGATTGCCCTCGGTATTGGCTTGCTCATCCGCAATGTGGGTCACTTTTTGGGACCCGTCTGCTCACTTGCCTCATCATTTTGCGATAGATCGGTGTCGCCGCCCTCGTTGGGCTCGGGGTACGTTGTTACGCCCATAATCCGTGTGCTTTTTTGACCACGCTTCGTCCAGGTACTGATCATCGGCTTCCCCATCCAACTCATGCTCGCCAAGGTTATGTTCGCGCAACGCAAGAAGGGTGTCGTGCTCACCGACCAGCGCGTCCGTATGTCCAACGAAGTCCTTTCCGGTATACGCCTCATCAAGTATTTCGCCTGGGAGTCGTTCTACTCCCACCATGTCGGCGATCTGCGAGAGCAGGAGATCCGGACCATTCGCCGTCTTGCGTGAGTTGGACCACTGTGCGCATCTCGTGCATGCTTGGACTGACGTTAACCTTCGTGGGATATTTCAGCGCAGCGCGGTCCGTCCTGATCGGTGTAGTCACCGTCGTGCCAATCATAGCAACCGTCCTGTCGATTGTGCGTACCCCCAAAGCTTATTGCTCCACAACTGACTCACTCGCGCCGTCGAATGCGTTCCATCCCGGCAGGTGACGTACTCCCTCATCAGTGACAGCTTCGATGTCGCGATAGTGTTCTCGTCTGTGCAATTCTTGGGGGTGAGTCATTCCGAGTCAATGAGGGATCAAGCCGCGGGCGTACGCAATGGCGGCGCAGCCCACGGCTCCTCAGGCTAATTCTCTGCAATTGCACCCGCTTACATCCGTCCTCACTAGATCATCCGGCTCCCCCTGACCCTGCTCCCGCTCGTCCTCGCGTCGGTGACAGACGCGCTCGTCGCGCTCGGCCGTATCTCGAAATTCCTCCGGGCGGAAGAGCTCGAAGTGCCCTACCTCGTCGACAACGACGCCGCCGACGCGATTGCTGTGGATGGCGACTTCACCTGGGAGACCGTGCGCAAGGCCTCCGACGAGTCGCCCAAGTTCGGTCACGGGCGTAGTGGACAGCGTAGCGGCAAGGGAAGTCGTAAGAGCAGCCCATCCCGGGCGGACAAGCGCAAGGAGAAGGAGAAGCGGAAGGGTAAGGGCAAGGATTCCGTTCTCCCGACAGTCACCGATGGCACCGAAGGCGAGGTGGAAAAGGGCAAAAAGGCGGAGGAAGAGAAGCCGTTTGCGCTCAACGCTCTCAAGCTGAACATTCCCAAGGGCTCGTTCGTGGCGATCGTCGGTCGAGTAGGTTCCGGAAAGGTGTGCTTATATCGTCTGCTGGTCGACGTGTGGCAGCTCACATGCATGGCGTCCTTGTGATTGTAGAGCTCTCTTCTCCAGGCGTTGATCGGAGAGATGCGCAAGAACCGTGGCGACTGTGTCTTCTCGTCGACGGCCGCGTACGTCCCTCAGACGGCGTGGATCATGAACGCGACCCTCCGGCAGAACGTCACCTTCGGCGAGGAAGACGATGAGACCAAGTGAGCGGACCTCCCCGCCCTATCCCTTGATGTTTTCTTATCACATACCGGCAGATTCCGCGAGATCATCAGAGCTTCCTGCCTCGAGCCCGACCTCGGGATGCTCCCGAACGGCGAGGAGACCGAAATCGGCGAGAAGGGCATCAACCTCTCCGGCGGTCAGAAAGCCCGCGTCTCCCTCGCGCGCGCTGCATACTCGGGCGCGGACATCGTGCTCATGGACGACTCGCTCTCCGCCGTCGACGCCTACGTCGGCAAGACCCTCCTCGACACCCTCCTCCTCAACGGCCCGCTCGCGACGAAGACGAGGGTGCTCGTCACGCACACGCTCCACGTCCTCGACCGCACGGACTACATCTACGTCATGGACGAGGGCCAGATCGTCGAGCAGGGCACGTACGCGGACCTAATGGCGAACGGCCCGGCGTTTTCGCGGTTGATGGAGGAGTACGGGTCGCTCGACCGCCAGGACGACGACGTGGTGGCGGCAACCAAGAAGAAGAGGGCGGCGGCGGATGCGAAGGCGGCGGAGGCCGGACTCGATGCCAAGGTGCCGGTGAAGGCGACCCAGGGGCTCATGCAAGAGGAGGAGCGGATGACGGGCGCGGTTGACTGGTCGGTCTACATGCGGTACTTCCGGTTCTGTGGGGGCGTGATGGTCTTCCCACTCGTGCTCATGTGGATCGTGCTCGCGCAGGGCGCACAAGGTGCGTCGGTGTGGGCTCTGTTGACGTTCAATGTGCGCGCTGACTTGGATCACAGTCGGTAACACGCTCTTCCTTGGGTTTTGGACGTCGTCGACGATCTCGGGTTTCTCCCAGTCGGATTACATCGGGACGTACACGGCGCTTGGTGTCGGTAGCGGTCTGTTCACGTTCTTGCTGAGTTTGACTATCAGGTGAGCGTCGCCTCCCTCGGGGAAACATTGACGACGTGCTGACGAGCGTTGTCTCTAGTTTGGCAAGCTTGACTGGCGGTCTCAGGATGTACAAGACGGCCTTCACCGCTGTCGTCCGCTCGCCCGTCTCGTTCTTCGACACCACCCCTCTTGGTACGTTCGGCGTCCTCGATAGGTGGATGGCATTGATGCTTGCATCTCTAGGTCGGATCATGTCGCGACTGTCCAAGGATCAGGACACGATCGACACGGAACTATCTATAATTGCCATCCAGCTCTTCAGCACTGCCAGGTCAGTCCGCCCATGCGGTGTGATTCTATCACCAGACTGAATATCGGTGTAGCAATGTTTTCGGAACGGCCGGCCTAGTCTTCTACACCTTCCCCTACCTCGGCATCATCTTTGCCCCCATGATCATCCTCTACTACTCTGCTGCCCTCTACTATCGGCGCAGTTCTGTCGAGGCGAAGCGTATCGACTCTCTTCTGCGTTCGCTCTTGTATGCGTCTTACTCTGAGACTCTCACCGGCCTGAGCACTGTTCGTGCCTACCGCTGGCAAGTGAGTTGTCTTGACCTGTCTTGATGTGATTTAGACCCATGCTAATGGTTCCCTTATAGGACCGATTTGTGAACAAATCGAACGAAGGCCTCGACCAGGAAAACCGTGCATACTACATGACAATTGCCATACAGCGTTGGCTTGCAGTCCGCCTCGACGTCCTCGGCAACATCCTCATCCTCGGCATCTGTCTCTTCGCGGCCGGCTTCCGGTCGTCCGTCGACCCCAGCAAGATTGGAGTCGTGCTCTCGTATACCCTCAGTAGTAAGTTCTGTTCCCAAGCCTTACTGTCTTATCACTAACCATCGACTCCTCGTTCCATCGCAGTTACCCAGATGTTCTGTGAGTAGCTTGCAATGGCATTTCTGAGCATCTGCTGACGTCAAATCATCTCAGCGACAATGGTGTCTACCTACGCACAGAACGAGCAGAACTTCAACGCCGTCGAGAGAGTGCTCTACTACACTGATCTTCCGTCCGAGGGCGCGGCGACCACCCCCGACGATCCTCCGCCGTCCTGGCCCGCGCACGGTGAGATCAAGTTCAAGGACGTCGAGATGGCGTACCGTCCAGGTCTCCCTCCGGTCCTCAAGGGTGTCTCGTTTGACGTCAAGCCCGGGGAGAAGGTCCGTACCATTTCGCTTCTCGTTCTCACTCTAGCAGCTTTCGGTTGGTTGCTGACGGTGTCGATAACAGGTCGGCATCGTCGGGCGTACGGGCGCAGGCAAGAGCTCGCTCCTACAGGCGCTCTTTCGGATTGTCAACGTCCAAGCGGTGCCATCGAAATCGACAACGTGGACATCGCGAAGATCGGGCTCGACACGCTCCGTGAAAGGCTCGCGCTCGTCCCACAGGACAGTTTGCTGTTCAAGGGTACGCTTCGGGACAACATGTGAGCCTCAGACACCGATCTCTTAGCTAAGTGGAACCGACGCTAACGTTGTCGGAATAGTGATCCGCAAAACACTCGGACGGACGCTGAGCTGCTGGATTCGCTGCGGCGTGCGTGGCTCCTGCCGAAGGAGGGCACCCCGGTCGATGCGACGACGGAAGCGAAGTTCAGCCTCGATTCGCCAGTTAGCGATGAGGGGTCCAACTACAGCGCGGGCGAGAAGCAACTGCTCGCGCTGTGCAGGGCGTTGGTCAAGAACAGCCGCATCATTGTCCTCGTGAGTTCTCATCATCCGTGGGCTCCATCTGGCACCGGCATTGACATGCGCATCAGGACGAGGCGACGAGCAGCGTCGATGTCGAGACGGATGCAAAGGTGCAGCGGACGATCCAGACCGAGTTCTCGTCCTCGACGCTTCTGTGCATCGCCCACCGACTGAACACCATCGGTGCGCCTTTCCTCCCCTTCCTTCTTCCCACAAACGTGCTCACTAGTCCCGCACACCAGTCTACTACGACCGCATCCTCGTCATGGACGCCGGCAAGGTCGTCGAGTACGACTCGCCCCTCGCGCTCTTCGACCGCCCGGACTCGGTCTTCCGCTCCCTCTGCAACGAGGCCAACCTCTCCCGCCAGGACGTCCTCCGCATCCGCGCCTCCGTCCAGGCCGGCGGCCGCGGCGCGCTCTCCCTCGTGCCCTCCGCGCTCCCCTCGGCCGTTCCCTCAGCCGTGCCGTCGATCCACGAGAAGGCAGAACCCGCCGTGGGCGCGACGGAGCCGCCGCCGACGGCGGTCGCGGAGGTGATGCCCGAGTCAGGGGCGTCGCAGCCATACCTGTAGAGGCGTCTCGCTGCGGCGCCCGGTCTCCACGGGACATTCAGCATTCCCTTCCCGACGTCTATATCCGTCCGCTTTCGGTGTCTCGTCGCTCTCCGCTTGCTATCCTAATACCAGCTCATAGATTATCCACCCGCAGCGCACGGACCTTGATTCCCTATTAGCTAGTAGTTACTCGCGCGCTGCACGCGTGTTCGAGATGTACATCACTTTGTGCGATATTCTTGGGTTTGGGCTGCGCAATGTTATACCATCTGATGAGGATTACGAGACACGGGACCAGAGCCTCGAAAGACGGAAAAAACATCTTGGGCATTCATTCACGCTCGCACTTGAGCATTTGGGTTTTTGCTTCTAGGAGCAGCTTTGAAGCTCCATTCAATTGGGCTCCGGAACCAGTTATGCTATCCCAGTACGGGTAGAGTTAGTGTGAACGGACGGGTTGAGATTGGACAGAGGAGAGCGCATGCGTGTGTGTAGAAGCAGAGAGCGCAGAGCGTGTTGCTAGATCTGACGAGAGAGAGGGGACGCGAGGTGGACGGAGGCGAGAGAGACGGGCTAGCTAACGAGGAGAGCAGGTGCGGGTGCGGGGGCGAGATGGGGTCTACTACACTACAACGGGAAGCGGATGTACAGTAAAAGGGGGCGCGAGACTTCGAACTGCTGACAGATTCCTTTCCACCCCCCCCCCCTCCTCCTCCTTCCGAACATCCAAACAAAGAAAGCGGGGGGGAGAGAGAGAGAGCGGCGCCAAATTCCGGAATTTGCGTAGGCGATCAGTAGAGTAGAGCCGGAGCCAAGAGGGGGTGTGGGTGTGGGCCGCCGAGCAACGTGTACATTGATGTTGGTCGGGCGTCGCCGCGCCGCGCCGGAGCCCGAGACCAAGCAGGGGCAAGGGCAGGCGATAACGGTTAGAGGTCGAGTGAGGGAATGAGTGTGGGCCGGGGATCCGAGCACAGGTCGGAGCGTCCGTGAGAGGTGGGCTAGGTACGAATAGGTACAGCTAGGTGGGGCTTGTAGGATACGCGAATTCGAGTGGGGGCGTACTGTTAAAATAGTAGGGGATGGTGGGTGGAGGGCGGGGGGAGGAAGAGGGCAGCGCGGCGGGTGATATGGACAATTTTAGTTATAGTCCGTGCGGAGCTGCGGCACTTTAGTCCTCGAGGCCCTTGGCTTCGCGGATGACCTTGACGGCCTGCGCGGAGCGGGGGCGGATGTCGTACTTGAACGGCTTCAGCGTCCTGTGACGTTGCCACTCCTCGTCAGCCTCTATCCACGCACACTGATGCAAGACGGAGAAGACGCACGTGAAGACCGAGTTGTCGTATACGACCTCGGGCTCGATGACGTTGCCGAACTCGTCGACCGCCTTGGTGATATCAAAGCCGGAGAGCATCGACGCAATGGCGATCCAGAGTGACGCGTCGATCATGAACGACCCGGGACACCGCCGGCGACCGAAACCGAAGACGTAGTTGCGGATGTCGCGCTTGTGCGCCATCTCCTCGTCGACCTCCTCGAGGAAGCGCTCTGGGTCGAACGCGTCGGGGTTGGGGAACACAGCCGGGTCGCGCACCATGTTGCTGCGAGGACGGGCGGTCAGCTGGCCGAACGGGTGTTCAAAGAACAGACCAGATGTACGCACTAGTTGTTGCCGAAGACGAGCGTGCCCTTGGGGATGAACATATCCTTGTACACGTTGTCCTCTGTGATCCGACGGGGCAGGCCGAGTGGGACCGGCGAGGCGATGCGGAGGCACTCCTTCACGACCGCGTCGACGTATGGCAGGTGTGGGCGGTCCCCGAACGTGGGCAGACGGCCGCTACCGATGACCGCGTCGATCTCCTTCTGCGCGCGGTGCATGATCTCGGGGTGCTGCGCCATCGCGAGGAAAAAGTGTGAGATCGTGGCGCGCGTCTGTGGGTGCCATGGGAGAGCGTATCAGCACGAGGCACACCCGGCGTGTGAGGAGGCGAGATCACTTACGGTATCGAAGCTCGCTGAAGATTTCAACCCGGAGATAGGTGAGCATTCGCGCGAGAAGCATGCCGGACAGGCGCGGAGCGCTCACTCACCAGCATAGAGGGAGTTGGCGGTCCACCGGATGTCGAACTCGCGCTGGGAGCCGACGATCTGGTCCTTGTTCTCCAACTTTGAGTCCTCAAGGAGCATAGTCACGTAGCAGGGGACGGCGGTGCCTTTGCGCTGAAATCGCAATCAAGGGTAAGTATATGCGCGCAGAGATAACGGCGAAGTGGAAGCATACCATCTCCTCGAGGGTGAAGTCGAAGGGCTGGTTGACGAACGCCTCCATCTTGTCCTTCCACACAGCAGCGTCGCGCTTGAACTGCGTGCCAGGGAACCACGTCGGGAGGTGCTTCACTGTACCCGGAGTTAGCTCCCTGTCCTCGCTGTCTACCAGACAGCCATGGCCACTCACGCGCAGGGATCAAGTCGACAATCCACACTATGCCTGCAGCCGCGATCCTGTTCGAGAGGATGTCGAGCGCCTCGTCCGCCATGTCGAGCAGGCGGTCCGCGGCCGAGATGACCCGGTAGCCGTAAACGATCAGGAGCGTCAGGCCTCCCGTGTACCGGCGGACCATGTTAAGCGAATCCTCGGGTGCGTTGAGGATGCCCTGGAGGAGGGAATGCGTCTGGATCTCAAGCAGAGGGTGGTAGGCGTCGATGCGGTTCGCGCCGAGCGCCTGGAGCATGAGCTTGCGCTGGCGGCGGAGGCGGTCGCCATACGGTGTGAGGCCGATCTGGGGGCGAGAACGTGCGGGTGAGTGAGACTGCGTTTAACAGATCGAAGACGAAGCCTACCATGTTCTCGCAGCCGCAACTGAAAACGGGCGCATATAGTCGCGTCAGAAAACTGGGCCAACGGCGACAGAGAACACCGATAAGAACTTACAGCTCGCCGGCCATGACCATCTTCGGCTTGTCCGAGTAGATCGCGCCGCGCTTCTCGAGCAGGTCGACGGCGGCATCGTGGGTGTTGATGAACAGGATGCCCTGCCCGAAAATGTTGAGGTAGACGAGCTCGCCTAAACCAGAGCCCCCGTCAGCAACGATACTCGGCCACGAGCGCACGGAACGCGATCGAGATCGCGATCGGAGGGAAAAGGCGCAGCCGGAGAGCCGGTGGGGGACAATGAACGCCATCGGCAGATGGGGGACTGGATGAGGAGGTAAGATAAACAGGACACGCACCGTACTGCTTCGCCCACTTGGTGGCCTCGAACCAGAGACCGGTGAGGGCCATGTCACGCAGGTTGCCGATGATGGGGAGCGGCTTGGGGCCTGGGGGAAGGGAGAGGCGGTTCTTCTTCTGCTGGAGACCGACCCAGACGCAGGAGATGGCGACGGCGGTCGCGAGCCACATGAAGGTAGACATGTTGAGGAGTGTTGTGGAAGTAGTATGCAGAAGAAGGGGTGCGCGAGGGGGTGAGTGACTGGCGAAGGTCAATCACACCGGGTGAGTGGTTGAGTGGGGGAGTGTCGCGCAGAGAGAGGCCGCAAACGGGGGTGCGACACCGGGGTGGTCGGGAGTAGATATGCGAAGTGGTCGGGGAGAGGGAGGGGGAATGGAAGAGAGAAGCCCGCGGGGTGGGATATATGCGAACGGGTCGCGTCGGCCGGGACCCTCGCACCCTCTGGGGGATGACCAACTCTAAATTGTGCGCGACAGACTGGGAGTCGGGCGCAGGCCCTGCGCGACTTACGTTCGCTGATGGCGCACGAAGCGAGAGCGGCGCGTCCGACTCCCAAACGTCGCTCCAGACAGCCGTGCGCGCGTGTGCACGCGAGAAGCACAAGCGTTGTTCCGACCGCGGCCTCGCGCGAGCACCTCGCACGCACCCACAACCCGCGCCGCTGTCTCCCCTGCGCTGCCCGCTGCCCGCTCCCGTTCTGCGCACGCGGCAGCGAAAACAAGGTCGCAAGGGAGCGCGGCGGGCGGCGGGCAGGGAGGGGCCAGGGCGACGAAGACAAACGAGTGGACGAAAGCATAGACGCGTGGCGCGGGGAAGAGCGAGCGAGGAGCGCCCGTCCGTCCTTTCGTTCCTTCTGCCCCCGATTCGGACGAAGTTGGCTCTCCAGACGCCAAAGGACGTCTGATCAGAATCCGCCACGTGCGATCAGTCCGTGGGCCGGAAGACGCCGCCCCGGCTCCGCATCCTGGCGCTCTCGTGGCCGGCTGCCGTCGTGCATCGTCAGCGACTCATCGTCGTCCGCGACGCTGAGCGCGAGGGGGTCGGGGGGGTCTACCAGAGTCTACGTCCGTCTCTAGCTCCCAACCCTCACCTTGTATCCTCTCTGCCGTTGTCGTCGTCAACCTCTCCAGCGCAGTCGTTCCTATGATACTCGCCCGCCTCCATCTCACCGCGCTCTCCCCCGCGGCTCGCCTCGCCTGGATACCGACCACCGCTGGCGCGACGTCGGCAGCCACGCGAATGCCCGCATCGAGGCTACTCTCGTCCGCCACCCCGGCGCGCGACGCGCTCGCGGGAACCGTTCCCCTCCACCGCGCATGCGTCCTCCTCCACACCCACACCCCGCCCTCAACGTACCCCGCGCGCTCCAAGTCGCCGCTCTGGCGCGAATTAACGCTCAAGGGTCGTGCAATCGGCGCAGTCCCGAACTTCGCCTGGGCGCCGCAGCAGGAAGTGCACCCTGGGTACGCGGGGCTCGGGGAAACGGGCGAGGAGGGCGAGGAAGCGTACGTTGCGAGCGTGTTTCTCCAAGGGCGGCCGGTGCCGCTCCGGGTGCCCGAGGTGACCCTCGCGAACACCGACGCGGTCCTCGCGCGCATAGGCGCGCAGCTGGAATCTAACCACGATGGGCGGAACGGAGGCATGGAAGAGAGCGATAGGAAGAAGGCGATGCCCAACCTCCACCTCTACGTCTGTACCCACGGCTCGCGCGACTGCCGGTGCGGGGACCAAGGGAGCGCCGTCGCGCGCGCGCTGCGGAACGAGGTCGCGCGGCGTGGGCTCGGGGGTGACGTCTTTGTGGGCGACGTTGCGCACGTCGGGGGACACAAGTCCGTCATCCTTCCTCCTCGTCAGCTCTCTTGATGCGCGCTGACTGGTATCCGCTTACGCCCTTCGGCTACGTTGTAATGGGCAGGTACGCCGCGAACGTCCTCGTCTTCCCGACTGGCGACTGGTGAGTGGGCGCCCATGTGCACCTCACGTCTCGGTGCCGCGAACGTCTGCCGCTGTTCGATGTGCGCGCGCGAGGACGGCAACTGCGCGTTTGGTCGCTTGTGCCAGAACGTGCGCTCATCCGATCACGAGCGCGACTTCCAGCCGTGGTGTTATCTTGGCCACCGCACTGACCAGCTCCCGCAGGCTGGGCACGGTCCAAGACTTTGACGCGCCGCACATTCTGGACGAGATCCTCGCCCGGCACTCCGGCAGCGGCGTGCTCGCGCACACGAGCGCACCGCCGCTGTGCCCGCCCTTCTGGCGCGGGCGGATGGGGCTCGACAAGGACGAGCAGCTCGCGCTCATGGCTGCGGCGTCGTGAGCGCGTGTCCAGATGCGCCGCAGACGGATGGACGCAGTGTTTAGAGGTGTGCGTGGATGGGGAGACATCCGCAGCTGACGTTAGCACACGTACGGCGGTGGGAGTCACGCGGGAGCAGTCAATGTTAATGAAGTTGCTCGGCAGTATGCAGTTCGGGCGGCGGCCGCGGGTGCGGAACGGTGCACCAGCGCTCCGCCGCACACTCGCTATCCCTTCTCCTGCCTGCTGCAACCACCGAGCTGACTGTATTCCGTCCATATGTCGTAAGCATTACTCTTCCGTCTGCACTGCACGCTGGCGCCCCCCCCCGCGTCGGATCGCGCTAGTGTCAAGTGGCTTCCTCAAGCGAGGTCTCCGTCAGACTCACCGCCCGCCGACTCCGACTCGGCGTCGGACCGTCGCTAGCACGCTGCCTCAGCCTCACAGTCCGCGAGGCTGCGGCCTGCGTCGATATACTTCTGAGCGGGCCGACGGCGGCGCAGGTACGCTACTTGCTAGGCCTTCCACAATTGCGATGCGTCGCTCAACCCCAACGTTACTCTGACAGGAAACATGGTGCTTAGACCGCCCTTGACTGATTCCACATGCTCCAGGCTGACCTAGCACCAACGGCACAAGCCACGCCGGTGACCCAAGTTTATCAAATGAAGATACCGTTCTATTCACAACTTGCGGAGCCGGCCACAGCCTCCTTGGACAGTTGGTAGTGTTATCCACCCACGTCGTAAGCCCAGATCTACCGAACAGTAAGGGGTTCATTAATCCCGATTCTGAGACCTCTCCGATCCCAACGCGAGCCCTCTTCCGAAAGCGGGACGTGGCGCCGCAGGACAGCCCAGTGCAACATGCGGCGGATCCAGTTCACGAAGTGTACCTGCGTACACCACAATACCTCTGGTGACCAGTCGACGGCATGTTCGGGGTGTGTGCGCACGGTGACCTCTGTGGCACGATACATGGGGAGCCGCGAGGCCTCGGTTAAGTATACGCATGCGGAAAGGTTCCGAACCTGGTGGGACCTGGACGGGCCTAGGTAGATTGAGCCGTTGTCGAGGAGCTCCTGACACTGACGCCAGATACCAGGCACAAGAATGGTTGCTTGCTGTCCATCAGACGTCCATCTGGTCACAGTTCTGGAACGTCAGCGGTGGTTCTTCTGAACTGATCCTTTTTCCAGGGATATATGTCTCGCTGCTCAAGCGCTCAAGATTGAACGCTAGGCGAGTATTTCCGCTGGTTGTTGCTCTCCGGAGAGCGGCGAAGGGATGCTGTGAACAGGACCTGGTCACAGAGTCGTCCGAGTACACTTATCTGGGATGTGGTATCTCGTTGGACATAATCCCGCACTACTAACTATCCGACCCGAGCAGCGTAAACATGCTACGTGGATAGTGCACAGTGATCCTTCTACTAGAAGGACAACGTCGACGGCTTCACGCCTCTGTCAAGTATATCCTGAGGCATCCGGACTTTCGCCCGGTGTTGTTGTTGTTGTATTCCAGTTTAACGCCCGTCAGGGCCGAGCCCTATGGTAGGCGGTACGCTACCTGTGTAAACTACAGCCGACGGGATAATAATTAGAGGCGTCCTCGCGGACGCCCCGGCCAACGGTCTGGCCAACGGAGTAAAGTACGGAGGGGACTGGCGAGACCGTGTGGGGGCCGTGAGGTGGGTGTGGTAGCGGGCGGGTGTGAGAAGGTATGAGAGGGGCATGCGTCTGCGGGAAAAACCTCTGCCCCGGCCATTCAAATATTCAAGGCTCGCGTGGTGTCCGTGTCCGATTCCGCACCTTCCAGCTCGCGCCCGCCCTGGGCGCAAACCGCTCCAGATCCTCCGGCCCCAGCAGCCAGTGTTCCCGCGCCCGATCGACCTCCTGCACCGCCCACCGGTCCTTGAACGCCCGCGCCGTGAACGGCGCCCCGCGCGCGCGCGCGACGCCGCAGAAGCGCCGCAGCATCGGCACGAGCAGACGCAGGTCGCGCTGCACGTCCGCCCACCGCGCCGCCTCCGCGCGGAACGCGTCCGCGTCGACGCGCGTCCGGCGCACGCGCACGAACGTCTCCCGCACGCGCCCCGCGGCGAGCAGCGTCGGCGTCTGCGAGAGGAGCATCTGCGGGTACGTCCGCGACCAGGTGTGCATCCACGCGTGCACGCGTCTGCCGCCGTCGTGGCGCAGGCCCTCGGTCTTGATCTCGAGCAGGGCGGACTGGGGCACGAACGCGCCCGCGGGCACGACCGCGATGTCGGCGCTCCGGGGCGGCAGCGCCGGGCGCTCGGGGGGATCGGGGGGAGACCCGATGGGGGCCTGCGCGGGAGGCGGAGAGGTGGACGAGGGGTCCGCGTCTTGGGGGATGCAGGCGTCGACTTCGCCGGAAACGACGAGCCGGAGCCCCCCGAAGTCCTGTGGGGAGCGAGAGATCGGCGTTCAGTGTGCGGCGAAGGCGGCACCAGCGTGCGGCCAGGATGGCACGGTGGGACGCTCACGTATTGGATGGCCCGGTAGTGCTCCAAGCCGCGTTCGCAGCCCGCGCCGGGGGCCGTCGCGAGTCTCTCAAAGTCACTGCCGAAGGAAGTATGCGGCCTTTGTTTGCGTCCCCACGCGAGACGGCGGGGCGTGGGAGGTATGCGGTGAAGCAGGACGGTTCTGCCTGTGGTGGGCTGCACGTCGAAGCGGGATCCGAACGACTCCAAGCCTCGCACGTCTTTCCATGGCATGTGGGGGTTGGAAAAACGGTGGATCCAGTGAAGAAGCGTCCGGAGCACTCCGAGGTCGGCGACCACGTCTATCGTGGACCAGTCGACGGCACACTCGGGGTGCGAGAGCGCGATGGTGTCCGCGGCTCGGAGCATTGGAAGCATGGCCTCCGCAAAAATCCGAGGGGTATCGGGAACGTCGCACGGGACCACAAGTGGTAGGGGGAGGTCGAGCCATTGTCGTGGAGATCCTGGCAACGCAGCGCATCTGGTGAGCACGTCGGAGGGTCATGGAGAAGGCGAGGGGAGTACCGGGCACGAGGATAGTTGGCTGCGGGTCGTTTGTGCGATTGTAAGAGGCCACGTATTTGACGTTCTGAGGCACCAAAGGAACATCATCTTGACCGATATCAATGGGGAGTCTGACGCTTCTCGTGACGCTGAGTCTATGTTTCCAGATTCTAGAAGATGTCGCGCTCTCAGCATGACTCGAGAGTGAAGTCGATCACAAAGGCCTCACTGTGGAAGAGTGCCACTGGCAATACCACGAAGGGACGACGAAGCGGAGCTGGCCATGTACTAAACCCAAGTCGAATCGCCTCTCGGCGACGAACGGCTGGGACGATTACCCACTACCCCCGGCTTTCTCCGGCTGATATAATGAAATAATGCAGTCACATGGTTAGCTCCCTGAGACGCCCACCGATGGAAATCGCCCAGCGGCCAAGCCTGCCACTGGTGACTTATGAACTCAACTCCACCGATATCGCAGCCCGCCCCACCTTTGTGGATCCCAGTGTTTGCCTGCGTAAGCGTTACCTCCAAGTCTTCGATGCCTCAACCTCTCGTCTCATTTTAGAATTGAGTATGCACAACAGCCAGCGTGACGGGTGGGAGCCATCTCTGACACAAAATCTCGGGCACGGCCGCGGACGCTTCAAGGGAGAGGCGCACGACGAGCACGACGAGGCTTCAAGCTTCGGGAGACAGAGAATTTGTCGTGAAGCTTCTGGCATTCAAACACACCGTACCGTATGGAGCCCGACTCGCCCGGGGATGCGGGGGAGGCCGCACCGTAGTTTTTTCTCTTCACCTCGATCTTCTCTCTCTGACTATTCATACCGGTCCAGCAAGTAGATTCAACATGTCGGAGAATATACCTCCTGTTGAAGTCCTACATCACGAGATGGTAAAAGCCCACCGCTCGTTCAAAGTAGTGGGGAGAGTCGAGAACATGCTCGAGGACATTGCCAACCAACCGCTTGACGACCTACCCATCCCCTGGGGCACCTCGAGACCTGGGCCAAGATCTTGATCTACCATCACGACGTCGAAGGCACGCGAACGCTCGCGCCCGACAACCCCCCGTAGAACGGCAGCTATTCCGTAGCTGAACCAGAAGCCGCACTTCGACAAGGAAGCCGAATATCGTACGTGGCGCCGCCGACCGCTTCAACGCCCCCCTCCAAGCCGCGCGCAAAGACCCTCCGCGCCCTCCACCCAGTTCCTCACCTCACGCCCGCGTGTCTTCGCCGCCGCCGCAGTCAAGGACGCGGGTCTATAGCTCAACCTCCCGTTCGCGGCGTCGCACACGCCCCCGTGCATGGACAGGCCGCCGTTTCCGTGGGTGGTGCGCGGGGTGCTGCTCCCGTACATGTTCGCGTGGCGGTACTCCGGGCGACTCTCCTTTCTGTCTTCTGACCCTGCAGGTTCGCAGGATGGGCTGGCTGACGGTCACTTGTGCTTCGTCCGGTGATGGAAGCACTCGCCGTATGATGCGAGGAGGGGAAGTCTCGCCGACCGGCAGTCGTGGCGAGCTTGTGTATCGTATGCCGTGGAAATCCAAACGTCGAGACTCATATCTCCCGACGAAACTAGCTAGTGCCGTCGAACATTATTTGAACGAGGTTTCCGACAACGTACAGACGCCAGGACTCGGGACTTCACTGTCTGCGTCAATTTCCACTCGGCGCAGGTTAGCTTGCAACGTGGATCAGTGTCGCTATATGCACTTGGAATAGGAGACACCTGGCAAGAGAGCTGGACGAGCTCCGACCTATTATTGGGTCCGGTGGGAGTTTTCGGACGCCAGTAGTAGACCCCCTCGGGCATCGGCAGCAATTGGCAGAGGCACAAAGCACACCTCGAAGGTCATCATTGCGCCAGTTACGAACACCGAAGATTGCGACAAGAGCTCAAGTCCATTTGTTGGAGGCAACTAGCCAAGGACATGATCTCCCCAGCAATCACTCCTTGGGCGACCGGATAGCGGTGAGCATGAAGGCGGTTGAAAACTAGGGCGAACAGAGAGCATCAACCGCACCGTCCTCGGTGCGCCCCCTCAGACGGAATGCGGTATCGAAAGTACATGCTTGTACGCCATTTGAAGGCGAAATGCATCCGCTGAACAAACAACTTACGATCACGAGTATCGAGAGTGCGCGCGCATCTGGCAGGGCACTTGAGTCCAATTGAATTAACATGCGCCAGGGGCGGCGGTGAGCAATCAATGTGTAGTGTGTACAGTACAAAGCACTGAGCACAGATCGTTGTGCCTGGGATGCCCTGCTGAGAGGCTTGTGAGATGATCAGGCAGTGTGGCGGGATCGCCAGTCTGCTGATGCGCTGATCCAGTCCTCGCGAGCCTCCAAAAACGAGGCGCGAGCTGGGCTGACGCAGCGCTGGCGCAAGTGGACTGCTCGACTACTTGTGATTGAAGAGGGAGCAGATAAGACTGTTGCATCGCTCACCGTTGGCTGGGCAAGGCACAACTCCGACGTGAGCGGGAACTGGAGATGTATAAAACTTGGTTCAAGTGCGCTGTTGGATCCTCAGCCTCCGCTTCATCGACTTCTGCGACCAACCCTTCTCTTCTTGCAAGATGCAGTTCGCCACCAAGTTCTTCGCCCTCCTTGCTCTCTTTGTCGCCGTCCAGGCCGTCCCTTCCCCGGCTGGTAAGTCGCTTCTAGGGCTGTCATAGAACCGATTGCTGATCATGTCTTCTGCGTCCAGCCGATGGTCTCGATCCTCTCTGCGGCCGTGGCGACGGTGTCGAGGCTGACTGCTTCTAAGCAACGTACCTTGTACTCGGTCAGTCACCTTTGGAATGGACCTCAGCGCATACAGACTCACCTTGTAAGGACAGCCGGATGACGTCCGCACACATCCGTTGGAGCTGTAGAAATCCTCGATAGACATTCCTGCCTGGCCTGAGAGGATGGTTAAATATCGCTTATGTATCTTGTCTGTTGTACTGTGCAATGAGTATCACCCCCCTTGCTTTGATTTCAGGGTGTGATCTGCGTGAAAAAAATGCATAAGCATATACGACACGCAACGACACCCGAGGCCTTACCGCTCGAAATGAGGGCATCCAGCACAGGTCAAATAGATCATCCACCAACTCGTTCCGACACTTGGGCAGCATCTCGACCGAACACGAGTCTAGCTCGAGCTGACGTGCACACCTGCGCCTTGAGTGGATTCAAATTGTCTAGGAACTACGATGATGCCAATAATGTGAGAGGGACGGTTGTGATCAAATACAGCTTGTTGTTGAATCTTCATCCAGGATAGCAGTTACGACTAGAGAAATCTGCGAACGCGCACCCCATCCTCCACCTAAGTCCGTCCACACGGCGAGCCAGGAGACTGCCTAGTAACCGACGCCGATGAGGTAGTCGGCGAGGCTCTCGACGGTCGGTGTGCACTCGCCCGCTTGAATTGGCGCGTTGTACTCCGTGACGAGGACGGCCTGCTTCGTCTTGACAAGCACGCAGCCGTCGCCCTGTAATGCGCATGAGCAATCGATCGTCCGATATTCAACTGTTTCCAAAGTGAAAACGCCGCGAAACAATGCAAAGTGATGTGATTACGACGTAGACGGATGTGCAGGGGTGGGCGGGGATTTGTGGAGAGAAAGCAAAAGAATAAAGGAACAAGCAACTCACCCCCTTCTTGCCGTAGATGCTACGGTCATTCGCGGAGAGCGTGAAAAACTTGTTCCCAGAGAGGCGGATGCCATGCGTCCGTGCCTCCTCAGCGTTGTTGAACATGCTCACGATCTTCGTCTGTTCCTCCGGCGTGAGCTACGAATGTGCCCACCGGACGTCGTTTCCATCGGCGGAGCGTTCGAGAGTGCACGGATTGTCAGGAGGCGGTTGGGCCGGAAGGAGAGGGGCGATGAGGGTGTATGTGAGGCGACCGGCAAAGGAGATTGGCGAGCCGAAAGTGGCGAAAAGGGAACGGTGATGTCAAATACGCACAAGGGAGCGAGCTCTTCAGCGCTGTGCGGCACGACCGAGATCGCGAAGGGGGGACGCACCGTGAAACCAGCAGACGACGCCCAGACGCCGCCTGCGAGACCGATGATGGCAGCCTTGGAGACTTTGCCACTGCCGATGAGGTTGCTGTCGACGTAGGCTGTAAGAGTCGATCGGTCGCGTTCCAGGTGCACGAGGAGAGGCGGGACATTGAGCATCGCGCACACGAACAGCGCAACGGCCACCGACCTTGCCAGGACATGGTGCGAGAGCAAGGAAAGAAAACAAGAGAGGAGAGGGCGAGAGCCGGGGTGAGAGAGAGGAAGAGAGGCGGGCGGATCGGGCAGGCTAAGTACGAGCCTCCTCTCTCTGCCGCATACATCCAATCGCGCCGGAGATCGCCATCCGATAACACCCGTACACCAGCCCATTAGGCCCCGGCAAGCGGCGGATGTTATCCGCCTTCTATCCCGTCAATCCGTAGCGCAACGACGTCATCATTACTGCTCGCTCTATCCTACTCCTTGCCTGCCGAGCGCTCTCGACCTCTCGCCGACGCACGGCCTCCTCGCGTCGTCCGTACACGTACATATCCCGCCGCCGTATGCTCAAACACGCATCACCGTGCCCCTACAGCGCTCCCGCGTAGGAGAGCGGAACCTGCAGTATGCTCGACTCCGCGTTCGTGGACGGAACATTCGTGTAAATATCTAGCTCGCTCGTCGCGTTCGCAACGTCCTCGAGGCCGCATACCGTCTTGAAGTCACCGATAGTTGCCGCGCGTCCGGCAACGTATTTATCGAACGACGCGAGCGGGCACGATCCCCCGGGTCCGCTCTGGCAGCCTGGCACCGGAGTGACGGCGTTGTTGATCTATGGACCCCGGGATTGTTAGCGCAGCGTTCGAAGACATGGGGGGCATAGATATGCAGCCCACCTTCACACGAATGTATTTCTTCGCGCCTGGGCTGGCGCCGACGCCAGGTTGAGCTGGCCCGCGGTGTGCTTCACGCTTGAGCCTACGCGTGGTCGCACGAGAGACGCTCGAGCGCGATGAAGCCGCGGAAGGAGACGACGTAGGACGAGCGGAAGGTCCGCTTGGGTTCCCGCTTGGTCGAGCTGAGAGGGTAGACAGCTTCATGCGAGGAAGTGTTCCAGAGTCCGAGCGCCGAGAGAACCGGGGGCAGGTTGTTGTCGTGCGTGAAGCTCATGATCAGAGGCGAGGGCGTGAAGTTGCCGGAAGCTGCGTCGGCGCTGTTGGGGCCGGTGACGAGTAGATCGGTGGCCGCTTTGACGTAAGGAATGCCGTTGACAGCAGAGAATGGGTTTCCAGGACCAGCACCATAGTAGTAGTTGAGGTCATGAGCATATTCGTAGTCGAGCCACTCGGAATCTGCGCCAAGAGTCAGCCTCTACGCTCTCTTTCCACGCCGCACCAAACGCACCCTCAAACACATCGCAGAACCGATGGTCTCCACTGACCTCAGTCTGGAATCCGCACAGATCTTGCATGACGCCGATGTCCGTCTCGTCAAGTTCCAACCCGTCGAGGTACTTGTTCAGTCGCGCGGCAATGGCGGGCCGAAAGAGCGCGCGGTAACTATCTGCGAGAGACGACTTGTCTCCGGACTTGTAGGTGGGACACGCCGCCGAAGGCGTAAGGGAGTCGGCGAACGTATAGTTGACCGAGTCTGGCATGGTGACGATGTGGCCCCGGTTCGCGTCCGTTGTTGAGAGGTAGTTGCCCGCAGAAAGGTAGCCGTGCACAAACCAGGTCGCGGTATCCATCACACGCTGTTGACCAGCAGCCCTGTGCATCAAATAATGTGAGCAACGAAATTATGAGGGAGATATATGCGTGACATACCAAACAGTGAAGTTGTCGCCGCCGGCAGTGAACCCATAGCGCTTGCGAAGGTCAACCCCAAGATCGAAAGCCTCCCTTGCGCCCGTGCTCGACAGGTAGAGCGGCTCATGGCTCACGTTGTCCACGGGCACGGTCCACGAAGGGATAAATGCCAAGGGTCCCTTCGCGGTAAACGTCGCATTTTGGAACTTCTCATACAACGACACCCACCCGTTGTACGAGCCTGGCTCGGGGTACCGCCTGGGTGTATGCGCGTCAGAAGACAGGTCGTCTGACCGGGGATGGGGGAAGAAGGGCCGGAGTAACACGCGGTGGGGTGGACAAAAAAGGACAGAAACTCACGAGCCATGGCGCACTATGTACGCCGCCTGCTCGACCTTGCACTCCGCGGGAGTATCAGAGCCAATGCCGAACTGCGCAGGCGCGTCGAAGTACGGCGACGCAGGTCCTGAGTGCTGCAGAGGTTTGAATGCGTTTCCGGACGCGTTGGCGACGGAAAGCAGGGCCAACGAGACAAGGACAGTCCTCACGGAGATCATCGCGTGAGGGATGCGTCCGGGACAAAGGCTGGCGTCGGGAACGGTGGGGAGACGACCTCTACGAAGTTCATCTTCTCGCGCGCCGGGTATTTAACGGAATATGCGTTGCCATGCTTGACAGAAGGTCGAGAGGCGAAGAAGGTAAAAGAGCACGTTCGTGAGCGATCAACGGGATGGGTGGAAGAGGGGCAGAGTTCCTGGCCGACACGCTAACCCAACGGTAACACTATTTCTGCCATAGCCGAACAGAGCCGAACTCCCACCGCGGCCCGTTTACGGACCGCGGCTGCTGATTGGCCATGTTCCCGACGTTCCGTACCAACGTTTCTCTGCGTTGTGCTAATCGCAGTGCTCCTGTCAGGCACAGCTTTCGCGGGACTGCGTCAGGTGTAACGCGTCCACCTCAACTGCACCGACGACCAACACACAACACGACGTATGATGCAGGATGTAAATGCACTTCAGATGTGGGTAACAAGGAATGGAGAATACAGCGATCCAAAAGTGGGGATATAGATACGTGCAGATCTATGCAAGCAGCTGGTGATACATGCGAATACATCCTAGCCCTTCCGAAAGCGCGAAAGCAAAAAAAGAAACTGCACTAAGAACTAGTCTGGAAGTTCCCATCCGTACGTCCGCCCCGTATCTTCGCCGTGATAAAGTGACTCTCCCACAAACTTGAGCGCAGTCACACATGGAATGGCACTTCGTAGCCGGCTCTCGTTCTTCACCTTGAGGGTCTTGACAGTCTTGAATTCCCAGCGCGCCTTCTCCCCTTCTGGTGTGTTGTCCGTGTTCCATGTCCGGAGGGTGATCGTGCCATCGGGCGCGCCGGTGGCAATGATATCCTTTTGTGAGTAGTCGCGCTCGAGGAATGCTATTGACGTGACTGGAGGCCACAATGGTGTAGGCGCAGAATTCGTCAGGTCCAAACAGGCGATGGGTCGTGCGTTGACAGTGTGCAACCATAACCAATCTCGTGAGCATGTGGCGATATAACCCTGTTTTCAAGTTAGTGACAGCTCATATCAAGGAAAAGCGCATTCGGCTCACAGTACTCTCGTTCACAGCAGTAAGATGGATATCTGTAGCTGAACCCGTCCCATGCCAGATTGAACGTGTGTACACGCCACGATTGAGGTCCCACAGCGCAGCACTGCCGTCTTGCGAACCACTGACGATCAAGGACCACGCCCGAGAGGCCGCTATACATGTCACACGCGCAGTGTGACCACGCATGAGATGCGTGAGCGTGAGGGACACCGGTTGCTCCCGACTTCGATCGTTCCTGCTGACGTGCCACAGTCGTACCATGTTGTCTGTGGAACCCGTGACGAGCGTGTCCGTATCTGCGAAGGTCGCGCAGCAGCAGAAAGCAGATTCGATGACTTGGGACACCTGCGATAGATGAGTGAGTGTCCCGATACACTTAATGCGTGGCTTACCCGGCGATCAACAACGACTTTTAGGGTACCTGTTGAGACGGCGCCGGTGTCCCATACGACACTTTCATGAGGCCGGGACGTCACGCAAAGGGTCCCCTCCGCGCAAGGTATTACTTGTTGGCCGATGAGGTCGAGCACTAATCGCTTTATAGGCATTTCAGGACCAAGGTCTTGTAAAAAGATCAGACAACCAGTATCAATAACAAATACCGTCTGCGTACCTTTGAGCGGGCGAGACCCTTGTGTGAGCAGATGGTAGTCTTCGGCGATACCGTAGATCTGGCCCAATGGAAGTGCCGAGTTGCCATGCATGTTGCGTGGTGGATGAGGAGTAGCGAAAATCTTGCGAGGTGTTTGACCAACTACAAAGAGGTGTATGTTAAGGGCTTCATCGAGCCGCGTCGTGGAACTCACAGTTGTGAATGATACCAACAGTTGCTTCTCGCTCGAGGTCATCGGTGATAGCATCGAGATCTAGAATTTCGTTCAGACAACCAAAATGCAAACTCCACTTCCTTGCTTACCAATTGCACCTTCGTAGCTGAGAGGGTGGAAGACGTTGTAGGAGTCGGCGTCGGCCTGTTTGCATCCCCAGATCAAGTCTATCCATGTTGGCAGGTGTTCGCTAACAAAGTCACTTTCGAGGGCCTTTCGATGCATTATGATGAACAAGAGAGGATCGTGCTTCGCCCAGGGAGGGAGCTTGACGTCGTGAATTTTTTCTCCAGTGTTCTGTTGCACACCAAAGTCCAGATTCTGCGAGTTCTCAAGGAATCTAGTCGCGACATAAGATTAATACATCACTGAACGTAGGGAACAGAACGCTCACTCAGGGCAGGAGAAGAATTCCGGAATGAGTTCGCGCACGTCTCCTCGGATGTCCTGTGATGCTGAAGTGTAGGCTCTCTTGATGTCGCTACATATGTTGTTGGTACGGAGTTAGTTTTAGTGCGGAGTACCACGCACACGAATAGTCGATCAGGGAGATCCCAATCACCCCCTTGCAGAGTCTTGAACATGTGCGTGAAGGGCTCCATCCGGATGAGAAAATGGCATACGATCATTGAAGAACTGAAGTGAGTGCCGTAGTGGAAAGGCTTCTCCTCAACACTCATCAAGTTCTCGTAGCGTGAGCGAGCAGCCTCTTGACGACCTTCCGTAAGAGCCCCCATGGGCAACGACAAACTACGTGCCGGTTAGAGATTTGTCAAAATACGCAAAGAAAACTGCTCACTCCCGGAAGGTGTCAGTAGAGAAGAAGTCAAGCTTCTCTGATGTATAGTCACTGAGCACCCATGCTGCAATACAAGTCAGCTGATGACTGTGTAGTAGCTCCGAGATTGCTTACGGAATACCGGGTACTGAGTAGCGTCGCTTGGCGTTCGTCCAGAGACCTGATTCAGGATGCTGAGATACGTGAACTGTTGGCAGAGTCAGTAAATACTCATTCTCACCATCCTGTTCTTACATTGGAGATCTCGCGAGACTGCCATTTCCTCTGCGCGATAGAGAGCTCGTCCGAGCCAAAGCCGTTCAGGTACTTGCCTCCGAAGCGTCCGCTAAGCTTCCCGGTGAAGGGCGACTTCATCAAGCCCGCGCTTCCAGGGTCCCCGCCGAACGATCGTATGATGGAGGTTAGCCTGCCGGTCATCTCTCGCCGTTGTTTCCTGTCCACAAAAACAACGAGCAGCGAGCGGCTGTCGCGGAAGTACAACTCCAGCCTGGGGGGAAATGTCGTCAGTATCGTTGATTTGGGGCTGCGAGGTATCACGTACGCGACATCTCGGAACAAAAAAGTCCTATCACTTAAGCTCATAATCTGATCGTGTGACCTGTTTGTGTATGAGCGGATGTAGGTGAAAGACGGCCTTGTACCACCTACCATCGTTGGGCGCGTTGATGGTGTTCAAGGTCCATGACACTGCCGGGCACGAAGAACAATTTTCGTGGTGCATCTTGAGCCTCGATGACCTCGCCGTCGTCATTCTCAACCAGACCATCAAGGAGGTATAGATGGCTGCGACCGATGATCAAAAGACCGGCTACCACTGCAGTCAGCCTGTTTTCGCAAGCAGAAGTTACTGCAGACTTACGAGATGAGTCGACACCAGATATCCGCGCAACGGTCTTGACAGCGTCGATGATGTCGCCAGGTTCTAGTTCGTGTCTGACTCGACGATGCTTGTCATCCACGATTTCTTCACCCAACTGATCTATATAGCACATAGGCAAGAGACCCGGTGAGTGCGAAAAATCTGACTCACCATCTTGTTCGGTCGCCGACAGCTCGTACGATTCCGACCACGGAGGGACCTCGAGCTGCATGATAGACTGTGTGTCGACGTCAAAGTCCTGTACATCAGCGATCTGTTGATGATCGACCTTAGAATTAGGCATCTTCTCGTCGTCTTGCTGGAGCTTTTTGCTGCGCATAGTATTTAGAATCGATGGTCTTGATGGACACGGACTCTGCTCACCGGACACGATAAGGCCCCTCGGTCTCATCTAACCGCCAGCTAGGTTTGATGTCAGGCCTGGCCCACAACCCCCGCTCTGTTGTCAAAACGGTAGACCAGTCGGTTAGAGCAGCGATCTGCCGGTTATGTTCACGACTGATAACTCTGTCAGCCGCTCGAACAATTGATAGTGCATCCCAAGACGACTCACAGATCGAGTGCCGTCTTCCGTAACCGTTTCTTCTCCGTGATGATAACAGACTTGCGCCATTCGTGGATGCGAATGATGGAGCGCTTGACAGCACTCTCTCCAAGTTGCATGCTAAGCCTGACTGAGGCCATTCGTCTCCGGCGACCCTTGGTACCAACAATTGCCGCGGCGTCGACGCTCGTCTCTTGGGTCGAACGAGGGTTGAGGACGGCTTCGACCGATTGCAGCACGTTCATGATCTACGACACGTTAGATTCGTCACCAGTTTAGTTTTCAAAGGCAGCTCACCTCCTGTTTCAGGTTGGATGCCACGGCGTTATCCAAGGCGATGCTAAGGCCGAGATGCGAAAGCTTCTCGAGGACGCGGACAGTGCCTTCATCTATCTCATATGACTGGGCCACTGAAGACGAGTACATTTTGTAGGCCTCGATGAACTGCTGAGTGATCGTGTTGGAGCGGAAAACTTCGCGGAACGTCGGGCTTGCCGAGTGCGTCTCAATGAGGGCCTCAAGTAGGTGTTCAGCGTTGGTCGTTGCCGTGGCCCGTGCTATAAAACGACAAATTGGCGACAGAGCACCGTGGTGCGAGAGATGGCTTACCGTCGGCGTCTTCCATTATCCTGCTCATGTCTAAACTCATCTTCAGAGACGAGAAGATTGAAGGCACGATATGCGGGCAGACCACGTGAGGAACGATCTCCCTCTTGTCGCGACTCCGTCCAAGGAGAACGTCCCACGCAGCGTCTTGTACGGTGGCGTCCCAGCCGTAAGGGAGAACGAGCTTCAAGATATTCCAGCCGCTGACAAGCTCGAACTTGCGACTGAACGAAGTCGAGATCCCAAGTGCCGTGGAGATCATGCGCAAGACGAAGTTGGCGGTGACTGGGGTAGGACGGTCTCCAAGGAGGAGGAGACAAATCCTGGTGAGCGGCAAGCACGCAGTAAACTTGTTGAACATGGTGGTATTGTCGAGGACTCCCACAAGCATCTTGAGCACCTGCTCGGCCTTGTACTGGGCGTTCACGTAGTCGATGCGAGAAATGACAGAACGTGGAGAGCTAGCACCGTGGCTCGCTATATGCGTGCAAGCACGTTAGCCTGTGGATTAGGTGATAAGAAACAATCACTTACAGTCATGGAGGTTGGCGGCCAGATAGGAAACGATAGGCCGTATGGCATCGTCAATCGAGAAATGTGCCTCTGCAACGACGCGGATCGTCTCCAACAGGAATGGCATCATGTCGGCGGGGTACAAATTTGTCTGTAGGACGAAGAGCAACCTCTTGACGATACCCATTTTGCTCAGACGCTGCTTGATATTGAACCGCTTGTGCCGACTGGTGTCCAATAGCGTGGCGAAGTGTTCAAAGTGCATCAGCTGGATCTCCTCGCGGGTGTGTGCCCAGAGCTGGAAGTCGAGGGCGATTGCGCGGTACGCGACGGTGTTGGTTACGGTCGAATAGCTGTCACGTAATGAGTATGGCACTAGATAGACGACGGTGCAGAGGCACTCACTCAGGGTTACGGAAGTTCATACCGAGGAATTCGAACAGCGTCTCGAAACCGGTCGTGTTGATCAGTAAGGATTTCGATCGGAGGATGTGGCACAAGATGTCGTAGCCGCCTGATCACATTAATGTTAAACATGGCGAACGCGATATCCCGAACGACGACTCACGAAGTTGCTCCATGTCTTCCGAATTCTGCCAACTATTACGTAGGCCGTCGGTCAGCACACCGAGGGCGCGTGATAACTCGTGAGAGTTCTGCGAGGACACAAGGGATATTAACCTTCGTACAAAGGAGGCAAACATCAGACTCACGCCAGCTATCTGTACCAACCGCAATGCAACGGCCGCACCACCAATCTCCCACATAGCGAGGTCGAGACCGTTGCATCGAGCAACAAAAACGTCCTTGTCCAGAGCCGCATCATTCAGGTCGCCCATCTCCTTGTTCTCAAACAATGTGGTCGCGGAGGATATAGCGAAGATTAACGTGGTCTCGGTGATCCCCAGGCCATTCTTGAAAGAGTTGATCAGGTTCTTCACCTCCGCCGCAGAACCCTTCGCCTGTTCTGCACGTGCATGCAGGTTGATGTTCAGTGCAGTCGCAGCCTCGTATGTCAGGAAGCGGACGATGTCGCTCGCTTGGAATCGAGAGACGTAGCGTGGACCAAGGTCGTGAATAATTCGTGGAAGCTCGTCCGCTGATATGGATGAATTAGTTGGGGGCTCCCACATGCACCCCTGACGCGACACAAGGACTCACGCAATGGTACACAGATGAGGTATGCAGACGCCATGCACCAGTTGAGACTTGCCCCGTCGGTACTGTCACCGATGGTGTATGGACGGTCCACCGTCGTGTCGCCACGCGGATACACCCATTGTACAGAGTCGGTCATTGTACCGTCAACGAATAGCCCTGAGATAGAGGATCAATGACCGCCCAGGTGTGTATAGAACACCACTCACGAATTGTTGGCTTGGAGCCTCGATGTGGATAGTGAACGAGCGTGACGTGCGTCCAGCGACCTTTCGCAAGGCGCGCCTTCAAAACTGCAGGCTCCTTGTTTCCCGTGCTGGCGCAATCCAAGTTCCCGTCGGGGCGCAGCTTCAGGGAGAAGTACTCCTGGTCACCGTTGGAGATGGAGAAGAGGTTGTGTATGCGATCTCGCGGGACTTGCTCAATCCAGAGCCAAATCTGACGAAACCCGTCAATCTACCATCCCTGACAGGGGCCTGACGCGCCATACCATGAACGTGAACCCTGTCGACGGCACCGCTCTCGACGCGTTCCGGCTGACGCGGATCGCCGCGGGCGACTCCAACGAGAAATGGTCCGGCCACTTCGTCTTCATCCCTGCCCGCAGCACCTCTAGCAGGTCCGGGTTCAGCGTGTCGTCCGGCCGGACTGCGAACTCGAACATGACCCGCGCGTCCTCGGTCTGCACGTTGTGGTCCAGCAGCCGCCTCAGTAACTTCTGCACGATCTGCCTCTCCGGCTTCGGCAGCTCCGTCGGCCCACTGAGCCGCTCGAACAGCGAGCGGACGAGCCCGAGGCTGCTGAGCACGCACTGGTTCCGGTGCTTGTGCAGCGCCAGGCGCTCGAGCAGGCGGGTACCCATGTACCGCAGGACGCGGTCCTCGCGCGCGGGGAGCGTCGCGGCGTCGTAGAGCACGCGGACCGCCTCGGGGACGTGGATCACGCCGAGGTGCGCGGCGAAGTCCTGGAACTTGCGGTCCATCTGGGCGTAGTCGGCGCTGGACATGTGCAGGAAGAAGCGCGCCCAGGCGAAGTCGTGCAGCGCGAGGCACGCGAGGAAGCTCGCCGTCTGCTTTACGGTGCGCTTGTCCGTGATGAGCGCGTGGGTCGCGTGCTTGAAGGACTCGAGCCCGACGTGCGTCTGTGGAGCGCATACACCGAGGTGCGAGGTGAGGCAGGGGAAGGAAAGCGCGCGGAAGGAGCAAGAACGCACCTGGAAGTACTCGACGTTCGCGTTGTGTTGGTGCAGGGACTCCGAGAGAATGAGAAATACCAGGCGTGTCGACTCGAGGAGTTGCGGGCCTGCGCTTTCGGCCTGCACCTCCTGGGTGAACTGGGGGTGGATGGTGGAGAGCACGCTCATGAGCACCAGGAAGCCGTCCATCTCTCGAAAGACGTCCTTCGTGCATGCGTCTTGCAGCATGATTTTATGAATTTCGGTGAGGACCTGTGCGCGGCGAGCGGGTCTCCGTCACAACGAGACGCAAGCAGCGAGCGACGGCGAGACGCACCTCAATCCTCTCCGCTAGCGTTTCTGCCGTCTTCAACCGCTCCGTTGCATTGCGCATAAGCTCCACGAGCACATCGCGCGCGAAGTCCTCCGGGTCGATCTCGTCCGGCGCGTCGACCGGTTCGATTTGCTGGCTCGTGGAACGGGGCGAGAGGGGCGAGGGGAGCGAGAAGCGGGAGCTGAGAGGGGTGAAGAGGGTGCGGAACATGACGACTCAATGCACCTGCCAAAGCGGAAAGCTACCAGAGTTTCAAAAATCCAGAGTTCAGAGTGACATGAGTATCGTATGCGGAGCGGGTGGCGGTCGAGGAGGAGGAAGAGTTGTCGTGCCTTCAGCCACGAGCGGTTGCGCGACGTGATGTGAGTAGCCTTGCATCATATCTCCAACCAGTGCGCGCGTGTCTCTGAATTTGTCGACGCGACCGTCAATCTTCTACATATTCATGATGCATTAATCCTCCGCGCCCAACAGCTACATAACGATGTCGACCTCACCACCGTCGGCGACGACCCCTAACCCTATATGGCGGGTCCTCCTTCGGACGCCACCACATGCGGACACTTGCCCCTCATTGCGCTACCCCGGCAATCGCGGAAAACAGGAGACTACGCAGCTAGGAAGCAGTGACTGTGTCAACGAGCCAAGCACAAGATCTTGTTAGGTTGATTGATCAACCATGCGTTGTGCTTTCGACCAGGCGAGTGGTGGACCATCTTCCAAAGTTCGTAGATAAATACTAGTAGCTAAAGTCATGTCTGTAGATATTAAGCGTCACTCGAATACAGGTATCACCGCCATAGCGAAACCAAGACCTCTACGTAGCCAACCGAGCCGGTAGCAATGTCTGGTTCGGACCAATCACTGGGCGAAAGCCTCCGCAAGGAACTGCTCGGTCTGCTTCTTATGGATCGTCTTGCTGCCGGTGGCGACAGAGCCTGTAGGCTCACGGCCGGCGTAGAGCGGGTACTTGCCCTTGTGGTGCACCGTCTCGTTCGCCGCGGTCTGGATGCGAGGTCCCACGTATGTCCAAGCACCGTTGTTAAGCGGCTCCTCCTGGCACCAGACGATGTCCGCGTTGGGGTACTTGTCGAGGTGGGGAGTAATCTAGAGCACCAGGTGGTGAGCATGGTAACGTGCATGTCAGAGAGGGGAAACTTACCAGGTCATACGGGAAGGGAGAGATCTGCTCGACACGGCTGATTGCGACATCATTGATACCCTTGTCCTCACGCTCCTGGAGAAGAGTGTGGTAGACCTGACCCGTGCACAGGACGTGTCGGCGGACGTTCTCCGGAGCAACCATGGTCTCTGGATGAGACTCAGGGAGGTAGCGCTGGAAGTGGGTCTCGCTAACCATCTCCGAGAGATCGGAGCGGGCCTTGGGATGACGGAGGAGGGACTTGGAGAAGAAGACAATGAGAGGCTTGCGGAAGCCACGGTGGATCTGGCGGCGGAGGACATGGAACTGCGAAAGAACGTCAACCTGGAGAATCTATGATGCAAACCGACCAGTGACACTTACGTAGTTGGCAGGCGTGGTGGGGTAGACGATTTGCATGTTGCAGTCCTGGTGTTGACGCTCAATCTTTTCCGGCGAGGGGTAAATGTGCGGATGGTCGTCGCAGAGCTGGAGGAAGCGCTCGATGCGTCCGCTCGAGTGCTCGGGACCCTGGCCGTCGAAACCGTGGGGCATGCTCATGACGAGACCAGTGCGCTGGAGCCACTTGCGCTCACCCGATGCGATGAACTGGTCAATGATGCACTGCGCGTTGTTGGCGAAGTCACCAAACTGCGCCTCCCAGATCGTCAACGCATCGGGCGATACAAGGGAGTACCCGAGCTCGAAGCCGAGCGCGCCAAACTCAGATAGAGAGGAGTTGCAGACGACGAAGCGAGCCTGGTTCTGACCGAGGTCGTTGAGAGGGATGTACTGCGCTTCAGTCTCTTGGTCGTGGATGACGGCGTGACGCTGAGAGAAGGTTCCACGCTCAACATCCTGGCCGGAGACACGAACGTGGATGTCCTCGAGAGCAAGCGAACCGAAGGCGAGCGCCTCAGCAGTGGCCCAATCGATGTTTGTGCCCTCTTCAATGGTCTTGCCACGGGTGGTGAGGATACGAGCAAGGTTCCTGTGGGGCTTGAAACCAGGGGGGAAGGAAGAGATGGCCTTGCCGATGTGCTTGAGCGTTGCCTCGTCCTTGCCAGTGTGGCGGGTGGGGAGAGTCTTCTCTGCGAGCTCCTTAGGGGAAGGGAAACCGGGCCAGGTGGCAGAAAGCCACTCTTTGCTCGAAGGGACGTAGTCTTTCGCACCAGCGGCCGCCTTCTCGAGCATCCCCCATACCCACTTCCTGTGGTCTTCAATGTCCTTCTCCGTGAAGGTGCCACGGCCGACGAGGAACTGAGTGTACTTCGTCAGAGCGGTCGGCTGCTTCTCGATGGCCTTGTACATGCGCGGCTGCGTAAAGCTCGGCTGATCGGTCTCATTGTGGCCGTAGCGGCGGTAGCAAACGATGTCGATAATAACATCCTTCTTCCACTTCGCGCGCCAGTCAGCAGCAAGCTGGCAGACAAAGTTGACCGCCTCGACGTTGTCTCCGTTCACATGGAAGATGGGGGCGTCGATAGCCTTGGCGATATCGGAGGGATAGGGAGTAGAACGCGAGAAGCGAGGATCGGTAGTGAATCCGATCTGATTGTTGACAATGACGTGGATGGTTCCGCCGGTACCGTAGTTGGTGAGGTTGTGGAAGCCCATCGTCTCGTAGACAACACCCTGACCGGAGAAAGCAGCATCACCGTGGAGAAGGAGTCCCATGGCGGTGTTGTGGTTCGCCTCGTCATGCTCGAAGTGCTGAAGAGCACGAGTTTTACCGAGCACAACAGGATCCTCAGCCTCGAGATGGGACGGGTTCGCCACGAGCGAGAGCGCGACCTTCTTGCCGGAGGGAGTTGGGCGAACATAGTTGGCGCCAAGGTGGTACTTGACGTCACCGGCGGGGAAGTCATCGTCTTCGGCAGTGCCAGAAAACTCGTTCAGGATGGCCTCGATGGGTTTCCTGATAACGTTGGCGAGAACGTTGAGACGACCGCGGTGAGGCATACCGATGGTGATGTGCTTGACGCCATGCTCGACGGAACGGTCAATGAGAGCCTTCATACCGGGAATGAGCGACTCGCAACCCTCCAGACCGAAACGCTTCTCGTTGGGGAACTTGCTGGCGACGAACTTCTCGAACGACTCCGACCAGATGAGGCGGTCCAAAACCATGCGCTTCTCCTCCACAGTGTAGTTCCAGGGTTTGGGGACCTCGACGCGCTCTCGGATCCAGTCACACTGCTCCTTGTCGGGGATGTGCACGTACTGGAAGCCGACCGCACCGCCTGCATCCACGTCGGTTATCGAGTGTCACGCCTGCATACGAACAGAGCACTCACAGTAAAGACGCTTGCAGAGGTTGATGATGTCGCCGAGTGACATCGTGTTCCTGTCCTCAGTGGCGAAGTGAGGGAGGATACCAGGCCCAAGGGTGATCTGCTTTTCGAGGTCGCGCTCGGTGAAGCCATACCGACTGAGCTCAAGCTCGGGAGGGTGCACGGGGTTCAGGTCGGGGTCAAGGATGCCGAGGGGATCAAGCTGGGCGATGTGGTGACCACGGACTTGGTAGGCGCGAACAAGGAGTTGGACCTGCAGAGTTGGCACGGATAGGTCAACCGTTGCGCTTCACCACGCAGAATACGGCAAGCGAGGTGGATCACCCCTGGTGCCGAGGCGACCGCGAGCCCTAACCGACACGCGTGCAGAGTCGGGACGCACCTTCAAGTGGTCGTCGAGCTCAGCCCCACCGCTCGCGTGGAGTGCAGGAGCGCCGTCGGCAGGAGCGACCGCGGGTGGGGGCTGGAACGCCTTGTAGCTGGGGAGACCCTTGTCCATGCCGGAGAAGTAGACATCCCAGGACGCGTGCACAGCCTTGGGATCCTGCCTCCAGAGCCTGTACATCTCCTCGATGTAGTACGTGTTCGTTCCGTTCGCGAAGGGGTCGTTGGGCGACGGCGGGGCGGCGGACGCGAGCCCGCGCGAGACGTAGCGGAAGCGCGACCCGTGCAGGGCCTGCACGACACGGGGGAGACGAGCGATCCTGTGCATCGTCGGTGGGGGTGGTGGGGGGAAGAAGGGGGTAGAGGAAAAGGCGTGGCTCGCGACGAGGCGGGAGGTGAGGGTGATGACGAGTGGACACCGTTTTTGGGAGTTTGGCGTTCGGTGCGCAGACGGCCGACGCGCTCATTGGCTCGTCGGACGTCCAGTGCGCGCTCGATGCTCCGTCCCCGTCCGTCATCTGTCTGTCCTCCTCCTCCTCGGCCGAATCGCGGCCTTGCGATTCAACATGCCGGGATCTGATGCTCGCCGATGTCCGACGCGCGCGCAGGGAGAAAGTTCTCGCGCTGACGTCGTTCTCCAATCCTGCCTTGCTGATAGTTCCGACCATGATATTGGCAAACATGGTTGTCGAATTCCGAACACAGCACGGGTGCCGCTGCGGCGCCCAAATAACGGAGCAGAAACCCATAAGCTAACGATACAGTGGACTGTGTACCCACTGTATAACACCTGCCAGTCGTCTGAGCCGCCAGACGTAGCATACAAAAACCATCTCATCTCCTTGCGTCTCTCTTGTACTTCCGTCTTCCTGCTTCTTGCCCTTCGACTACGGCTACCTAATGCGCGACCCCAGCTGCTGGCACTGCCGTTCGATCGAGTAGAGCTCGACGTCGAACAACGACCCGCCTGACTCTTCGTCCGACGTGTGCTCCCTCCCCCTCACGTCCGAGTCCATGCCAATGCCTCGCGACCCGAGCGGGCCTCGTGTCCTTCGAGCGCGTGCTGGGAGCGCAGTGAGGTATGGGGCGTCCGTTTCAGGACTGTACTGCTGGCGAGGGGTGATGGGTGATGGAGGACCGGGCACGCAGAAGACTTGGGAGGGTAGGCAATGCCGTTGATGGGAGGAACCACGTCCCAGTCAAGGTCGGAGTCTCCGCCTTGACGGGCGTCGGCGTAGGCCTTCAAGTTGAGGATGAGCCGAGACCCTGCGATGTTGACCATCGCCAGGGCGAAGCTATTCGGTAAAAGGAAGTGTGTTAGTCAATCAGACAAACGAATGACAGGAATGGAGACGCACTAGCGAGCGAGGCCAAGTAGATCCGGGCCGGCCAAGGCCCAGACCATGAGCGAAAGAGGGAGCAGAATGTTACAGCAACGAAGTACAACATGCCTGGAGAATGGGCAGATCAATCCCACCACGTCGTGGTCAGGCAACGTCGGGCACATACCATCACGATACAAAAGGAGTGAGAGAGAGGTCAGCGAATGGCGCTGCCTATGGTGGTACATTGCAACAACAGTGAGTCCAAAGAGGAGTGTCTCGAAGACGACGCTTGGAAGCCATATGGACCAGATGTAATCCGGAACCTGCGAGTATCGCGCCTCAGCTCAAACCAACGGACGTCAGATGCGCGAAAGATAGCTTACACTACCGACACAAGCGTGGTGGTAAGGCTGAAGGGTTGCTGTTAACAAACATGTGTCAGAGAACGTGGAGTGATACGGCGGTAGGAGGCGTACAAATGATGGGTATCAAAGAGGCTGTAGTGATGGCCGCAGAGACCAGGAAGTTGAGGGACCCCACAATCCACAGTAGTCGTAAGATCCACTGGTGACCATTGTAGATGGCGTACACTCTCCAGGCAACGATTGCTATGCAAAGGAAAGCGATGAGCGACATCGAGAAATACCAGAATGATGCTACTCACCGTGAACAGAGATGAAAGATGTGATCGTCAGGTAACTTTGAATCACCGTCCAGACTTTGCAGAACTATCAAACATCGTCAAATCACATTGACAGTGGAAGGAGAAGACGCGGGTACCGTCAGCAGATGAGAAACGTCTCCAAATGTCTCTGAGCGGGTAATGAGTTGATGATGGGACGCGCACTCGTCTGATACACTCACCAAAGATATCCAGAGCCAACATCATCGGTCTGTGGGAAATCGTTATCAATCACATGGGTGAAACATCTCCGGAACTGGCTGCTCACACAATGTAGCGATTCTGTGCCGAACGAAAGCACTGGGGTCAAAAAAAGCAGCGATAACAATGGACTAAGACGTACAAGGAGAAATATTGTAGAGACGATACCCTTGCGGGCGCGCCAAATCAAATGAATCTAGTGCTGGACTGTTAGGGAGTGTTCCTGCAAGACAGGTTCGGGGTGCGAACCTCATCGGTGAACTGGGCATCTCTGATGAGCGAATGACTTAGCGCGTGGACAAAGGAGAACACACCGTGATAAAATGGTCATAGAGTAGGGCGGTAAACCCAACGACTAAAGAACCCAGTAAGAGTTCAATCCCTTACACAAGGTCGCGCTCAATACTCCACTCACGGGTCATGACGCTACCCCAGACGAACGCATCAGCACATGTGCGTGCATGGGGCAACGGATAAACTCACTTGACTGCCGTCCCATGAACAAGGAGCGTCTCCAGGGGCTCGTTGAACGGGGTGGGGATGCTGAGGGTGGCAGAGGCGATGGACATGGCGCCAGGGTCAACAGGGGAGCATCCGACCCGGGCGAGTCGTGTATGCCCAGGGGCGCAGAGCGCAGAGCGGGAAGCGGGACGGAAGGATGTGAGGGCGCACGGCGGGGAACTCGTCCAGATGGCCGTGCCCGCGCGCATTGTACTTATGCGCTCAATCTGCGCTCGCGCACGCGCGTGCGCGGCGACGGGTCGCGACAGCTGCCTATCGCGCGTAACCGTCCACGGGTCCGAGACTGAGATTGGACTGCAGATGGGAGCCACCGCCCAAGGCCCCCGGCGACGGACGCGCGGAAGTAGGCAGTGCGGTGCACCGCGCGAAAGGTTCGAGCTGGCCATCTGGCCATCGTCTCATACGCACACGCTTCTTCGCCAACTGGAGCCTTCGAATCGAAAGCTGCTAAGCCAGGATGAGATGAAATCGAGTCCCATGAAAGGCGCATATGAACGCCCCAGCGCGGAAGTAAATGATGCCCGCTGGCACAGCTCCGGGGCTCGAGGCCCGGGATGCGCCAAACGGATCCACACGCACCGATGGCCCAGCCGGATATGCGTTGTTTGTGACCCTCAAAGGAGGACTAGTCCCACTCGCTGATTGTTCACCGCGAAATTTGAGGGCCTCGAGGCCGCACCGCAGCCTTACGCGGGAAGAAGACAAAAGATCCGGATGAGGGTTTTCGCAACTTTCTTGCTCCGCAGGAGTGCCACATTTCGCCCAAGGAACCTTGGAGACCTTGGGGGAATTCATCACCATCGGATGAAGATCACGCGGACGTGCGAGCTGGCGCATGCGCGTGCAGCGATAGAAGGCGATGGCAGAGGCGCTGACGTGAGACGAACAGCAAGAATAGCGCAAGTGAGACCTGAGAGAGAGAGCGTGTATGACACCCAGCAGCTTCGAGCCTTGGGGTATGGCAAGGAAACGGTGACCGTCGCTCTCGGCAACGTAGAAGAGGCACCAGGCGACGAACATCGCCCCCTGCGTCACGACTCACTGGGGACGGGAGCGCCAGTCCAGGGCGCCCCGGCCTTGTCGCTCACCACTCGCGAGTCGATGCTGGCGTCAGTGGTCTGCTTGACCCAGTATGGCACTTCCCGGCAGCCCCGATCCTCCCTCCCGCACCTTGCCCTCAGTATGGACGTCAATCGACGGCGGACATGTCATGCAGGAGGCCCAGGATGCTCTCGAGGCTTACAAGAAGAAGGACGGCAGTAAAGGTGCGCGTACTACCATCGTGTGCCGCTTCTGGGGCTCACCTCTGCGTCTCTTATGTGTTCTTCTTCTACATCGTCGTCCCCACACGTCCTTCAATGCCATTGTGTACACCTTCATCTCGTGATCCGGTGCTTTTTGCCGCTTCACAGTCGTTGTCCGCTTCAAGGCCGTTGGCAATGCCCCGATTATGAAGCAGAACTTCTACAAGATCACTGCATCGAACCGCTTTCAAGCCGTCATTCAGTTCTTGCGTAAGGAACTTGGTTGGAAACAGGGAGACCCTCTGGTGCATAGGCGTTTCCGGCCACTGCTTGCAGTTCACCATGTTGTCGTCTTCTCATCACGATGCTCTCGCAGTTCACATACATCAACCTCGCCTTCTCCCCCGCACCGGACGACACGGTCGCCAATCTCTTCAAGGTGGGTCACTTCCGACGCGCTTCTGCGCCTCTGCCTGAGACACCCTCCGTAGTCCTTCTCGACCGAAGGCCACCTAATAGTGAACTACAGGTGCGCAGATGGTCGCGGTACCTGGTTCATTTCGCTCATCATTCCCCCGCTATCACAGTACCACCGCAGCCTGGGGTTGATCACCCCGGGCTTATTGTCATTTCAGCGCCCATCTCGACTCGCAATTCACGCCTATTGTACTGCTACTGCTGTCATGACCTGGGATCACAAGTGTAATTCGATCAACTTCGCCTTCAATCTCATCAGGATCGACTGCTGAATCTCGCTATCAGTTGGATGTGCCCATGACTTTGCTGCACCACCGACTTCGCAAATATCTGTTCACTAGCCGATTTCTCGGTTCTCAGTAGCCCTAGAACATAACATCTATGTGTACAAAGCAGAGCACGAACGCGCAGGCAGTATATATGCGTACAGGGATATCCAAAGACCCTTCTCTATCTGCAGTCATCTCCAACACTCAAGTACTCATGTAGTGCCATAACTCGCCCACCGCCCCTTTCTAGGCGACGGCTTGAGCGGAATGCCTTCGTCCACGTCTGCGAGCGCATTGAAGTTGACCATCACGTCCTCTTCCCCTTCGTCCTCGCCATCCCGCAACTCCAGGTCCTCGTACGCCCACCGCACGAGCACGCTCTCGCCGACGCGCCAGCGCGCCAGACGCGGGTGCTTCTTCACGAATCGCGACACCGCCCGGCGTACCCTGGTTGGGGGGCGCCACGCGAGGTACACAAGCACAACGAGCGCGGTTGCCGATGAGAGAATAAGGACCATGGTGCGTCTTGCGGACTGTCGGTCGAGGCGGCCGTCTTCGAAGAGCTCGTCAGGGGACGAGCCAGGTGGGGGCGCCGGGTCATCCTCTCGGTCTTCGTCTGGTGGCGGGGGAGCATTATCCTCTGGAGGAGTCGAGGAGTCCTTGTCCTTGTCCTCGTCTTTGCCCTTGCTGGGAGAAGCCTCAACCCACTTCGGACAGGCATGCTTGGTGTGCCAGTTGAACGTGTGTGTGCCATTCCATGTCCACGCAAATGTGGGAACAGAAGGCTATGGGAGGTGTCAACTTTGATTTAGCCATAAGTGAGCGTGGAACTTGCCTCTTCTACGTTCGTGTCGCAGATGAACTGAAAATCGGCCATTTGCTGGCCATATGCGTGATATCCGCCGTGCAGGCGGACGTGTAAAGCTCGTACTGACGCCATCCCCAAGTTAGACAACACGAACAATTGTCAGACGAAGCTGCGCACTGTTCTTGTCCGCTCGCCAAGGGGTATACTGAGCGGTGATGTTGACACCCGGGCGGTATTCAGTTACGTTCGAAAGTTTCATAGTACCCGCGACGGGAGTGACTTCTTGGACGCGCCATCCTTCATCTTCATGCCGCGGGCGGCGATTAGAAACTGCGCAGCGCAACGATCAGCGATAATTCCAAAGACGAATCTAGGGAATTGACACGCACTGGTTCCACAAATCCAGGTCCCTGGAGGACACTAGAAAGGATTAGCGTAAGTACGTCGCAACCTGGACATATAATAATGCACGGCAAGCACACAGGTACCAGTCCACTGACGGGACCGAGGAACGGAACGGCGCACAAATGCCTCATCGTATGCAACTCCACTCCCATCCCGTTATCCTGCAGCACCCTCTTAAACACCTCTGCACCAGAAGGAGACTGCGTACCTGTTCGTGTCCGGGAACACCGTCCTGCTTCTCTAGAGGCGCCTTAAGATCGATACTATACACTGTCTTGGTGACAGTGGGGTCCGTCTTCCGCATCGTCTCCACTCTCCAGCCGCCTTCGTTCCCTGAAATGACCGGGCACAGGTCGAAACCCATGTTTCCGAGCTTGAATGCGCACTGCTCTACGAGGCTCTTCAGGTGGATGTGATTGGACGTTCCCGGGGGAGGTGGGTCCGCAGCTTGCACGGCCACAAGGGCGAGGAGTGGGTATACGAGGGCAAGCGCGGCGGCCATCAGGGTATGGAGGTGCGGCGGCGACATGGCGAACAGCGGGAGAGCGCAGGTATCGCAGCGCAGGCTGGTGGAACACGGCGTGGTGGTGTATATGGGGTGCGGCTCAAGCAGGGTGCAAGGCGCTGGAAGGCGTCATGGAGTGCTGCCGATACTTACATTGGGCGCGACTGGCTCCTCCGCCGTGGAGCGTGTACGAGGAAGGGTCACCGGACCGTATTCCTAGCCGGAAGGAGCAGCGGAACTCCCGTCCGCGGCTTCGATGAGGGCAGTGTACGCGACCATTCCGGTTTGTGCTATGTACGCGCTCGGCTGCATGCCCCAGGCGTGTGCGAAGAGGGAGCTTGGGCGGGTTGAGCTCCAGATGGGGGCGGAAAGCAGGATCGTCGGGAGTGGGCGCCAGTGTTGCCGAGGCAGGAGTTCGGCAGCATCTCGAGCTCGCCTCCGGACCGTCCCATGTTGATCTCAAAGCCAAGACTCAGAAGCTCGCCGACTGACCACAGCGACACAACCGTCCGCCACTCCTGGCCTTCCACCACCTTACCTCTCATAGCTCGAACTCGCGCACTTAGCCCAACTGCTGCACATCTTCGCGACCTCGTTTCCCGTTCTCATCTTATCTGGGGGACAATCTAGCTAGAAGGCAAGACCTCGATACAGCGGTCCTCCACGATGCCCTGCGTTATCATACTGGGCTGCCTTGCGTTACTCGGCTTCTGCGCTCTGGTCTCGGCCGGCATCTATCCAACAACCCCCTGGACAGGTTCAAGCTTTACCGCGGGGCGGATTGAAACCGTACGCTGGCGTGACGACAACACCTGGCCAGCCTTGGAGGAAATGGGGGTTGTAGATGTCCGTCTACACATTGGCGAGGTGAGGCCTACATTGTTTAGCTCCAAGCTTCAGTTCGCCTACCTATTCCCTGTCAAGATAAGTCTCGGCATCTTGGCCGAACACGTCGCCCCAACCAACTTCTCGGCTGAGATATGGATATCTCCGGCGTGGGGGCACAACGGTTCGGACTAGTGAGTCGCTCTCGTGTTGGTGACAATGCGTCCGTCTCAAACGGTCGTCTCGTTCAGCCATCTACGTTTCGTATGCAAGGAACCCAAAGTCACGTTCTACAGCGCCGACTTCACAATCACGGGCATGTCCACCGACCCCCCGTATGAAGGCCCAACGATCGAAGATCACAATGACACTGCACTCGGTGTTGTGTACATCACCCCTCAGCCCACGCCCGTTCTCCCTCGTACCACTACCGAGCCTTCCGCGACTCCCTCAGAGGAATCTCTTGCGCGTTGGAAGCTGCCTCTGGATTCCCCGAATGGAGCCGCCTCTAGTGGTCTGCGCACACGTCCCACTGCCGCCGTCGCACGTCTTCAGTTCCGCATCCTGTATATCTTCTGGCCGACTGCCATGGGCCTTTCCATGGCGCTGTGACAAGAATTCGTCCGTCTCCGTGTATTCCTGTGTCTATACCTTCTCGACAATGTGTATCTCTCGTCGTCCATCTTACGAAGCTTGTACTGTGTCCGAACCAATGCCCTTCAGCTGTCTCCCGTCCAGAGGACGTCAACACTTGTATGCAGATGTATATTATCCACAAATATCATTCTACTTCCGGGACTACGCATGGACGCACTATGACTGATGGCAAGCGAGATGGTGACTTGTACAATGTGACAGATTGTTCCTCGTTTTGCTCTCCTAGATGAAGACGGCGACTCATCGCACTGATAACTGCCTAGCTAGTATATCGGGCAATTAGCACACGAGGCTCCTAACAGAGATATATACCGTTCGCAGTACCGTCCACCCGTCTTAGCCACACTGCTCATCATAGTTCGTGAGCGAACAAAATTTTTCAAAATGAGGCTCTTGTGCGATCGCAATAAAGTCAGAGAACGATCGTATACGTGAGGCAGTGGAGAATACCGTGCACCATACGGTTGTTGAGAACACCTAAGGGTTGACATAGTTGATTATGAAGTGGTATTGCGAATGAGCGACGACGAGTCAAGGCCACATTGAGTGTGTATATCAACAGAGTCAAGCCTGTTCAGTTCAAGTTCAGTTTCAAAGATACCCTGATCAGAAGGCGCGTGCGAAGAGGCGGTGGTGTATGTCGGTTTCGTTGCAGTGCACAAACGCGAGCGCAGACTTCCATTGACAATGAGTACACACTGCTATGTTGGATGTGCTACCTGCCCGGAATTGAGTCGGACGCAGCACCGGCCGGTTAAGTTGGAGAAAGTTACCGTGGCCGGTTGCATGCGCTCAAATAAAACCAAACAAGTCACTTCAGACGTGTCGGCACTCGGCTCCGACCAGCCCACGCGACGCGTTCAACGTTGACGCGTCTGGCCAGGTTTGGCCCTCCGGTATCCCCGCTCTCTACTGGCATCCGCACTTTCCCAAGTTTCTACAACTCGATGTCATCTGTCGCTGCGGTGGCAGGTTCATCCACACGGCCTTCAGGGCCTCCCGTTGTGGTTCCAGGTGGAGGAAACAACATCATAGTGAACCCATGCCAAGTACGTCTCACCATGAAGTGCCTGTGGTCGTTTTTTTTAGCTCGTACAGCGAGGTAACCCGGTCCTTGAATGCGTGCGGAACGTCGGCAAGGAGTTTGGGGAGATTGTTGCCGATTACCAGGTGGGCAAGACAATGGGTGTCCTTTTCCTCAGGTCAGTGTCATGTCATTTGAGGGTGCTCCTCTGACTCTGCTTCTAGTTTGCGCTATCATAGGCTGCACCCTGAATACATCCACCAACGCATAGAGAAGCTTGGTCGCTCCTATGGGCTTCGCGTCTTGCTATTGATGTGCGATGTGGTTCGTGAGATATTCCAGCTATCGCTTAGCCGTTTCTCATCAGCGTACAGAGCGAACACCAAGAGCCGATCCGTGAACTCACCAAGGCATGAATCCACGCGTATCAGGGTCTTGGAGCTCCGTTTTGACATGAAAACGCCGCAGATCTGTTTGATGAACGAAATCACCGTTATGGTCGCTTGGAAGTAAGCTCTCGCCGCGGATTGGCTTCAAGTACTATCGCTTATGCGACATCCTTAGTGCTGAGGAAGCGGGCTATTACTTGTCAACATACAAGCAGTTTGAGCACAAACCCCCAGATCTCATCAAGGAGCGAGTGGACAAGGATTATCGCTCGGTGTTGCGCACCGCCCTCACTAGCATCAGTAAAGTCAACAAGACAGACGTCGAGACCCTGCGGACTTCCTTCGGGGTGCGGACCTCCCGGTCTCACAGTGACGGTCGCCTAACCACTTCGTTATCCGCCCCAGAGCTTTGCCGCCATCTCCCGCGCGTCGTCGGAACAGCTCCAGAACCTGCCAGGGTTCGGGCAGGTCAAAGCGAGGCGCATACAGGACGCATTCAACCGCCCGTTCCGCAACAGCAGCACCAGTGCTCTCCTGGCTGGAACGCAGCAACAGCGCGCCGGTCAGTGGCCCGCACCGCCCACCGCCGGTAATGCTCCATCCGCTGTGCCCGATCCGGCCGCAGCGGAAACAAGACGCGCACCGAGTCCCGTTCGTCCACCCCCGGCGCCGCGCCTCCGTGCACCGAGCCCGACATGGGACTTCGAGCTCGATCTCAACGCCAGTTCGCCCGAGCCGACCGCGGAGTCGGGGCCTCCACCCGCGCGGAAGCGGGCGCCAAGCCCGGTGTGGGACATCGAGCTGGACCTTAACGGCACCGACGACGACGAGGGCGCTCCGCCCCGGACAGAAAGGGATCGAAAGCGGCCTCGGGAGGGTTCACTTGGCGATTTTGGGCCACCGACCATGCTGGTGAACCATTAATTTGCGGTCGAACGGGCGGTAGGTGATAGACAGCGTCATGTTCAGACCGTCGCCTGACACTCGCATGCCGTTAGCAGACGCAATGCGGCTCCGTCCTTATCAGGGTGGACTAGAGCTGTAGTGGCTCGTTGAACCGGATCGCAGGCGGATATTCCGTTCGTATGGAATCTCCACTTGGCGCAGCAAACATTTGTACCTTCAATTCCAGCTTACTTCTTCGGATCACTTAGGCAGATCTCTGGGATGCATGGTTCAGCCAATCGTGAATCCAGCAACCCGGTGTGAGTTCGGCGTCATCCCACCCTGGCGTTGGATCATTTTTAGAGCTATCGAACGTCACCGCCTCGAAGACATGTCAAATGTGTCAACCGAAGGACTTGAGCGGAAAGAGTGGAGCGCCTCGCGACAAGCGGATGCTGTGTGTCTAGCGGCGCTTTGACAATCGGTGTCTTCGTGGATATATCCCACTACAGGACCCCAGTTCGCTCGTATGATGTGTTGGCAGCCGAATTGACGCCTGCCGTGTTCCTTGCAGACTTTTGAACTGGTTATGGCACTTCATCACCAACGTGCAGCGATTTATTCGTCAGCCGAACAAACGAGATCGGCGTGAACCTGAGACCCCCTCTCGTACGACAACGCGGTGAAGCGCTTTGTTCTTGCAACATCCAGACAATATAATTAAGCCCATACCTTGCGGGGTGTATGAACACATCTGGATAGCCGTAAGGCCATACGGACGACCAATGTCCACTGAGACGAGGAATGCTCTTCAAGCGAGGAAATAAAGTGCTGCTTGCTTGATGGACTCCCAAATAGGGACAGATTTTCGGTGAATCCCCCCTGTGTCACAAACAGTATATTCGCACTAGTGACTACTGTACAAATGCGGACGGTAAATGCATGTAGAACGAGAAAGCAGTCACGGTCGGTCACGCTGGGTGGGCAAGTGAGAGAAGTGCAGTGACGTCATGAGAGCGCCGTTAGTTGAGCAAAGTGCCGTCCAAGCCGGGCGCGATAGCGTCCGATGATCGCCAGAGGCCGCAGTTCAAACAACTCTCCAAGACGCTGCTGCCCGCATCATGCGGGTGGTACTGCGCACGAAGATTACTTACCCAAGACGGCCGACACGCGCTCTTGCCAGTATGCTTGACGGGGCAAGGAATCCGAGATGGAAACGTACCATAGGGGTCACGCCGACGTCCGAGTGATGCTGCCTCAGGGCTACTTCGGAGCCTTCGTGACTCGTGAACAATGGCTAGAGCGTATGCACAAGATCCACAAGGCTTTCTGTATGTGCCATTGGAGTTCTGTGCCTGGAGAGAGATTTGAAGGGGGGCCGCAAGGACATAGGGAGCAGGAGGAGGCAGACGGGGGAAGAAAGCAAACCGCGGGACGCACCATTCGACGTCGCGACAGCTTAAGCTTGGGTCCTTCAGGCCTGGAAAGCTCCGGCTCGGCTTGAGAGTACTCCGAGGCCAACTGTTTGAATGTTTGCAATAGCCCAGTATGTCCGTCACTTCGGATGAAGGTGTGGGCACGGCATCCTGGTTGACGGTTGCGTCTGAGAATAATGCGCGGTGATGCTCGTCCAAGGTGTTTCAGCAGAAGTGGTGAAACTGGCCGATAGTGAGCAGTGCAGAGGATGCGACTTTGCGCATGGACGCGAGGAATGGAGAAGTGGATACCAGACATAACGGCGGATCCAAGATTGCAAGGAGTATGTGCGTTGAAGCGCGCATCGTCCACACGCGCTGGTCACACTGCCCAAGGTTTGCCAATAATCTGTGTATGGTCACACAGCAGACCGACGGTCATGGGTAATTATTCAGTGAGCAAAATTCTCTACACACGGCCAAACGCTCTCTGGATGGATGCACCGAACAGTGTCGGCATGTCGAATGGCTGATCTTCAACTCGTCGCCCATCCGTTGGTGCGATCATGCGCGATGCTGTGAGATCACAGCGTGAGCGTTCTGCCTGCGTGACTGGCAGTGATGGCCAAATATTGTGCGCAGGTCCGAGTATGTAATGAATTACCAGCGAAGGGTTTATGTAACGGTAAGCGGCTCGCTCCAGACGTCGCTGTCACACTAGTCGTTGACTTCTCTATACCAGACTCCCGCCTCAAGGTCCGTCATTCATCGTGGCATTGCTTGTACCGGAAGTCGGAATCGAAGACTTATGATAGGCCGAGGACGGTTTTGGTCATGCTTATCGCTGCCTACGGAACCTAGGTACCCTGGAGATCTAATGCTTCTGCGCCCGGTACCCTGTAGATCAATGCTGACACGGTTCACGTGAAACAGGGGTTCAGGTCATGTCAAGGACTGCATGGTATGTGGACGGGAGAAACGATCGTCTTAGTGAGAACTATTTGTCATTCTCCACTAGCCCATAAGGCTCTACCTGACTTGTTTGGCGGAAGTTCGCTTGGTCCAGACTATCGGCACAGTACGGTTTGTTAATGTTTCGATAGATGCTCCGTCGGACGGAGCATTCCTTTCCCCTTCGCAAAGCACCCGAAAGACGGCTGTTTACGGCACGCACACCTTCCCCACCTTTCCCTTCGTCCGCGTGGGTCCGTGGTGCTCTCCAGTCATTTTCTGACTTCTGACGAAGAGCCCAATTTCAGTTGCACGCCTAGGAACCTCTCCGATGTTCTTCGGGGCCGAACGCTCCAGGCACGCCACATTTCTCAGATTGTGCCGAGCTGACGGCTATTGCATGCGCGGACACAATCAAGGGGACTACCGGTCGTCCACTCTCACGAGGAAGGCATGTATCTGCCCAGAAGCGTACATACGATGTGCTGTACAGGCCACAGCTAGCTGATAGGCTTGGCGTATGTAGCAACCGGACACGTTCCAGAGGGGCTAATCCGAGGCAATCTGACACTTCAAACCGATGCGGTGAACACGGACAACGTTAAAGCCGCCTGATTTTCGCAGCGCTCTGCGTTGGAGTAGAGGAAGCGACCCCACCACCGTGAGGTGACCCATAAAAGCCGCGGCATGGTCAGAGCATATTCTCATCCACCATGTCCAGCATCGCCCTCAGCCCCAACATCTGCTCCGAGCTCCGGGAGCAGGACAAGTACCAAGTATTCACCACCACTCCGACTCTCCTTGTTGAAGAACACAACACCACTGCACGTAATGCCGTCCTCCGAGATGGCAGCGGCGAGACTATCCACGTCCAACTATCCGAGAATGCCATCAGCCTCAGCCGGTGCTGTGATGTGAACTGTCGCAACTTGCGCGCGGGGGCGATCATCAAAGTACATGGCATGCGACGTTTTCCCGTGGCAAGGTGTGTCGAGAGGTGATTCCATGCTCTCCCCAGGTCTGGTATTAATCATTTACTTATAGCCCCGGCACCAGTGGTATCCACGTCTTCGATGCTGTGCTGACCTGTGAACATCTTGAGAAGGCGTCGGGCAGTGGGAACCGTTCTCTTTTGCTTCACCCGTACTGTCTTGTTGATAGACATCCAGATCTTCAAGGTCAAGTCAACTTCGAGCGCGTTCAGGTAGAGACCGCCAGATCCGCAACGCAAGCCCTCATCCAAACGATCAACAACAAGCTAGAAGAGCTTAATTTCCCGAATTACCCTGCTGGATACATTGCCGAGTTCGCTATGAAGGTCGAAGAGATGAGAGAAGCAGGTGTGTTCTATGCATCTAAACCGTCTAGTAGCATCTACTCAGAGAAAAAAATTGCGGCACCGAAGGCCCGAAATAGATTCTCACTTGACCGTGACCGCTCAGTTGAATGTATTAGGTCCTTTTGATATCGAATACATGGTGATATCAAGTAGTCCGTGCTATCGGCCAGTGTACCAACGTTCCGTGCCACATTGCGCCACCAGGGGGGCGCCGGGGTATCCCAGTAGCCGGCGCATTCCTACTATGCGCCCCTTCTCTTTCTTCTTCTGATGAACACGATCCATTCACTGACAAACGAGACACAGAAGTATTCGGGCAGGACTGGTGGTTCTGCATACGGTTGCACGGTTGTAGAACGCCGCTCTCCGCATGGGAATGTGGTTTAAGAGAACGCCCATATTACACCTCTCCGCCGACGGACCAGTCTGCCCTCCCGTGGCTCTTGAAGCCGCCGGCTCTCGAGGATGCAGATAAATATGCATACCTCGAACCGGGACTCGACACTCATTCAGTCTTCCCTCGTCTTCAAGATGGCCCAGCCTCCCTCCCCGACAAGCATCTGCTCCCGCCTCATGAACGACGCCGACACGGATGTTCTGAAGGAGTGCCCGGAAGTGGTGTTGTGCGACATTGTGCGACATGACCCCGTCTTCGAGCTCCATGACTTGAGACTCGCCTACCACGTCCGGGTCACCGATGGCGTCCCCGGCTCAGTCGTTGCCATCGAACTCACAGAAGACCTCAAAGTGAACGGGAAGGTGTACGACTATCAAGATGCCCCGCTCAACAGCGGCACCCTCATCCTTCTTGAGAAAATCGTCCGTGTCCCTCACCCGACGACCCCCGGAGTCAAGTGAGTGCTTTGTGCGTGGAATGCATGTGATTCGCTTGCTAAAATGCGTAACAATTTTATTAGCGCGATCGTAGTTAGCTCCCTCCAGACACCTACGGAAATAAGAATGAGCTTTGAACGCGATAGTATCGCCCAAGAAGACATCGACCAAGGTGACCTTCTTTTCTTGTACTTATGTCTTGTAGTGCTGATTGCATTGTCCCTCCCTGCTATCTCGGCTTGACATTGTACGGGGCGAGCGTGTTGCAGCTCAAGCGCAAGCGAGGCTTGCAGAAAACGTAGAGAGGCATATTAAGGATGACCCCGAGTACTTCAAGCTCATCATGGACTCGATTGAGGGGATGGATACGCTCTCGCGCCAGTGAGTGCAATGGTTAGATTGGGGTCGAGCGAGGTGAACTGCGTCTCGGAGAAGTGCAGCACGAGAATGGTGGCATGTAGCAATCCCGGTCTCGGAACGGATCATTACATTTTTGTACAACTTACTGGTCTGGTCCCATTTTTCATCCACAACATATGTCAGTTCCCACCAATCTCCGAACTCCTCGGAAGGTGGACGCGGCCGCGGGGCGCTATGGTGCTTAGTACGCGCGCGTCGAGTTCACAAGGTTAGAGTCGACGCGGGTGTGCCTTCTTCAGTGGATTGCTACGAGCGTGTGGCGTTTGACTTCCCCTCTCGTTGTCGCCGTTCGTGAGACCTTCTGTAAATCGTGCCTCACAGTGCACAATCCTGCTCAGACGAACACAGATTAGATTGGCGCGCGTCAAGGCCAGTGCCAGCGAAGAACTGGCGCCCAATGGGTCTCCTCAGTCAAAACATCCTTCTGTATCGGTTTCGGACTGTCGGAAACTCGCTGCCAGAATGGTGCGTGGCTGATATGAGATTATTTCGCACTGGACACAGCCTGTGACAATGATGTCAGATACCTGCGTCCTGCCGTGGGTGAATGTGTTCCTGTGCGGTTGCGCAAATCTGACGTCCGGCTCCCACTGCAGACCGCTTTGTATTTTGCCCGAAGCTATGGCACGACAATCACGTCAAGGCCAGAAGGAGCTCTGTGGAGGTGCACACACGCGTGCTTGTCGTCCCCGCTTGGACCGGGCGCGCCTGTGCGTTGTGTGGAAGACATCCATCTCGTGACCAACCCTCGATGGCGACCGAAACTCCGTCGGCATGCCCACTGCGGCCCAAAATCTACTCCGCTCGTGCCCGAGGCTGCGTGGCGAACATACTTTGTAGGTTCAGGTGCACACAAACACTTCTTTCGGAACAAGCTGACGCTTTGTGCCTAGCGCAGATGTGAGGCACCACCTCAGATCTTGAGTGACGTACCACCCAAACGCTGTCCGCAGCCGCACGCGACAGTGCAGCCCGTTGGGACGCAAGTTTCGGATACATGAAACTCCCCTTCGCCAACCGCATACGGTTCCGATGATGGAAGACGGGACCGCCCTCTCAGGCTTCTGCCAGGTGCCCTGCGGCGAGTCCCATCGACGACACTGTACGTCACACGGACACCTGCTGGTGCGCTACCACTAGAGGCTACCACGAACAAGGATACTGGATGCTGGCCATCGCGCGCTGTTGCCGCCTGTGCCGGGAGGATGCCGTTAGGGCATGGCCCGCAAGTGGGGATGAAACGATGCCCGCTGTGGTAAGGTGGGTGTAGAGCACTTGGGGCTGGGGCGGTCTGTTGCCAACGCTGGTCCGACGAGGGCTCGGGACGGTACACCTCTCGGGGAGGACGAGAGAGAGGTATATATGACCTCCATGGCGGACGGTTGACGACAAGCTACTTCCTCGCTCTCACCAGAAGAAAAGCAGCGGTTCACCGAATCCGAAACACACACCCCCACTCGACTACTTCGACGATATGTCTGGCGAACAAATCACAGGCATCGTCAGGTCTTTCAGCAGGCCGGCTCAGGCGTACTACCTCGTCTCGCTACAGCACGGATGCAAACTGATCAAGGTCGCGCTCACCCACGACTTTGACGTCGATGGGGACGGCAACAGGGACGTCGCGGTAATATTGGGGAGTGGTCAGATGATCACCCTGCGTAATAAGACCGGTACAATCCAAGACGGGTGAGTGTCTATGGCTTGTTGCGAGTTTGACACGGTTCAGGAATATTTATACAGTGCTGGGAATCACTGTGACCTCTTCAAGAATGTTGAGACAGAGCTCATGCAGAGAAGCGTCACTGATGAGGAAACAGGTGGGCTGTTTGAGATCGAAGTCTCCATCCTCAAGTTCTGATAACCAATATCCACAGTTACTATGGAGCCGTACCGTCGGCAGTCATAGTGATTTTTGGTCGATTCGAGCTCATCATGTGAGGATCTCGGCAAGCCGCGAGTGACTACGCAGGCTGATGTTCATCATTGCGTTCAACAGCCTTTACAACATTCGAACAGTCTACTCTAGTCACGCTATTGTATGGTCAGATAATCTCGGCGTAGCCTCAGGATTCGGAGCGGAATCTACCGGCGGGTAATGCGGAGCTTCATCTATACTTGACGTAGCCATATGTATGCGAAACACCTCGGCCCTTGCATGCAATAATCGAATCTGTCAAGCCTGGACCGGTTATCATAGTCTGCCCATCTCGGCACAGCGTACAAGATTCAGGGTCAGGATCCAGTGCTCGGAAGCACAGCAAAGCCCATCACGGTTCGGGACTGTGGGGACTGGGGCTTCTCGTACGCCTCGCATCTGACGAGCGTGGGCGAGTACACTGATATTACATTCACATACAACATTCGTGTGTCCTTACTTCTCCGTGCGTGATCATACGTCTTCTTCACTTGGCCTCTACGAACGCGCGGTGGACGACGAGCTGCCCCTGGCCGCCCGCAGACAGCCGGATCTCCTGCCCGGCGCCCACAAAGAAGACATCTCCCTCCGAGACGTTCATGCCATCACGTCCGCCCCACACTACCGTACCCGTCCCCTCCGTGACGATGGCGATGCTCGGGCCTGCTACGGACGGATGCGCCTCCGCCTCGCCCGCGGGCAAGACTGTGCGGACGACGGAGAACTCCGGGATCGGCGGATCGTAGAGTGTGCTTCGCGCGGCGGACGCGAACGAGCGGGGCGCGACGACGTGCTTGCTTGGCGGCGCGGCGTTGTATGTCAGGCCCGCGACGAGGTTCGGGACGTCGCGCAGCTTGGGGGTGAGGCCGGCGCGGATGACATTGTCGGACGTCGCCATGCACTCGACGATGTCTGCGATCCAGGAAGCGCGTCAGTCCATGGTCGTCTGCTGAGGGAGTGGCTGTGCGCGCACCTCCAGAGACGTAGGCGTGAGGCTCTCCCGCGGCGAGGAAAATGGCCTCGCCGGGCTTCAGGGTCATGTGGTTGAGCATGAACGCGCAGAAGACGCCGATGTCGGCCGGGAACTGGCTGTCGAGCGTCACGACGAGCTCCTTCACCGTTTCCTCCGTCGCGTCCACTTCACCGCCCTTATAGCGTGCGACGAGTCTCCTAAGCTCAGGCTGGAACACGTCTGCTTCGGCCGTCATCACTGCGGAGAACATGTCCCGCAGCGCCTGCTTCTCTGCGGGCCCGATGGGGTTTGCGGACTCGGCGACGGAAATGAAGTTATCGCGGATGGCTTGAGGGATAAGCTCCGCGAACTCGGGTGTGCTCCGGAGGAATGCCGCAATATCAGGAAGGGGCCTGAATCCACACAAAGCCTGGAACGGTGTGAGCGCGAGCGCCATCTCAGGTTTGTGGTTGGCGTCTGCAGGCAGGACCTCGTCAGGCTGGGGACCCCAAACACGACGCGGGCGATAGCGGATTGAAGTGTGACGCACCCTTGTACACGTCTGGCCTCTCCGCATGCAGCTTCTCTGCCATTGCCTTGTCCGGATGGGTCTGAATGCTGAGTGCCTTCCCGATCGCAAGGATCTTGTAGAGAAACGGCAGGTTTCCCTCCGCAGCGCCCTCCGCCTTGAATCGTCCCAGGACCGCCGGACCGATGAGTTCAGGGTGCGCGGCAAGGTACTCTGACAGCTTCTGCTGGGACTCAGAGCCCGCGAGGCGCGACGGGGAGGTGTGGTGCGTGCCCATCCAAAGCTACGCGAATCATCGCGGAGGAGACGTCTGACAGATCGGCGCCGCGGTCGTGCAGCCATATACCACTGCGAGACTCACTTCCGCGTATGGTCTGCTCTCATCTAGCCTGAAGTCGGGGAGCTTGCATCCCGCCGCATACTGCGCGACCTTGGACGAGAGGCCGATCTTGCCCCAGTCGTACTGCTGCGTGGTAGGAAGGATCTTGAACACCGTAGCCATCGTGATGGGAGCAGCAGGAGCGATGACGGGAGTCGAGAAGATGGTCACCGTTGTGAACAAGGACGAGCAGTTCAAGTCGCAGCTTGCGGGGGCGCAGACCGCCTCGTCCGGGCCGGTGACATCGTTGCTTCTGCACACGCATCGATGCGCTCCCTCAGGGTTTCCGCCGCAACTTCAGTCTGCCGTTAAGTATGCCTGGGCCGCCACTAATTACCCGCCATCGTCAGACCACACTAGAAGGGCGAAGATAACGTGAATGTCCATGAACATTGGTCCAAAATTACTAGTACTGGTAAGAAGCCTGAGAGAGAATTGATGTGATCTAGGAATACCATCCGTATGGTATTCGACCTATATCGCAACAGGTCCGTGCCCCCTCATATGCAACTCCACGCCCTCCTGCGCGTAAGGTAGTCTCTGATGAACCCGCCCTGATGAAAAATTGGGTGGCTCCACTCCCCGGGAAACAGTATGTCTCGGCTTCTCGATGACAGGCCTCTGGGCTTGTGTCTCCTCAGAGGCTACCCGCGCCGCGCCGTCCGCTGCTGCGGTCGCAGCGGTGGCATCTCCTATACCAGCGCGCGTCCCCCAGCCAGTCTAGACGTGACCGGGGTGCTTCAGCTATCGGCGTTGAAATGAGAGTACGAAAGATGACTGACCTCGTGGAGTGTGAAGAGAGCGTAAATTTTCATGACGGCGAAATAATAGCCGAAGAGGATGAAGGCGGGGAGGTAAATCACATCCTGCGGGCGATGCCAGAGATGGGGCAGGAGCTTGAAGGCGCGAGTCACCAGCAGCCAGACGAGGTAACTGACGAGCACATTCCTAGTGACCGTAATCAGTCGGGTAGGCGTCGTTGTGTATATGACCTCACTTACCACCAAGGTAGATGGAAGCCCCCGTTCTCGACCGGGATAAATGACCTATATAAGATGTAGAAGACGAACACAGGTCCCGCGAGGAGCGTCAGAGGATTGATGAGTTTGTCTACCTGGACATAACGTCAAAAGATGTACATTGCATGGTATATTGCCACTTACCATAGTATATGCGACGTACGGATGCGCTGTCCAGATGTACCGCTCTGTGAATAGCGACCGAAGGTCCGATCGCCAAGTGTTGCGCGTCCACCGGAGCACCTGCTTCACGAATCTCCAGTTGGGCTTCATGGTGCTCAACAGCTCCGCCCCCTTGCAACATTGCACGTACGTGCCCCACCCGTGACTAACCATCCACCGAGTGAGGAACTTGTCGTCGCCGGAGTTGAGTTGGTACTTCCCGAGCCAGAAGTCGTGCGTGAACGCATGCAGGAACTCGGGGTCCTTGAGGACTACCGTCCGGTATGCCGCCGTGCGTCCAGATAAGCACGGCAGACCTCCGTCGATGTGCGTCGATGCCGCGATCTCGATGTTGCGGATGGTCAGTCGAAACGCTGCAAGCACCTCCCACACCGTCATTCGCTTTCCAACGGCCTGAACACGCTGCGAGGTACCAACACCGCCGATTTGTTGGTCCTCGAAGCAAGCAAGAACGTACGGGAGGAGCGTCGGCGGCCAGATCGCGTCGTCATCTGCGAAGACGATGATGTCCGTCATCGCGTGCTTGATACCGTGTGCCATCTGCAGCCGTTTGTTCGCGAACGGGACGGTGAGCACCCGGATACGCTCGGGGTCGACGGCGTTGGCGAGCTCTTGGAGGGGCTGCAGCATCTTCTCTTCGGTGATGATGAGGATCTCCTTCGGCCTGCCCACGAGCCAGCTGTGTGCAGCTTCTTTGAATTCTTCGCCCGCGTCGATAGTGGGGACGATGATGGTGACGTCTTCATTGGCGACGTAGGTAGGGTGTTCGGGTAAGGGGATAGGTTGGTACGCGAGTGATGCGGCGATGCGGATGGTATACCAAAGGTACCGGTAGAACCTGTAAGGAATAAGCATCCAGTCGACGAGGCCGAACTCCACGCACCCAATGATACCAAAGGGCACAACTTCCACGGTTTGTCAGTATCGATGACTGCGCCATTCTGAGTAGACTACTCACAGACAGGTAGCTGATCCGCCGTTAGTCGGAGCATTCTGCTGCTGCCCCTTGGGCCTCGACGTACTGGAAGGGTGCACAACGGGGCAACGAATGGACAGTTAGAGATAGGGAAGCGGGTTGGGGTAGAAGACAGACATAGGCGCCATGTCCAGGTCTATATATCCGCCATTGGGACCTTGGAATGAAGAGCAAGCCGCGCGCGACGAGAACCCAAGACCAAGTATGTGCGCTCGGATGCACAGCACTCAAATGCACCTTGCCGCGCAGAGAAGCGATGCCGAGAACGAAGAGAGACCGGCCTTGTGGTGATCGACCAAGCTTCCAAGCTGTTTGTGGAGCTGGCTTGGGTCTTGGTGGCGGCCTTTCATCCTTTGAGATGTTATACACAATCCAGCGTGTATGCCACTATCTAAAAGTACATCTGTTCAACTTCTCCTCAAATGATCAGCAACGGTATTACACCGGGGACGCATGGAACTCACATACAACAAATATTCAGACAAACAAGGTGGCTCAAACACTGCCACGTCCATCCTTGTCGGTGACAAGATCGACCCCGGAGGCTGACTTGGGATGCATTGTAACATTTATTCCATCATTTGAACGGCGTGCGGCGGCTATCGAGAGCCCGGTGGCAATCGCACCGAACGGGATCGCGACCCAGGGGAAGATAACGGGCAGTCTGACTGGAAGAAGGTGATCGGAACGGCGGGGGGGGAGAAAAAGTGTTGTAGGACTCACGGAAGCTAAAACTACGGTACGTCGTTGGGATCCCAGCCAACTGTTCTGCACCCTCGAGGATGCTGTCTGGGACATCAAAGCCAAACGCTTTTGCGGTGACCTTCGCCCCGTGGGTTGCAAAGATGACTGTGAATGCAATCGCTGCGGCGAAGAGGCCTGTGGTGATGATCCCGAGGACGATGCTTTGACTGCGCGCCGATCTCGACGCGAAGGCGCCAATGCGACCCTTCTTGGAACGACGATGGAAGAGTGCGAGGAGGAGAAGGACGAGGATGACGAAAGAGGCGCCCGAGAGGAGAAGGGAGAAGATGACGGCGGCCGCGGCCGCGGCGATGACGTCTGAGAGGTTGATGTCGACGTCGATGCCCTGTGGAAGCTGGTCGAGGAGTTGGGTTTGCGAGCCGGCCTGCTGTTGGAGGTTGATGACGACCGCGAGTTCGACGACCCCAAAGACGGCGGCGAGGGACAAAGCGACGATGCGCGCCGGGGCGAAAGGAATGCGAGCTGCGCGCATCTTGGTGTAAAGGGGGAAACCTATCCTGAGGCCTCGGACGGTGATGAGCTGGAGGGGTACTTAAGAAAACGGAGCTCTGGCCAAAAGCGAAGGCGGAGGGCGACGGCCTGGCAACCTCGCCGTAGTTACGACCGTCAATAGAAATCTCGTCTCACTTGCTCTCGACGGCACGCGATACCAACGCGACACGAGTCGACGGCCGCGTGGGCGGGGCTGGGGTTGAACGTTGAGCGCCCGCGAAGCTGGCGGACGCGGAGCTCGGCAAGCCCGGGCGGGCTCGTTGCTGATGGTCAGATATCGGATTCGTCGACCACTCAGTACTCAGGCCTGGCTCCTCGGGGAGAAGATGGGCCAGAGAGATGTCTACGACGCGGACAGCGAGTGCGACGGGGCCGGGAAGGCTGGGCAATGGCGGTCCCACCAGCAGGGACAGGATATGAGTATTGCGGCCCCATCTGCACTGTTTCGACTCTCTAGAGCAAGGTAGATACATGTAAGTCGGGAATATTCAACGATTCAGTCATTGGAGCCCAACACCAGACAGATTGAGAACGGCTGGAATGGCCTATGAGACGCACATCCTAAGCCCTCCGTGCCAAGATGAGAGCGAGCGGCCACTCGATTGTGATGGGGTCCTCGTCGTTGGGGACACCGGTGCCGTCGACGCTTGCAACTTCCTGCTTGAGACGCCTCCAGAAGCGCGTGGCGATGTCTCCATCTTCGCGCTCCAAGTCTTCGGGATACTTCCCGTGGAAGGTATGTAAAGCGCTGAAGGTTCTGAGATACCCCATGAGACCGGCCCATGTTGTGTCCATTCGTAGGATGACCGGGCGGCGGTTGGGAAGGTGAAGATAGTGGTCTCCGGTGAAAAATACGCGCTCGAATGAGCTGAATTTGCCGGGGACGGCCTCCAGAGGATCCGGCACGTCGAGCAGGTGGTTGTCCACGATCGTTCGGCCCGGCCTCTCCCAGTGTGGTCCGAGCGACTTTTCGGGGTCACTTCCCTGAGAGTACGCGCTGATGAGTGACGTCGCAGAAGGGTATCGCGCAAGCCGAAACTCGGAGTAACCCTGGCCGTCGAACGATTGAGCAAACAACGAACGTTAGCCGGAGTTGTGTTAATACGCACCCAAGCGGCGAACATGCCGTCCTTTCTGAGCACACGCGCAGCCTCAGGCCAGAACTTGTCCCAGTCGAACCAATGGCACGCTTGCGCTGGGGATGGGAGGTTACGATGAAGGCGCGGTATCGAAGACATGACATTGCATGGAAGTAGACTTACCTGAGACTATGAGATCGATAGAGCCCTCCTGAATTGATTTCAAGTCCTCCGCATTCGACTGTATGAACTCGATTTGGGAAGACAGGTCAAGTCCGGCATGACTGGTCTTCACACTCTCTCGTGCCTGCTCAATCATCTTCGCGCTTGGATCTACACCAATGATTCGCTTGAATGGAGTGAGCTCGACGGTCGCCTGCCCTACAGCGACCTGTTTCAAAAAGACCGGTAGACCAATAAATACGACCACACACCTGTACCACATCCTATGTCCAGCGCGGTATCCCAACGTGCCCCTTTGGTGCTCTCGCGAAATTGAAAGACAAAATCATATAACTGACGAGGATACGTCGGACGGCCTCCGGAATATGTGGATAAGTTGGTGCAGGAAGAGAAGAACGAGACGGCTACTAAGCGAACTCACATGAGGCGTACTTGGCAGCGTTGAAAGTCGCCTTGCCAAAGGTCGCCATGGCCACTTGAAGTACTGGGGGTTCTGGAGGAGACTCTGGTACGGATGTATGCAGCCTTGGAGTATTTGTACTCTGTACCGAGAGTGCGGCAGCCAAATATATGCTGTTCGCCCACTGAGTTTGGATACCAGGCCTGGTAGAGTTTCGGAGGCAGGGCCGAGCAGGGCCGAGCCGAGTCCGGTAAACCGAAAGCCCGATTCTCTTAGCGACCGATCAGCGTGCGTCTATCTAATCTTAATGGTCGCCACTATCTAATCTCCGGTAAGTTCGTAACTCCTGTTCAACTTTTTGATGAGACTTTGCCTCATTGCACCTCCCTGCCTGCAGGCCAGGTTCCCGTCCATTCTCCATATTTATCTACCGCGCTTCTCTGTTTTCTACGCCGCAGTCTTGACTGAGCGCGTAGAAAATATCTACACCTCTCAGCCCGGCCCTCTACTCACGTCTGAGGTCCTTGGAGACATACGACAGTGTCGTCAGGTACCATTGTCCACTCCTTGGAGCTCGACGAGGCACACCTGACGACATCACGAGCCCCGCGCAACTTTCGCGAGCCCTTACGATTCTCCGTGGCACAAGCTGGACAACGCCTCGCGGCTTCGTCCCCCCTCCCTCGTGCGAGTAGTCTCCCCCTTTCCACTCCTTTGTGCTGATCCCCCGCGACGTACAGTCGGCCCACGATCTTTCTGCTTGACTCTCACAGCAGAGCATCAACGCTAAATCATCGGGAATTCAGATGAAGGCCTTCCGTCGCAAGCGAACTAACTCTGTCTCGTCTCCGGTAGCCTCCGTCCAAGTTTCCGCACCCGCACCTCTTACATTGTCCGGAGGACCCCCTACCCCGCTATATGCGCGTTTTGCAAGCACTCAGCGTGTCCAGGAGGCACCCAGCACGAAACCTGTAGTCTCGGGACCTCTTGTGCTTGGAACACGAAAGGAGACTCCACCAATTGCACCTCCGACACAGGGACCAACATCCCGAGGCCCGTCTCCGCTGAAGGACCGGTTCAAGGATGCGAGGAGAGAGGAGCCGAAAGGCATCTTGAAGAAGACGGACTACACCAGAGCGGAGAGTGGGTCGACGGAAGAAGCCACGCCGATTCAGGAGCGAGCGGCGAAGCGGGTGTCGAGAGAGGTGGCGGTGGCGGTTCAAGGGAGTCCGCAGGCGGACGGAGAGGGGAAGAGAGGGCCGGTTGTCAAACCGCTTTCGAATAATGCGGGTGAGGGGTTCATTGCAGCGGGAAGGCCAACGAATGTCGATCGCGTCGCAAAGCGTCGCTCCCAGAATGAAGGTGAGCTCTTCGACACAGCTTCGCGCGCAGACCCGCGGAATGGAGAAGTCAGCACCTCGGTGGGGCACTTGTCCGCAGGGCATGGGAAGACCGCTCGAGATACCATTGAAGACGAAGGGCTTTCACCACTTCAAAGGAAGACCTCTCCAGTGAAAGACGACCGCGGCCGTGTCGGGGGTGATCGAGGACTGCTGCCTTCCAGGAAGGTCGTTCGCAAAATCGACAGCGACCCACATCAGTCCCAGGTGGATTCCAGCTACCATCGACCCGAAGGCTCTCGTCCCACGCTTTCACAAGTGCTCTCGCGCCCGCCTATGTTACCTTCAACAAGTTCGTCGTCGGTGAAAATTGTTGTCAATTCTCCCGGCCCAGACGAATGGGAAGACAAATTCTCTGCACCAAAAAGAGGACACTTCAACTCGCAAGATGCCAGGCCGTCCCGCGGCCCGCCCTCCCCACAGCTGTCCCCCTCTCTTACTTCGACGGCGACTCCCGCTGTGACTGCATCTACCGCACGTCTCCGAAGAAATCCTTCCCCCGTCAAGCCCCCCACTCCTGCTCAGAGGGACCCGTCCCCCGTGAATTACACGGCTCCTGCCATCTTCCCTTCTTTGTCGACGTCGTCAGCAGACACCGAGCCTGTAGATGACCCACGAGGACGGGTCGTAGGCGACCGCGTCCTTCTCCCGGCCCGAAAGAGGACATTGACACATCGCGATGTTGAGGCGCCAGTTCTCCGCCCCACGAGAGGACACTCAGCGCTGGAGGACCTCAGCCCAACATTTGGTTTCGCATTCGCCGCCTGACTTAGTTTCGGAATCGGTGGCCCAACAACCACCCGTCACGCCTGGTCTAACACTGACCACGGTCACTACTGGCCCATCCATTCGGTTGTCGACACTATGACGCCCCCGATAAGCCTATATCAACGTCGGCCCCTACCGGAGGCTCGCCAGCCGGTCCACACCCTGTTGCACCGAGTCTAATATCGCAACCGTCCAGCAGCTCGGTCGAGACCTCCACGAAGCCGCCAAGGCGTAGAAAGTATTCATTGCGCACGGCGTTCGGATTGCCCTCTCGGGCGGCGTCTGATTCGGAGAACAGCACCGGGCCCAGTTCACAGGACGCTAAGGTACGGAGCTTCCAATCCCAGAACCTCTCGCGCCGCTCGGGGAAGCAGCGCGAGTGCCGATCGAGCCGGTCGCTGCATGCCTGCCGGGTCTGAGCGACCACGGAGCGGAGGCTCGTCGTACGAGTTGCCGCGTCGTCGCCGCAGCCACGTTGTTCAGTCGTGGGTGACGGATCACCGACGGTGGGCACCATGGGATCACATCCACTGGTGCTAGACACGTTCTTCTCGATCACGTGGGCGCGTCGAGAATGTCCACTAGGGCAGCTTCTTCGCCATCTCCGCGCATTCTCCCATTGCCTGCTCTTGTATTTTTGATCCCGTCGCTAACCTTGGAACGCCCGCCGCAGCGCCCGTCCCCTGCTCCCTCTTCGCCCGCTCTCCTCACCCCCGCCCCATCGTCGGCTGTGTCCCCCGCATCGTTAGAACTCGGCCGTCCCCTCCTACCTGTCCCGGCTGTTTCGGACCCAGTAATAGAGACTCGTCAGGTATGTGTTACATCATCCTGCCGGCCGTTCTTTGTTCGCCCCCAGTCGAGCAGACGTCACTGTGCCAGTCTGCTGACATATTCATCATTTGCAGCGTCTTCCGTCAACTGCTCGCGCTTCCCCAGCGACCTTCAACTCAAATCCCTCCACCTCAGTGGGTTCAATTTCTCTGTCGACGCGTTGCTCGCAAAAGAGTCAGAGACCGCTCAGGAGGTGCCGGACGTCCCCGCGTTACCACCCCCACCCAGTCCGAAGCCGTCGGAACACCGCAGCGTGGTTGATACGCCCATTCTCGCCTCTGCGTCTGCCGAATTTGCTGTCGTAACCGAACCGGAGGAAGGGTCTCTGTCCCAGGTGCAGTCATCCAGTCAAATCTCAAATAGACAGCCGTCCCCTCGCTCCTCCCCGTTCCCCTCTGTTGCACCCGCAACCCCTATCTGCCGCGTACCTCCGTCCACCGTGCATCTCGTCCACCGGCGCACCTCCACCTGCATCCACTTCCATACTTGCTGTTGTTTCTTCGTCTCCAGACTCCGTACCATCTCCATCATCACACCCGAAGAGCCAACTGTACAAGTTGCCCCTACGCATTCCCAACCACACAAATCCCATCCCAAGCGAACCAAGTCCTCCCGAAATCGTTCAATCGAGATCGAGCACAGTCTCCTCCCTGCGGAGCCGATACCCGCTACCCTCTCCCTTCTAGACGCTCTCCCACGGTCACCCCCCTCAAGCACGCCCACACAACGCTTCACCTCCCAAGTCGCCTACCCCCATGCGTTCACCACCTTCACGTGAGGAGCAGTCGAGCGCACCTTCAGACCGTCGTCCCCTCATCTTCGCTGCTATGGCCGCCGCGGAGGTCGAGGCCGAGGTCACTGAGCCTACGGCATGGATGGCAGTTCGTACGTCTGACCCAGGAGACGAAGAGCACCGACCTCTGTACAGACAGAGCACAGCAACGGATCCAGCCAGTTCGTCAACGGGTATCCCACCCCACGTTCCGCCTCCCCGAACAGGCTTCCCACCGGTCATGTTAGCGAGAGCGAGGAGCGAGGGCCTCGTTCGGAAAGGAGGGGTAACGGCGAGCATGGTCTCGAACGTATGAAGAGCAACGAGTACGCGCGCCCCATTTCACCATCCAACCCGTCCGGCCCCCGATCGCGTCCAGCAACGTGCCCTCCTCGCCAGAGCAACGGCAGCCGCGCCCGCGGAAGCTGAGCAAAACCAAGTCGCGTGTGACTCGTATGGCAGATGTCTCTTCCCAGCCCTCGTCATCCCAGGCCCAACATCCCCCTTGACCAACGCGCAAGCCGTGTCCACCTTGGGTGCGAAGCCCCCTACTCCAGTCGAAGACGCGCCACCGCGCGGACGCGAAGCGCCGATAAAACGGCCGGGACCTGACTCTGACAACGGCGCCGCAACACGTACCCTGAGCCCTCCCCCCGTCATACCGAGCGACGCTCACCAGACGCTCCACGCTCACCGCCATCACGCGTGATATCCTCAGAGTCTCCGAACCCGGCGCGGCCCGTCAAAATCCTTACAGAGCGTCAAATGGAGAAACTCAGCGCCACCAAGGGCCTTCCTCCGCAAGGTGCAAACGGCGCCGGTCTCAACGGTGCGCATCCGTCGCCACGGCGTCCCGATCTGCCTGCGGCCACGAAATCTGCCCCGGCCCTCAAGTCGTCGTCCTCGCACTCTTCCGGAATGGACGGGCCTCTCGTTCCGCCCTCCAGCGGTCGGTATTCAGACGATGTTCCTCCAGCTACGCCCCCAAAACCCAGGCCGAAGAGCATTGCGCAGGAGACTTCTCAGACTCCCCAGACCAGCCAAAAGACCTCTCCGGAGCCACCGCGCAGCCCGACGTCGTCCAAGGATTATGCCAACGTCCGCAACCAGCGCCGCGGCAAAGCCCTTGAACGTGTGCGCCCGGAAGGCATCGAGGCTGTCATGCCGGCCTCGGACCCGATTCCTGACGACTTGAAGCCTCCAGTGTACTATCCTATCGAGAAGCACATTGAGGAGCCCGCACTCTTGGGACACTTGCTGTGGTACCTCTCCTTCACCGACTGGCTGGCGCTCTCCCATCTCAACAAGTCGATTCGCGCGCTGTGCTACACCGAGCGCGAGATCGGCGAACACGTTCTGGATCGCTTCCTACGTACGGTGGGATACTCGCGCTGGAGCTTCGCAGAGAAGGAGCCCCTGCCTCTCACAGCATCCGTGAGTTTCTTTTCTCATCGGTTGAATTCGTCTCCGCGGAGCTGACATGGATCACTACAGGATCTCAACGCTTATATGCGCGGTGTCTCCGTCCCACAGCACCAGTTTGCTCGATACGCCGACACGTACCTCCATGCGCGCGACCGCAGGCAACGCGACGCGGTCCAAATACATCTCCTACAAGCTGCGTGTCGTTCGTACACCCGCGTTGTCCTCCGCCTCCGCGCGCAGGCCGAAGCCGAAGCTCAGATGATGTCCATCGAGCGAGCGCGCAGCCCCTCGTCGTTCGACAGGGCGCTCAGTCCGCGTGGATGGGGCGGTTCGTCCACCTCGGTGAATCGTATCCCAACATCCCCAACACCCAAGAAGAGCCTCTCGCGTAGTTCAAGCCGTGCGCCATCGCCAATGTCGGGCTTCAGCCACTCTCAACACGGGCACGCGCTCACTGCATCAATCCCTGGATCGGTTGGTCCTCCGTCTAGCGGCAACGGAGTCCCCATTGGATTTCAGTCGCCTCTCTTCAGACTGCGCAGGGCGCCGTTGCTTCAAGTTTTCGTTCCATCGCCGGAGGGTGATTGGCTCTCAGATGCCAGCGTGCTCGAGTGCGAGCGGGAGCTCAAGCGCGCAGATGTCACCAAGTATCTCCGCGCTGGCGATGTCGTGTGGGACGCGGCTGTGGGCGATGAGGGCAATGTGGGACGTTTGGTGTGGGACGGCAACTATCTCATCGTGCGTTTCATCCCTTTGCACCGTCTCCACAGCGGGAAGCTGACTGGCGCCCACGATATGCCAGGATCTTGACTACGCTTACTCGCGCGCTGGCGACCTCCCGCGCTACCTCCCAACGCTCGCGTTCCCGCCCTCCTATTTCCATCGTGTCATACGCACCATGGGAGGCGGCAACCCCATCTGCCACATCAACATCGCTCCCTGGGGTGAGGAGATCGCGGCGAACCTGCAGCTGTTACAGGACCGCATGAAGATGGAGACGTGAGTGTCCCCACCCCGTGGAAGCCTCTGGCACAGGCTGACATCCTTTTCCCCCTCGGTAAGGCCGCAGGGCGGACACCACATGGTCGTGCGCTGGGTGCACCGCTCGTCCTTCCACATCCGCCCGTCGCCGAGCGGGAAACCCCCGCGCATCCCGCAGTCGAAGAACGTCGGCCCCGGCCCCGGCCCCGGCGAGATGTGGTTCGTCGACTCCGGCTGGTTCGGCACTGTCGTCGTCGAGGCTGAGGGCACGAACGAGGGCCTGGCGGATCTGCAGGCCCGTTGTCGGGGGGCGTTCCCCATTCGCGCGACCGGTGCGGCCGCCAACGTGGCCCTCAGCCCGGAGCGCGTGGCCAAGGACGAGGCGAAGCGGAACGTTTTCAGAATCTTGCGGGACAGGAGGTACGTGGCACGGTGGCCTTGCGCTCACGGACCGTCGCTGACTTGTGCATGACAGTCGGCCAGGAGAGATTTGGATCCGGACGGTGACGGAGAAGGAACGTCTTATACCCCTGTGATCAGGACCACGGACATCTATCTACGCCGACCCGACACATGCTGTCTTGTCGGACTGACTGGAAATTTGTCGTGCATTTGCCGCAGCATCTTTGCTGGCTTCTTGACGGCTGTATATACGCTGCCGTTTGCTAAAGTTCTGTTATACGTTATTTGATGTTGTTGTACTAATATGCTGCCTCGAAAATGTAATACACCCCTTTGCATCATCGAGGACTCAGCAGGGGTCGATCCGAGCTGAGAGCTCAAGCCCTCTTCCACATACCTGTAGGGTGCGTGTATGTACATGTCGTCTGACAGTCCCTCCACAGGGGTCACAGTCACAGTCACCAGCTACGTTGGGGACAGTCGTGAAGCACCTGTATCCTCCTCTTTGCCGCTTCACTCCGAATGAACATCAACACCTCCAAGATCTAGCATGCTCGGCCTCAAAAACGTCGCTGCTTTTGAATGTATCCAAGGACCGCAAATTGAAGCGCTGGTGCCTGACAAGACGGGTGCTAAAATTTCGGAGCCAAGACGGGAACTGCGAATGGGCCGTAAGGCAGGGAACATGGCATCCGGAGAGTCCAACGGCCGGCCAAGGCCAGCTCCAGCTGTATGCAACACCGCTGAGCAAGCGTGCCCTCGCCACCGCCGTTCAAGATGCATGGAATCGCAGCTCGGTGTCCTGACGCGATGCACGGTACTCCCCCCTGGGCCGGGCTTCTTCGGAAGCGTTCCTGTTGATTGGGACAGCCAACACACGTAAAAACGTTCCGTCGACGGGGTCGGTGAGTGGACACACTTCCGTAGGGCTCAAGCCGGGTTTGATGTGCTCGGGTAGGCTCGGCTCACAAGCAAATTCAAACCCAGCTTCTTGTGCGGGCGCGCCCACCTGAGACATCGCACAAGTCGTGAGCTGACGCGTAGAGACGAGCTGTCAGGGCACGCGTTGAAGGCTGTCGGAGCGCCCGTCGCGCCCGACCCCCGTGCGACGCGCGCCCGCGACGTCCTCGCGCGTACACTGCGATGAGCACGCGCTCGTCCACGCCGACTGCGCCGCCCGCTTCGTCGCGCACTGAAGGGCCGCGCCGAAGAACCTACCAGCGGCGGCTCTATGCAGTACGTTGGGCATACATACGCGCTGGAGCTTGATGACGAGGCCCGGCACAGGGAACCCGTCAATATCCATACGCTCTCGACGGGGGTGCGTGGAGACCAACCGCGCCGCGCGCGCGCGGATCTGGGAAGACAAAAGTGCATTCTTCACGCTCGCTGACCTGAGTCCCCTTTTCTTTCGGCGCGCAGTGCAGCATCCACATATGCACGGGCTCGACGTCGCGTGCACAGTGCTCGCCGCGGTCGCGAACCCGGACCGCGGCGTGGGCCAGCGGTGGCTACTCACGGACACGCACGTCTACGACTGGTGGGGCTGGCAGCGAGGTGGCGCTCCGCGGCGTAGCAGGGGTGGTGCGGGAGCTCATGAGCTGCCGCGGCCGCCGGAGATACTCGGGCGGGCGATGGACAGCGTCGAGTTCATCGTCTACAAGAGTATATCGGATGTGATCTCGTGCAGAGAGGACCTCGTCTTCGCCGCGTCTTCCGCGCGCTGCAGCCCTGTGCGGATTCAAGACACGGCACCGCTCGTCCTCGTCCTCGTCCTCGTCCTGGAGCAGATGACGCTACGCTTCGCGCTGCACTTCGCCGCGCTCGTCCGCCCCTGTGGGTTATGGGTTGTCTCTGCCGCGCGCTTCAAGTTTCTTGGAGACCACGCACCGCGATTGCGAGCCCGAGCGGACTCGAACACGAAGTCTAAAACTGAGCCCGTGCGCCCGAGCTGCCAGTACGTACTGGGCGGACAAGCGCGTCACGCGGTCGACGTGTCTGTCGGCGCGGCTGGCGTCGTAGTAGACGGCCACGTCCCTTGTCCTCCTCCAGCGGAACAAATCTTCTGAAAGCACCGCGCGCGGCGACGTCGTGTACTCGTGGTGCGCGAGCGGACGTCGCGTCGTGCGGGCACGCGCGATGCTTGGCGCAGGGCGCGCGTCGCACAGCGGTCGGGCGCGACGGGCGCTCCGACGGCCTTCAACGCGTGCCCTGACGGCTCGTCTCGATCTACGCGTCGGCTCATGTCGGCTCAGGTCGGCTCACGACTTGTGCGATGTGGGCGCGCCCGCACAAGAAGCTGGGTTTGAATTTGCCTGTGAGCCGAGCCTACCCGAGCACATCAAACCCGGCTTGAGCCCTCCTTACGGAAGTCGATCCAGTACTTCAGCTACGCCACTCTGATGGATATCCTGTAGCCTTAACCTTGCCGGCGGCCGGCTCATTACGAGAAGGGCGCTCCAGTCCGAGGAGTCTGGAAGTTGGACGGGTGCAAACGATATTCCTATGTGGTCGACGATTTCACAAGACACCCACACGGTGATCACGGGCGACCCACACTAACGCGTCGTGCATCGCAACCAGCATTAATCGAAGCTGGACCCCTGTGAGTGCTTTTTTTTGGCAGCAGCTTTCGGCGAGCAAGAGTGTGTATGGGCGTGGGACGAGAATAGCCGACGACTGCGACTTTTACTCTGTGGCTGAACGCCGTCTGCCAGCCGCGAGGCGGGAATTTTTTCCAGGCGCAGCGCGGACGGCTTCCAAACGCCCATCGCGCGACGTCGCATGTCAGCGACGCGTTCTGGGCTGAACATGCTCCCCGCGCGCGCGTCCAATGCGGGCCTGGCGTGGCTCTGGCAGGCCGAGGTCGCGGTCAATCGCGGATGCGTTTCTTGCCCGTTCGTTCGTTGCGCCGCTCTTTGCGCGGTCCGGCTTCTTCCTTGCTGACCTACTCCCAACGTTTCCTCGGAAGCTCACTTAAGTGCTCTCCGCAGCTTCTCTCCTCCCTCGGCCCCCCACGCAACCCCCGCCTCGTCTCCGCCCCGCCTTCTGGCGCGTCTGTCCTTCACCCGGCACACAACTTCATCCATCCAATTCGGTCCCGAAGGGACGCGACCTCCTCGCGCAAATGGCCGATCTCAATCCTCTCGAGCTCGCTCTTGTAAACAAGCTTCTGCCCATCCTCGTCAAGATTCGCTATGCGGAACGTGAGTTCACCTCAATATAGAGCGATGCGCAAGAGTCCTCATCCTCTATAATGACAGTTGCAAGCACCATGATCATACTGTTTGACCATGGTGAGTTGTCATCGTCTGTGTACACTCAATTCGTTCCCAATGTTCAAATGCATCGCTCCTAGTCCTGACACTCGACCAAGAGGTCTGTAATGGAGCGCGCTCTGGAGTAGCTTGCTGATCTTGCATTGTAGATACGCCTCGTCTGGGTATGAACTGCTCGAGGTAGCGTGGACATGTCGAAGCTGATGATGGGCGCTCTGTAGAACGCACAACGGTCCTTGGGGAAGGCATTATTTCTTCTTGTAAGTCTTGCATTCTCCAGTCTTTCTGAGGCTGATCAAGTGGGTTTCAGAATCGCTATTACGCGTTGGTTATCGTCCTGTGAGCGAGCTTTGGACCATTGTATTAAGGCCAATGACTGACATCATTGTGATGAACGAACGCCAGATTCAACAATTATGGTCCGCCTTCAGTCCACCCACTTCTGCATGAATTCGAGCTAACGCTGTGGCCACAGTACTATTCAACACGAACGTGCTGACCTCATCTGTGAGTGGATGTACTTGCTCAAGTCACGCGTCATTCCTTACAAACTTCTTAGTTGTACGTTAATGTCGAGATCGGCTTCCTGCATCTCTTAACGCGTGCGCTGCAGCTGTTTGCTCTGGTTTCGATGGCAAGGTGTCACTGGGGTTCTTATGTTCATTATCGCCGAGTGTGAGTGCACGAGCATTGTTTCGGAGTGCATTTTGCTGAGAATATCCTTCCACCCCCAGTCATCTTGCAATTACGCCTCTACGCGCTCTACCTCGGAAACAAGCGCGTCGTCGCGGTTTCGACGTTCATCAGCCTGGCCGCGGCTGCGAGTTCAGCGTATGTGGTGGGAAGGGCGCTCTCCCTCACAACAGGTATTGTCCCACTATTGTCCTCATCCACCTGTATTGACACGTAGACTCCTGCGATAGCCTGGCTGTTCGACTTCCCCTGGGAGCATCTACAGTTTGTGTACCTTTCGGTCTGCCGGACGACTTCTATGCGTTCTGGATCCCAATGCTCATATCTGAGTGCGTTCTATGCGGACTCGCACTTTATCGCGGACTCCAGAGATACCGCACGGATGGCGCTCTCATCCTCAGCGGGCGGGGGATCATAGAGATTCTCGTCCGCGACTCCGTCTACTACTTCCTCATGTGAGCTCCTGAACCCATGGGTTAGCAAGCGACAACTGATTGGATGACTTCTTCAGCCTATTTGCAACATACCTCATGAACGCCATCATCTTCCTGACGCGACCTGTGAGCATACCGACACACCCATGGTTTAATCCGCAGAACTGACTTTCCTTTCAGGATTCGGAGTTTGAGATCCCGATCGGCTTCGCAGTGGCCCTCTCCGTTGTCATGTCCAACAGGCTATGTCTCAACGTCCGCGGATACATCATCGAAGAATCCGAAGGCCCAATGTCGTTGTACACGAACCCACCAAGACCAAGCGCGTTCGTATCGCTCAGCGGGGCTGTGGACAACAATCAGAGCACGTCATTCGTGCACGAAGGCGCCACACTGTCTGCGATGGAGATGCACTCGCTCCGCCAGCTTCGCGCCGGGTCGTGGAAGCATGCCCACGGCTTCACGCACGAGCGGGAGGACGGCTTCTGCGACGCAGTTGTCATCAAATAGAGCAGCCATTGCACGTCGATGGTATTCCGTCGGGGTGCGGCCTTCAAAACTGACGGCTGTCGCTTGTACCATATCGCATTATCGTATCCTCGCCGTATTTCGTGAATTGTATTATACACTCACTTTGGGAGATTTTCGCGCATTCTCAACGACGTATGCGGGGAGGTGTACAGTGTCCCACGGGTCCTTGGGACACCACGGGTCCTTGGGACAGACCTCGGATCCTCCTGATATACACTCCCAATAATCTTGAAGAAATGGCACTTCAGTGCACAATGATGTTCCATGTAGCTAGACTAACAATTCCAGCTGATCCCAGAGCTAATTGAGACCATGAAAATATGTTTTCGCATTTCCGAGAGTGTGAGCAAACTCAGAGGACATGTCGTTGGGAGAGTGGAACTTTCTTGAAGCTCGGAGATTGATTTAATGACTTCTGTTAATGTTAGCTCTCTCCCTGCGGGGTTTCAAGTGATCACACGGCTGGGCTAGTGATGCCGGACATGTCCCAGGTTTCCAGCGTTTCTGGCGTCTTTTTGGGCGACATAACGCGTACCACGTGACACTCTCACACGACGCGTCGTCCTGTCTGGCCCCTCCGTGTCCTGCATGGAAACCTTACCTGATAAGTACGAGGGGGAGGCTGTGGTACGGATACGGGATGAAGGTAACAGCGGGGACGAGGAGGACGATGAGGAGGATGGCATTGAGCACCACGGCCGCGATGGCTCATCGGAAGCGCCAATGCGCGTCGTGGGAGATCCATCATCTATTGCCCGATATGGGCCGTCCCAAGGAGGGGTGGGTTCGAACTTTAGGGCCATATGTCATTTCTTGTCGCACTCGTCTCTTGTACTTCAGATCCCCCTGAAAATATTCATGTATGTAGCTACTATGTGAGACTGTGTAGATATGAAAAATAAGCGACCGCTGATACAAAATCGCAGAGATATCAGCGGGACTGTTTTTGGTGTCCCAAGGACCCGTGGGACACTGTATATGCGCTGAGTCTTGTGCCCGCTCTGTCGCCGCGATCCCGTGAGATTAGATTAGATAGAGACGCGTCCAGCCTTCGTCTGACGGTGTCTCTCGCGGGCCTCGCCCTGCAATCGATCCACTCTCCTTCTCCCTCTTCCTCCCTCACTCGCCCCCGACTAACACCAAGAAAAATGGCGCGCCAGTTTTTCGTCGGCGGCAACTTCAAGATGAACCCGGTCACCCGGGACCAGAAGAAGGCCCTCATCAAGATCCTCAACGATGCCACCGTCGACCAGAACGTTGGTGAGCTCGGCAAACGCTTCGCAGGCGCACCTTTGAGGCTGAGCACCGTCTTCCGTGGGCACATCTAGAGGTCGTGATCTCGCCGCCCGCTCTGTACCTCATCCCGGTCAAGGACAGCCTTCGCTCTGACTTCAAGGTCGCCGCCCAGAACTGCTACGTGAAGGACTCGGGCGCGTTCACCGGCGAGATCAGGTATGCGCGCGCACATCCCATCGCCTGCGCCCTCTCCCTCACCGTTCTCGCAGCCCGCGCCAGCTCGTCGACGCCGGCGTGCCCTACGTGATTCTCGGTGAGTGATTCCACCGCATCGCCCTGGTTCCCGCTCTGGTTCCGTAATTCCGCTCCGCCCTCCCCATTTCACATGCGCCTGCGCGCGCGCGCTGCCCTCGCGACCCAATGCTCACACCCGCGCTGCCCGCAGGCCACTCGGAGCGCCGCACGCTCTTCGGCGAGACCTCGAAGCTCGTCGCGGACAAGACGCAGGCGGCGATCGCCGCCGGGCTCTCCGTCATCCTCTGCGTCGGCGAGACGCTCGAGGAGCGCGAGGCGGGCAAGACGAAGCAGGTCGTCGAGGCCCAGCTCACGCCCGTCGTCGCCGCGCTCAAGGAGGCCGACTGGAGGTGAGCGTCCCGTCCTGCCCCACCCCGTCCCGACCCTCTGTTTGTGCGCGCGTGCTGACGCGACTTGGGGGAACGCAGCAAGGTCGTGGTCGCGTACGAGCCCGTGTGGGCGATCGGGACGGGCAAGGTCGCGACGTCGGCGCAGGCGCAGGAGGCGCACGCGGACATCCGCGCCTACCTCGCGTCCGCGGTCTCCTCCGCGGTCGCGGAGGGCACGCGCATCATCTACGGCGGGAGCGTCAACGCGGGGAACTGCAAGGAGCTCGGTGAGTGCCTGCGCTTCGGGTTCTGTGGGCGCGGCGGTGACCGACGGGGGCGTGGGGTGCCAGGTTCGCAGAAGGACGTCGACGGCTTCTTGGTCGGCGGCGCGTCGCTCAAGCCCGAGTTCGTCAACATCGTCAACGCGAAGCAGGCGTGAAAGGCTTGGTTGTGAGGAGTATGCGTGATGTACGAGGTGCTGCAGACAAATGAATGTACTGTATATCTGCGAAATTAAACTTGCACACTGTCGATACTGTGATGACCAGGTGTGCAGATGGGCAACGAAGTGGGAGCGTGGATGTAATTAGGATCCAAAGGGTTGAGACCACGGCAAGTTAGCCGCGGTCCCCAAACATCCCATCTTCCGGAAAGTAAGCTGACCGCCCCGGGGAAATTTCGCCGCAGAACAAGTGCCCGCCCCGGAAGTCACCTCTGCCAGCGCCGGGGGGACTGGGCGCAGCTCTTGCAGGTCTATGCTCTCCAGCAGCTGGTAGAAATCCTCATCCTCCACCGCGCGCCCATAGTGGTGCTCTTGCTCTTGACCGTGGCCCTCGCGGCCGCCGTCCACCTGCTGGTACAGTCGAGAGGAATCGAACGACAGCGACAGGGTCTTTGTCGACTCGCCCGCCGGGAAGAGCGGCGAGGCGGGGTGGGAGCGCGCGGGGGATTGCGCGGCGTCGGCGGGCGCGATGGACAGGAAGGAGGAGGAGTCGAGGTCTTCGTCGCGCCGGTGGACGTGGCGGTGGAGGTTGAGGCACATCCGGGAGGCCATGACGCTCGAGAGCGCGACGGAAAACCCGATGGGGATCTCTACTTCCGAGCTCTGGTTGGCAGAGGTAGATAGCGGGAGGTCTCAGGTCAGACGGGAGCGCGGGAAGGTGAAAGGGGGGATGGTGTGTGCGTACCGGTCGGAGAAGGAAAATGAGTGTGTTGGTGAGATAGGTGGCGAAGATGCTGGCGAGGTGGAGGTGAGGGAGAAGGCGGGGAAGAGATACGTGCGCACGCACATGATGAAGTAGTAGAGCGAATCGCGGATGAGAATTTTGAGGATGCTCCTTTCGCCCCGGAACCTATGGAAGCCGCGGTAGAGCGCGAGTGCACAGTATGTGATTTCTGCGACGAGCATCGGTATCCAAAAGGCGTAGAGGTCACTTCTGATGTTGGTCGGGACACATATAGTCGTGCCGTCCGTGTGGATGGGTATTGCAATCCCTGAAAGGTCGTCGGTATCACATCGCTTTCAGGAGAACGAGAGGGTGGAGGATTGGGCATACCTTTCATCTCAATGAGAGCACGCACCATCACATATGTTGCAGCTGCGGTCGCGCTCACGGCAACCGTCACGATGAATGCTAACACCCGCTTATCTCCACAGAACATCGCATACAGTCTTAGTAGAAGAATCGCTTATAATAAATCGTCAGCATTGCTGGATGGAAAGAGGGGAGGTAGCATACTTTCCGTGAGCGAGAATGCAATAATCCCGGTTAATCCTTGCCACCGAATCCAATGTTGACAGCTGAAAGTGGACCGGTGGAGGTCAAGACTCGCGGTGATGCGAAAGCGAGTAAGTTGAACACCTACAACTATTGGCGGTGTGAATATCAGTAGCCTCAAATACTGCAAGTCACGCTCACATCATTTGAGAGCTTCACGGGACTTGAAAACACTAGATCTCGATGAGTTCCAGTGGAACAGTACGGAAGAGCAACACCGCATGTACTGACCAAAATTATTAAAGCTGCGCAAAAATTAGCATGATGGCCATCATATCGCAAGATCATACTTACAGTACCGCAGAGAGTGCGTGATACCGGTTCTAGGTTCTACTATGTGAGTATGGAGTGTCAAGGGCAAAATGCATTTACTAGGATGAAGAGTATTTTTCCAGGACTCCAACGTGTGCCCTTCGCTGGTGTTTAGCTCGTCGGCAACCAATCATCGAGTGTATGCATACCCAAATGAAGCGGACCTAGCGGAATGTGTGTTAGACGCGTATATGTCAGAGCTGCGGATTGAGATGCTCGCCTCCTGGTCGAATGTGAGCACTTCAAAGCCAGGGAGACATGAACACATGCTCTTCGCGCAGCCAGAGGATCAAGTACCCACGGTGGTCAAACACGATAATTGTACTGCTTGCCACTGGGATATCGAGGGCACATGATCATCAGATGGAGAAAGATGCGACTAGAGGCTGGGCACGTACGTTCTGAATACCGCACATTCATCAGCATCGACATACCGGCCAGCTCGCTCATAACGCTCATTTCGTCTCGCGGATTGATATGCCGCGTAGGAGCTTACAACGGCCGGAGGGGAATAGAGGCGGAAGAGTTGATGAGTTGATAGGCAGCCGTCGCCGAACGACGAGTAGGAAGAGGGTAGCTAGCGCAGCCCACGAAGCCGAAAAGCCTTAAGGTCCGACACGGTCGTCAGTGGCGCGGAAGCTGGACCTTATGGGCGATGTATTGGCCGGTGCGAGGACGCATGCCGCCGTTACGTGTGCGGGGTGAGTGGCTGTTGATCGCCCTCTGTACTATGGAGACTTGCTCTCTTGAAACTTTGGGCTAGAGGCGAGTCGATCGTGTCAGGAAGCTTCTTGGGAAGCTTCCAGGTGTAGCCCGACTGTGCATGGCTGCTGCGGATGGTTTGGTTCGGCTCCGAGGCTCGCAGATGAATGAAGAAATCCCGCAAGGACTATAACAGGCGTCTCCTGAATGTATTTGAGCAAGTGCAGAAGTTTAACACGAAGCCTGAAGACGCACCTGCATATGGAAGAGTTCGCTGTGCTTCTATTTTTCTCGGCCGCAGAGAACTCTGAGTGAGGGATTGAGCAGTAAATGGTGCAACTTGAGACATGCAGAGCGCGATGTCACGGAGCTATGCACATGGCACATCGCAGTTGTCAAGAGCACTGCTGAAGCAACTTGCAGTGCCTCCTCCACCAAAACTGTGCTCGTCCAACACGTGATCGCCAAACTTGGAACAGCGTCCTGACAAGCTCGAGGAGGGGCAGTAAATATGCATAATATCCAGTGGGTAAAAGATGTGCGGGCATAGCCATGTACCTCCTCCCGAAGCAGCCCAAAGATAGACCCTGTAAACATACATACGCCATCCGTCCTTCATCGTCATAATCCAGCATCCACACATAAGTCACATCATCTGCAGGAATGAAGCAAGGGAAGTCGTGCTCGGCTGGGCGGCCAGCTCCGTTGCGCTCGAGCTGGTCGCTGCACTCCCGCTCAAGTGCCTCTGGCTCCTCCCTCGGACGATGTTCCCTCCTCGACGGTCGGCGAGCTTCCCGTTCTCCCCCGTCTCTGGGACCGTCACCGCCCGTCTGCTAAGCGTGGGCCGCGCACTGCTGTCCGGGAGGGGCTGGGCAGGCATCGACGGGCGCCTGCGGAAGAAAGCGTGCAGCTTGAGCGTGCGAGGGGTCTTCGGGGGCGTAGACGGCTCTTTCCTGGGCGCCGTCACGACGGGGGTGGCGGGCGCGCGAATCGACCTGGTGGGAGGCGACTTGGTGGGCGATGACTTGGTGGGAGATGACTTAGTGGGAGACGGCTTGGCAGGAGACGGCTTCGTCGGGGAGGACATGGGTGTAGACAGTCCGCGGGAGCTGCGCCTGGTCTTGAACAGGCCGGGGGAGCGCATGATGGGGGTGGACGGGCCAGCTTCGTCAAGGCCGAGGGTTTTCGCGAGCTTCGGGTGTTGGACGAGGTTGGCTTTGGCGGTCGAGGGACTAGGGCTGAACGCGTGCTGAGACGCCGGAGAAAGCGAGGACTGAGGCGAAGCAGGCCCGGATGACGATGTGTCGCTGGAAGGCCGGCTAGATGAAGGTCGCACCGTCTTCTCATAGCTACGCTCCTCGAGAGAGGCGAAAAGCCCACAATGATGAGCCTCGAATGGATCGACCGAGTCCGACTTGGCTGGATGAAGAAACAACGAGTCCAGGGCGTCCCCGTCCAGCGTTGGAGGTCGAGGATGCGGAAGGAGTCCGATCTCGATTGCAAGCTGTTCAAGTTCTTCGAGATGAGCCAGCATGTCCGGTGGTAAACCGTCCTCCGAAGATTCATCTTCCTCAAGAAGGGGAGTGTTGTCCCATAGGTGTGGCTGAGACTCTTTCAGTAGCGATTCGGATACCTCGGGAGAACGAGACGGAGAGGTCCAAGGAGTTGCCGGGGACGACCGCGGAGGAGACGTCGCTGGGCTTTGCGGTGGAGATGTAAGAGGGGACTCTTTCGGTGACGGCGGCCCGCCTTGGGGTATTACGCTGTCCATGAGAGATTGATACCAGCCAGGGGAGGCGTCTTCCAGGGCTCGAATGAGTGCCGACAGAGAGCTGCTCCGAGAACGAGCCAGAGGGAGATCAAGTGCAAGTTGCTGGACGGTGACGGCACGATGAGACGAGGAAGAACGATTGGACTCCATGGACGGCCTAGGTTGAGGGCGGGATTTGGTAGACTGAGTAAGAGAGATAGCTTGAGAGCGCGCGGGGCTCGGGGAGGCATACTGAGGATAGACATCGTCAAGGTTGCGTAGGTTGTTGAATGAAGGAATGTCGGACAGCAACGAGTGGTTGGATGATAGCGAGTGTGTTTCGAGAAAGAATGTGGACGATGCCGAGGGAAGAGCCGGTGGAGGAGACAGCGTACCAAGAGGGGGTTTGGGGAAGCCAGTTTTCCGTGGAGGAGTGCAGGGAACTCTTGAGGTAGCTTCGGGACGTGTTGCTAACGGCCACGGTGGAGGGGATCCCGTTTCGTCGTACGGCAGGCAATGTGGTGAACTGTCGAGGAAAGACCGTGATGCAGAGCTTTCACCGCCAGAGCTAGGACGTCCAAAACGAGAGGGAAAAAAGTCCATGTACGCTTCTGGAGAAGCCCCGAGCATCTTGCACCCGATGGACGTCCCTGGGCTGCCAAGAGAGCCTGAGGAGCCCATCCGACCGGAGGCAGCTACCAGCATAGTAACTATGGCGTATAAAATCAGAAAGGTGAGGCGTGGAGTTGGTTTAGAAAGCGTAAGCACGCACCTAGAACCCTTTCTCCCAACGTTGTACCCCTCTGTCCGGTTCGCCTCCTCTGCCCTACGCTGTGCGGTGTTTGGACGAATGTTGGGACTTCTGGAGGCCAATGGCGTCGCTGAAGTCGTCGGAGTGCAAGACAGAGGCCACAGAGGAGAGCTGACCAGAAGTCCAAGACGCGCAAGCAATGAGAAGCGGCTGACGCCTCTGGCCTCAGAACCCAGATGAAGTAAAGGAACAAGAGTTGGTGATCGCCACGCGGTGGGAGGGTTCGCCGCAAGGCTGGAGCCAGCGCGATCAGTCTGGCGTCGGCCCGTCTCATCCGGTTGTGGCTGGCAACACACAACGAGTCCATCCATGAAACCACTTCAATTCAAAGCTCACAGTAAAATTTCAACCGCACATCATAAGCTGCACCATCCAGGACAGGAATAGAGAGGATCTAAGATACCTTTACTGGGTCGTAATCAAGTGGGGGAAAATGAGCGTATATAGAGAGAGGACGAGTCATGCAACGTGCTTGGAACCCGAGAGCAATAAACGTTAAGCAAGCAAGACGAAACGAAAGCTGTAGTTTTTTGGTGGACGGTCCGGTGTCGTAATCGGGTCAGGGTCAGAGAGACGAGGGTCAAGCCTAGAACAGTGTTTTGAGAATCTTTGAATCCTTCCATCAGTACTCATATTCACCGGAGGGCAGCTCCTCTTCGGTGAGCGACTGCCACTCCTCCGGCCGCGGGGCCTTCTCCTTCTGGTAGTCATATCCAACGAAGCTCATCACGCTGCAGAGACGCTATCAGTGAAGGAATGCACGCCAGAGAGCCCATTACTCACTAGATAGTACCATCTGCGCAGCCCACAACGACTTCCTCGTGGCTCAGCTGCATCGACATCGGGTTCTTCTCCGGCATCGCAAGACCCTGGAACTTGTTAGGGAGCTGTCCAAGCAGGCCCTTGACCCCAGCGGCCGCCACCGCGTCCGTGTGAGACAGCGCGCCCCATGCGCCCCCGACGGGGAGGATGACCGTGTCGTAGTCCACCCCGGGCGACGGCGTGCGCGGGCCATCAGACTTGCGCCCGCTGTCGCTCTCGCTGGCGTCGCCGTCTTCTTCCGCAGCCTTCGCAATCTCCTCCTTGTCGCGGTGTTGCGACATGTAGACCTGTAGGGGCACATGCACAGCATGAGCAACTGGTCTGCCGCATGGACGTACGAACAACCGCAACTCACCGCCCTGGTGGCCCCAGCACGGGTGCTGAACCGGGTAGCGGTCACGACGCGGCGCTTTCGCGGGTCGACGGCACCGACAGCCACGTCGGGTGTGTCGACGACGGCGACGAGCTTCGGCGGCGCGGTGAGCACCGCCGCGCGCCCGAAGCGCACCGCGAACGGCGACTGGCCCGCCGCGGATACAGGCGTGCCGACGCGCGGGGAGCCGAGCATCGACGTCGGCGTCATGGGTCCGCTCGAGATGTTGAGCGAGAGGCGCGACTTGGCGCCGACGCTGCTCGCAAGGCCCATGGGCTCTTGACTGCGGGCGCGATGAGCGATGAGCGCCGGTTCGGCGTGGTAAGGGACGAGGTCGAGCGGGATAGGGAGGAGATTGTGCGCATGCGAGGAGGGGCGGGGGTCGGACTGAGCGCGCCAGGGGTGAGGGGCGTGCCAGGGCGAGCTGGATCCTGAGAGGTGGCGGTTGCGGGCGTTGCGTCCTCTTCTTCTGTCCACTGAAGGTGAAGGATGACTGACTTGGTGGCACACTATTGTCGGCGGGTAAGCTTGGCAGACAGTAGAGGAAAGACGGGTACGTGCAGTCATCTGAGTGCCCTTCGCGGCGAACCATTGAAGCATGTTATCAGGGGCACGGCCGACTTGCATCAACTTCGAGTTCAACAGAGGATCCCCAAGACCGAGCTCGCTCAGTTTGAATTGAGAGACCATCTCTCTGCGCTCTGTGAAACGGAAGTAATCGTCAGCGCATACACCTGCGCGATAATGAAACCATTTACTGATAGAGAACACGCGGACGATACCGTCAATAGTAACACTGACGACACGTTCACCCTCGTCCTCACCACGAGAGTTGGACGACCCGAGGATCTGGACACCAATGTTGACAGTGGTCTGTTGGCCGAAACGAACGATCTTCGTGCCCGCACGCCAGTCCCAGCATACGAGAGCCTTGTCAGCGCCAGCTGAGACCAGGTTCTTGGAGGAAAGCGCGACGGCCCGGATACCGTTTAAGTGGCCGGCCAGCTGTTGCAAGGGAGTGAATGTCAAAGATGAGAAGAGGTGCACCCTCCCAACATCATGGAAGCCGACGACGAAGACCTCTATAAGGGTCGTTAGAAATCACGCCGTCAGGACAGGAACTCGAACGAAAGAAACACACCCTCATCCGAGAGGAAGTCGACGCAGCTGACTGGCTTCTTGACCTGGAGGCACTTCTTTAGCTCACCCGTCTCAATATCCCAGAACCGGATGGTCTCGTCGTACGAGCCACTGATCAACCGCTTCCCTAAAACGTGCAAATGAGACATCTTCTACACTCCAGAGTGACCTTGCTTACCACGTAGGAGAAGAGTAGTGCAGTAGTTGGTGTGACCGTTCAGGAACCTGACGTTCTGGGCGAGGCCGTTGCGGAAGTTGGACTCGCGGTGATGAAGCGAGCGGTAGAGAGGCTCCCTGTACAAGCGGGAGCATTCAGAGCATTGGCTACGCGTATATGCAAGTTTCGTACCATCCCTCTGGCTTTGCTGGCGGCTTGACGGGAGATGGATCCATCGCAGTAATGCGCAAGCAGTGGTACCTCCACAGGACCGGTAAATGGACGACCTCTTGCCACTTCTTGGACACCATCTCCACACCAAGCAGCTCCCGGACGGTGAGAAACTTGAACACCTTGAGAGCAAGGTCTGGTGCGAGGTTCCCAACAATGTCGAAGGTCGACTTGGCATACTTCTCGAGCAGGAGAATCTGCAGGCGAATATCTCCGGGCATGCAGGAATCAAGGATGATAGCAATCCTATGTCCTCACCTACTGAGTTCCGGACGATGAAAGCAGAAGACCAGAGACTCACAATCGCATCCTGTCATCCCTGCTCAGCCCTCGCACCACCCGCCGCACTTCCAGCTCGTTGAAACCCCCACCACCGTCACCTCTGAGAACAGTGGCAAGGTCGACCTCGCCGCCAATTCCATCGTCATCGCCGCCTCGGTATCCGCTCCAGTATCCCTTCGACCGCTTTTTGCCCCCACACGTGCAGTGGGCTTCGTCGTCAGGGTCCAGAACGATGTTCCCTTCTTGCTGGCGCTCCCGCTCCCGCAACATTCTCACTTCCGCTTGAAGGGCGTGCAGCTGTGCTGCTGATGACGCCTGCGCACGTTCGAGCAGCCTCTTGTAATGCAGGAGCTTGCGCATGTGCAGGCCATTGACCCCGGCAAGCGCGGCTTGCATCTAGGCACCCCGTCACACTGGTCAGTTCGTGCGGGAGAAAGGTGGATATGACCAACGCGTGCAGGGACGTACGTCTTCGTCAACTTCCTCGTCGTTCACGTCCGTGACCATCTCCAATGTCATATCATCTCCGTCCCAGAACGGCTCGTCCTCCGATGTGAGCAAGATCGACGGCGACTCGGCGATACTTCCGGATGTGTTCCGGCTTCGCGCTGTACCCGGCGTGCCGCTCTTGACGGTCCTCCCCGCGGTGCTGATCTTCGATGGCGACGGCCGGGGGGTCCGCTGCGGCTTGCCCGGAGTCGTCTTGGGCGTGGTCGACTTGTTGGGCGTGACCGGGGCCGGCTTCGGGTCGCGGGGTGGGGTGAGCGGGAGCGTCTTGTCCGGGGTCGTGACCGTCGTCGCGCCGGGGGGCCGCACGGGCTCTTGGACGCCAACTGCGCGAACGGCGTGGACATGGTGCGCGTGCGGGGCGTGGTGGGCACGGCGACCTTCGCGCTGGCCACGCGCGTGTCCGAGTCGGCTGTGAAGAGCGACACGGCCGCAGAGCGCACGCTCCGCCGGGACGGGGCGACCGAGGGAGCCCCGGCGGGGCCTGTGCCCGCGCTGCTCTTCCGGGGCATCGGCACGCTGTTCTGGCGCGACAGGGAGGGCGTCGTCGTGGACTTGCTGAGCGAGGTGGACACACTGGAGATGGACACGCTGGAGGTGGACACGCTGGAGAGGTTCGGGTCGAAGTAGGCGGAGGGCGCTATCGCGCTCGAGAGCCTGCGTGCTTGGGGCTTCGCCGTGCTCAGCCGACGCACCGCTGGGCTGGGGGCTGCAGTGGGAGCCGAAGGGGCCGCGGGCGTGGCGTTGGGCGATCGAGAGACAGAGCCGGCGCCGTTCTTGGGCGAGCCGTTGGTGCTGCGACCGTTGGGGACGACGGTGGTGACCCCGCTGATGTTGCTGGAGAGTGAGGCAGAGGAGTAGGAACGCGGCTTGACGAGTCCAGTCGACGAGCCAGCCGTCGACGAACGCGCCGTTACGCGCGAATATCGACTCGGGGTTTCCGACGGGGCGGCGCTACGAGGAGGGGGCATGGTGGGGGGACGAGCAACGAGGGCCCGTCGTGGGCAGCGACGAAGCAGGACGCGCTCGGGCGTGTCTGCCTTGGGCTCCGCTACTTGAGCGTCTTGTTCAGCGCGACAGGGCCAACGCGGCGCCGGCTCCCATCCAACGTTGCCATGCTTGCCTCTACTACCACCACTTTTTTTCGCAACAGTATTGTTGACGATACAGCTACCACGCAAGGTACTTTCATGCGTTGAAACCCCACTAGAAGGGATAAGCTCGCGCTTAGACTCGAACCAATTCGAGATGACCCGCAGTCAGTGACTTCTCCAGTACCAATTACGTCACTTTGAAGTTCACTATTAGTTGTACTTACGCACAGAGAAGGGTTTTGTTGGTCCTTGCAGGTCCGTGACTGGGGATAGCTTCGAGGATCTCGATCGCCCCAGGCAGAGGATCGCGCTCTGACCGGCCTCTTCGCAAACGGCGACGTCATAGGAAGATCCCACTGTGCTCATCGAATTTTAATGCTCCATGGCCTACACCACGCTATATATCCTCATCTTCCGGGCCACTGTAGGCGCAACATGCTCGCGACCCGCGCCATCTCTCGCCGCACTTTCGCTCCCTCCCCCGCCGCCGCACTCAGGTCTCCCGCTTTCTTCTTCCACTATCGAACCATGAAGACTCTCTTCGAAACCGTGAAGGAGGACCATGAGGAGGTGGGTATCGTTCATTCTGATGGCGCGCTATCTTCCCAAACGCACGGCGCAGATGTACGAGTTCCATGACCAGTACAAGCGTGCCCGAGACCGCGGGGACGTCGATGCCCAAGGTCGTTGGTCACGCCAACTGGTCTGGGAGGTCGCCCGTCACGCCGTCGGGGAAGAGATTGTAATCTACCCCCTGATGGAGCAACACCTCGGCGAGCAAGGCAAAAAATTGGCAGACCACGACCGGGAGGAACATCTGGTGCGCTGTCTAATGTCTCTGGCTGCCATTTCTTTTCTGATGTATCGTTGCAGAACGTTAAGAAGCAGTTGTACCACCTTGAAGAGTTGAAGCCTGGTACCGCTGAGTTCCACAGCCTCCTCACCACCGTCATGGAGTCGCTGCACCACCACAACGACGACGAAGAGATCAAGGACTTGCCGCTCCTCGAGCCCGCCATTGGAGAATCTGCGAGCATGAAGGCGGCCGCCAGCTTCAAGAGAACGAAGAAGCTCGTCCCTACAAGGCAAGTTCTAGCTTGTGCATACGGGAATCGGTTGATGACTCTTGTGCACGAAGGCCCCATCCATCGCTGCCCAATCAGCCTCCAGTGGAGACCATCCTTGCCTTCCTTGAAGCACCGATCGACAAATTCAAGGACTGGTTTGCTTCATTCCCGACCGAGGAGGAAATGGAAGGGGCCCAGAAGGAGCTGAAGCCCCGCGACCATGATGCTGCTGCAGGTAGAAGGACGACGAAGGGTGAAGCTTGACTTGCTTAAGAGATGAGTCCAGTGTGCGGAACGTGGACGACCACCCGATCCCATAGAATCATTATCCAAATATGTTTGACTGTATTGCACGATTTGACGAGTGACATGGAGCACTACACAACCTCGTATATGAGATCGGCGAGTATAATGTTGACACTACGCGCCAACTTCACAGCGAGGTCGAATCCAATGCCGCACTTGAACGTCTGCACCCTATCCAAAGAGTCTGCAGGCGACGTCCGCACAAGCAGACGCATGCTGGACAGCTCCACGATCTACAAAGGTCTGTTCAGCCTTCCTCCACCCGCATACATACACTGTGCCAAAACTCACATTGGCGTACAATGCCGTCCGAGCCAATTCCATCTCCGTGTACTCCCCAGGAAGCCGATACTGCGGCGCGCTCAGCCTCGTCTCCGAGTCGTTCTCTTCCAGCAACGCGCCCAGAACCGCCAGCAGCCGGTCGAGCGGGAACGCCGTCGGGCCCAGCAGCCGCTGGGGCACCTTCGCCGCGGTGGTCGGGGCCCCCGGCTTCGGCCTGCGTGGGGTACCTCCACGGCGGCGGCGGCGCTTCGCTCGCTCGTCCGGGCCGCGCCCGAACATGCGCAGGTCGCTCCGCGCCGGGTTCGTGCTCGCGAGGAAGGCGGCGACGAGCACGAAGCGGGCCGTGCGCGGGAGGGCGTCCAGCCCGCCGCCGACGCCACCGGCACCCAGGCCCACCTGCTGACGAGGCGGCCAGTGTGGCAGCGTGGGCGGCGAGCGCGTCCGGAGCGCGGCGAGGATGCAGGGCGAGGAGGTTCGGTGGGGGCGTGTGTGCGCGGGCCCAGTGCGCGGCGGTGGAGAGCCGGGGGTAGAGCGCGTCGAGGGCGGCGGTGAGCGAGGGCGCGAAGAGGCGAGTGAGGCGGAGGATGGCGTCCTCGGTAGGAGTACCGAGGCGTCGCCGTAATCGATCTCGTCGGGGTCATCTGTTTTGGCTCTGTCGTGCTCGTCTAGAAGGGGCTGTATGAAACTTGGCCAGCGGGCGGATGCAATGTATGCGAGCTCGAGAGGATCGCGCACGAAGAGGCTGCAAACGTTATGAAGGGTGGCGACGAAGCGGTGGTATAGAGGTTGGAAGACGGGGTCGAACACACGGTGGTCGATTTGCTTGGACGAGGAGGGATGATCAGATAGGGACGGATAACAGTCGGCGAGGAGTTCTTGAGTGGCTGGGTGTGTGACCGATGTTCATAAGCATCTGGATGGAAAAATGGCCGATGCTCTTACATTCTTTGGAAAGGGATGGGACGTCCAGATAATATGGTTCTGGTGCTGCCCGCATCGGTGGACGGATGTCTTGCCACTGAACGTCAGACACAAAAATGGTAATGATATCGACGTGAGACTGTGAACCATTTACGTGTGAGAGATAATCGAGGGCTGGCGAAGGAGGGGGCGCACCAGTTCTGCGAGCCTAGTCAAGGCACGAGTAGATCGGGCAGACTGTCTTTCAAGCGCTCCGCGCGTTCGACCATCAACACCATCCGGGCGGGGTGCGCGTGCTCGCTTGCTCGCGTCTTGCCCTTACCCACGTCGCCTCCCCCACGCTGGCCCCGACGCTGTCCGCATATATGGCCTGAATCCCATGGACAAATGCATCAAAGCTCTCGTTGAACCGACCCCTTCGCCGTCGCCTGCTCCGAGCCAGTTCTGGGCACCAGTGTGCCAGTCTGGAACCCAGCCAGCAAGTGCATTGAGTGCGGTGTCAAAGAGAAGGCGAGGCGTGAAGCAAGCGACAGCATTGACGCAAGCGTATCTCAGTTGGGTACTTTCAAGAGGCCCTGAAGAGAGTGTTTGGAGATTGTGCGAACACTGGCGGCCGTCAACCGAGGGTTGTCTGGGTCATGGACGAAGACAAAGGGAGGAGGATACGACTCCAGGAGGGAAGAGAGGTGAGCGGTCAGAGCGTCGTACTCGGAACATGCTGAGAGTGCCTGGAGGAGAGCAGGAGACAAGGAGCCATGGCGGCGGGACGGAAAAGAGGTCGCGATGATGCGCTCCAGCCGCGCGGGGCGGGCGCGTCAAGTCGCGCGTCGGTGGCCGCCGCGTCGGTGCGATCGCCAGATCACGTGCTCCGGGGAGGTCAATGCAGCACGAGTCCGCAGGCGCCAGATTTCCCTTCTGTTTGCCCGGTGTGTGTTCCCTGCTCCCATCTCCTCTCGCCTTATAAAGGTGTCGCCTTGTCGCAGACGCCGCACACGCGCCTCCTCCTCTCTCTCCCCGCTCCCCCACACTCCCTCATGAAACTCGTTGTTCGTGTCCAGTACATCGGCGAGCGCGCCAAGCAGCTCCTGCGCGAAGAGCAAGCACCCGAGTACACGCGTGGCCTCATCGATGACCTCGAGCACTATGGCTTCCCAATGCCGCATGAGCAGAAGCCAATTGAGAAATCTGGCTTCATGCTATGTGTCTGGCATGTTGATAGGGACAGCGTACGTCTTCGCCTCTATGGCGGTGGTATTCCACCATACTCACGTCCTTGCTCTGTTATCAGGAAATGCATCGCGCGATTCAGAACGGTTTTTCGAGGGCTAAAGCCGAGGCGGGTCTGCTGAGTGTGCGGTCTATGTGAGTACTTTTTCCATGCCAGGCTCTCTCGACGCTCAAGAGTGGGTTGCTGTCAAGTCGATACATTTCCTTGAATGAAGAGTACGTGAACATGCATTCAAGGTCAGTTTCAGATGCCACGTTCCCTGACCATCCCTTGTTTCCAGTGGGATAACGCACACAACGTCCCTCATGAACAAGGCATACAAACCCAAGTCCTACAACAAGGCCGAATCCATCCCCCGCTTCTACCCAGCATCTGCGTATCCAAGCACGGACCACGAGCCTAAGACGTTCGGGAAGGCCCCCAAAGCCCCTACATCGATCAACCAGGCACGACGAGGGGTCACACCGCTTTCTCACCGCATCGGTCAGGAGTACGACCCGCGCAAAGGATTGGACGATGTTGATATGTATTCCCCAACTGAACGCTCTCCTCCACGGGAGGGCGACGGCTCCTCCGCAATGATCGATGTGACTCAGAAGACGCTCTTGCAACTTAGTCAGTCTTCGGCGTTCCAGAATTTACTTCACCGCGCAGGTCCTATCGTAAGCATCGGTTCCGCTCTGTGGCACCGCCCTGGGTGATACTCATTCCCTTTCTCAGAGCCCTCTCGGTCAAGAGCCTCTGTCCGAATATCCACTGCGTGGGCCTGCTAGCCCTCCACAGCAGGCGTCGTCGTCACCATTGGACATTCACAATCTCCAGGCACTTTTGCAGAGGGCTGGCGTCAGTGCACAAGCACAGGCCATCCTCGCAAGCCAGATCGCTCAACCTACGAGTGACGTCCCATACTCGCCAACGTCTGCGTCAGGCTTGGGAAGCACGTCGCTCAACCTGACAATGGGACCGTTGACGGGATCGTTGACTCTGCCGTCGTCGAGCGGCATCGCTTCTTCGGATCTTTCCTCTTCTCGTCCCATGTCGACCACCTCTTCCCGAGAGCAGGCTGCTGCGGTCAACGAAGCGCAACGAGAGTTGTGGGGTGTCCGCCGCCAGATCTCTGCCTCTCGGGCACGCGAAGAGGAGCTGATGCGTCAACTAGAACGCCTCGGGCAAAACGTCTCGCCTATGGAAGCCCCTGGTTCCGGGCAGTCAGACGCTCGCCTGAAGACCCTTCAGGATGAGAATGCAGGTGCGTGGCTATCTATTGGATGTCGCAATAGCCTACCTCATTGTTTCGTCGCCGCCGTTGGCATACGCCGCGCCACCACGCGTTGTTCGCCACAGCGCTCCAGGAAAACATCAAAGCGGAAATGGTGGCCCGCAAGGTCGCGGAAGCGAAGTTGCGTGCAGAGCGGCTGCGGCTAGAAGATCTCGAGAGGAAGGTGCAGCAGGAAAGCTCGCAGCAGATGATGGTCCCAGCCCTGCTGGACGCGTTCATGAAGATCGGCCAGATCTCTGGGGAGTCTCTCAAGGAAGCCAGCCCGCCGTCGGCAAACGGCGGGCCCCGCCCCAGTGCTGGCCAGGGCACCGCTGCCCGCTTCGCGCATGGCGATGCGTCCGGTCCTTCAACCTCTCCGAGGTTCTGAATGGTGCCGCGCATGCGCTCCCGGCACGAATGCGGAAATGGTGCTCCTTGAGGGTACGGCGTGTGTCTTGGAGGAACCCTGGCGCGATCGCGAGGACAACACGTGGTGGCCCACTGGGGCGCGCAGCTGTATACGACCGTGCCGACGAGCGTTATGAAGACCCCAGGCGACGTCACCCGCTGGGTAGCGAGGGTAGGTATCCTTGTCCGGTCCTTTGTACATCTATGAGCGAGCGAGCGAGCGAGAGGTTATGGGCACTGTCTTGTACTGTCACTCTGGCGACGTGATCTGCGTGGGTTGGGGTATATAGCGGTGGTGTGTTGTAACGGCGGAGGGGACATCGGCGCCGGCTTGGTGTGCTCGGGGACAGTGTAGCGTGACTACTACCGGCACTCGAAGGCGACGGGTTGTCATCTCTTCGTCGTGGTGGCTTCTCTGATATATTGTTCTGGCCAGGTGCTTCTCGGCGAGGGAACTGGGCATCCTTGTCTGCGCCTGCCTCATGCGCAAACTGAGGCAGCGTTGAACACAATACATCCGGCCCAACAAGGAAAGCGTTGCCACTCCACGAGCAGACAACGTAGACAACGGTCTTCCCTTCGTCGTGTACCAACTATGTTTTTACTCTCCTCCGTCTTCGAATAAAACTTAGGTCATTTGACTTTTGGTTATCTATAAGCGCCCTCGGGGGTTATGCGAGCCATCGCAATAGAGATAGATTGTGCAGCGGCACGCCATCCTCCTCCCCCACCACCGCCCGACGACATAGAGTACATCTCGAGAAGATCCGCTAGGTCTAGGTACATATATCCACACGTATTACAGCCATCGAGTATATACACTAGTCGTACATCTCACATCCTACATTATTGATCTTTCAACGCCGACGATTGACGGCGTCCCGACGTAGCGGGCCCTAGCCACACGCACACACAGAGTCGTACACACCGCACACACCAACCAGCGCCGCAGCACAGCACGCCTCACCTCCCAACCCTGCCCAACACCGCACCCTCGCCCTCCCACTGACGACGGCTCAAGCATAACGCCGCGCTCAGAGTCCGTGGCCGCCCACGACCGCCTCCGGCATCTCGATCAGGTCCGCGGCGTAGTCGTCGAGCATGCAGACCGTGAACCGGCGGTCGGCGCCGAACTCGCGGTTCCACGCGCGGCTCAGGCCGCCTTCCCAGGCGTAGAGCTCGACGCGCCAGCCCTTCTTGAGCGCGGTGCGCACGCACCCCAGGAAGCCGTCCTCGTTGAACTGCCCCACGTTCCCGTCCCCGGTCGCGAGCACGATCGTCGCCCCCGCCGGCGGCGCGTCGACGTCCGCGATCGCCTGGTGCAGCTTCAGCTGCAGGAGCTCGTCCACGCCCTGCTCGCGGTACCGCTGCCGCGCGGCCGCCGCGCCGTTCGCGTTCGCGTTCGGGCTCGGGTTCGACCCGGGCATGTTCCCGGCTGCGCTCCCGGACGCGTTCGCGGCCCCGTTGGCGTGAGCACTGGTGGCGTTCCCGTTCCCGTTCCCGTTGAGAGCGGCCGCGTGGGCGCCTTCGGACTCGGTCGACGTCCCGTTCCCGCCGGTGGACGTCTTATGCGCGTGGCCGCGCGCAGGCTGCCGCGCCTTGCCCCGCGCGCGCGGTGGGCCCGCTTCGGCGCCGTTGCTGTTGTTGTTGCCGTTGTTATGGTTGTTCTGCCCGCGGCTGTTCCGCCGCTGGTGGGCGCCGTCGTGCTGGTCGCGACGATCGGGGCCGTCGCCGGTGTCCGGGACGCGCGCGTAGATACGGACCTCGTACCCGAGCTGCTCCGCGGCGTCCATCGGCTGGTAGAGGGCGAGGACGTGACGAGCACGCGGCGGGTGACGGGCCGGCCGCGCTCGAGGACGAGTGCGAGCGCGGCGTGCGAGAGGTGGGTCTGCTTGATCTTGCGGACGATGTGGCCGAGGTGGCGCTTTGCATAGTTCACGAAGCCGATAAGGATGTTCGAGCTGCGTGGGGGGGGGGGGAGATAAACGGACGAGCGCGGGAAACAGGGCGATGCGGAGATACGCACTGGTCAATGAAAACATGGATGAGTGTGTCTTGAGAGGTGGGAGCGGGCCCACGGGGGTCGGCGTAGGTAGCTGAGGATGTGAAGTCCCTGGAAAGAACACCGAGAAGCGCCTGGCGTTCTGTTCGGAAGAGGAGCCTGAGTTTGTGGGCAAGAGTGCGAAGCTGAATCGTTTGGGCGTCGAATGATCGTGTCGTAACGTGTAGGCTGGGTGTGGAACGACTGTGGTGGAGGCGGGGGTTTGTCTCAGCGGCTGCGCGTTGCTTCTGCTTCTCGCGTCGGAACGTAGCAGGGGTAGCAGGAGTGGTCTTGGGTCGTGGAGAGGAAGAGGTCGCTTCGCGAGAAGATGAAGAGTAGTCACCATCCTCGTTGTCGGCGCTCGCTTCGTCCTGCCCTTCTCCTTCCCCCGTCGCCGTCTCCGTACGGGTGCCATCCTCGGGCGCGACTTTGCGCGCAGAACGAGACTTGCGTCTGCGCTTTCGACGGATGGCCGGGAGAGGGAATTGGGAGGGACTGTCTGAGGTGGTTGTTGAGCCGGCTCCGCGGAGCTCGCGTTGTAGCGTGAGTTTCTCTCGCTCTGCAGCGAGGTACATCAACGCTTGGTCGAGGTATCCGAGCGAAGGGCGGTCCACAGCGTTCTCGTCTTCGATAGGGACTTCTAGCTCCGTCCCGTCGTCATACTCCGAAGCGGTGTCTTCAGTGTCGAGCGGGAGGGAGGCGGCTTCGCGCATGGGACTTCCTGGGAGAGAGGATGTGAGGTACGAAGAGACTCGCCTCTGCGACCAGTTGGACGGCCCTTGGAGGGGGTCCGAGTCGTCTGAGTGGGAGAGGGCGAAGGAGGATGTGGGGGTGGCACTACGAACGTCGGTGCCATTGAGAGGGTGGAGATTGGTGAGTGCCCTGAAAACAGTCCCGAAGGCTCCTAGATCTGGTGCATCTATGGCGAGGGTGGCTTGAGCAGGCTACCCAGAGTGTACTTGGCTGTATCTCACCATCAGAAGTAACGCCGCTACCGACCGAGAAGGTGGAGAAGGGGCTCAAGGGGCCGGGGGAAATAGAGGACTCAGTGACGGACTGTGTCATAAATACAGCGTGAAGACGAGGAAGGGGGAAGGAGAGACGTTGGTGTGGAAGCGAATGTCGTCGTCGTCGTCGACCGTGGGGTTATATGTGACTGGGCGCAGAGCACTCAGCCTTGTCACCAAGCATGCATCGCTTCGGCGCCTCCGCCGGCTTGACGCGCTACACGTGTGGCCCGCCTGTCACTCGCGCGCCCGCCAGCTCGCGCCAATTGGGCCCCTGCGCCGCAGCCCCACCGGTCGAGCAGGGAGCCTGTGGTCAATGCACAGGTTCCCGCCGCAAATCGTCTGAAGGTGATAGACCCTCCGCGCGAGAACAACGCCAGTTTGGGGCTTCTGCGCTAAGGGACCAAGCTTGGCAGCCGGGCGGCTCAGCGGTCCGAGGAACCATGCCACTGACTCCCACCACTGGGATTCTACATCTGCATAATAGGTTGGTGAGAGCAAATAATTGTAGTCAAATAAGGTTAGCCAACCTTCACTGCTTTTGTCCACGCGTCTGGATGTGGGCATTCGAGCCGGGCGTAGTCATGAATGGTCATTGGTAGACACATACTGAGCAGTGGTCTTGTGGAAGACATACCGAGGACGGTAACTTTGCCCCAAGTAGTGCTTCATCTCACACTCTTGTGGAGTGCAGCATACAGCCTTGTCATCACAAGGCATCCAGGACAAGTATCTGGTACTCACCGAGAAGGTGCGAGAGCCATGTCATTTCGAACAGATCGTCACGGGATAAAAGTGGAGGGACAGCGAGAGCGGAGGGGGTAAGGATGCTGTGAAGTAGCAAGGAGGCAGCATGAGTCGGGTGGCGGATATATGCAAAGGTGCTGCGGCACTCCGGGGAACATCCTGGCAACCCACCTTCCCACTTCAGCTACAATAGCGCGGCCCGGCCTTCTCGGGGGGAGACGAGTCCACAAAGGGAGGCTCAAAGGGCGGTGCTTCGCTCGCAGGCTGGGAGAGAGGGTGCGCGGCCCCGCTATGTACGGTGCTGCGGTGCAGGGTGAAGGAATAAGAGAGATCATCACGCATCCAAAGCCGACAGACACATCGGACCCGGAAATGAGCGTCTCGTTCATTTCCTTCGCGGTCACATGAGCGTGCTACACGCGCGTATCGCACGCGTCCAGCCCTCTGTGCCACCGATCTCGGCGCGATCGACCTATTACGAGGCTCGAACGGCGTGGTGGAAGTCTATCAGCCCACACGAACGCATATCGATGGACCAGACACAACAAAACCATCTACGTTGTGATGCGTGGCGAGGCGACTGCTCTCTACTACATGTGCAGTACATAGGTGACCCCGAGCCGTATAAGGTATGTGCAAAACCAGCGTGCCAGCGAGGATATATACGAGAATCATGATGTCTAGATATATGCGGTGCGTCGTGAGCATCGTGAGGTTGGAGAGTGCAAATAGAGGCGGGACTAAAAGACGAATAAGCTATATAACGAGTGAAGCTGCGTTGCAGCATTGTCCGTCGTGGATGTTCGGATTTTTCCGGGTCCGACCTCCGTCTGCAGACAAAAGCGGAGTCCTTCTAGATGGTCGCAAGCGCAGTTTGGATGGGTCCCAGCCCGCGGTGGATCCACTCGTTGGGCGTGGCGCGATCTTCCTTCGAGAAGATCTGGTCGTTGTACTGGGAGAACGCCCAGTTCTCGACGTGAGGCGCCGGGAGTGCAGTGATAGCGAGCAGCTCGTTGCCTGGAATTTACTATTAATATGTAGCCGCAGTGTGTGTACGGCACGACTTACGAATGATGTTGTGCGTGAAATGATCCAAGTTCTGAGAAAAGACGGCCATCAGTGACAGCAGAGATAGGGCAGCCAAACGTATCACGCCTTACCAGGTCGTTCTTATCATAACCTTGATTTCCGTGCAGATTTTTCATCAGAGCTGTCAATAAAACGATGCGGCGAATGCTTTACTCACCGAAGGGATCTATCACAGGATAATCAGTATACGAACGAAGGGCAATGACAAATGTATGCCTTACTTTCGATCTCTTCGCCGGCAACCAAGAACCCGAAGAAGATGAAGCTCTGTTGTGTTTATGAGGGTTGAAACGATCAGTTGCAATGGAGAAGCACAAACCGCGACAAATGTGGCCGGGATGGTCAACAAGCCAAGGGTGGGGTAAATCTGCAGAGGCTATACACGGAGTGAGTATTGATCCGCAGCATAGAGAATGGACTGGACATACAAGGAAGAAGTTGTACACAAGTGCCACACTCCACAAGTGAACCCGGTAACTGCACGCGACGTCAATGAAGGAAATTGTCGTGAGCGCGTCAAGGGCTTACGAGAAGGGTATCGGCGTCGTCAAAATACGCTCCAAACCAGTCAGCGCGTCAACAAGGGTAGTCAAGGCATTGAGCAGATTGGCTGAGTCGACCATTAGCATAGGCAATGATTGTACTCAAGTCAAGGTGACTTACTGGCCGTAGGCGGCGGCACCACTCCACGGTCTTGAAGGGCGGCGATGTACGAACTCTGACAGCGGAGATGAGCAACCTGACGTCACATACGTAAGACACCGACGCACGAGGTACAGGGAAATCTCAAGAGGCAGGTTGTGAGTGACAACCCGGCTCCGAAGCTTCGCCCGTATGCGCGCAGCCTTCTTTCCCTGCATGCGATATGAACGTGAGACCCCGTACATGCGCATAAACAAAGGACGCGAACCTTGACTTCCTTGCCGCGCTTCGTCAAAAAGCCCACGAGCAGAGACAGAGGGAACAGGTCGAGCAGGTGGTACTTCGGGGGTTGCGTGCCGGGAGAAGGAAATCCTCGTTCGACATGACCGAGCGACTGTCGACCTTCTCGCCCTTCTCGTCCGTCTCAGCAATAATGTCGCCTTTGTTGGTCTTCTCGGCATGCCTGGTGCGAACGTTATCCCGGTGGGAAGGAGGGAGCTGCAAGCTGACTTTGCGTCCAATGCCTGCTGTGGCCGGGGGAGGAAGTCCTTGGGGGAAAGTGGGGGACACAGGCGATCTGGAGCCCCCATTCTCCACGCCGCTGACTAGCGAAGGGGTTACAATGCTGTCACCGCGACGACGGTGGGGAGAGCGTGTAGACGCATTGTCCATTGAGTTGACATCGACGAGGGAGGGAAGACCGGCGGGAAGAGCGTATGCGGGGAGGTGCTTGACGAGGTGGTACAGATCGACATAGTACACGCCTTCCTCACCACGCAGATAGTGCTTCACCGCAACACCAAACGCCTCGATGAGGTTGATAACCGTCTTCTTCTCAATGAGCACGCGAGCCCTACGCTCCTCCTCCGACATCGTCTGCCCGGCGGGCACAGGGTGCATCTCTGCGTGGAGGTGTGGGTTTGCTGCACTATCACGCACAATGAAAAAGGAAAACATACCTGGAACATGGAACCAGATCGTCCTCGCCAACGTCCTGCTGCCCAGGATGATTTGAGACCATAGCCTCCGACCCTCGTTGTACCGCTCGAAACTCGCCGTCGTCCGGTAGGAGACAATGAAACCGAGGACTGTACCGAACCTGTGGAGAGGCACGGTCAGTCACTTGGTCTGCAGCCGGAGAGTCGGGTCAAGACTCGTCAGTAAGTGGTGTAGGGTAATGCCGACGGTGGCGCAGGCGGGAGAACAAAGGACGCAAGCTACCTACACAGTCAACAGGGTGGGCTGGAAAGACAGCTTGGCGATTCCGGCATGGTTTATGACCGAAATAGCGGTGGCCCATGCGGTGTAGAAGAGGAGGAGAGGCCAGCAGCGGAACACGGCGGTGGCGAGTGCGGCACTGAGGAATCTTGAAATGGCACCCCCGTGTTTGGGGGCGAAGGGGTCAACCGTGTACATGGAGGTTGATTCCATTTTGCGTGCAGACGAGAAGAAGACCGACTAATAAGTCCAAGAAGAGAAGGGCGTGGAAGGAGAAGAGGGGAGGGGAGGGGAGAGGCGCGTTGGCGCGTTGTTGAGACTTACGAATGCGGGGCCCGAGGGTATATGTTCGGGATAACGGGCATGGATATATCGGTGGTGGCCAGGGCAACTCTCGGCTCATCAGATTTGGCGCCATTGCATGTGCATCCGGCTGACATGGCTATGTTACAACAGGGATGTTTCAGTGCGTCCTATGAGCGTATCAAGCCTTTGTGGTTTCTCGTCACACGGGCTGAATGCGGTACGTACTAGGTGGTCGGGGAGGACGCGGACATGCGGATGCCGCGCGCGTGCCGAGTCGCATTGGCGGCTTGGGTGCGCAGCGTCGCCGGTCGGAATAAGTAGGCGTGGGAGTCGCCGAGGCCACGCGCGCCTCGTCACGCGTCCTCACGTGTAAAAGCGTCACGCGTCGCGTTTATCCTGATGTCCGGACCGATTTGGAGAACTGACTCAAGCAGATGCGTCTTCGGCCTGGTGCTCGTCTTCTTCTTCGCCCTTGTACTTCTACTCCTCCTCCCATCTGGGCTCGCTCCAAGCACACCGACATGGCTACCACCCAGGTCAACAAGACTGCTCATCCATTTGACAAGCCGCGCTTCGAGGCGTTGCTCAATCGTCGCTTCTTCTATGCACCGGCCTTTGAGATCTATGGCGGTGAGTAATCATCTCAATCGCCATTGTGCCTGGTTATGGGGTGGGGTGCTGCCGAAGGGGTGTCACGCGCCGCCTCGTGTCGAGGAGGACGAGTGGAGTGGTTCAAGACCTTGGGTGAACTCCCCTCAACAGCTTGAGGCCTCGAAACATAATCTGTCGGAACATGTTGGTCATGTCACGGATCTGACATCATTCCTAGGCGTCGCCGGTCTGTATGACTACGGTCCTCCGGGCTCTGCTCTCCAGAGCAACATCATCACGGAATGGCGCAAACACTTCATTGTCGAGGAGCTCATGCTCGAAGTGGACACGACCGTCATGACTCCCGCCCCTGTATTCGAGACCTCCGGTCACGTTGCGCGATTCGCCGACTGGATGGTCAAGGATCTGAAGACAGGCGAGGTTCTTCGCGCCGATCATCTAGTGAAGAACGTGTTCGAGGCGCGGCTAGCCGGGGACAAGGAAGCGCGAGGGCTTGCGGCGCAACCTGTCAAGGAAGACGAGAAGAAGAAGAGGAAGAAGGACAAGGGGAAGGCGGTCGCCGTCAAGCTCGAGGATACCGTAGTAGCGGAATATGAGAACATTCTAGCCCAAGTGAGTGCGCTCAATTGCGATATTTCTTCCAGCGTTCACCATGGAAAAACACACAAGCTGGACAACTACTCCGGTCCGGAGCTTGGCGAGCTCTGCAAGAAGTACAACATCCGGAACCCTGATACCGACAACGAAGTCTCTGAACCCGTCCAGTTCAACCTGATGTTTGCGAGCAGCATCGGCCCCACCGGCCAACACCCCGGTTTCCTTAGGCCAGAGACGGCGCAAGGCCATTTCCTTAACTTCTCGCGTCTCCTTGAGTACAACAACGGGCGCGTTCCCTTCGCGTCTGCACAGATCGGTCGCTCCTTCCGCAACGAGATTTCACCCCGCGCAGGTCTCCTTCGCGTACGCGAGTTCACCATGGCCGAGATTGAGCACTTCGTCGATCCTGAAGACAAGTCGCACGAACGATTTGTCGACGTACGCGACGTAGAACTCAATCTTCTTGACCGGCATACACAGTCGGCTGGGAGCACCAAGGTCACAAGAATGAAAATCGGTGATGCGGTCGACAAAGGGGTTGTCGCCAACGAGACTCTCGGCTACTTCATTGCTCGTATCCACCTGTTCCTGCTCAAGATTGGTATCAACCGAGACCGGCTCCGCTTCCGCCAGCACATGTCCAACGAGATGGCGCACTACGCGACAGATTGCTGGGACGCCGAGATCCAGAACTCGTATGGCTGGACTGAGTGCGTGGGCTGCGCGGACCGCGCAGCGTACGACCTCACCGTGCACATGGCGAAGACCGGTCACCCTCTGGTTGTCCGCCAAGCTCTTAAGGAGCCAATAATCACGGAGAAGCTGACGCCCGAATACAACAAGAAGAACTTTGGTAAGACGTTCGGGAAGGACACCGCCTCGATCCAGACGATTATAGATGCCATGGACGAGGCCGCTCTAGCCAAGATGCAGGGCGAGCTCGCGCAAGGGTGCGTCCTTCATTTTGCGGCCATGTGTCGTCCGCGGGAATGGGACGTTGCGACCCGTGTCTGCTCACACGACCTTCCGCGTCCGACAGGGCGACTACTGTAACCGACACCGAAGGCAAGGTGTTCCCGCTGACCGCTGACCATCTGATCATCGAGCGGAAGACGTTCAAGCAGTCGGGTAAGCGGCATTGTCAACTCCTCGGTCGAGGTGCAGTATCAGCTGACGGTGTGCGCATGCAAACCCCAGTCCGCGAGTTTACTCCGAACGTCATTGAGCCATCGTTCGGTCTGGGCCGTATCTTGTACGCGCTGCTCGAGCACAGCTTCTGGAGCCGAGAACAAGATGTAGAGCGCGGGGTGCGTCTGCTTTTGCCTCGTTCCGCTCCGTCTCGGGCGCTCCGTTTAAGTAGCCACCCTATCCTGGATGCTGACGATTGGTCTAGGTGCTCTCGCTCCCACCTGTCATCGCCCCTACGAAAGTTCTCATCGTTCCGCTGAGCGCGAGGCCAGAGTTTGAGCCGCTCATCCGCGAAGTCTGTGAGTCTCCGTTCGCCGTTCCGATGGTAGTCGCCGAGGTCACACGACCATCTGGATGCTAACCCCACGCCCCACAGCGACGAAATTACGCAAGGCGGGCATCTTCTCGCGCGTGGACGATTCGAATCAGTCGATTGGCAAGCGCTACTCGCGCAACGACGAGCTGGGCACACCCTATGGCCTCACGCTTGACTTCGCTTGTACGTAGTCTTGTGCGCTCCTTGCGGTCTGGGTCCAGGCCCTGATGCGTGCTGACCCCTTTCCTCCTTCCCACCGTCACAACAGCCGTTCAGAAGCGGACCATGACCCTGAGGTGAGCATTCGTTCACTGCCCGCGCCCCACGGGGACCTGCTGCGGGCGCTCCCTGGCACGCCCGCGGCCCCCACAATCCCCTCCTTCCCGGCTAGCAACCCTATTCCGCTTCCGCTTCCGTCGCCCTCCGATGCGTCTTCTTTCCGTCTATCGCCTCACCCACGTTCCCTTCTCCTCCGCCCCGGCCGCTTACCTCGTCCTATCCCTGAAACGAGTTCTGATCCGCGGCCTTTACGCTGACGCCCGTCCTTCGCTTCACAGAGAACGCGACACCACGACGCAGCTCATCGGGGACATGGACGAGGTGTTGAACACCGTCATCGAGCTCGTCGACGGCACGATCGACTGGCCCGCGGCGTGCGCCCGGCTCCCGGCGTACGACGGCGTCCAGGCCCTCGAGTGAGCGAGCGCCTGGTGCTTCTCCCGTGGCGCGCGTGCGCACGGAGAAGGGGGGCGAGAGGGGGCCTCGGGGGCTTTCGACGGCGAGGCCTCCCCGGTACTGCGCCTCTTGTCTGATCGGCATTGGCATTGGGATCTGGCGCGGCGGACGTGGGGGGCTGCGGCCTCGCGGACGGAGGAGTGCTGGCGGAGCGCGCGCACTCACGGGTGCTCCGGGCTCGGGTGCGGGCGACGATGCCGGGGGTGCTCGTGGGAGCGCGGGGGGTGGCAGGCGAGCGCGATGCGCGAGGTGCGAGGGGCCGTCGCGCGCGCACTGGCTCGGGGGCGGTAGATAGAAGGCGTCGGCAGGAGAGAGAAGTCGCGCGCTCGCCATCAAAAGCGCACCGTTGTACATTGTATACGAACGAAAGCAGAAACGCCGTCGACCGTCGACGCAGAACGCTCGAGACGGAATGGAATCGGGCCTTGCGCACGTCTTCGGGCCTGGCTTGGCGGACTGGAGATAGGCATACGTACGGTGCGGCCCCGGCGAGCGTGTGTCGCTCGGAGCTGCTGGCAGCTGCAGAGGGTGGCAGACGCGAGGCTTCCCCCCGATGTTCTTCTGTCAGCGCACCAGCGCCGTCCGGTACTGTTTGCACACGCGCGACGTCCTCGCCACGCCGCCGCGCTGCCCGGGGCGCGATCGCGGAAGCAAACCCGGAGCGCACAGCTTTTGCGCGAGTCCAGGACCGGACCGATCGATCGGCAAAGCAGACGTCTTGACTCTTGTGCATAGTGACTCTACATGCTCTTGTTGAATTTATGTACTGGCCAGCGCGCGCCACAGGGGCCGAGCACCGAGTCCGCGCAGCCCGTGCCGCCTCTTTTTCTTGCGCGGCGGCGGTCGTGCGAACTCTGGGCGCGGTGTTCGGGGCGGTTCGCGCTCCGACGGAAAGAAAGCAGGCGTACGCGTCCATGTGGAGTTTTCGGAAGTGCGTTCTGAGGCGGGCGTACGGTGCTGGGGTGTCAAACCACCGGGTGACGATTCGTGACTACGTACGCGAGTCGAACGCCCTGGGCGGGACCGCGGACAGCGATCAGCACAGGGCGATGACGACGGACGGCGCGCCGATCGAACGGCTCGTGTGCTGGAGCGTGAAGCTTTGAAGCGTTGGACGTTGAAGACCGGCATCCCGCCAAACGAATCGTTTTGGAGCAAGCGATGGGGCACCCGGGCGAGGCCTTGCGCGCGCGCGACGACACGTACGGCGAGATCTCTGTCGACGTCATCGCGCGCGATGACGGCCGCGGCGGCACCAGAGGGGCCACTTGGTGAGACGTGAATTCACCGAGTGCGTGCGCGCAGGGTCGGCACCACGCTCGCTGGTCGCAGCGGGTCGCAGTGGTCACGGGGGCGGCCGTGCCGTCGGAGGGGTCGCACGATCGAGAAACAGCGCGACCGTCTGGACGCGCTACAGCGTCCGAGGGGGACGGTTCCGGCAGGTTACGCGGCGTTCAAATCGCGAACCTAGTCCTGGCGTCATGCGGTGGCACTTGTCCCATTGCGGGGATAATCGTGGGGTCTGTCGGCTCGCTGGCGTGAGGCGCGCGAAGGTTTCGCAGCCCCGGAGAATACTGAAGCAATCGGTGCTCACCTGGCACGGAGGCTGCCTAGTGAGAGGGCACGGATCTGCGAAGCACGGTCCACGTGCACGCGCGATCGAACGTCCTTACGAGCTGCCCGGCCGGTTATAGCGACTTCGTGTGCGAGAACCCTGGAAGGAGAAGCTGCATAGAACGAGCGGCCGCGCCAGGCGACGACGCCAGACGACGCCACTCTCCGTCATCCCTGCCCGCGTTCGTCCTAGTCGTCATTTTGCGCACGGCGTGATGCGTGGGCGCCGTGCGTCGCGGAGATTCATCCTGTCGCTAGCTCCCGAAGCTTGCGTAGCGCGCCGTCGTGGTCGATCGGGCTAAAAGCGAAGCTTGCAGGTCGTAAGTTTGTCGACGCCCCGTATGGTGTCTCACCAATCCAAGTCGCCGCGCCGCAAGGTGCAAACCTTCGTCCACGCAGACCGTTCGGCTGGTAGTGCGCGATAGCATCGTCATCAGCATATCGCCCACCATCGACCGGGCGACCGTCTGTGTTTCCACGGCCCAAATCTTCATACGGTGACACAACCCTCACGGAAGCTTTTTTGCCTGGCGAGCCAGGCACCAACCCTCCCGAGTCCCGTCGTCGAGGTCGTCCTCCTCATTTTCCTGCGCGCACGGCAACTGCTCGGGTCCGCGCCCCGTCCCTGCGCGGCATCCAGGAGCATCCAGGGCTCCCGCACACCGCCCCGTCGCCACGCGACGTCGCCCACACGCGCGCGAGTGTCGGTCGTGCGCGGTTGGTTGCACCCTCGCCCGGGCGTGATGGAGGCCAATTACGCCTGTGATCGCGGCGGTGGATGGGCTGCGTTAGCACGCGTGGCTGACCGAGCCCGGCCGCGCCAGGCCGCCGGGCGGATGCTTCCGCGGCAGGGGGGGGGCGCGGCGCGCGGGCGTTGCCGGGCGACCGTCGCCTGCGCCGTCCCGCCGCGGGGTTGGGACACGGCTGGATCACGTCGTCGGGGCGGCGCGCGCGCGTGAGGGCGGGGGACGAGTGCAGGACGGCCTGAGCTGGGGTTCGCGCGCGAGAAGGCCCTTGGGTCCCCGGCGCGTGCGCGCAGACGGCCCTGCAACGTGGTCATCTGGGGCGCGGGGGCTCGGCCACACGCGCACCATATATGGAAGGCGCGGCCCCGGGCTTCGCGGGGGTGCACGAGCGGCGGGCGCACAACTCCCGGGCGTGGGCCGCGAGAAACGACGCGAGCCCATGCCGTACTCCCCCGCTGCGTCCTGTCAGCAGACCGGACTGACGTGCGAGACGAGTCTTGACTCTTGCGCCGTCCCCGCGCGCGCGTGCGGTGCTGGGGTGCGAGCGTATGCGAGACAAGATAGATCTTATGCGCGAATCGGCGCGCGAGATGGGGTTGAGACAGGAGCCCACCCCGGGATGAGGGCCTCGGAGCGGGGACGGGTGGCGATCATGCTGCGGTCGGAGGCAAGGTGGAGGAGAGTGGGAGGCAAAGGATAGCACATCGCCGTCACGCGTAAGGGAAGATGAGGGAAGATGGGCGCGCAAGGGAGACATGTGCATGAGGTCCATGGTTGTCGGTCAGGGACGGGCGTTGCTGGAGGCGGTAAGATGCGATACCAAATGACAACCTAATCCAACGTGGCGGGGGCTGCCGACGGATGACAACGGGGCGGGAGGGGCATGATTCGAACCTAGACTCAGTCTGGTGAGGGGCAGGATCGCGGGTCAAAAAGGAGTGGAATTGGACATTTGCGGTGGAAGAAAAGCTTACAGAGCGCGAGACAACGCAGGTTTGACATTGACCACGGACAGGGCGGCCACGCGGAGAGCTTCGCACTGAGATCGCTGGCGCACGCGATCAGATACAGTCGAGCCTGGAGGCGGACTGTCCAATTCCGAAGCGCAAAGGGCAGTTTGGGTCCTCCGCGAAGACGCGCACAGGCTGCGCTGGAGATCGTGAGCATGTAGCGAGCCTCGCCCATCGAAGAACGCACCCTGCAAGAAGCGGCCGGGGTCTGAAGGTAATGCTGAGGCTTTAGGCCTACCAGATACGTGCCCGATGACCCCAGAAAGTAAGCCTGCGAACGCGGGGAGGCATGTGAGCTGCCATGTGCACGCGGGAGAACGAGCATTCATGGGCGCGGCGGGAGACGTGCCTTGACAGTCAAGGTCGGGGGTCGTAGTCAGTGCCCCGCCGGGTTCTCATGAACGTGGAGGGAAACGCGCTGGGGAGGGCTTGAGGCAGGTGCTGGATTGGGAGTCGGAGCGCCGTAGGGTCTTGTGATGTCGAGGTTGGGAAGAGGACATCAGCGCGTGCGGTAGCCGGTGGCACGCCCGGCCTGGGCTGCGAGGACGCGCTCAAGACCCGTCTGTCGGACCAACGAACAAGTCAGATGAGAGCAGGAGAGGCGAGGCGCAGTGGGCATATGCTCACAGACATGGGCGTCCGTGCCCCGATCGTGGCCAGAGCATGGGCAGCAGACCTCAAGGCCCCAGCCTCAGTGCGCAGGCCTTGAGGCGAGTGTCAAGGCCAGACGTGCCGCGGGCGCGGGGGTGTTGTGGCCAGCTGAGTGTGGGCAGCTCTGGTGGAGCGGTCGAGGGTGTGTTATCGTAGGTTGCCGGCAGGGGTGGAAGAAGTGGCAGCCTGATTGGGGAGGTCGAGTCCTGTTCAGATTCCGCGACTCCGCCCGAATGAGCCAATCACCAGCAGAGGCACGAATATCAGTATCGGAGGGGGCGATCTGAGCGCCCGGCCTGCGTGCAGAGACGTCAGATCGCGACGCGAGATCGCTCGCGTCCGTGAGAGCCGAAATAGACCCTCGCTCTCTGCGCGGTCTGGGCCCGCTCGCGTATAAAGCTCCCCGCCCTCGTCTCTGATCCCTCTCATCACCCCGTCTCTCTGCGGTCCTGCACATTCTCCCCGCCGTACAGACTCCCTCCTCGCCTCCGTTCTCTCTCCCGCCGTCCCCTTCACTTGGCCCGCGCTACCATGCCTTCCCAGAAGTCCTCCTCCTCCTCCGCCTCATCCACGTACTCCATCCCTCCTCAGCAGCTTGTCGCGCTGCCCAGTCTCGCCTCCTCGCTCTGTTCGCTGCCCCAAGCGAAGAGCATCGACAGCCTCTCTCTCCACCCATCCATGCTCGCACAGCGCAATGCCGAGTCCCAAGCAAAGGTGTGTTCGGTCCCTACTTCTCATTGGGCGCGTCGTTGACATGGCGTGATCTTTTCCAGCTGCAGAAAGCTTTGTCAAAGTCATCAACGAGCACCAACCTCGCATCTGCGTACGCCGCTCCCCTTGTGCGTACCTGAACACCTGTCTACTGCGCGCATCGGTGGTTGACACGCTGTCTGCTCTGCCAGCCACCGACGCAGTACTCTTCCTCGAACAACTCGCCACCATTGATGATGCGGAAACCCGTAAGTCTTGGTGAACGCGTCTTGACTTGTCCAACAACTGACCTTGTCATCGCAGGCAAAGTCAAAAATTCAAGTCTAAGCGAAACCCCTCCCCCCGTAGACTTGACTTCCTCCACACTCCGTTCTAGGACTTTACAGTACCTACCCCGTCGGCTCGCTATCGCGGCCAAAAAGCTATCCGTACGCACTCGATCTTGCTTTGCATCACTAGACGATCCCTCTCCTACTCTTATTCCCCACATGGCATCGATATCCCTGCACTCTCTCAGCATATCTCTCTGTCTCATCGCATACACTCGTCGCTCCCTCATGCTCGCGCACTCTCGTATCCACTTCGCATATGGCTGGCGCCTTTGGGTTTCTAATCACCATCCTGTGACAGTACGCTCTTATGAACATTACACTCCGGGATGCCCGTGGCTAGTCCTTGAATACATTATACAATATGATTTGCCTCCGTCTCTCGCGCGTGCCACCAGTGGGATCCCGCCGCGACCGTCGCGAGTCCAACCAGGGTTCGGTCTCAGCGCTCAGCGCTCAGCCTTCTCCCGGAATTCCCGCCCCCGCCCGACCCTGCAATCGACCGTCGCCCGTCGCCTGGCCTCCCGCGTCTCGCGCACCGCCGCTGTCTGGCCACGCCATCGCGCACGCGCGTGCAAGCATTCCGCGTCGCGAACACCCGCGTCGGTCCAGACTCGCTTGTGCGCCGTTGACCTCACCGCCGCCCCGCCGGGCGCTGCACCGGACGCCTCCCCCGCGCGCTCCGCCGGCCAGGGGACGAGGGCGAGGACGACCGCGCGCACCTTGCAATAAAACACCACGTCCATTGCACGGTGGCGGGCGACCGCCGGTGGCGTCGACTCGGTCCCGCCGCTCGCCGCGCCGGTCGAGGGTCTCGGAGCCTAGAGCGTCGCCGGCCGCGCCCTAGATCGAGCACTGAAGGCGAAGCTGGAAGCTTTGGATCGTTGAAGCGTTGAAGGCTGCAGGTTGCAACGCGCGGAGCAGCGCGGGCTGCTCGCAAGATCGCCCGGGCGGACGTACTGCGCGCGAGGTGGTTGGCGGCGGCGGCGAGACCGTCCGCCGTCGGGGACGGGACGCCCCCGATTCGCGCGCCGGGTTGGCGGGCGCGGTCGAGCCTGGGCTGAGGACAGGACACAGGACACAGGACGCAGGGCGCAGGACACAGAAGCTACCCACAGAAGCGACACCCAGAAGGCAATCCGAACGAGAGCGCGAGCTTCCGATCTGGCCTTATCTCGCCGTCGGACGCGTCCGTACGTACGCCCTTCGCCTCGAGAACCCACCCACGGCGCGAGAGCCCTGCGGGTCGAGTCGAGAACCGGGGAGCCAGCTGGGGTCTGATCTCTCCGACCCCCCACCTCCGACTCACACCCACCGCACCCCTCGTGGCGGCGTGGACGCGCGTGAGGGCGAAGGCGCGCGCACACACACGAAGCCCTCCGCGCGCCCGTCTCACACAGCTAGCTCGACGCACGCACACACGCGGACGCACGTCCGGGCGAGTGCTCTGTCCATCTATGGCGCGCTCTGTGCGGGTGCTGGGGCTTATCGACGCCGCGAGGCAGCGGGCAAACGCCCACGCCCGCCCGCGCTCGGGCGCGTGCGGCCGCTGCTTTGTGTTTGCGTCTCGTCGTGCGGCGTCGTGCGGGGGTGCAGACGCGCCGGCGCCGTGCGCGCGATTGGACGGCGGAGGTGGGGAGGAGGCGGCCTGGGCCCGCGCGCACCCATGGCGCGGCGCGCGACGGCACGCAATGGCCACTGCGCACGTGGAGACGGGTTCGGGTTCGAGCGCTGCGACCAGTGGGACCTTGGACGGTCGGCACGTCCGGGCGCGGCGGCGTGCTCGGCGCGTCGCGGGGGTTGCTTGTCAGGCTCAAGATTTTCATATGAAGTAGCTATGCTGACGCGTCGCTCTCGGCCGCCGTCGAACGGCCCTGCAATGCGCGATAGCGTCCATCGCGGGGTGCGTGCGTGCATATTGCATTTGCCCCCGTCTCCGTCGTCGCGAGTCGCGACCCGGGGCGGGATGGCGACGGGACGGTTTCCAGCCCCGACGGGGATCCGCGGACGATCGCTGGGCCCTCCGGCCCGCGTCCGAGTGCACTTGAGTCTTGGGCCACCGCACGCCGCGTCGACGTCGTGTGCACCGCGGGCCCTGGCGCGGGTCCGAATATACGCCAGAGCTGTGGTGAACGATCACCTCGTCGCGAGAATCTCCGCCGCACGCTGCGGCCTGGTGAGGGTGATCAGGCCTTCAGGCCTCAGGGCGTAGGACCGCCCACAGATGGACAGATGCAGCGGACCGCGAGGCGTTTGAGTTTTGTGCGGACGACGCGAAAAGCCACGAGCCGGGGTGGGCGCGTGGCGGACGCGGCGACGTCAGAGCGAGACTAGGAATGAATATTTGAATGGGCGGACGCCTCGAGCCGCCTCGCGTCGGGCGGCGGGCGACGAACCAAGGCGGTTTGACGTCCTCCGACGCGCCCGGGCCCGCGGCGCGACGTCCTATCTCTAGAGAGTCTGACGGCGCGTTCGTCGGGGTCGCGCATCGCGCGCTCTCGTAACGACGGACGTGCGCGGTGCCCCGGTTGGGACATCGTCGCTCGCACGCTACCACCCCCGGCCTCTCAAGTGGGTCGCGCGCCCCGGCGCGGGCGGTCAATGTCGCTGTCAGCGGCTCGGGCAGGCATGGGGTTCCGTGCTTATCGCGCGCGCGCGCGAGCGCGACGGGCCCGGCATCATGATGATGATTGGAGCGCGGGCGGGTCGTGCACCCTCGAACGCGCGCGGCGCGGATTTTTACGGGCCATTTACGTGAGTTTATGCGCGGCCTGGTGTCCTGCGAGGGCTCGTGTCCGAGACCGACGCACCTGAGCGTGGGCGGTACCTGGCTCTCGTCGGAGCTGGAAAGTAGGTGCGCAACCTGCAGGAAGTAGGACGAGTCGGTCAATCAGCAGCGCTGCGGTCAACATCTGCATTCGATCAATTGGATTCGCAACAAGGAGGCTTGTGGTGCGGCGTGGACTGCACCCTCGGAGTACATATTCCGGAAACAGAGTCTGTCTTGTCAGCTTACTCCCACTTGCTCCTGTACTACAAGGGATGTGCTCCTGGGGTGATCGCGAGAGTGGGAGGAGTGTGCGTCATGGAACCTCTTGTTTTGTCGCAGCGCGCGACCCCGATCGCCATCGTGTGCTCTCCAGAGACGGTCGGAGGAACCCTAAATTACTGTTCGAACAGAAGACGGGCGCCTGCCCCTGGCGATTCTGCCGGGCGATGCGGGGAACGCCGCGCGCTTGACTCGCTCCAGACGCCCGCCACTGCTTGCTCCCAACCGCCATCTCGCGGACGATCACCCGGATCGGGCCTGCCTCGCCACGGGCTCGCGCGCTGCTCGTGGCCCACACGCGCGTCGCCCTGCGTCGCCCTCGGAAGGGTACGCCGGACCCCCCGAGGGCGTGGCCACGGAAGGCTTCTGGAGCAACCGTCCAGAGCTTATAGCTTATGGCCTCCCGGCTCCTTGCAAACGGAGCCTATGCTCAGCGATTACCCGAGCCCAGCCCTTGCACCCACCCACCGAGCTCATCCGTTTTCGTAGGCTTGCCCCCCGTCGCCCACCGGGACGGCCGCGTCCACGGGCGACGCGCTTCCAGAACGACTCGCCCCCTCGGACGCGGAGTTGAACGTCGACGAGCTGCGCGACGCGCACTGGACACGTAGCTATAGGACGACGCGGCTGTTCGCGGGCACGCCGCAGCTTCCAGCGCGCATCCCTCGTTCGCCGCGGCGAGCGCTCACAGGAGCTCGGTGCGGTCCTCCTGGCGAACGTCCGTCCTTCAGCCGCCGCAGGGCTTCTCTCCTGGCCACCGCTGTGCGCGTTCTGGCGCGCGTGATCGCAATCGACGCACGCCGGCGAGAGAACGAGCAAACGTGCGACGCGATGCGCGACCGCCCCCCGTCGTGCGCCCTCCACCGCGCTCTCGTCGCGCGCCGTACATCCTGCGTGTGCCCGTTCTCGCCTCGGATGCACTCTGCACGGGTTCTAGCACCTCCCGTCACGTCCAGCACGACCCATCGCGGCCGCATTCGCACACCAGATGTGCACGGTATGTCTGCGGATCGTATGTCGAGGCCCCGCTGACCCCCGTCCTGTCCCACCACCGCTCGTCCGCCCATGCGATCTCGGCGGGAGAAGCACGGGGGCGCCCGGGCTGCCGCGGCCCACGTCCCGCTCCTCCGAGCGCGCGTCCGCCACCGCAGCTATGCGTCGCCCGCTTGGGGGCATGCGAACATACCGCGCTCCGCCTCTCGCCCTCCCAGACTCTCGCCTTATCGGCCGCCGCCCGCGCCGCCGCCCTGCAATCTCCGTCCGCCCTCCTCGCGGCCAGTCGAGGCCCGCCTTGACGTCAGCGCTCGACGCTGCTGGGGCGCAGGGCACGGCTCAAACCGCGCAGAGCGCGTCCACCCTCGAAGCTTGCGCATGCGACCCGGCCGCACGACGACCTTCGCTGATCCCGGCACCCGGGCAGGACCTCCCTGCGTCGCGTCGTGGGCTCTCGCTCTTGTTTTGCGCCGCGGGCGGGTCACGAGGGGGCGGTGCGGGCAGGTAGTCGTTCGTGCGCCTGGGCTGGCGACGCCCCTGCACTCAATTCTTCCCTTCCTTCGGGACTCACTCGCGGCTGAAGCGCCGAAGTGTGACCAGCACGACGTGTGGAACGGAGCGGAGGACCGTATGTCCGGGAGATGTGACTCGCGCGCGACGGGCGATGCAGCGACGCGTCTGGGCGGGCAAACCGCGACCGGCGTGCTCGTTCGGTCATGCAGGGCTGCGACGCGACTTCGCCGCACGCTTCTCGCGTCAAGCAGCCGTAACCACAAAATTTCTGGTACAGGCGTCAGCAATGGCGTCCGCGCACAACGGGCTTCCTCGGCCATACCAGCTCCCCAGCATGCAACGCTCGAACTCGCCGAGAACGACAGCTTCCTCGTGAGTCATTCACGCTCGAGGAATACAGTCTTTGACGTTCTCCGCCTTGCGGTCCGGCGATGACGCACACCTCTCCCATGTCGCCATCCCGCAGCTTCCTCTACGGAGGCCGTCTCATCACGCGCACAGGCATCTCCCAACTGGACAACACGTTCTCAGTGTCGCAATCCATTCATGCAATGCACTCCCCACACGTTCGCATCACAAGCGCAGACCCTGCACGTACGCGCAGCACCCAGTGTCCCGAGACTTCCGCGCGCACCCTGCACGAGACAGCCAGGCCCCAGAATAGCCCGACCGACTGCAAGATCGGCGATGAATCGACCATGACCTCTCCTCGGCAGGGCAGGCTCCAGGCGCGAAGTTCCAACGTCCGGGACTTCCAGCGGACGCAAAACTTGCGCTCTGGCCCGACGATCCCCCGCACGAGACGGAGGTACACACGAACCACACAAGTGCGCGACCCGGCGCGAACCTTGGCGCGAGTTCTGCAATGATCCCGAAGATTAGCACGCCACTTCGAGCGCAGCGTTTGATTTGAGCTTCAACTTATCCGCATGCGGGCGATCGCCTCTGGGTCCTCGGAGCGTCGCGGGCCTTGAAAGCGGGCCACATGATTGCCTCTTGCTCCCGCACACAGCGCGAGGCCGCAGCGGTGCGGTGGCGTACGGTGCGCTGGGCGCACGACCGGGACCACCGCTGCCTGGTGGCGCGGGCTCCGCGCCCGCGCTGCCGTACGTCGCCCGCGCGGCGAGTCACGGAAATTCTCCCAGCGTTTTCGTATCCCCGGGGCTCTGAGTCTGACTATTGGGGAAGATCGCGCATGCAGCCCACCGGCGTCGTGCAGGGTCGCACTTCCGGTCGCGCGACGGCGGACGAACGTGCTCGGGGCGCCGCCCTAAGTCCCAGCTCGGACCGCACTGGACGAGCGCGGCGGGAACTCCGAGCCTCCTGCGAGAAAAAAAAACGCGCCTCACGTACGCACGCCTTCCCAGTCCGCGCAGACGACATTGTCGCGGCTGCAGATGATGACACACGCCCACACGCACGCCCCGCCGCCGCTCGCGGAGGCATTTCCGTCAAAGTCGAACCCAGGCTGACGGCAGCACTCCATGGGGCACGCCTCGCGCCGCCGCGCATTCGAACGTTCGCACTGGCCCGGATTGCGTGCGCCGCCCGCGTCCTTACGGCCGCGCGAGGAAGGCGCGTTGCGGTCGCGCATCAATGCGTCGCCGCGCGAAGACGGCGGCGAAGCGTGCGCGTGCGCGGTGCGCGTCGACATCGATGCCCCTTCCGTTCTCGGCCACCGTCTTCGTAATTTTAGGTTCTGCCTCTCCCGTTCGAGCGGGGCCTGTACGCACGCCTCCCGCGCAGAAAACTCCCGAGAACCACGGCTGCTGTGTGCGGTCGTTTCCGGCTCCGCCGTCGGACGTTGAAGAGATAAACCGTCGCCACGATCTCTCGTCATATATAATCATGTATTTCTGATCTCCTGCCGCGACGCGTTACCCAAACCGCGCGGTCGCGTGAGCGCGTCCAGACCAAAGTTTCCGTCCCTGCGGTCTCGCGCCCAAACAGGCACTGCGCCCGGCAACCCACCCGCCAATCGCGGACGCCCTGCGCCCCGCGCCCGTCCGCCCGCCTGCGACGCGTCCGCGGCTAGAACCCCTCCGCGGCGGCCGTCGCGCTAGGTACGGCATCGCGCGCGATGGACCCCGCCGCCCGCGGGCTCTCATCGACATCCAACTTCCCATCTGAAAACGGCTTGCGACTTGGCCAGGGGCCCAGCGGTCGCAATTCTCCGCGGCGCGAGTTCCCACCGCTCAGCCACGCGGGCCACGCGCAAACGCTAAACCCTGTCGGCTCGCGGCTCGCGTCGGCCCGCGGCGCGGCCCTCCCGAGGGCGCGGGCGTCGCGTATATTGGGGCGTGATCGCGCGCGCAGGGACGGGCGGGCGCGGAAAACATACGCGGCCGACGTTGTTCCGCGTACTCGAGGCCCTGGGCGGGGACAGGCCCTCGGAATATGTTGTCTCGATGGATGCGGTCCGGCTCTGAGGGACGAGATGGCGACCGGGACGATCGGGGTTTGTCTGGTGCTTGTGCGTGCGCGATCGTGATCACGTCCCAGTTTTCCGGGGCTTTCAAATTGATGCGGTCTGAACGACTCAGACAGAGTGGCGGTTCCTGGGGAGCCTCACAGGAATAAATCACCGAGGTGTTGACTTGTGCAAAACCAAGCGACAGACACGTCGGGCGTGTGTCGGGTATATCCATACATACATCCGTAGTCCATAGATCGCAACGCACCAGTAGATATGCCGCACAAGACCGTCTGATCCCACCGTCCCGGTCATGCCTCTGGCCACATTGCCACAACACACATCCGAGTCGGGTTTGATTCTAAGTCCGCGCCCGCGCCCCCCTGCGCGCCTTCCTCCGTCGCAGATCCTCCGAAGGCGGCAACCCCGAACGAAGACGGGGCGCGGGCGCGGGCACTAGAGAGGTCATGAAGACGTGCACCCGTCCCGCACTCCCGAAGCCCGCGCGACGTCGTCCGGCGATCAACGGCGGCCCGAGCGGCACGCCTGCGGGGGCTTTATTGCTTCTTCGTCTTGCCCGCGGCCTTGGCCTTGGACTGGCCGTTGAGCGCGCCCACGATGTCCTTTCCGAGGACATAGATGATGTAAGATGGGAGGATGAGCCACAGGCTAGAAGCGGCGCGGAGATTGCGAGGGCGTTATCGGTGGATGGCACAGGCGTGTGGGAAGGCCGCGGCGGAGGGCAGCGGCAGGGCGCAGGGCAGGGATGACAGATCGTTCGAGGCCATCATGCGACGACGTCAAAGGTACGCGGGGGAAGGAATAGAGGTTGCTCGTCAGACGGGAAGGCTTTGCCATGAGGCGGCGTAAACCGTTCACTCACCCGTTCGGGACGATCCAGTAGATGAAGAGGGTCTGGAGGTCGTTGTGGCCAACCGCGCATCCGCCACAGTAGTATTCCTGGAGCCAATACAGAACGGTCTTCGAGAGCGTCATGACGGCAGCGGCGAAGCCGAGCAGAGGAGCACCGGGAGAACCGGAGACATGAGCGAGGTAAACGTAACCAATGTTCATCAACGTCTCGACGATGTTGAGGGCAGCTGGGGGCGCGAGGCGCGTTAGGAACGCTGTTGGCGGGCACACGTTACAGAACTTCAACGGAGATGCACGTACACTGCGCGTTAGTGAAGCCGCTGTTCTCTTCCAACGCTTTGAGACCATAGACCTGGAATGGTTCGTGATTGGTGCGAGACCAAGACGGAGATGAAGAAGCCGGACGCACATAATCAACATTTTGGTAGATAGCATAGGGTTTCCATATCCAGTGCAGGTCGCCACCAACCATGGAACGAGGACTAGGTGAGGAGTTTCCACCTGCGGTTAGACTATGCACCCCCTCGTAGCGCGAGGGGCACTCACCGAAGGAAACAGTAGGACGCATCCCAGAAAATTACTGGTGCTGTCAGGATGAACCTGAAGGGAGGCGAAGGGAATGTGGGGGTAGGGCAGTGAGCACGTTATACTGCTGACCGTTCTCTGGGGGTACGAACCAGAGAGAGACGAGAGTGTGGGTCTTCACGGCCATTCTTGCAGCGAGAGAGCGTCCTATTCGACGGGCTTGGGGGGATTGAGGATGGGGGAGGGAGCAAAGGAAGGGCGACGACGCACCGTGCGACACGATCACCCCCGTCGTGCGACTGCCCGCCTGGAACCCCAGCCGAACTTCATCGACATCCTCGCGTGACGCGTGAACACGTCGGCGCTTACTCCCAGGCTGTGGTCGCATCGAGTTCGAATCCGCGGCCGCGCTCCCGTCCGCCTTTGTCCTCCGCGCGTCCCCGTTCGCCGCCGTGCTCGTGCTCGCGGCCGGCGAGGGCGGGTCCGGCGCGGGCTCGAGGTAGTAGCCCCACCCCGCGCGCCCGTTCTCGTTGTAGAAACCGCGTCGGAGGAGCATCTTGGGCTGTGTGTCGTCATGTTGTGTTTCTTGTCGCGACTGGCGGCCAGCGTCTTGGATTTGTGCGGAGTGCGCGGCGGAGAAGAACAGCGGGCGGTGTGGGTGCGAGTGTGAGGTCATCGAGGGCCAGGTGGGCAGGGAGGAGGGAGGACGCGGGGAATAAGCGCGGTGGTGGTGGGTGTCCGTGGTCCATAGCGTTGCCGGGTAGAGGTTGTCCGCCACACGAGGAGCGAGCGGCGTGTAACCCACGACCCTCACACAGCGTCTATACCCTTCTCTCCTCGTCCATGACCGCCCTTCGTCCTTTGCCTCGCATGCTCCTCGCCGCGCCCACAAGCAAGAGGAGTTCACAAAATCAGTGCGGGTTGGGTCAAGCCAGCGTCCGGAGGGCCGGGCGCGCCTGAGAGAGTTCGTGATCCCAATTTGTCAACGGCAGTTATACAGCCACTGCGGAGAACCGGGGGGTTGAAGAGAGCAGACAAGCGGGATGCAAGGTGGGATGTGGAAAAATGACTGTCCAGAGAGGGGTTGCCCAATATGGTCTGTGATGCTCATCTAGTTGGACGCAAGGCCTAAAGACCCGCGCTATCGCGGCAAACGTAGTGTTCGTTCCGCAATGAAATGTGCTTCCTCCGCACAGATTGTCTACGTGTTGAGTTCAGCGGAAAGGCATTCTTTGTGGATCGATATGTGTGTTCCAACATTTCCTTAAAGATCTCTAGGACGGGGCGGGTTCGGGCCCCGGGGACTTGATTGCATACAACGTAACGGACGATCAACTATACTCGGTGCATGAGAACGAGGTGCGGTAGTCATAGGTGTAAACAGCGAATATACGGTATCGATAAGGGAAGCTCTGCGAGGGGACAGGAGGAGCGCAAGGTATTTCAAAGCCATAAGGTTGTCCATAAAATACACCAGAGAGGCGGCGGTCGACAAGAGGCCGCAAAGATGTCAATAGCCGGAAGTGTTCATTGGCTTGTATTTGCCGTACGTTCCGCTTATTTTGAACTCACCCGTGTCGGACCAACGCACGTTGACATGGCCGCTCGTGATAAATAGGGTGTCGTATCTGCCGAATGCAATCAACAACTAGGCATCAGTGTTTGCATCGCTGAATGCCCACCGTACGGAGCCCGTGATCTCGCCCATGCATTTCTCGAAGTCCTCCAGGGGAACCTTCTTCTGCTTGAAGGTGGGTGGGCCACCCAACCCCAGCAATACCCCGAATACTTCAGGGTCGGGGCAGATGCCGTCGTACAGCCACTTTGCACTGCCTGTTTTACACGAAGGCTTCCACTGAAGAACGCGCAGAATGCGATTGAAGCACCGTCAGTGACTACCGAGACGGAGACGCCAGACTGGACGCACCGACATCTGCTTCTTAATACCACTGACCACGGCTCTCCTCAGCTTCTCAGCGTCCGCCTCGAGTTGCGCTTTGGTCTTCGCGGCGGGCGCGGGCGCGGCTGCCGACTTCTTCTTGGCTGCAGTAGCACTGCTGCCCGCGACGGGACCGTCTACCGCAGCGACTTGCGTCTCGAGCCATTGCGCGTACTTGGCGAGATCGACCAGCGACTTGCGCACGACGTCCTCGTTGGCGGAGATGGGATACCCCTTGGGGTTTGCGAGGATGGATTTGAGGAGCGCCTTGGTCGTGGTGTGGGCGCCGCGGGGCCTTTTCGTGGAGGTCTCGGGCGCGTCGTCGGAGTCGTCGGCTGCGCGCTTCATGATGGATTTGTGAGAATGCTGGCGAATACGGTGAGATACTGGTTCTTGAGAGTCGCGAAGCAGGGCTTAGAATGGGCGAGAATGAGTACAAGTAAGGTAGAGCACAAGGTCTGTGGGGTTACTACGTATGATAGCGCGACGCGTCGGGTCACAATGTCACATTTGTGCGTAACAATGGTACCGTGACACTACGCTTCAGCCAACTCGACGTCCTTCAAGGGCCCCTCGACGTTGTCTCCTCTCATCATGGCGATCCCCGACACCTCTGCACCCGACTCAGTCCCATTATTTGATCAAATAGGCAGCAACTTCTGCACTATCGTTGATGTTCATCTGGCGCCAACTGGAAGTTTGCCTCATTAAAATGACTTCTGAACCTTGGGCTGATCCCAATGCTCACAAAGGTGTGTGTGTCACGTATGGGCTTGGGTATGATTGAAAGCCCAGGGCATGCGCGTTCACCAGGAACATGTTCAACAAACCATGCTCCCTCGGACCAAGATATGATCACATGACCGCGCACACACGCATTCCATCTCGTGGAAATCAATAGACTGCATACAGCCGGCTTACGTGCGTATCCACATGGTTGCCTGCGCGGGAGTGGCGCCAAAAATATCCCGTCGTCGTCACTTCACGCTTGCGCCCCTCTGCCCCACCCTGCCGCGTTCTGAGGATCATGGCTTACGGAAGAAAGCTCTGTTCACTTCCTCACCACCACCACCACCACCACCACCAACATGCCTTGGGATCTCATCAAGCTTAACGACGGTGATACTTGCAGTATGCGCAAGTTGGCAATGGACTGACGCGTGCGCCATGCGTTCTATAGGAGCGAGCATTCCCAGCATCGCCTATGGGACCTGGACGCTGGGTAACGGCGACCAGGCCACTGGTCACGTAGACGAGGCCATCAATGTCGGATTCTCGCACGTCGGTGAGCGGCCCGTTGTCGTCCTTCATACGCACAAGCCCAATGTCCTCACTCGCGATCGTCGTCAGACACCGCGCAGTCGTACAGGAATGAGGTGGAGGCGGGAAAGGCCATCAAAGACAGCGGTCTGAGCCGGAAGGACATCTTCATCACCACCAAGTACTCGGGCGTGGACGGGCTGGACATTGAGACGTCTATCCAGAATAGCCTTGACAAGGTGCGCCCCGCGCGTTATCTAAACCACGAGCAGTCGAGGGACTCACAAGCCATGCCAGCTTGGGGTGAAATATGTCGATCTGTATCTCATCCACCATCCTCGCCTGGCTCAGCCGGACATCCCGACTGCTTGGGCAAAGATGGAGAAGCTGAAGGACGACGGGCTTGTGAAGTGAGTCTCGTGCCTCGGCCGTCGTGAGACTCCTTCCTTATGTATGCGCGCAGGAGCATCGGCGTGAGCAACTTCGGCGTGACGGAGCTCCAGACGCTCATCAACTCTGCGAAAGTCCTCCCGGCTGCCAACCAGGTGCGCACCCTCGCTTTGTTCCAGCCAACGTTGTGCGAATCCCCGGTTCCACACACCAGATCCTGCTTCATCCATACGTCTATGAACGGCAGAAGGAGATCATCGAGTTTGGCAATAAGCACGGTATCGTCAGCGAGGGCTACAGCACCCTCATTCCGATCACTCACCAGCCGGCGGGCCCGTGGACAAGCCGCTGCAGTCTATCGCGGACCGCCTGAACGCGAAGCCTGAGCAGGTCCTCCTCGCGTGGGCCAAAGCGAAGGGTGTCGTCGTCGTCACTTCGAGTTCAAAGAAGGAGCGCATGGAAGGATACCTCGACGCTGGAGATCTTGGTGCGTGTTTTTTTACACGGGGGCTAGCTCTGAGGCTAACCGTCGCAGCCCTCACGGTGGAGGACATCGAGGCCATTGATGAGGCAGGGGCGAAGGGCATGCGCCAGATGTCCGCGAGGACGTTCGTGCGCAGGGTGGCCGTGGTCGCACTTGCTGCTGCTGCTGGATTTGGCGCGTGCAGCTTTCTCGGGATCGACCTTCTTTGAGATGAAGGTGGAAATATTCATGTAAGTTTGATGTGTAGGGACTTGTAAGCTTTCTTGTACTCGTAGCAGACAGATGGTTTATGAAATCCATCAAATTTGTGGGTTCGCATTAATTGGCCAGTGTACATCGTTCTCCGACACTTCCGGATGACTGTACAGCAAATCAACAGGAAGAGCGGATAAACAAGAGAGAAATAGAGCATAAGTTAGAGCACCGAGGAGCGAAGATGGTTCTTTGGGTGAGGTGGGATCATCTCCAAGACGCATTGACCGTCTGCGACGAGGCCGAGGTTACGGTGTAGGAGCGGTTGGGGTCAGACTCCCAGACGACCTGCGCGGACGAGTCTGTTGTCAGCCGTGCAACGGTGCGCTCCAGTCACAGAACACTCACGCTGCCGTTCGTCTCCTTCCTGATAAATTTGAACTCGAAGGAGGTCCCCACCGGCAAGCTCAGCGACACGGTCCACGCTGGGTACGACGCCGACGACAGCGATATCTGGGCAACGAAGCAGCCCGTCAGCCTTCTTGATCGCCATCCCCGCATGGTGCGAGACGTGCTCACCGAGTTAGTCGCGGCCCAGCTCCCGAGCTGCGCGATGCTCCCGACGAGGTAGATGTTCTGCACACATGTACACATCTCAGTCAGCCGCGCCCCACCCCTGGCCCGGCCGCCGACGAACCTCGCCGAACGTCGTCGTCGCTGTCTCGGAGAAGGTGACGGTCGCGGTGCCGCTGCCCCCTCCGGTGGACGAGCCGGACCCTTTGGCCCCGGTGTGGATGGCGAGCGCGTCGAGGGGGTTGATCGTCGCGCTGAAGGACCCGCCCGAGACGGTGACGGACGCGCCGGCGCACGTCCCGTTCGACGCGGCGCCGGAGTGACGTCGCAGTAGGAGCCGTCGGGGAGCAACGTCGAGAAGGTGCCGGACCAGGTTGTGTTCGCGTTGTTGATCGCGACGAAGCCGAGCGCGCCTGCGTGCCGTCGAGGAGGACGAGGAGGGGATGGGGTTAGATGGGGAAAACACGGCGGGTTCGGTAGGAAGCGCGCACCGCGGCCGAAGGCGATCTGCGAGCTCTGAGGTGACTGCCAGTTGGTGAGCGCGGCGCTGCCCACGTTGTTCCGGAAGCCAGTCATGCCGGAGACGGCGACCCAGCGGTGCTGGCAGAGCCAGCCGTTCGCGCCGCTGGGCCGGAGCAGGTGCCGACGTTGTTGTTCGGCGCGCCGGCGTCGGTATTCGTGAAGCCGTCGTAGGAGGAGAGAATGGTGGGGGTGCCGAAGGGGTGGGCGAGAGAGAAGACCATCGCGAGCACGTATGTGTTTGAGGGCGAGTTGTTGTTCAGGGAGTTGCCGTTCTACGTAGGGCAAGAAAACGGTCAGCGTCCACCCGTCACGAGTGGTGTCAGCAGCTTGAGGAGGGTGCACGTACCCGTTCGGTGTCGTGGTTAGCCACAAAGACGTTCGCACTCGAACTTCCCACCCAGCCTGCAAGAGCATTTGAGTAATGCGCGTGGAGTGTGGATCAGCTTGCGTACCAAGGTTGTCGAAGCTCTGGAGGCTAGATATGTTTCCGCCCAAGAACGCGTTTTTCAAGGCGGTTGTGTAGCGGAACCTATCGGTCGCGTCAGAGACTTGAGACGAGTCCAAAACCAGATAGGCCGACTCACTCTTGCACGTCCCCTACAAGCCGACGTCAGCGATAGCTGGGAACAGCGACGATGTGACGTACCATTTCCGGTGTATTCGTTCGGCGTGATGGGTTCACCGGCACCGTAGATGACCTCTTGGGTGATGTAGGGTGTTGAAATCAGGCGAGACAGAATGTTGGCGATATCAGTGGCAGGGATGTCTGTTAAGACAGTCAAGTAGGAATAGAGTATCGACAAAAAAGAGCACTCACGCTTGGAAGCGTCAAGACGGAAGCCATCAGCGCCAAGCGATAACAGATCGTTGCCGTACTGAGCCAACCGTGCACGAATAGGCTCGGTATCCGTGGCGAGACTAGTATAAATATCAACCAGACATGTGTGGAGCGGAGGACGCGGACACTCACTCCGCAAGGTTTTCGAGCTCGCATGTTTGCACTTCGAGGCGATTATCGTAGTTGACGATGTCGTCGCCAGGCTCCAGCCCGCAATGATGGAAGCTTGAGTTATCGTAGATTCCAGGATAGTTGTAATGGGTGTATGATGAGCCCGCGACTCCCGTGCCAGAGTCCAAACCCGACATGTGGTTCCAGATAGTGTCTGGATGTGCAAAACGCCACGAAGATCATCGTTATGATACGGCATGCGTATAACCCGCATGGATCACTCACCAACAATGACGCCGACACCAGCGCTGTGGCAGGTAGATATCATGCTTGCAAATTGATCGCGATTCCCTCGTTTGGAGGTGAGGATGTACGACACGGGCTGATAGTCCGTCCACCATTGACTACCCGCCACGTGTTCGGCGGGAGGACTGACTGTTGATATAAGCCGCATAAGAAGCTGGAGCGCGTAAGAACAAAGTCTCGACGAACCTTGCACGTAGCCATATCCTGCTGGTCCCAAAAAGTTGGTGCATTCTGCCGCCACACTGTCCCAAGACCACTCAAACATCTGCACGACGACTGAGTTGGCCTTTGACGGAGAGCGTGGAGAGACATCGAGGGGGTGTGAGACGGCGGTGAAGGGGAAACCGAGGAGGACGGCGAGTGCGCCGAAGGAGGATAGATGGGCCAGCATGTTCACCAGAACGGAGGGAGAACACGGAGGTGTGGAAGAGTGTGGTCAACGACCCGATATATGGCTGCAAGCATATTCCTAGGCTTAAACTCGGTCGAAGGACCGGTCAAGTCTGTTTATAGTAGACGACGTACGGACCCGTTGGGAGTGAAGCGGGTCCGAGTCGGACGATCGATGACGGTAAAAGGACGCATCGAGCGAGTGGGCGGATCAGCCGAGATATTGTTGTGCTGGGGGAAGGAACGAAGATCAGCAGGACTGGTCGAATAGCGTCACCGGCCACTCTTCTTGTTGCGGACCGCGTGCAACATCGTCAAGTGACGACAAGTACTGGGTCTGCAACATCTGCACAGCTCGCACAGTCGTGGCATGCAAACGGACATCGGTGTCCCCGTGTCCAGCAGAAACGGGGCCTATTTCTTATCGAGCGAGTGCCCGTGATGAAGTGCATGTTCGGAGCGCGGTCAGTCCCTCCACCTAGAAAATGAGAGCCTTTGGTTGGGCCTCACCAAGCAAGTGAAGTTCCAAACCAGACGGATCTGCCCTGTTCTGAGCTGCGCAGGGCCTGGGAGAAGTGCCTGGTGCCAGTCGTTGGTGCAGCCCAATCTGGCACTGAGCATTCAGCGTTCGAGCGCCCAAGCGGCCGTGGCCGGCGTCTTCCATCGGCTGGTCCCGGGACGCGCGCTCGGCCGGATGATGGTCACGTCTAGTGGGAAAGCTTCCTCCTCGCCCGTGCCGACTCGTATGTACGTACTGGATCTGGGGCAACCGCTTCTACAGTCTACGCGCGTACGACTGCGGGGCTGTTGATCAGTTTTAAGCGTTCTAGCAGATACGAGCAACGTCGGCGATGCCAATAGCTCGTTCCTCACTTCAAATTCTACCTCTACATAAGGAAGACGCCCACTCATTTTCGAAACCAGTATTCTATCCACACGCGTGCCGAGGCGAGAAGAGCGAGAGGCCAATACACGAATCGTTGGGTTAGTGGACTCCGACTAGGACTGACTCGAGATGATTGAAATTGAAATCAAAATTGCACAAGGCGATCCACAAATCCAATCCGAGGGGTTCGAAGCACCCGAATGCAAATGCGCGAGGCTCAAACGTGAGCAATCCCCGGTCGGAACACACTGACGCGTCCACCGCGACTTCGGCCGACGGCGACTCTGGGCGACTACCTCCTGGAACTTGAAACAGGCGGACACCGACTACTCGGAGTCGGTAGATTCATATTCCCGACATCCGGTGCATTCGTGAACGTTGCTAGCACTTTGAGCTATGTACCCATTCCAACCTTGTCGTCGGGCTAGCGGTGGGTCCTCGATGATGTAGCAGGCCATAGCGAACCCATCGAGCGTACATAAACCACTCGTGTGCGTGCTGCCATCTCCATCGACCTACGTTTCCTCTTCAACTCGGCTCAGCCCACGCAGAGCACAGTCTATCCTACCATCTCTAGCTTTCAAGTCTCCCTCATAATGTTTTCACGCCTCACCACGTTTCTCAGCGTCGCCATGCTGCTGCCATCCGTGGTGCAAGCCTCTCCAGCCATGGTCAAAAACAGCTACACGGCCCGACGTGAAGCTTGACAAGGCTACAATCATCGGGACAACCACCGGCAACGTAACGAGCTTTTTGGGTATTCCGTTCGCACGCCTCCGTACGTCCCCCGCACTATTGACTGCACCTGCGGCAGGACTGACATCGTTTCGTTATGTAGGGTTGGCGACCTACGCCTTCGTTTGCCGGTACCGGTCGAACACTACTCGGGTACCATAAATGCCACACAAACTGCGGCGCAATGCATACAGCTCGTCCCTTTCCCCCGCCAGGACGAGCCTGCGGAAATGCAGCAGCTGATGAATGCATATGCGACCGCCTTCTCTGTACCTCTCCCCGAGAGTGAAGACTGTATGCTATTGCTCCCGTCTTATGGCATCGATGATTGACATGAAAATACAGGCCTCACCGTTGACGTACAAGTCCCTGCTGGGACGAAGCCGGGGCAGAAGCTCCCTGTCGTCGTTGTGGTGTCAATGCATTATTTCGTGTTTTTACTCGCGTGAACTCACGTCGGTATAGATGATTTTCGGGGGAGGGTTCACCATCGGCTCTTCGGCGGCGTAAGTCTCATATTTTATGCTGAACGCGAGATTTTGTGCTGAACCGCTTGGATAGAAACCCCGGCAACGCCTTTATCGCGAGATCCGTTGAACTGGGCGAACCCATTATTTATGTTGCCATGAATCACCGTTTGCACGGTATGACGCTTTTGCCAAACAGTTGCGCGATGTCAAGTGCTAAGATATTACTCACAGCTCTCGGTTTTCTGGCCGGTCAAGAAGTAAAGGATGCAGGCGTCGGGAACCTTGGTCTTCACGATCGTGCGCACAAATATTCTATGCATAACTCCTGTCATCCCTGACGACCTCCGCAGAACGCGAGGCACTGCGTTGGGTTCAGAAGCACATCTCTGCATTTGGTGGCGACCCTTGCCGAGTAACTTTGTACGTGCAGCTCCCTGCTACATACTACGCGAGACGGACTGCTTACTTTTTTGTCAGATGGGGGGCCAGCTCCGGCGCAATCTCCATCGGACTGCAGATCGTCACCAACGGCGGCGACTCGGAAGGACTCTTCCACGGAGCAGTCATGAACGCTGGCTCACCGATCCCACTGGCGATGTCACGTTGTACCAACCCTACTATGACGAGATCGTCGCGAACGCCGGCTGCGCTGGGCCGCCGACACGCTCGACTGTCTTCGCCAGCTCCCGCTCGACGTGCTGATGAACGCCACTGCGCCGCTGCCGAATCTCTTCGGATACCAGGGGTTGGCGACACCTTGGGCGCCGCATGCCGACGGCGTGTTTCTCACAGCACCCCGCAGCAACTGGTGCTGAGGGAAGTGTGGCGAACATCCTTGCTCACTGGGGATGCCCTCGACGAGGGTACGATCTTTGCGACGGGCAGCTTCAACGTCACGTACGTTCATGTCCTCCCTCGCTAATACGCACGCTGACTTTATGCGCGCACTTATTCAGGACTGAGGAAGCTTCCAGAGCTACGTCTCCGAGCTCTTTTTCCCGCAAGCTCCTGCGGACAAGCTCGCTCCGGTCTTCGAGCAGTACCCGAACGACCCCGCACAGGGCTCGCCCTTTGCACCGGGGACGCGAATCAGCTCGCGCCGATGTACAAGCGCATGGCTGCGTTCCAGGGTGATATCATCTTCCAGGCCCCGCGCCGCTTCTTCCTCGAGCAGCGCGCGGACAAGCAGCCCATGTACTCCTTCAGTGCGTCCCTCGCCCTTATCTTTCTCTGCAAGCGGCTGACATCGAGGTCTGCAGTCAGCTCCCGCGGCAGCGGCACGCCGCTCGGGGTCGCGCACGGTTCCGACTTCGTGCCCGCGCTCAGCCAGGGCGACGAGCTCGCGGACTACATCATCAAGTTTGCCGCGACGGGGAACCCGAATGGGGCGTCGAACCGGACGATCGAGTGGCCGCGGTACGATAAGGTCGAGCGGAAGGTCCTGTCGCTCCTGCCCAACAGCACCCTGGAGATCGGGAACGACACTCTCCGCCTCGAACCCATGACGACTTTGATGAACCTTACTGTCCAGTTCCCTTCGTAGAGCCCATATCCTCATAATCAGTACTATCCACTCGTTTGGGTTTTCAAGTATCGTACTCTAGTCACTCCTAATAATGAGAACGTGTGGTTCACCATATTCTGGAACTTTGAAATGCATTTGTGTGTGTTAATCAATGCCTCTTTACATGATGGACGTACGCACAACCGTGAGGCTGGAGAGGGCGAACCAAAGTCTACACCACGTAACCTTGATTTCCCAACGTTGGCGTCTAGCGTTCCTAGCGCCCAACATTTGCGTTCCTGACTTGCGTTCACCCGAGGACCCTCCTTGTTTGCTTCCTTACCGCTCCCCTCATCCCCCTCGACACATCCTAGGACGAGTCTTTCATTGCACTTTGGAACTTTGGGATAACATTTGACACAATGGACTCCAACGACCTCTTTTCATTCCTCGAGGACGCGCCGCCACAACCTGCGTCCCCGCCCGCCGACGAAGATGTCGTTATGAAGACCGAGCCTACAACACAACCAAAACCATCCGCCAAGAAGCGCAAGGCTGCGACCCCCTCGAGCGCCCCACAGAATGGCGCGAGCGTGCCAGAGGCCAAGGACGAGAAAGAGGCAGGCCCGTCGGAGCCCAAGAAGCCCCGCCTGGACTCGCCAAAGCCCATGGTCGTCGACGAGGCCGAGATCGAGGCGAGGCGCGAGGTAGCGGCGAGCGCAGGCCTGACGGGCGGAGTCGACGCGGGGTCGAAGTTGGAGCTGCGGCACCAGGTGCGTCCCGCCCGCCGCCGCCACACTGCATGCTGCTCACACGTCCGCGTTCGCATTCGCGCGCGCACAGGTGCGGCACCAGGTCGCGGTCCCGCCTGGGTACCCGTACGTACCGATCGCGCAGCACGTCCCTCCAGAAAAGCCCGCGCGCGAGTACAAGTTCACGCTGGACCCGTTCCAGCAGGTGTCGGTGCATGCGATCCAGCGGAACGAGAGCGTGCTCGTCTCCGCGCACACGAGTGCGGGAAAGACGGTGGTCGCCGAGTACGCCATCGCGCAATGCCTGCAGGCGAAGCAGCGTGTCATATACACGAGTCCAATCAAGGCATGTAATAGCACTTTGTGCATACCTCCGAAAATATATCAACCCGTTGCCCCAAACGCAGGCTCTGAGCAATCAGAAGTACCGTGAGATGCTTGCTGAGTTTGGAGACGTCGGTCTGATGACCGGAGACGTCACCATCAACCCAAGCGCAACATGTCTAGTCATGACCACAGAAGTAGGTTCTTGTAGCGGGCCACTTCCTTCCGTCCACGCGTACTCATGCTCCATCCTCTAGATTTTACGCTCGATGTTGTACCGCGGCTCAGAAATCATGCGAGAAGTCGCATGGGTCATCTTCGACGAAATCCATTACATGCGCGACAAGGAGCGAGGAGTCGTCTGGGAGGAGACGATCATCCTACTGCCCACACTGTCCGATACGTCTTCCTGTCCGCCACCATCCCGAATGCCATGCAATTCGCGGAGTGGATATGCAAATCTCACGAACAACCATGCCATATCGTCTACACAGACTTCCGCCAACTCCCTTGCAACACTACATGTTCCCAGCAGGGGCGAAGGCATCTACCTTGTTGTGAACGAGAAGGGAGAATTCCGCGAGGACAACTTCACGAAGGCGATGGGGATGCTTCAGGATAGACTGGGAGACGACCCAGCAGACCCCAAAGCTGGCGGGAAGGGCAAGAAGTGGAAGACAAAGAAGGGCGGTGAGAAGAAAGGTATGCCTGGTGTCGATTGTTTTTTGCGCATTTACCGACCAACCATGGGCAGGCCCGTCGGACATAGCCAAGATTGTGCGCATGATCATGCTGAAGAACTACAATCCCGTCATCGTGTTCGCGTTCAGCAAGCGCGAGTGTGAGGGTCTCGCGCTCCAGATGTCCAAGCTGGAGTTCAACTCCACAGAAGAGCAAGACTTGATTACCAGCATCTTTACCAACGCCATGGAAAACCTCTCGCAAGACGACCGACAGCTCCCCCAGATATCAAATCTCCTGCCTCTGTTGAAGCGTGGTATTGGTATTCACCATGGTGGTCTCCTTCCCATCCTCAAGGAGGTCATCGAGATTTTGTTCCAAGAGGGTCTCATCAAGGTGCTCTTCGCCACGGAGACATTCTCCATCGGTCTCAACATGCCCGCGAAGACGGTTGTCTTCACCAGCACGCGCAAATTCGACGGCCGCGAATTCCGTGACCTTTCGTCTGGCGAGTACATCCAGATGTCCGGACGTGCTGGTCGTCGAGGTCTCGATGACCGCGGTGTTGTTATCATGATGCTCGACGAGAAGCTCGAGCCCACCGCAGCGAAGTCGATGATCAAGGGCGAGGCCGACCGACTAGACTCTGCGTTTCACTTGGGTTACAATATGGTCCTCAACCTCATGAAGGTCGAAGGTATCAGCCCGGAGTACATGCTCGAGAGGTGTTTCTTCCAGTTCCAGAACAACGCAGAAATCCCAGTTATCATGGCCGGTACGTCGTCAGCCTCAGGAATCGCGAAGTCCCTCTTATACCATGACTTGTACAGAAATGGAGAAGGAAGAAGAGCAAGAGGCCGCAATTCAGGTGGAGGATGAAGAGCTCGTCGCCACCTATCACGATTACCGCCAACAGCTCGACCAGATGGCCGCCGACTTCCAGGAGGTCATCACACATCCAAACTATATCCTGCCCTTCCTTCAGCCCGGTCGTCTTGTGAAAGTGAAGCACCAAAAGTTCGATTTCGGTTGGGGTGTGATCGTGAACTACCAGAAGCGTGCCAATCCAAAAGTAAGTAAAGCATTGAGACTCAAACCCGCATGGCTAACGACGCACGCAGAACAAAGCAGAACCGAAAGTTGAGGACATCCCTGCCCGCGAGCAGTACATCGTCGACGTCCTCCTCTACTGCACCAAAGACTCCAGCCTGCCCAAAGACCGCAACACCACGACCCCCACCCCCGGCGGCATCCAGCCCTGCCCCTCCGCGCGCGGCGGCGAGCCCCTCGTCGTCCCCGTCCTGCTCTCCACCGTCGACTCGATCAGCAACCTCCGCATCTTCATGCCCAAAGACCTCCGCCCGCTCGACGCGCGCACGACGACCTTCAAGACCCTCCAGGAAGTCCACGCCCGCTTCCCCGACGGCGTCCCGCTCCTCGACCCGGTCAAGGACATGAAGATCACGGACGGCAAGTTCACCGCGCTCGTCGCCAAGATCGACGTCCTCGAGCGCAAGATGTTCGCGAGCCCGCTGCACGCGGACGCGCGCCTCCCCGCGCTGTACACCGCGTACGCGCGCAAGCTCGCGCACCGCGCGCGCGCGCGCGAGCTCCGCCGCCGCGCGCAGGCGACGCACGACGTGCTCCAGATGGAGGAGCTCAAGTGCCGGAAGCGCGTCCTCCGCCGGCTCGGCTTCACGTCCGCCGCGGACATCGTCGACATGAAGGGCCGCGTCGCGTGCGAGATCAGCACCGGGGACGAGCTCCTGCTCACCGAGCTCGTCTTCAACGGCGTCTTCAACCCGCTCTCGCCCGAGCAGTGCGCCGCGCTCCTCAGCTGCTTCGTGTTCGCCGAGAAGGTGCGTGGTCCGGGCGTCGGCGCGTAGGACGGATGGCTGATGACGGGGAATGAATGGCACAGAGCGAGCACGCGACGCGCCTCAAGGAGGAGCTCGCGGCGCCCTGCGCGTGATGCAGGAGGTCGCGCGGCGGATCGCCAAGGTGTCGCAAGAGTCGAAGCTGACGATCAACGAGGACGACTACGTGAAGTCGTTCAAGGTAGAGCTCATGGACGCCGTCGTGCAGTGGTGCCGCGGCGCGTCGTTCTCAGAGATATGCAAGGTGCGCATTGTGTGCTGAATCTGCTCATGGTTGAGACGCTGACGAGGGCTCTCGCGTGCTGTAGTTGACAGACCAGTTCGAAGGCAGTCTCATCCGTGTCTTTAGGCGGTTGCATGAGCTCATCCGGCAGATGGCTCAGGCAGCGAAGGTCATTGGTAACGAGGAACTCCAGCAGAAGTTTGACAAGGCGTCGGAGATGCTGGGGCGGCCGAACTCGGTCATCTTCTGCTCGTCGTTGTACCTGTAGACTTCGACAGTTTTTCCCACCTATACATCGCCATTCTTTGGCTTGTTAATTGAAGGAGTGTTTGGGCACTGGAAGCTATTCAACAGCAGACGCAAACGTTCGAGGGAGAAAAATACATGTTCATGGAATGCAGAGGCGTAGTTGCGTCATAAACCGTAGAAGAGTACAGGCGAACATGCGACAGTGGTGGGGACGACTCATACGACAGTACCTGCGTTGGAGGCGATACGCGGCCAGAGATCCGCCTAGTGAGGGGACGGTTGAGAGGACGCAAGCAAAGACAACGCGACAAGACTCACGCATTCTTTTGCGACCGGGCCAGTGATGGCGGAACCCTTCATCTCGCCCTTGGGGTTGACAATTACACCGGCGTTGTCCTGGGCACTTGTCAACGGGAGACGAGAGCCATAGAGAGACGACGTACCTCGAAGTAGAGGAAGACACCGTCTCGCCGACGCCATGCCTTGCGCTGGCGAACGACAACGGCGGCATCGCTGAAAGGCGCAGAGCGAACAAATGTCAGCGTTTTCGCTCTACGCGCAACCCAGTCGCGCCCCGTCTGTATCTCGCCCTTCCTCCACGCCACATCTGTTATCCAATCATGTACCGTCCACCTCGCCCTCCGGCGGCGCCCTCTGTTCGCCATGCTCCCTTCCCGCCAATAATGCTAAAGGGCAGAGAGACTCACTCTTCTTCCTCAACTCGGGCTTTCCCTTCTTGACGGACGCGACGACCATGTCGCCGACACCGGCGTCGGGGAGACGGTTCAGGCGCGAGCCGGTGCCGAACGCCTCGATAACGAAGAGCGACTTGGCGCCGCTGTTGTCCGCGCAGTTGAGCACGGCGCCGTGGGGAGACCCATGGTCATCCGGAACTTGTTGCCAGAGGCACCTCCGCCTGCCGTCGCCGATTTCGAGAGCGGGTTCGTTAGGACATCGTGGGCGGCGTGCCGTGGTGGGTCGGGGAGTGAACAGGGTTGCATGGGTGGGCAGGGAGGGCGCGCATGGGCAGACGGAAGGGGGGAGATGAGTGGGGCAAAGTCAGTTTCCCCGCATCCTACGGACGATGGAGAATACGAACCTGTGGGCCGGAAGACACGCAGTCAGCATCTCATCCATACACGCACGACGGAGGGGGACGTACCGCGTTGAGCCATTTTTTGCTTGAGGGACTTGCTGTTTGCTGGGGTTGCTCGACGGTCTACTGCAATCCACCACCAAGGCTCCCGGTCGGCAGTCGCCGGTGGTACTGTACAGTTCTCAGCCACCTTCCAAGCCACATGATAAACGCCGTTGTATCCGCGCCTAATGTAGGGCTGCGTGGGCGCCTCAATTGCGTCATGGCCGTCACTACGCGTGAAGACGCTTGCCGTTCAAGTTTACTTATTCATCTGATGCCGGTGGAGAACGCGCAGGCACTCGCTGACGGGCCAAACACACACGGCTAGTTTTGTGAGCCTCACTTGCAGTGCGAAGTGGCAACTGCTGGCAGGCAGCAATGTGGTGGGAACACGATACGCTCACGCGGCGATGTTTTACAACTCTAAAAGTACATATGCGACAAGTTTGGAATCATGCTACCTCCCCATATAATGCCTCTCAGCGATGACCACACATTGCAGGACCTCGTCTACGCCGCACGGCACTTGAAACGAATCGCCTCGGCCGCGGACTTGACCTTAAGGGGCGCGACCTTCGGCGCACCGATCTTCTCAGCAACACGGTCGGAGAGATCCTGGGACACGGCGGCGAAGACGGCGACTGCAACGATGTATCCATAAGCACTGGTTTCTCTTTCAAAAGCAACAAAACACGTACGCTGGCGGGCCTTGACCTCGGCGCTCTTCGCATTCCCAAGGTGAACCGAGAAGTTGTACACAAGGTGCTCGCGGTCCGTGTCGTTGAAGACCTTGGTCCACAGCGCGCGGGGCTGCTCGAAGTCGAGCTCGGTGATCTCGCTCAGGTCCGCCTGCGCGGACCCAAGGAAGATCTCGTGGTCGACGCTCTCGTACACCTTCGGCTTGTACGCGAGCGGGACGATACTGCTCTGATAGTTCGGGCGGGCGCCCTGCGAGTTGAACGCCATCGCGCCGTCCCGCTGGAAGTTCGCGACTGGCGCGACCGGCGCGTTGATGGGCAGCTGGTTGTAGTTCACCCCCAGGCGGTGCCGGTGCGTGTCCGGGTACGAGAACAGGCGGGACTGGAGACCGGGTCCGCGGAGGGCTCGATGCCGGGCACGAGGTGCGAGGGCGAGAAGGCGGCTTGCTCGATCTCGGCGAAGTAGTTGTCCGTGTTCTTGTTCAGCACGATCTTGCCCACGGGCCGGAGGGGGAACTCGGAGTGCGGCCAGATTTTGGTGAGGTCGAGGATGTTGTACCGGAACTTCTCCGCCTGCTCGGGCGTCATAGTCTGCACGTAGACGGTCCAGGACGGGAAGTCGCCCTTCTCGATGTCCTCGAAGAGAAGCTGAATGCCAACGTCAGGGTTTTCGCCCGACATCTTGCCGGCTTCCTGGTCGGTGTACGTCTTGCAGCCACCGTCCTTGCGGATGTGGACCTGAGTGTAGTGGAACTGGCCCTTCTCGTTCACCCACTTGAAGGTGTGGCCGGAGTAGCCGTGCATGTGGTGGTAGCCGACGGGAGTGCCGCGGTCAGAGAAGAGGATCATGACCTGGTGGATGGACTCCGGGTTTTGGAGAGATAGTCCTGCACACGAACCATCAGATGTAGGTATATGTGCTCGAGCCGTACTGCGACTCACCCAGAACATGTCCGCATCCTTGAGGTGCGTCTGCGGGTCACGCTTCTGGGTGTGGATGAAGTGGGGGAACTTGGCCGGGTCGCGGATGAAGAAGACGGGGGTGTTGTTGAACACCCAATCGAGGTTGCCCTCCTCGGTCTTGATCTTGATCGCGAAACCTGCAGTCCCAAACGTCGCTCAGCAGACGCGCGGTGGGCAAGCAATCACGAGTGCGCACCTCGGGGATCGCGAGCGGAGTCCGCGGAACCCGACTCGCCACCGACGGTGGAGAAACGGATGGTGAGTGGCGACTTCTTGCCGATGGTGTTGAAGAGCGCGGCGCAGGACAGGTCCTTGACGTCATGGGTGACCTCGAAGAAGCCGTGGGCACCGGCACCCTTGGCGTGCACGACACGCTCTGGAGGAGACGGGGAGGGATAGGCGCGATAAGCACATCTAACCACCCGGCGCACGCGGCAAGGCACGGTACTCACCCGGGATGCGCTCGCGGTCGAAGTGGGCGAGGAGATCGATGTGGTGGAAGTCTGATCAGCGCGGATCAGCCATCCATCGCGTGCATGGGGTCAATAGCACAGCGGGGTTGTGGGGGTGGGGTGCGCGGGAGGGTGTATGCGTACCTTGGAGGAGCAGAGGGCCGATCTTGCCGACGCGCTGGGCAGCGTACGGATGCGCGACGGGGGCGCCCGACGAGGTGGTGTAGGTCGCGTTGTCCTTCGTGCTGAAGACAGCCTGGGACGGCATGATTGCTCAGGTGCGGGGGAGGAGATGGGCGGAAGGAGAGAGTCGAGGGGAGAGACAGCTCGGGTGGGAGCGGGAGGGTTGGGGGAACGCAGCTATTTGTACTTGCGCAGACATGCTTGGGGAGCAACGAGGGCTTGTGCGGAGGGGCCACTGGCCTGGGCTCCACCGCCGCCACGGGCGTGCCCATGGGCGACCGCTCGCGCGAAGCACGTCAGCAGGTTCCGGAACCTGGCGATGCTCGCGCGCGAGGGGGCCGCCGCTGGGTAAGAGACCCAAACAGACGTGACTGCTTCCCCCGCACGTGCCGTGAATCAGCGGCCTCTCTCTGTCCGTGCGTTTGTCATTGGGGCCCGCCGATTCGACCCCGTCCGAGGCTCTCCGCCGATCGTCCTGGTGCGCCCGCCACTACGTCTATGACGCCATCGCGCCCGTCGCGGTGCATCCTCTGCGCCCGACACTGGCTAAGCTCGCAGGTCGGGCGTGACTTGCTGAGTGCTTCTGCAGGCCGCGTAATCAGCCTCGTGCGGATGAACTCTGGGGCGGTCGAGGGGCGCGGGGGGCTGCGCGCAGGCCTTCGAGAAGGCGGAGAGCGACCATGGCCAGCCCCGCGCAACCCTGCCCGCCCCGCACAATCACACAAGCCGGCGAACGGTTGGTAGCTCACAGGGTGAAGTCAGAGTCCCGTGTCCTGACCAGATGACAGTCCCGCCACCGCCCTTGACCAGATCTGCCCGCCCAGTGATCACGTTCATCTCCCCATCTCCATTTTCCCCCGCGTCCCCAGCTCGCGCCTCGGACGCCTGCGTGTGATGTGGGTTCTCTCCCGACCGTCCCATCCTATCTCTCCCGACCCAGGCCCATCTTCGCCCGGCCCGGCTCCTAGCTCGTCCTGGGTCTTCTTAATTCAGTAACCTCTGAGACCCGTGAACACCCTGCAATGTCTCTCCAGCAGGTGGGAGCGCAGAAGTCGGGCCGTCTATTCGCCATTCTGCCACGTTCACATTGAAGACGTCCATGTGAGAACAAGCTCCGTCTTCTCACCATCGTACCTTCTTCCAGCGCGCGCAGCTATCGGATGAACTGAACGCCATATCGATCTTCGTAGTGGACATGTATACCCTACTATCCTCGTGAGAACCATTCACCCACACGGCCACGACCGTCGGAATCGCACCTGAGAATCCTTCACGACAGCCGGCGGAGAACCCGCACTGACGTTCTCCCAAACTTATCGGCCACTTCAGAGGGCATCTCCCTCCCGTTGTCTGATGCACGTCGCGAACTGGCTTACCCTGCCGTCCTCTTACGTTGTCCGCGCGGACAACAATCGAAACGGATGGTCCAGAACAAGGTCCAGATATGCTGTAAAAATAGACAAAGCGAAGGGCCAGTACACGACCTTTGTGATCCGGGTTCCCCATCGAATGTACAGTCCTAGCCTGCAGGCACTCCGGTCAGTACCCCAAATCCTCTCAGCCACACTAACAACTCACCCAATCCCCTTGCCTTGCTGTTGCTGTTGCGGGCACAGCCTACTCCGCCGCAAGCTCGAGCTTCATCTTCGCGATGGCCTGCGCGGGGTTGAGACCCTTCGGGCATGTGCGCGAGCAGTTGAAGATCGTGTGGCAGCGGTACAGGCTCAACTCGTTTTGCATCTTCTCCTTGCGCTGCGCCGTGTACGTGTCCTGCGAGCCCCGCCACGTTAGGATGCATCCGAGGGAGCGGGAGACGGGGACGTACGCGAGAGTCGGCCATCCAACGGTAGGCAGCCATGAGGGTCGCAGGGCCGAGGTACTCGTCCTGGTTCCACCAGTAGCTGGGGCACGATGTCGAGCAGCACGCGCACAGGATGCACTCGTACATGCTACGACACGGTGCAGAAGTGCGTCAGTAAGCAGCGAAGGGTTGGAAACACAACCACGTGAGGGAAGGGGGATCACGAATACGAGTCGTGACGTATCGGCGAAAACGTATATAAACAGGGCCAAGAGAGGGAAACTACGCACCCATCCAGCTTCTTCCGGTCCTCTATCGACTGCAGGAACTCACGGCCCTCCGGTGGGTTGTCGTTCTGGAGGTAAGGCTCGATCGACTTATACTGCTTGTAGAACTGGGTCAGGTCCGGCACGAGGTCCTTGACGATGTACACTGTTCCACCAAAACGTCAGCACCGACTGGTCCGAGCACCCTGCGCCAACCCAACACGCCATAACAGCAATGGAGGTTGCATGGGACAGAGAGTGCACGTACTGTGCGGGAGCGGGTAGATCTTCGTGTCCTTCGCACCGCGGTCGATCCTGCACAGGCACGCCAGCGTGTTCTGGCCGTCGATGTTCATCGCGCACGAGCCGCAGATGCCCTCGCGGCACGAGCGGCGGAACGTGAGCGTCGGGTCGAGCTCGTTCTTGATCTTGATGAGCGCGTCGAGGATCTATCGTGCGCCGACGTGTCCCGCGCAAATAGGGGACGGAGCATCCGAGTGGACGTGGTACGAGGGTGCGTAGACATGCGGAAAGAGGCGGCGTGAGCACGGTGTGCACGCGACGGAGGAAAGCGGGCGAGACTGACCATAGGGCCGCACTGGTTGAGGTCGACCATGTACGACTGCAGAGTCGGCTTCGACGACGGCTCGTCGGGGTTCTGCGCACCCCCGACCACATCAGTCAGCTCTCTCGGGCTCACGCACAGGAGCCAGACACCTAACGCACCCAGCGGTAGATCTTGAACTCCTTGTTCAGCACTGGCTTCTGGAGGGGCGTCGCCTGCGCGCGTGCGGCGGACGAGGCGAAGCCCCGCACGGCCGAGCGCCTCAGTGTCCCGGTGCGGACGGCAGCAGCAGCGAGACTCTGCATCGTGTCGCTGTTGGTCGGATGAGGGTGAGGAAAGGAGTGAAGGAGGAAGAGAGAGCGGAGGTCGCCGCAGGGTCACCTTGCGCTTTGCACCGTGATTGCGCCGGCGAGTCCGCCAGCGCTGGCGGGCCTCCCCGCACTCCAACGGGCCCGTCGGCCGCGTTGCTCCGAGCCAATCATGCGCTTGCGATTTCCCGGACCGACGGAAACCCGATGGGTAGGCGCCCATCGTGGTGCGCATGCATACCAACTCTATGCAGCATTGCAGAGACAGCAAATCCGACCTGAGGAGCCCGTGAGCAGGGTGAAGCACACATGTGTTTCCGTAGAGGCGATGGATGTCCGGGGGATTATATTCCTACAATAAATGCATACTGTATCATGCCGCTCGTAATGGAGATGGGAAGGAGAAAACATGCGCTGCAAATATCCGAGCCGACGGAACAACGAGCTAACATAAGAGCACAGAAGAGCATCTAAACGCGTCCCAAGTACAATAAGATGAAGATTTACACGTCAGTTTCGCTGTGCGACAACGGACAATCGGCAATGGGTACAGCGGATAGCAGACGGAAGGGAGGTGGACGTTGGCAGAGGGGCTGGTAACGACTGCGGAACAAGGGAAAGGAAGGGACAGAGATTGGTATTGGAGGGAGTGAGACGCCTCGCGTGTAAATGCTACGGGAGGGCTGTCCAGGGTGTACTCAAGATGTAGTAGCGTGGATGGAAGGACTGTGAGCAAATGCAGATAAGAGGCATAACAAGGTGAGGATCAGATTCACCGCTTCCGTTTGCCGTGGAGGCCAGCATCGCCTGCGTGCCCGCTTCCGTCGCTAGAGCCTCCCTCGACCTCGACGTCGCCCTCACCAGGGTGCGTAACTGGGGACGCCGAACTCTCCCTGCCGTTCATCCCGTCACCAAAAACCTGCTCAACGGCAAGCATAGAGCTACTCTCCGGAAGAGGTGGCAGCGCAAACGTCTTCCATCTCCGCGTCGATGTCCTCGGCGACTTCATCATGCCCCAGATGACCATTCGCACTCGCACCAGGAACCGGGGGAGCCCGCCGTCGCGACGCTCCCAGTCTGTTTGCACCGGCGTCGGCTTCAACCTCGGTTTCCGCACCAACATCTCGGTCGTGGCCACGCTCGCGGCTACTTGCGTCGCCCGTGTTTGGCCGGTCCCCAGCGATAGTGCCTGCAATAGCGATCGCGGCGACATCCGCAAGAGAAGCCGTGTCGAGTTCGGGATCGATCTCGACCTCAACGTCCTCCTCGAGGTTGGCAAACGTGCGGCACAGCGGGCACGAGAATGCGGGATGGTGGTTTTCCAGGAGTGGGCGAATGCACTTGTAGTGGAAGGCGTGGGAGCAGGGGGCGATGAACAGCGCCTGATGGATGGTGACGCTGAAAAGGCCTGTTGAATCCGCATACAGCACCGATTGCGGAGCAGAGACAGGGACGGCGGATCGCTTGGGATCAGCACGATCCAGGGCAACAAGAGGCCAAACGATACGCACAAATGCAGCAGTCGGGAAGGGATGACTTGGCGGCCGCTTTCTTGCCCTTTGGGGCCCCTGCCACCGCAGCCCCTGCGAGCGGGAGGGCGATCGACTTGAGTTGTTTGAGGGCATTCACGCTACGTGACGATCAGCAACTTTGGCAAAAATTCGGAGAGGACTTCCAGGAAGACTCACTTGAAAGGATTGCTGTGGTTCTGCCACTCACGTCCGACTTCGATCTTTATCTTGACGCACTTGTAGATGTCCTCCGTACCGCCCTGGTAGTCCACTCCGAGTTGCAGCATATCTCCATCCTTGATCTCGTGCGCCCGAGATTCGTTGTTCGCAGTTGAGAGCCGGACGTGGTTGAGGAACGTGCCGCTCGAGGACTTGGTGTCGCGAATGAAAAATCGCCACCAGACTCGACCCATATCTCCGCATGCGCACGGGACACGACCTTGCTCTTGAAGGCGAGCTTGTTGGAGCCGATCGCGTTCGCGGCTGCGATGCCCATGCCCGAGCGGTCCGTAAAGCGGCCGATGCGCAGCGGGGCGTCGCCCTCGCGGACGTCGCGCGATATGGGGTCGAAGCGAAGCGAGCGGCGTGAGTCGAGGTGGGGGACCAACCTGATGCGGTGGGCGGGGCCTGTGCCCGCTGAGGCGGCCGTCGAGCCTGCAGGGCCGGTGACCGTGCGGGCGACGGCGACGGCGGGGGCGTGCGAGGAGTTTCCGGCGGCGAGGGTGCCTGCGGAGCGGCGTCTGCGGAGCATTTGAGAAAAGCCGGCGGCGGCGTTGGACTGGGAGGGGGCGGACTGGAGGTTTGAAGAAGCTGCTGCTGGGCGGCGGCGGTGGCCAGAGGGATTGTTGTCGAGGCCGGCGGAGGGAGGAGGGGAGTCGCGGGTCTGAGGGTCGTGGTGTGTGGTTGGAGAGGGATGTGACTGGGAGGTGCCGCGAGGTCTGCCGCGCAAGAAAGAGCCAAGGATAGACTGCCTGGCGGCAGTGGAGGAGTCGCCAATGGTCAACGGGTCCATCGAAGGGGCCGGGGCTAGTGCAGACGACGTCCTGGATCCGCTCGTCGTGGTCGTCGTCGAGAAAGACTGAGCTGGACGTCAATCGGGCCCTGTCTGTTTGGCGCCGTCAGCCGCTTCAGGCTTGCCGCCGCCCCTTGCCACTCCGACCACGGCTCCCTCTCCGGCGCTGCCCCTTTGGCCCCGCCTCGCCCCCCACCTCCTGTCCACAGCCGTCTCAATTGCCACTGTCGCCCCCCACTGCCCACGGCACGCCTGCCGCACGCTCCCGGAAGTCGCGATATCACTGTCAGGCTCCTCGCTCTCACACTATCACACTTACAAGTCATCATTCATCGGACTCGGGAGTTATCGCGCCCCGGTTCTTCGTCCCAGTCCATGTTCATCTATCCGTGTCACGTATGTACCCTCTCTTGGCTCGAAGCCAAGCCCTGCGATCTTCTCGATGACTGCAAGCGGTCTGCAGCAGATGATTGGACCGTATGCCGTACCATCACGAGCGACCACCTGCTTTTGCGCGAGCAACGTTCCTGAGAAGTTCCTCAATAATCGCGTCCTTGCCGACCTGCCGACGGCGTGCATCCATTGTCGCCTGTCGTGCTGCGCCGATCGCCTCTGGGCACGAGCATGTCGCGCGATGACCGCTTTCCTATGCTCCTTTTGGCTGTTTACTGCCACCGAGATAGTTGCCTCCGGGCTCTTTTGTCCAGCGGTCGCGGTCGCGGTAGCCTTGGCGCGCGATGCACAGTACATACTCCGACGGTGTGGTATGTCTTCATTTCTTCTCAGAGCCTCGTGGAGCCCTACGACATCGGGCAGCAAAACAGGCGCCCGTCGGTTGCCTTATGATTGAGCTCAGTAGCATCTCAAGTACTATCCAAACCCTTCTAACCTACTTTGCCGGCTCTTTCGTAGTCCCCTAGACGCACATCACATCTTTCCTACCTCTTTTGGTGTGAAGCAGCCCAAATGCGACGGCCCATGACGCAATAAGTCTGGTGTTCCTCCGAGAAGGGAAAAATGAACGGGTACGCGTAGTGAGCGCAAATGGTGGGCTTCAAGTGCACGATAATATTGTGTAAGTTTACTGTGTTGCTAACGCACCTCTTAGATCATTGCTAATGGCGGTCGTATGCAACGATCTCACGAGCAAGCTTCAGTGCCATCCGGGAACTCACAGACGTGTACTTACGTGAGGCGCTATGACAATCAAATAACCGTAGTAAACCGTGGGCCCTCGAGCGTAGAGCGTAACACCTCTCCGAGATGCGGCGCAGTACCTTACATCGACTTGCAACAAATCTCTGAGACACCTCGACCCCTGCCCTGAAGGCCCGACTACCCGCGTTTCTCCTGAAGTCCCCACCAGCAGAAGTAACCCGCGGGAGACTTCACCCGAATGGATGCCGCTGACCTGAAGTGACTTCTGGAGGTGGTTCCCCGGAATCGGTGAGCTGCGGCTGCCTGTGAAGAGCGAGGCTGACCGACCGAACGAACAGACGCACGCCGCAGTGTCCAAATCTATAAGAAGCCCTCCCAGACGGCTGGTTCATCTTCATCCTCGACCACCCCTTCGACCGCCGTCATCCTCAAGGTGAGTCTCCTCCCTCCCTCCCTCTGTTCGCTTCTAAGTCTCCTCCCCTCAAGCTCAGGAGTCAGTCACACGCCGCGCCCCACCGAAGACTCACGCGCTCGCGTCGACCCGCCAAACGTGCTGCTCTCGACGGGGTTCAGGTTCCGGCTTCAAGTCGTCCACATGTGCGAAAGGCTCGCTGCTCCGGTGTCGGGCAGGGACATCAAGAGCGAGATTGTGGCTCAGGTACGCGTGCAAGTCTGACCCCACCGAACGAAGCCGAAGAGGCCCGACGACGATTGAGCCTCGCGACGGTGACCGCACGACCTCACGAAAAGGTAGGCCCGAGGGAAGCGGGCGCGGCTGACGCGGCCCGTCCGGGTGCAGACCTTTTCGTGGTCCTCGGGATAAGTACCTCCGGCGCGCGCGCCGGACGGGAAACCAACATGCACCTTAATATTCTGCTCGTTCTGTCGTCATACTTGATTTTCATCAGCATTCGCTCGTAGTCTCGACGCCACAATATGTGAAATGTGTTGTACTTCAGCGAACTGGACAGACTGCGTGCCCAGAAAAACCAGTCATGCGCTTCCGATGGCTTTCATTGGGTATCAAGAGTCATTTCGGAGATACTAATACACTCGCCGTAGGTACCCATAAAACCTGTACACAGCGGTGAGTCCGCCCAATCCCTTTTAGCCAACAATAATGCTCGCGCATAGGCGCCCTCCCTCAAAGGTCCTTCAAGGTCCGCCAGAAAGCGCAAGCACCTTCGCGACGGCCTGCTCGGCTGTGGAGAGAATCATACCCGTGGGGTTCCCATGGCAGTGCCGGCACGATCGACGCATCGATGACGAACTGTGTGGGGACCAAGGTCAGCGCTGCGCAGTGCGATCCGAGCGCGGAGGGTGCTCACGAGATTGTTGTGTTGAACACCTTGACGTTCTGGTCCACGACCGCGGTCGACGAGCTCGTCCCGATCTTCGCGAGCCAACCCAGTGGTTGGAACACATCGTGCTCTGCGCCCGCGCCGGTCAGCGACTGTCCACAGCGGGGCTGCCCACAACTCACCGGGTCGTACGAGTCCACGTAGGCGTCGATCGTCGTCGTCACGTCCGGCGTGATCATCGTCAGGTTCGACACCGAGCTCATCGTGCTCACGACGTCGTGCAGCGCCTGGACGAGCACCTGCTTGTCGACGGGTCCGTGAACCACGGGTTCGTGAGCGCCGTCCCGCGCAGCGCGGCGTCGATCCCGATCCGCCCGCGCGAGGTGACCCCCTGGGAGAGGTACATGGTGATCGTGAAGATCTGGCTCGCGTTGTACGGCAGGTCGGTGTCGATCGAGGCCGCGCCGGACGGACGGTGCCCTGCGCGTAGCGCACCTTGCCGTCGGAGCCCCCGTATGCACGCCAGAAGTTCATCCTGGGAAGAGCGGGGTGAGTGTATGCTCCTAGCGATGAGGGAAGGAGCGGAAGGGACGCACTTGGGTGACGCCCCAGCGAAGACACCAGAGCGGTTGGCGAGGTACTGTGCGGCGTCAGCGGAGCGCGGGTTGGTGAAAACGTTCGCCCAGTTTTCGTAGGCGTCGATACTAGGATGCGTGAACACGAGCTGAAACGGCGGCCGTCAGAACGCACGCTCGACGCCGAAAGCCAAGAAGACAGACTCACGTTGATCGACGGGTTGTCAGAGACGCCCATGCCCACGGGGAGGTTGATCCACTGGCTCTGCGGGGGGAGGTTCGCCGCCGCCTGTGTGTTCCCTTGCACGACCTGGATCATGTCGTTCGGCCCGATCCCGCTCTGGAAGAGAATGCGCGCCGTGCCAAACGAGCCCGCAGAGAGGATGACGCGCCCCTTCGGGTTGAGCGGGATGACGCCGTTGGGCCCGAGCGAGGTGTCGTTTGTGCGCACGCCGGTGATCGTCGAGCCGTTGCGGACGACCTGAGATACTAGCACATAGTCCTTGTACGTGAAGTTCGGGCGCGCAAGCGCGGTCTGAAGGTACGTCGCGACGGGGCCCGCGCGCTCGCCCTTGAGGAAGTCGAACGCGGAGTAGCCGTATGCGTGGTCCTTGTAGTTCGGGTTGTCGTTGATCGTGATCTGGGAGTATCCCTGGGGGGTGAGGAGCGACTTGACAACTTGAAGGATTGTTCAAGGTAGCGCTTGCCGTCGGTCGAAGGGGCGTCAGTGCTCGGTAGCCGTGCTTTCACTTTGTTGGTGTATGGGGTGTGGTTCTGCCACGTAGAGGCCAGCCGTTCCGGTGGAGAAGTCAGAATCGGGCGGGTACCAGTAGAGACTTGAATGCCATGTCAAATGATCGCCACGCTGGCGTTACGAAGAGTACTCACGCGCCGTTAACGGAACCTCCACCGCCAAGAAGACATCCAGCGAAGTACGTGATATCCTTGCACCACCAGAATGCGTTGGGGTCAGTGAACATGGACTCAAATAGTCCAGGAACGTCGAACTTGGTCAGCTGAGAGGGGCGTCAAAAATGCTCCCGACGGAGATAGATATTTGTCTCACGTTCGCAGACGCAGCCCAGGACGCGTCGTAAGTACCACCTGTTTCCGCCGTAGATGGGCCCCCACGCTCAAGAAGAAGGACTTTTTTCCCGCCTCTGAAAGACGGTCTGCAGCGATGATACCACCTGGGCCTGCGCCAACGATAATGTAGTCATAAGGCGTTCCCTGCAAGAATCCGCTCAATATTGAAGACGATCGCGAACTGGGCATAGCTCACAGTGGCAGTGGGGCCAGTAGTGGTCGTAGTCGTGGAAGTAGGGCCGGTTGTCGTGGTCGTGGAACCAGCGTTGCCGTTAAGGTAGTTCTGGTAGTTCGCGTTCTGAGCATCCGTGAAGCTGATACCGAAGAAGCCGACTGAAACAGTTTGGCGTCATCGTCCGGAAATTGTAAGGGGAGAGGAAGGCGTACAGTCGGTGTGTTCCTGGAAGTCGCTGGCCGGGTCGGAGGGGTCGTCCACCGCGACGGAGGAGTACGCCCATGCGAGAACCCGGAACCAGTGGGACTAATGCTTCCTCCACCCTGCCAGCCTGTAGGTGGTAGATGAGATGTTGCACGAAGCAAACGTAAAATGTACGCACTCGTGCAGTTCTGGCAGCGGAAGACATACTTCCAATGCGTCGAGTTGACTAAACTCTGGGGTAGGGTCGTCAAGGTCGGGCCGTTGTAGACGCTATGATGCGAACATCAATGGGTGTCCCGCTTGTCGACACGTGTGTACTCACGTAGGCTGCGTGTACCCACTGCGGCACAACGTCAGTCGAGGCTTCAACATGCATGGAGGACAATACTCACGTTGAGTAACGAGTTGAGGAGACAATTTTGTTGCCGTTTGGCCACGCCACGACAAGGAGGTCGCCGATCATGGCGCCACCGAGAGCGATACCGACCCATTTGGCGGCAATGGGCGCGACAATCTCTCCGATGAACTCCGTGCTGGTGCTCGCGGAAGGGAGAGCGATACCATACGTAACGCTGTGGACCGGGTCGGTGACACCGTCGAAGACGAAGCTGTTGTCCGGGTCCTTGTACGGCGCCGCGGTCTGCGCGAACGCTGAGGCGCCCAGATGCAGCTTGTCAGCTGCGCTCACCAGAGAAGAGAAGAAGGTTCGCACCAGAGCCGGCCAACGGCAGCAGGGAGAGGAGGAGGTTCTTGACCTTCATGGTTGGCGGTGGTCGTTGCGTCGCGCTCGCCGACCAACCGAGTTTTCCGCTCCTTTTAACAACGAATCTTGTGCCCGCTACGCAGCCAAGTTGCGAGGAAGACCCGAGGCTGTTGACGGCGGAGGACGACTAGCACATCCAGGTGGGTGCCCCGTGGGTCATGCATGACCAAACGGGGTTCATCCTTGTGCGTGTGTGCGGAGAGACGAGCGCTGAGCCAACAGTGGTGCACAGAGACCGCGCACGCGACGGGAAGACGTCGGATGGCCCAGACCGCTCGTGACCGCGAGGCGCGTTGGGAAGAAGTCAGACAGAGATGCGAAAAGCCCGAGATTTAACAAGGCGGCATGTGTCGTGTTGCGCTGTACCCCATGGAGGGAGTGCCAACGAGGGCAATGTCTTCTGTCTGTGCGACCGAGTGCGCGCGCGAAGGATGGCCGAGAATGCGCCGATCGTATGTCCGCCCGAGAGCGGAACTGAGAAAAGACGACCTGCGGCATACGGTACGTCATTCGAACGCGCGATAGAAGGCGGGAAGCAGGATCCGTATAAGCTCACCTCAAGAGTCTGTGCCACATACAATATGCGGGGCAACGCGGTCCCGTACCCCGCCCCCGCAATTCTTCGGACCATCCTATCGCAATACTGTAGTAGACCAATCAGCGATACCTTTTAAACATAGCGTATAGCGACGTCACCAATAGTCCATGTGGATGACATACCATTCTGTGTCTAGCGACGGAGAAACTGGGTCTATAGAGGGCATGCCGGCGCGGTCGATGTCTTCGGAAGCATTGTGGATTTCCTGTGCCTTGCACCTGCCTGTCCTCCGTGGACTTCGTTGAAATCAAAGAAGCGCTCGCCCCATCTTTTGTCCCTTGAAGACGTGGAGTGGTCGGACCCTGGGACGAAGGCGTCACGTTACCGCGTTGAAGACCTTCGCATTGTTTTAGTGAACGGGGCAAGCACCGCCCGGCACATTCTGGCCTGATGATGTATTCGGGTGGTCGGAAGATTTAATTTCAATGTCGTCAGGTGGAAAGGGTGGGACAGGACATATCAAGATGAAGTGGAAGCGGAAGGGAGAGGCTCAGGGCGGTTGTTTGGCAACAGCCTCAGCAGAACACGACCGTCCCCTACAAAGCCACGTGGCCGCCCCTGACGCTGAAGTGTTCGAAGATAGTTCTCATGCCAATGCTTTTTTGCTCTCTCCATGGTTTCTTCTGGAAATCTTGCACATACAACTGCTGTATCTTCCACATCTATGCACGGTTTCCGTATGACACAAAGTCGACACCTTTGTGACCCGGACACGCGTTCTCCGCGTTTTAACGTTGATGCTTGCCACTGCGCCAGCCGTGGTCAATGGATCATGATCAGGTCGCGCAGGGCGAGGCTTCGCAACACGTCGTCAGCATTCTGGTGCTACGTATGATCTCGGGTCAATGCTGCAAAAAGGATGCTGAGAGACTCTGTTGCTCTGCGACGATGGCCACACCCATATACCTGCATTTGTCGGCAACCCTTGTTTCGGTCTCCGGGTGAAGGTTGCGAAAAGGCACGAGGCTTTGACCGTTCTCCAATATTTGTCTCGGTCTATGGTGGTAGCGTCCCAGCATGGGCGGTGGCGGCTTGTGCGCGTGCCTCATCGGATGTGACTCAAGACGGATGTTTGTAGGATTTGGTAGACGAGCATTGATTGTGACGCGAGCAACTCGGCTCGCGAACCAACCCACACATTCTAAAATTCCCCACGCGCGGTGACGCATCGTCTATCGTGTTCCCACCTGCGTGTAGAGGGCACTATTGTCTGTGAGACGACGTTCGAGCCGAGCGTCCTCTGAGCGCCTGGCAGTCGGAGCGAGCGCCTGTTTGGTATCCATCTCTCGCGCCGGCTGCGTGTTCTCGACTCTGCTGTTCTGCCTGGCTGGCGTCCATCCACTCAGGTTTCCCGTCGGTGGGCCGTCTTCCTTCACGCACCCGTCCTCACGCTCATCGAGCGACATAGAACGCGACCTTCCTTCCTTCCTTCCTCTCTTTTCTCTCTCTCTTCCCGCCTTTCCAACTTCGAACCAACTACCCGTCCGAGTCTCCTCGAGTCCCCCGCACGGGTCCGGCTGCCGCCCTCTCACCCCCGCCCCCGCTGCACAGCGCATCGTGGTCCTCGTCTGAGTTCCGGCGCACCCGCTTGGCCCACTCTCGCTCCTTCCCCGCTCGGCCTCTCTTCCCTTCCCGCTTCCGCCGCCCCGTCCCGCCCTCTCACTTCCTCCTCTCCTGCCCGCGCCCGGCACATGTCCGCGACCGCCGCACAGGCTTCCCCGACGTCCGCCGGTCCCAGCAGACAGAATAGCGAGAATGGCTCGGACCAGAACAGGTGTGTCTCGTCCCTTCCCGCTGATTGCGCGTTCGCCGGCGCGATCTCTGAGCCTGCGTCGTCTTCCAGCGTCGTCATCAAGGTCGGCATGCTCGGAGACTCGCAGATAGGGAAGACGAGTCTCATGGTGAAATATGTCGAGGGCCACTTCGATGAGGACTACATCCAGACGCTAGGTGCGATCCCTGTCGTTGCGGCACGGCGGCATCTAATCCCTCCTGTTGCATACATCCATCTCGTCCCGTCCATGACCTATGCGGATGCATACACGTACTTGAACACCTTTCTTCCGCTCTGGATACGTCTCCGTCACCATCTGTGTCGCCTCGGCCCCCTCGGTCCCTCCAATGGCCCGTGGTTCAACTCGCGTATTGGGTCCGACGATAAGGCGTCAACTTCATGGAGAAGACCATCACCGTCCGGCGAACATCAATCACCTTCTCGCTATGGGACTTGGGCGGACAGCGAGAGTTCGTGAACATGCTTCCACTCGTGTGCAATGACGCGGTGGCAATCCTGTTTATGTTCGACCTCTCCCGGAAGTCAACACTGAACTCTGTGAAGGAGTGGTATCGGCAAGCACGAGGTTTTAACAAGGTGAGTCTTCTCAATCCAGGATGGAGAACTTTGCGGGGCATCATGACCGCCCTTCTTCATGTCGTACACGTCTACTCTTGTTGGAACCCCGAGCCTTTCGTCTGCCCAAATCCGGCGGCCCAGTTCGTGCTGCCATATGGAGTACTGATAATGGTGGGTCTCGCAGACCGCCATACCATTCCTGATCGGCACGAAATTCGACACGTTTTCAACGTTCCCTCGAGACGAGCAAGAAGAGATCACGAAGCAGGTGCGTGCTGGCTTACATAACGTCCCCAGAGTCTTTGCTCATCCGGCCTCAGGCGAAACGCTTTGCAAAAGCGATGCATGCCTCGTTAATCTTCTGCTCGACATCAGCGTCAATAAACGTGCAGAAGATCTTCAAGATCGTGCTGGCCAAAGCGTTCGACCTGAAATGTGTTATTCCAGAGATCGACGGGGTGGGCGAGCCGGTGTTGATGTACGTCGACGTATAATATCCCGAGGAGGTGGAGTTCAGAGTTCGAGGTGTGGACTGGGTCTCTGGCGGGAAGCGCAAAAAGGATCAGGTGCGTGAAGCCGTCTTCTCGCCGCACACGCAGATCCTTAGGGCGTTGGTGCGGCTACCAGCTTGCTGTCATGCGGCATCGGCCCCAACCGACGATCTCAAAGGAGACATCTATTCTGAACAACGCCACGGGCGAAACATATCGGCAACAAGGAGCCCGGAGGACGAAGAAGAAATGGACAATACGGTGCACCCAGTCTGCCCCCCAAGCTAGTTTATTTCTCCAATACTTGCCACTTCCCCGCCCCCAATCCTCTCCCTCGTCTCTCTGAGCTCCGGCTCGTCGTTACCCCCCGACATCCCTTTCCCCTCCGGGTTTTGGGTTCTGGTTTGCTTGCTTTCCTCTATCCCATCCATCCATCCCCCCTCCCCTCGCTCGCCCCTACCCCTCTGTTCGCGGTCGGTCCGCCCCCTCACTCCCCTCCCCTCCCCCGGTCTCCGTCACGTCCCGTACCACGCGCTCGTACACTGTTGTCGTTTTGTCCGTTTGCTGCATTTTCTATGTCACCGCTTACTGCCCTCGCTCGTCCGCCCGCACTATCTAACCTCCTCGCATGCTGCCCGCCAGATTCCCCGACCCAACACAGCCCAGCCACCACGCCCTGACGACGCCCACAACCAACCGCTGCCCCCCGCCGCAGCCGCTCTGCCAGTCCGTTGTTTTTCCCCGTCTCCGCGTACACATACCAGACGACCCCCGCGCCGTACTCCCCCTAATCCGCCCCCGCCGGCCTTTCTACCGCGTATGCCTCCCCCGTTCCGCCCGTTCGCGTCGTGTAGATATACCTCCCCCATCCCCCATCCCCCCTTGACGCACTCTGCTGCCCAGGTATGCCCAACACCCCTAACGTACATAACTGGCCTGGCCGGCTGTTCGCCGATTGATGGACGGTGCGCTCGTCGAAATGTCAAACGTGTTAAACTCGGAGCGAATCGGCCTGTGCAGTGAGTTCCGAGGTTCAACGTTCATGCATCATGAGCAGCCGCGGCCCGTGTCGCAGACGTGTGAGAGCGATTGTGGCGGCCAAAACCGACGTCAGCGGTACGATGCTCACCCGCGACGTCGCGACGGGGCTTTCAGTGGCGCCACCGCCCTCCGCTGACTCGACATAAACACAGTGGTGAGAGCTGCGCCAAGGATACTTGGAAGAGCGCGAGACGATCACGAGCGATCATAGATCTAGCATACGAGAACGAACATATCATTACTCATGCAATACATACTCTCCACATATGGGCACAGGCACGAAGATACAGTACACAGTCTTTATCAGACTAGACGAGGCGGGACAGGATAAAAAGCATCATAGGGAGTGCCAAGACGATGGAAAGCCGAGGGTTATGCGCTTAGGACCGCTCACCACGGAGACGGCGGGCAAGGGACTGAGAACGTGATGTCAGTTAAAGACGACAACCCCGAGAGGCATGAAATGCTCACAAGGTCCTTCGGCTGGATGGTGACACGCTTGGCGTGGATGGCAGCCAAGTTGGTGTCCTCGAAGAGGGAGACGAGGTAAGCCTCAGCAGCCTCCTGGAGAGCCATGACGGCGGAGGACTGGAAACGAAGGTCCGTCTACGAAGCGACGATGTCAGACGTGACGACGACGACGAGCAATGCACAGAGCACACCTTGAAGTCCTGGGCATCTCACGAACGAGACGCTGGAAGGGGAGCTTGCGGATGAGGAGCTCGGTGGACTTCTGGTAGCGCCGGATTTCACGGAGGGCGACGGTACCGGGCCGGAAGCGATGGGGCTTCTTGACACCGCCGGTGGCAGCCTGGAGCAGAGCCAAACACAAACAAACAACAACAGGGGCAATCCGGATTGGAAGTGCATGGCAACCCACAGCGCAGTGGCCTCGTCAGCTTCCCCCCCGCTGTGAGAGAGGGTGGGCACGTACCGCCGTCGCCGTCTTCCTAGCCTGCTTCGTCGCGAGCTGCTTACGCGGGGCCTTGCCTGAGAGAAGGAGTATGTCAGAAACCCGTTTGCGCCCAGAAATCCGCTCGAGGGCGGCTAGAGGTGCTCACCTCCAGTGGACTTGCGGGCGGTTTGCTGTTGGGGTCGTCGTCAGCAACGGCGTTGAGAGCAATGTCAACCCTGTGAGAGCGGCTACTGACCTTGGTACGGGCCATGGAGGGCGGTTGATAAGCGGATGGGGGTGTGTAAGATGAGAAATACGAGGGAGAAGTGCGACCTCTTGGAGGGTGCGGTGGTGGTTGGGGACGACGAGGGGCGGGGAGACGGCGGGGAGAGGAGGCTTGTTGAAGGTCCGATGGCGTGGTTCCCACGCCCGAAACTTCCGAGACAGCAAAGCCCCCAACGCCTTGCGCTCGGGCCAGCTTCTGGGCCCAAGAGGGAGGAAGATGGTCATTTTATTCGTTTTTACCCCCGTCCCTGCTCTTACCTCCGCTCAAAACACCTGGAACACTGTCAGACACACCTCTCTGATGGTTCTGCAGCAGTTAATGGGGAGCTACTCAGCACACAATCACTCTGGAAGCTGTGGAACGTGGAGTGGCGGATGTCGGATGGGCGTCTAATTCCAGTCGCGCGTGCGACCACCTTGCATCGGAACTTCCAGAGGCGATCTCATCTGGGCCCTCTGCTCTCCTCCGCTTATCCCACTCCGTCCCCAGCTCGATAGGTGAAAAGACCATCTTGTTTCTTTCTACCGGTGTCTGCTTACATGCCGCGCGCAAATAAAAACGCTCAGGTCCGCCACGGCCTCCGTTGGAACCCTCCGAAGACGTTGGGCGCTTCCTTCATGTTCCTGTAGCGTCTCAGCGGCCCACGTCGCATTTCTCGGATGTGTTGGGTCCCGCCGCCGCCGCCGGACGCATGACGGCGGCAAGGATGTCATGCTATCTCATGGACTTCCGTCTGCGCGGCGCACCTGGGTGCCGCCCATTCCGCAGCGATACCAGCCTCTGTCCCACATGGTGCAAGCATCAGTTGATCGTCCCGGTGAGCTTGTCGGAGCCTCTTCCTTGCCTTTAAATTCACAACGACCAGACGACCGACAGATTGCACATGTGCACTCGGCCGTACCTTCCATCAATATTGGCCAAAAGCTGTCGCCGAGCCCCGGCGGACTAGCGCACGAACATCGCAGACTGTGGCTGGAGTCTGTCTGCACCTGCCGTAACCGAAATCCAGCCCGTGTACTTGGTCTAATCCAAGGCTGTTCGTCGAGCACTCGCGTGGCTATCCCGCCGTCGAGCACTTGGCCGCTCACGTGCCAATGCTACGATCACTGTCTGGCTGCAACTCTACAACGAAACACGACGCAAGGTTTGAGGTGCACAAGGTCAATGCTCGATGATGGTTCTGCCTTCGATTCCCCGATAAGCCTATCACATCTTGCCGCCTCAAGCCCATCCGCCCCCGTCGCATATCCTTCGCCTCGCATCAAACACAATGCTGCCGCCCGAACCGAGAATTCCGAGGAAGCACGCTGTCCATGGCGAACATCCCGCACCGCATGGGTCCCTTCCGTTTCTGCCTCTCGGCGTCCTCTTCCTCTCTCTCCAGGCGTCCCCTGTTCCCTTGTGGCCTCCTCCGGCTAGATCATCTGTGATGCTTCTGACGACGACACGCGCCTCGTCCCTGGTCATCGGTCCTCGAGCAGTAGAAAAGCACGCGTACCTCGAAGGTCGATTCTTTGGACCCCCTTCCCTCTCCCCTCTCCCTCCTCCCCTCTCTCCGCTCCCCGACACACCACATAGCCACCTCGGTTATCATGGCTCTGTCGGCACCCTCAAGCGCGCCCTTTTCATAGCCGCCATCGCCCTGGCCGCTCTCGTCGTCGTCGATGCGACCCAAGTCATGCAGCGTCCTGCGGAGTACAAGGACTCGCCCAACAAGTTCTCTGTTGATAAGAACGCGAAGACCAAGGTCGTCCACAAGCGTGCGGGCGAGAAGACCTCCGTTGCCTACTTCACTAACTGGTGCGTCTTCAAGTCGTGCGTGTGCTCCTTCCTGTACTCATGTGCCTCTGATTGCAGGGGTATTTATGGCGCGAACTTCCGTGAGTGATAAGCCTCCGCGTGCAGCCTCACAACGCACTTACTCACATCACTGTAGAGCCGAGCGACATCAACACCGCCACCCTCACCCATATCCTGTACTCCTTCGCGGATGTCTCACCTGACACCGGCACCATCTCTCTCACCGATTCATACGCTGATGAGCAGGTCTGTACTCCGTCACACCAGTGGCAGTGCGCAGTGCCTTATTGCTTCTCCCCTTCTAGAAACACTACGACGGTGACTCATGGAGCGAGTCTGGAAACAACCTTTACGGATGCCTGAAGCAGATGTACCTGATCAAGCTTGCTCACCGGTCCGTCTCCCTTTCATGTTCTCGTATGCGTCCTTATAGGCGCTTGCCTCTCTCAGCAACATCAAGGTCCTCCTCTCCGTCGGCGGTTGGACCTACTCCCAGAGCGGCCACTTCAACTTCGTCACCGATGCCAGCAAGCGTGCGACCTTTGTCTCCAGCGCTGTCAGCATGGTCGAGAACTACGGCTTCGATGGCATCGACATTGACTTCGAGTACCCCTCCGCGACTGACCTCGCGAGTGGCTTTGCGTCCCTCCTCACTGAGCTCCGCACTGCCTTCAACACCCTCCAGAGCCAGAAGGGCGACAGTACACCATACCAGATCAGCGTAAGGATCTACCATCGCACCACGGATAGTCTGTGAATGAGCTCGGGTTTTGTTTGATTTAGGCTGCTGTCCCGCCGGCTCGGTCAACTACAGTTGGCTGAAGATGGCCACTATGGACGCCGCCTTGAACTACTGGAACCTCATGGTACGTGCACTTACGTCCTTCCTACCGGTCACGTCGTCTCATGGCATTCTTATCCCATCTCAGGCCTACGACTACGCCGGCTCCTGGCTCACCTTCACCGACAACCAGGCCAACCTCTACGGCGGCGCGCGCACCAACGTCTCCACCGACAAGGCCATCAAGTACTACATCGCCAACGGCGCATCCGCCTCCAAGATCAACATGGGCATCCCCCTCTACGGCCGCGCCTTCGAGTCCACCACCGGCATCGGCGCCTCCTACAACGGCGTACGTGTCCCTCTCTCCCTCGACCTCTGCTTCCCTTCCGACCGTAGCACCCTCCCACGCACACGATCTGACCCCGCCTCCTCCCCACCCAGATCGGCCCCGGCACGATCGAGGCGGGCGTATACTCCTACTCGGCGCTGCCCATCGCGGGCGCGACCGTGATCGAGAACCTGACCGACGTCTCCTCGTACTCGTACGACGCCGCGAAGCAGGAGCTCGTCTCCTACGACTCCCCGCACATCGCGACGATCAAGGCCCAGTACGTGCAGTCGAACGGGCTCGCCGGCTCCATGTTCTGGGAGCTCTCCCAGGACAAGGGCGACGCCGCGTCCTCGCTCGTCTCCACCGTCGTCGGCGTCTACGGCGCGCTCGACAGCACCAAGAACCACATCAGCTACCCGAACAGCAAGTGGGACAACGTCCGGAGCAACATGGGCCAGGGCGGCGGCAGCAGCAGCACCACCGCGACCTCCACCTCCACCGGGGGCTCCACGCCCACGACGACGACCGCGGGCACGACCCCCACCAAGGGCGCGTGCACCGTGTCCGCGTGGAGCGCGACGGTGAGCCCCCCGTTTCGCGGACGCGCCCCCGCAGTGCTGACCCGCGACCGGCAGACGACCTACGTCGGCGGCAACCAGGCGAGCTACAGTACGTCCGGTGTGATTCTGCCAAGACCGCGCGAGCTCACCATTTCCCCCCCTCGCAGACGGCGACCTTTGGACCGCCAAGTGGTGGACGCTCGGCGACACCCCCGGCGGCAGCGGTGCGTACATGCGCTCTCCCGTGATCGTCCCCCGACTGACGCGCCGTTCCTCAGCTGGTGTCTGGACCGACAACGGCCCGTGCTAGATGCACGCCCGCCCCCTTGTGGAACACCAACGCAGCTCAGAAGGCAGCTGCGATTTTGCGATTGCTGCGACGATAGCATAACGCACACCAGTCATGGGATGCAACATCCATGTAAATACTCGACCAGTCGATGATAAATCAAATACCCCATGTTGCACCACTACCATCTACTTTGTGAACTGTGCAGTGCGACGACTCGACCAAAAATGAGGATAGGTAACAAGGTGATCTATATCAACAAAAATGTTGATCCAATACTCTCTGGCGGGGAATCGAACCCCGCTTTCGCGCGCACCAGAAATGACAAGCGCGTGTACTAACCGATATACGACCAAAGAGTTATGAGTTGCCTAACACCAATGTATATAGGTCTATTGTTCTTCGAGTCGAGCCCATCCCTCCCGACCTCGAATCTCGCACGTTTTGTAGATATTCGATCTTTGCATGTGGGGTGCACAATGGGCGCGTATTGGCCACCTCTCCAGCTTTTTCAAGGTAATTCCTGCAGATAATGGCGAGAGCGGGGAGTGTCTTTCTTTTGCTACAGACCTCTAATCCGCTTACTAGACGTGACATATGCGCCTTTTCGAGACGTTCATTGAACGGTAGCCAAGGAGTGGTCAGTGACGTCTGTCTGTCGAGTGCCCGTCAAGTCCAGCTCTCCCCGTCTCCCGTCCCTCTGATCCTCCTCATGTTTAATAAATCTTGAGTCCCAGATCGCAGTTTCAAGCCGGGAGCCGAACCCTTTCGCGCAATGCTACCAGACACCCGCAGATAGTAAGTCATACATTGTTATAGCATTATGCGGTCGTAGAGCGTGAATCGTGTCCAGAAACTCGACCTCAAACAAATCGTCGAAACACAACTCCGTTTGTCCCTGCCACAAAGCTCCGCAGCCTAGGATCAGTTATCAGCCACCACCCCATCCTGTACAACAGCGCCCGCCCCGCCCCCTCCCTGCTTCGCCTTCACAATCCGGACCCCGGCGAGCGCAGCCTTCTTGACGGGTGCCGCACGCGTCGGCGGCATCGTCGGCGGCGGAGCGGCGGAAGCAGCAGCAGATGCGCCCGCCCTGCCAGCCGACGCCCGCCCGGCCGCTGTGGGCGCGAGCGGGCCCGGATTCCGCGTGACCACCGCGCCGCGCCCCAGGAGCCCGGCGTTGTGCTTGAAGCCCGCCGGCGGGGCGAGCGGGAGCGCGGGGAGCGCGGCGGCCCTGTCCCGCGCACGTCCACCAGGAGCCGCTGCGTAGCCGTTTGTGGGTGCGCCGTGCCGCGTGCCGGCGTGGCCCCTGCCGACGCCGACGGACTGGGCGACGGGCCCGGCGCTCCCGCTCGCGGCGGCGGCGGCGGCGGACGCGGCGGCTGCGCTCGCGCCGAGCGGCTTCGCGGGGAGGGAGGGGTGCGCGGGTTTGCGTGTGGACGAGGAGGACGAGGATGATGCCGCGGGCGCATCTGTGTGCTCGAGCTGGCGCAGCTTCGCCTCCATGCGAGCGATCTTCGTCCCGGTGCTGTGGCGAGGGAGGCGTCAGGACGGGCGGCGAGGACACGACGGAACACGATGAGCCGAGCTGAGGACGCGGGCGCAGAGACAGATGCGGTGGGGGAGTGTGTTCCGAGTGTGATTCCGAGCGCACGGAGACGAAAATGAAGATGACTTACGCATCTGAGGACCGACCGGCGTTCGCGCTCTTCAACAGGCTCAGCGTGGTTGGCTTGCCGACCTCGCTGACCATACGGCGGTTCCGCGCGCCGAGCCCCAACCCTGCCGCCGAGTCGAGCGGGGCCTGGTTCGCGTAGGTGACTACGAGCTTGCGGCCGCGGAGGATCTTGTCGTTGGCGCGCGTGAGGGCCTTCTCTGCGTCCTACCAAACGGATCGGAAGAAGGGGCGCGAGTGAGCTCCGAGATCGGGCGCGGGGTCACCTAACGGCCGCATCCGCATCCCCCGGGCTGCGGCTGGATGGACTGCACACTACGCACGGACACGGGTTGGAAGGGACATGCGCCGTGCCGTCGTGTGTGGGTGCGAGGCCATGCAGGAACAAACCCGGGGTAAGCAAACGGCCGGAGAGGAAGGAGAAAGAAGGGACGTACGGCTTTGTCGGAGTACTCGACGAAGGCGTAGCCTCGGGGCTTCCCTCTCAGCGGCCCGATTTGTGGAAGAGGTAGTCAAGCTTGGCGATCTTGCCGAACTTGGAGAATAGCTGGAGCAGGGTGTATCTGCGTGGGTGGGTGGCGGCGGAATGAGTCGTCCGAACGGTTTTGGACGAAGCGCGCATGTATGCGAGATACGGGTGTAGGTGCACTCACTCGTCCACGCTGTGATGCAGGTTTCCGACGTACAGCCTCTCCTTGAGGATCTGGCGCGGTTGTGGGGGCGCAGCAGGGGAGGTGCTGGGCGCGAGAGGCAGTTCCGGGGCGGGGAACGACAGGTGCTCGTTGAGATGTTCCGCCGCGAGGGAGCGGTGGGCGCAGGCTCCGGAGTGGGTGATGAGACCTCGCCGGCGTCGATTTCCATAGGGCGCTGGTGATAACGGTGTGTGGTAGAGGAGAGACAGATAGAGGCCGGTTTGGCTGAACGGGGTGGCAGTGGCTCCGACGATGGCTCGCAAGGCGCGCAGCGCTGGCTACACTGGCGCCTCGAGGCCGACGGGCGGCTGTTCCGTACGTGAACGCTTTTCGCCAACGGCGACGTCGTACTCTCAGTGCACGGTTATGTCGCCTCTCATCGTCTCACTCATCTTCGCACAAGGAGTGGTGCGACTAGGATTGGGCCCCCGGAGACCGTTCCATCGGAATTAGGCCTGTTCAGTGGGCGCGGACATGCGGAAGCTGGAGCGAGCCTCCGGGTCCATGGACTAGCTCTGCATGGACGACGCCCTTCTTTTGGGGTTCTCGACATGGATCGCGGCGTAAACTGCTGACCTGCGCGGTCTGCTCATCAGCGTCGGTAAGGTGCGGCAAGGCGTGTTCCAGAAGACGCGCGAGCCAGGGGTGCGGGGCAACCAGACGATTATCTCCCTCCCCGAACGGCCAAGCGAGGAGGATGAACGTGCGAATGACCTCGGATGGATCAAGCTTCAAGCCGCAGAGGACGTAAGGCGCACCGGACAAGCCTCGAGGCCCGGCATCAAAGTCGGAGGAGCGCGCGCGGCTGCGTTCCTCGACGCCAGCAGTCGCCGCGGACGAGCCCTTTACCGCCGCGCGCGACCGCCCGCCGAGGGGCCGGAGTATCACAAAAGGAACGGGCGCGCACGCGGCGAAGCTACACACAAACCACATTCGAAGCGCGGCCCTGCTTCGCCCGTCCACCACATGCCGTGCGCGCGGCCGGGAATGGCTCTGCGCTCCCCATGCCCTCGCGCGCCGGGCCTCCAGAGCAATGCCTGTCCCCCGCCCGAGCCTCCCAGGCCGCAGCCCGGGTGGGCTGCGGCGGCGGCCCCGGGCCCGCGCGCGCACTCTATTGTCCTCCCTCGCCCCGCCTGCTCGCCCACGCTCCCCCCGCGCGCGCCTGGTGATTGCGTTCCGATGCGCGACGCCCGGCCGACGTCGCTCGCCCCGCCCTCGCGGCCTCGCGCCGCCCCATCGCGCCCCATCGCTCGGCGGACGAGCCGCCGCCGTCGGGCGCAGGCGCGCGCGGTCGCCCCCTCGCGCCATATCGGGCCCATCGACGCCCGGCGCGCGGCGATCCACCCGCGACGCTCTCAGGCCGACGCCACATCGAGGCAGCAGACGCCCTCGCGATGATCCACGCGCGCCGCGCCGCGCCGCCCTGTGCCCTGCTTACCCTCCGGCCGGCGTCGTGCGCACGGGCGAGAGCTGGCGAGAGGCATCGTGCGCAGATGATCATGCGAGCCCGACCGCTGGGCCCGGCCCCAAGACGCGCGGGACCCGAACTCACTCGTCCGAGGGACCCCGCGCTGTAGGCTCTCCAGAAGCCCGTTGAGTCTTTTCGCGCCCTCGCGTGTGGCGAATGGCACCCGGGAATAAGTGTCTCCAGTGCGCGCGCGCAGAAACCGCCGGACGAGGGCCGGGGTGCATGGGCTTCGAGCCCCGAGCGCGGCGGGTTGCGCGCGCGGCACGGCGGCGAAGCCCGCCCGATGCGGTAAACAGTCCGCCCGGGGCAGTCAGAACCGGGCTTCGTGCAGATCCTGGCCGTGGACACGCCCTGGGGGCGGGGATGAAGACGGCAGAGATTCGCCCGCGTCGGAGCTGGGAGTCCCGTGGTGAGCGCGGGAATGGGCGCTCGCTCCGAGCGTGGTCGGAAGAAGCGCAGAACGCGAGCGGTGAGACCTGGTGAGACTGAGGGCACACGGCGCGCGGGAGCACGGGGGTTCGAGCAGAGCGGGCGGAGAATACATTCGGCACGGGCACAGGACGGAGAATACACGCGGACATGCGACAGGAGGGAGATAGGTACAGGACGGAACGCACGGGACAAAGCTATGGCGGGACACGGAACACTGGGAAGAACAGGAGTGAAAGAAACACAAGCGAGTCCGATGAGCAGAGAGAGAAGCGCGGAGGAAGAGAGGACAGAGGAAAGGAGCAGCGGAGGGGAGCAGAGGAGGGAGAGCGCGGAGGAGGGAGAGCGCGGAGGAGGGAGAGCGCGGAGGAGGGAGAGCGCGGAGGAGGACAGAGGGAGAAGGAGGAAGGGGAGAGTGTCGGACCACCGAGAAGAGAGGAGCCTCTTCACGGAGAGAGGGTAGAGGCCCTCTCAGAGAGAACAGGATCCTCGACGACACACGGTTGTCAAGGAGGAGAGAATGTCGTTGAGAGCAGATGGGGCAACTTTGCACCAGTGCCATATGCCCCTGCTCGGGAGAGCATCACCGAGCAGCTGGGCATCGATGCCGGTCATCGACCACATGAGTCTACGGCACGTCCTGGAACCAGGACAGTGCTTCGTCCTCATCGCGTCACCAAGATTTGGCCGCGCGCCGCGCCTTCGCTGACTTGGTCCGTCTCCTCTTCACCGCGGGCTTGGACCCCAAGACCTCGAGAAGTCCTTCACATCCTGTCTCGAGGAGGTACTCCCTAAGAGCCGCCGGTGGGTCTTGAATCCGCCGAACGAGAACGAAGTACGTAGATGAAAGCGTCAACTTGTGCGAGGAGTGAGTGTGGCGTTGGAGGGCGTCCGGTCGCGACATAACGCGGTCGCAAACCGGACAGGTGACCTTCCACGCGACAAACTTCCCCTCTTTGTGTACGGTCCTCTTGTGGCGCTCGAGGTCCGAGCGACGGCTCAGCTTCCAGTTGCACACGCCACTCGCGGAGGTGTGGTCACAGTAGTAGGGCCCATCTTCGTCACCCTGACCGGCGACGGGTCCGCGCTTCGTTCGACGCTTGGACTTGGAGCCCGGGTCCTTGTACTCTTCGTCGCCGTCTTCGTCTTCGGCGTCGTCATCGTCGTCGTCGCATGCCTCGCCATCTCTGCTGGGGACGTAGTCGGACTCGCTCGGGTCGGATTCGGCGTCGGCGTCGGCGTCGGCGTCGGCCTGCGAGTCCCAGGAGCCACTAGGGTGTACCGACGTGGGGGCAGAACCGGCGCGGGCGCGGGCGCGACGGGGGGCGGAAGCCCGCGATGACCTCCGCGCGGTGGTGGGGGCAGCGACGGGCGTAGAGACCACGACATTTCGGGCGCGCGTTGCGCGTTTCGGAGCGGGAGAGGCGTCGGAGTCATCGGAGTCGTCGCGCGCACGCTTGGGCGCGCGCGCGCGAGACGAGGCGTTGACGCGTGCGGGAGACGGGGCGGGAGACGGGGAACGATGCGCCGAGAAAGGATTCGGAGAGGGAGCTCGCGAGAGAAAAAGTGGCGAGGGAGGTGCGGAAGGATGCGAACAGGGGGACGGGGAGGGATAGCAGTGATGCTGGGAGTGCAGGGCTGCGACGATCAGGGCGGGCGCGTCCTGGCTGCCCTCGCACTGAGTGGTGTCGATGACCTCGTCCAATCTCAATTCGGGCGGAGGGCAACAGTCCTTGGGGTCAACACACTGCGTGAACAGAACGTGTGACTCTTGGAAGGGGGAGTGCGGGGCGGACGAGGAGCAGCTGCTGGAGAGATCGTCTGAGGCGGGAGATGGCATCGCCGATGCCCACAAATCGCGCTGAAAGCGCAGTTAGTCGAAGATCACACTGGAATGAGGGGGGCGATCACATACCGCGGCGTCCGTGATCTGTCCGGGAACATAGAACTGCTTGTCGCCAAACAGATAGGATTGAGAGTCGTACTATTGCCCATGTCAGCACCCGTCATGGCAGTGAGAATGAAAGAGAAGCGCTGACACTTAGTCTCCCCAGAATCCCAGCCGACCTGCAGGGGCTGGTGTGATACAGGCCAAACCGGGACACGCTAGGGCGCATGTATTGAGGAAGGCAGTTCGGGTATGACTGGGGATAGCGCACCTGCGGGGGGTAGATGGCTCCCCATACAAGGGGTAGCCCTGAGCGACTTGCGTCGGAAGGTCGATGTCGAGGCCGAGAGAGCCGCGCCTCGGGAAGTGGGCATCGTAGGGATAGAACGCGGATGAGGTCATGGCGAGGAAGGGCGGGAGGCGAAGGCACGGTCGTGAGGATCGAACTCAAAGCAGGGCCGCCTTTAAATCCCTTCTCGCCTGTGGATCCATAGCACCGCCCATAGGCGCCGGACGCCTCAAGGGGGAGTGCGGTCCATCGACTCGGGTCCCGCCCTCGCACCTGGCAGCCGGTCCGACAGCGAGCAAAGATGGGATCGGGACTATCGCAGGCGCCAGCCCGGCAGACGGACACAAAAGGCGTCCTTCAAGGGGGCCTGAGAATACAATAAGAAGCGTCCAGATCTGGGCGCGTTCTGGTCGTCATGATTTCTGTGTGCACCGTCGATATTGAGTGTGTGCACACTCACCGAGCACCCTTCAGATGAGACTGGCATAGCCTTGTCTCGCCATCATTCTCAAACGGAATGTGCTCCAGATGCAGGAAGGCGACGGAAACGTGCGAGGCGATGCGGGTCTCGCTGGACCGCCGAGGAAGAGGGACGAGCGTCCGAAGCGAGACATGGTCGATAGATCGAGTGCCCAGATGTCACCCTCGGTGTGAAGAGGTCGGGGTAACGGGCGGGTGGAAGACGGGAGGGATCTGTGGGAGCTATCAGCATTATCGCACCATGCAGGTCATGCGCGTGTTCGGAGGTGGCAGGGGTCACAGAACTAACCGCGGCATGCGCATGAAGGGCATAGGAAGCATCCGGTGAGAACAGCGTCTCGCTTCAGACGCCCGCCATTTCCCCGCGCCAGTCCGCGCCAGCGGTCCACGCGCGCCCTTCCATCTCTCCCCCGCCCTCCGACTGTCCCCTGATCTAGACCGTTTATTCGCCCTCGGCCCCGGTAGCGGGTGCACGAGGACACGAGGGTCGGTGCGGCGATGGCATGGTGCCTTGAGGCGCCAGCTGAGGCTCCAGTGCATATATCCGGAAGGATCGCGGAGTAAAAGCGTACCCGGAACCCACCCAGCTGCCCCCCGAGTCAATGCAATCGCTCGCAATGACAGCAGGGTAAAGGGCTCACGATCGATGAGTCATAAAACCCAGGTTGGGGTCCTCTCCCGTAAGTCCACTAGGATCCCGGGTATGTGCGATTGTATCTGAGGCTGGGGATTCAAGACAGGACGCGATTGCTCGCTCGTTCGCAGCAAGGCTGGGTCGGAGTCGACAGAACGGCTAAGAGCGGCCCTCGCCTCGGGCCAGCTCACAGAGTGATTATGTGAGCATAGGATCACATGATCGTGAGCGGCGCCTCTTTGGGGGCGCAAACAAAGATGGACCCACACAATCAAATGGTTACGTCATTTCCGCTTCCGAAGGTAAATCTAAACGAGATCGGGCACCGGGCCGGCTCGGAGCAGGACACGTGCACGAGCGCTTCGTTGACATTATGAACCGGCTGCCAGCCTGGCACGGTCTACCTTGTTCCTCTCCGTACCGTATCCGACTAGTTCCGTTAAAAGAACATGCCGGGCTTAACAAGGGACAGCCAGGAATTCTAACGGCTCGCAGCTCGTTCTTCAATGGATCACACATCCATCAGCAGCCCTCTGATCAAATTTTCGTCGGAGTTGAACACAGAAGCGGTCGTTAGACTGGCGACGCTACAACTCCGCTGGTGCTCTCTCTTACACCAAAATGTAGCAGCTACTAATCCCATTGTCTCAGCCGGACGTGGAAAGCGTCGCATGAACCGCCCCGAATGATCACTGTGAGTGCTGTGGCCTTCACTCTTATCGCACATACTAATTCGCAACCACGCCACCGTGGCCCGAGCCCCGGTTTAGAATTGACTCAAACATGCCGCCAAGTGGGCATCGCCCCAAAATGCTCTATCTTATCCCAAAGGTCTCTCCAGACCGCAACCCCTGATCCTTTTGGGCCATTTGGGCAGACCCCGGCCTCAAGGATCTTCGGAATACAACTACGCCTCTGCCTCTTCAGCCCTTCGCCTTGAAGCTTTCGGAGAGCAAATCCCTGGGTCCTAGGATGAAGAAGCGAAGGCACTGTTCCCATCTGAGCGTCCGTTGTTTTGTCACCACGCGAGTCCTCATTCGTCTATCACGTCCGTTTTTTTCCTGTTGGGAGTGAAGCACACTTCCAGCCGCAGAGCGGCTAGCACCGCATCCCTGCGCCTTATGGATAACAGCAAGCACCGCAACGTGCGCGACTGCGACGGCTTCGAGCACAGGTCTGGGGCGATCATAGTGGACCAGCTCCTTCCCTTGGCGTGGACGAGCCGCTCCCGTCGCTTCATCAGCGCCCGCCACATGTGCTTCTCGCCGCCCAGCTGGGGCTGAATAGGGCCGCGCGTGCGGCACCCGGCCTTCTCGGTGGGCGGTGTGGGTGGGTCAGGGGGCACGTTCTTGTACAGCCCGCGACCCGTTGTGTATTGTGCTCGCTCGCTCACTGCGGTCATCATGAGCACTGACCCGATCCCTCACCTCTTCGGAGCGATAGCAGGCCGCGAAGCCCTCCTCCCTCCCGCGCGCAACTCCCAGGAGGCCGTACCCCCGAGCGACCGTGCGGGGCGAAGTGCGTCGCGTGCCTCCCGCGAAAGTTGGCGGGTGCGCTCCGCGCTCCCACGACCGTGCACGTCCGATGGCCCTCGGCTGGGGGCTCCAGGCCTGCCCCCCCTGCCGCCGTACGTGCCGCGTCTCTGGGATCCCTCGCCGACGTTCGCTCTGCAGACGGTGAAATCCGCGGACCTGGAGTTGCGCGGATGCTGGCGAGCGCGTGCCGTCACCGTCGGCGTGATGCACCGTGGGCATGATGAGTTTTAATCGACGGCAGCCGCCAGGGCCGCGTCCGGCTAGGGCGCGCGGACGTCCGATGCAGAACGGCGTGTAAGGGCGAGGGCGAGGGCGCGCGCGATTGTACGTACGCCAGCGGAGCGAGTAACATAATGGGGGACGCGGCGGATGGGAAAGCGAAAGGCTGAACGGCAAATCGGAGCCTGCGAGCATCAGGAGAATCCGCGCAGGGTCCCTCCCCTCGCTGATGCGGTACATGACGGATGATGGTCGAGGACGTCCCGCGTGCGTGGCTGCGTGGCACCTGTGTACTCACCGCCCGGCGCTGTGTCCGGCTGACGGCACGTCGAGCGACGGAGGCTGGTGCGTGCACTAGCCGAGGGTCTCTGCCGCAGACGGGCCACAATGAGACGGCGATGTGTGCGACAGACCGCGCGCGACTGGCATCGCGGCGATACCTCGTCGCTCTGCTGGACGCGGATCTGTTCGCGTGCGGGCGATGGATGGCAGCCGCCTCGGAGGAAGCGGAAAATGATCTGGAAATGATGAGTTTATTCCCGAGATCACGCGCGCGCGGCCCGGGGCACGCGGGCGGGCTTACGCGCGCACGGACGGGCTTCCCTTCCTTTTCGCCTTTCCACCGTCCGCGGCCGAGGCTCCGCGCGCGCGAGGCCCCGGGACACTGCCCCCCACGAGCCCGCGGTGCGCGAGTGGGAGAGCGACATGTCGCGGACTCCCGCTCGGGCGAGTGGCAGGACGTACGGCATGGACGCCATTGCCAGGCCGCTGCGTGGTGTGTTGGACGGCCAAGGTCCGCGGGCGGGGTGTCCAGCAGGGCGCGCGGTTCGACAGCGAAGCCTCTGATTACTGCTTAAGGCGGGCATCCTTGTGCCACCCGCAGCTGTTAGCCGAGCCCCGAAGCACCCCCCGGTTGAGATTGCCCTTGTGCCACCCAGATCCATCGCCGATGCCGATTGCCCGTCGCGGGACGGCGCGGCGCCCGCCGACGTCCCCTCCCCCTCCCCCTCCGCCTGCCCTCGGCCGTCCCCACGCCCGCGGGGTGCGCTGGCCACGGGATCCCGCGCGATGCCCCGGCTGGCGCGCTGCACGCCCGTCCGTGTGCCCGCCCCGGACTCCGAGCCGTGCGCGCGCGAAAAGGGCTCCCTGAGGAGCATGCAATCGCAACATCCAGTCCGTGCGTGGAATCAGCAGATCTTCCGCTCCCTCGCCCGTCACCAGGCCCCCCCCGTCGCCCGCGCGCAGAGCCGCGCCGCGGAGGGCTCGCTCCCTAGGAGATCACGCCATCGCGCCGTCGTGCCCCCGTCCGCACGTGTGCGTCGCGCGTCGCGCACCGGCGGTTGGGGCCCCAAAACGGCTACGCGCGGGGTTTTGCCGCGACGCTCGAATGCCACCCCCCGGGGCCTATAGCGGCCTGCCTGTTGCCCGTCGCCGGGCCCCGCTCCGCCTCGGGGCTGGCGTCGGGATTTAGCCGCCTGGAGACAGGTCCACAGGTCGGTCACAATCACGCCCGCGGACGCGTTCGCACCCGCGAGCAGTCCAAGCCACAGCCCCGGGGTCCCCCTGCGACGGACCGGAAGGCGTGGGGTGGATATCTCGCCCCGTCAAGTCTGATGCTCGTGGATGTGGATTCGTGACGGATCGCGCGGACTCGCTCAGCTGCGACGCTTGCCGCGCCGCGGAGCGTTGATCATTTGGGAAAGAAAGACAGAAGGTGTGAGGCGCGCCCGCCGCTAGATCTTATTGATGCCTGCTCGAAGGCGGCGAGACGGGGCTGTACGGGATTGTTGCAGAGGCGTCCGGCTGAGGCACGGGATTCGCGCGTTGGTGCGCGACGGCGGAGGGCGCGAGGGTGGGTGCGTTCCTGTTCGACATCATGTGGCTGGGATGCCGGCGACGGCGTGGGCGCAGAGACGGACCACCCAGAGGGCTCTTGGGCCGGCGGTCGCAGACGCCCTCAAAGATGACAATTGTGTCCGCGCATGCTGTGAATAAGGAAGGACCGGTAGAGTTGGATGGGCGGCGAGTTAGAGCTCGGGAAGATCGTCGAAGGTTCAAAACACTCACCACAGATATGGCGCACACGGTGTGGCGTCCGCATGCTTAGCTAGGCTGAAATGCAGGACAAAGGATCAACCAAAGTCACCGTCGGACAAGACAAGACACGACTTTTATGTGCAGAAAGGGCCCGCAAAGTGAACGAGACAGCAAGCAGACGGCAGAGTCGTCTCCGCGCGGCGACGGCCTTCGCGCGTGCGCACGCCCACCCTGCCGTGCGCCCCCGTAACCCGTACCCCACCTGTACTCACCTTTGGTGGAGCCGTCAGCGGGACCACAACCTTGCTGCTTTCTCGGCGCACCGCCCTCCTATCTAGTGTAATATGTGCGCCTAATGTGCGCGAGCTCGGAGGTGAACGGTCCGAGTATGAGCGAAGGTAGGCGCGGGGCGGAAGACTATACACGGCGGTGTCAGTCTAGTGTGATGGAGGAGAGTAGCAAGACTTGACTGGTACCAAGGGGTGAGGCAAGTGCCCTGCCGGAGTCCCAGAATCGCAGTTCTGGCAAGAAACGCGGCTCTCCATAATAGACTCGTTATTGATCCCCTCTGCGTAAATATGATCTTCCCTGATGCTGCAACCCGTCCCCGACTCAGGATCGGACATGACAATCGGAAATGAAAACGTAGCTCACGTCTCCTTTGCAGGTACCCGTTTGCGGTTGAAGGTTCGATGTGGCTTATAAATATGGTCGGGTCGGAACGCAGTGTTGCGACCCCAATGCGGAAGGTGAGAGAACAGCTGCGCCTGCACACAGAACCCGGGATGCACCGGGGTCCATGCATTTCCATGGGTCGTTCTGCTCGGCCTGAGGTGCTGGAAAACAAAAGGGATGCAACATGGCGACCGGGGGCGGGCACGGGTGTGGGGAGACGTGGGACCGAGTCTCGCCTGCCTTACGGAGCGGGTGCATTCAAACCACATAGCTCATCTTAGCGCCATCTTCTCCGCTGGGAATTGGAAGGCAGCCTGGACTTTGTCCGTCTTCGCGATAAGACTGTGGGTAAAGTTGGACGTGTGCCGCGAGGACGTCGGAGGCCCGCCCGCCTCGTGCACTCAGCTGCAGCAACCCCGAGCACCGCGCGGACGGCGTGTCGCAAATCAGGCAGGTCCGAGCAGCCGAGTCGGATCCTAGGATTGACGTGTATCGTTGCTCCCCGGGCGAGATGCTGGGTGCGTTTATGTAAAAGTGACCCTGGGCGCGCTCGAGGATTGTGGTCGGAACAGATAGGCGAGGCCATTGGTGGCTGTCCGACCCAAGGTTAATGGACACCAGCAGGCAGAAGGGAGTGGTTCGAGGGCAAGGGGTGTCCCGCCCGTCAGCGCGCATCCTCCGGTTCCCAAAATCTCCTCAAACGGCAAGAGGCCAAAAGAGTGTCGAACGGGCGCTTCCTGATTTCGGGGTGTTTCGCTCTCCCCCCTCCTCTCGGCCTCGTCTAACGCCACCCATTCGACCGCATCCCTCCCTCCGGATTCCATCCCCTCCTTGCACACTCCGTTTTGGATCTTTGACTGCTCCCCCGCAATGCCAGAACCAATCTCATTCTCTATTTCACCCCGCGATGTGCCAATGCCGTCCCTGGGGACCGCTGTCTCGTTGACCCTCAAGGTCTCAGTGCCCAACTTCAAAGACCCATCCGACTACATCAGCGGGACATGTGGCTGTATGAGGAAGTGATGAGTGCCGCACTTGTGAGCAACGGATTATCATGGCACATGGCGCCACATCGTGGAACATGGTGAGTTGGCATCGCCAATCGCGGAACTAGTCAGCCGCTATGTCACGATAGATCCCCTCGTGGCACAGTGATACACTGGTTTATTGGGCGTGAGTGTCGATGGTATGTATATGCAGGATATGCGTGGTCAACGCGAGCAGCTCGGTGAGCTCGTTCCACTCCAACGTGCTGCATTTATGCGCAGTGTGGATAGGATCCTGTCATGGCATCGACAGTGGAACCTGGTTTCCGCCAATTCTCCTGCTGGATGAGCTCCACGATCCCGAGCAAAGGCTCAATGCGTTTGCATCCATGCATTATGTAGTCGACATGGCCGTGCTTGCCGTCGCGGTCGCGCATACACCCACTCATCCTTGCTTCCCATGTCGTAACGAGACGCACCCTTTTCATATCGGCGGGCTCATGGAATATACCACCATCCTTGTCACCGCGGATGCATACATCTCTGTGAAAGCCCTGAAAAGCGACTACTAGTCTAAATTGTCGCCCTCGACACCGGTAGGTGTCGCTATATATCTCTTCGAGTCTAGCTAGTCCTGATGTACTCTAGTAGGCCTTGCGGTGGATCCAGTTCGCCCCAAAGCTTGTCGAACTCCTCTCTGGAGAGATAGCAGTGATCTTCCCAGTGGAAGCCGGGGAAGACGACTTCGGTGATCAAGCAGCCGCAGTGTTCCTCCGCCTCAGGGGTCGACGCCCTCTTCAGGTCGTCTGTGAGCAGCCGCGACATCTTCCACACTCCGCTCCCCACCAAAAGCTGCATGGTCTCCCCGGCGTGGATGTTCGGACCCATCACCTGGTGAGCGCGTTCTCAGTATCCGTTATCGACGACGTTTTCCTGTCAACGTACCTTGCGCTCGATCCTCGGCGGACTACCGGGAGTTATCAGAGTGTACTCGGCACGGCCTTGATGGAGAACGTGCATCGTCTGGAGCCGTGTCAGTTGGTCGTCGGACTTGAATCTAATGTTTCGCTCACTGCAGACTTGTTCATGTGGAACACTCCATTGGGTTCTTCAGGCGTCAACAGGTAGTAGATCGACGTTGCGAGCGGTCGGAGTGCCTGGTCTGGGATGCGCTCAGATGCAGCGAGAGGTCAGCGGTCCGCAGGTGGTCACCTACCGGCGAAAGGGGACGGTATCTGTTCGTCCTGACGATCAGTCTCTACAAAATACCCTTATCGGAGGGTGAGTATGGGGATGACAGGTGGTGCACAACAACTCACCTCCTTCAGGGTGGCGCTGCAACTTCAGCTGCTTTGTCAACGCTGAGTTTGGTATGGCATAGGACGAGTACGTCGGCAGCGGAGTGACAGTCATGGTGTGCTCGCGATGGAGTGCCATCGACGACGCGAAATCTTCCTCGGACGAGGGGACTCGGGCTACAGGTGGCTTGATCCTGCGCACACGCTTATATATATATGTATATCTCGTCCACGTGCAGTGGCGTGACATGGGAGTGAATGTTTCAGGTTTACCCAAGTCCAACGCCGCTCTTGAATTACAATCACAAGCAGAGTTTATCACGGGCACGAGGCTCTTGACAGAGCGTCGGCTAGTGCGAGAAAGTGTTGATAGTGTATCTACTTACAACAACACAACGGTACATTGAATGGAAAGGGAAGCCAAGGGCAAGGATAGCGAGCGCAGTACGGCTCACGACCTCCCCTAAACGACAGCTTCTCCAGAGTCTCCTCCGCGCCACGAGCCAGTGCCAGCCGCCGCCGCCATCCGCTACGTCCGCGTCGATGTACCAGCAGATGTCCTTCACCCGCCCCCGCCCGAGCGGTCGGACGGCGATCGAGAACGGCTCAGTGCTGTCGCGCGAGACCCCCGCGGCCAGCGCGGACGACCGGGGCGTGCACCTCGGCAGAAGCGGGACGTGATGCAGGTGGCACGCGAACCCAGTCTCCTCAAGCACCTCGCGCGTCGCGGCGGACGTGTGATACTCGCCTCCGTCCTTGCCGCGGCCCTTGACGGCAGCCGCTTGTCGCGCGCGGCGTGGTGCACGAGGACGAGGCCCGCAGGGCGTTGAACTGGAAGGGGAAGGAGGACGAAGTGGGTAGAAGGTAAAGTTGGGCTGAGGCATGGAGCCGTTCTTGTCAATCGGGGGTGGGTTTACCGAGGAGTTTGGCTGGGGTTGGAGTGGACGTACTGGTCAAGCGTGTCGCTGCGTAGTAGAGCGTGGGGCCTGCGACGAGCGCGGCCGCGACCGCGACCCAGACGGACAACTTTGCAAAACGACGATAACCACGCCCAAATTTAGAACGAAAGGAGTCATTCACATAGCCATTCATCTTGAAAGCGGTCGACCGCCGGAGTCTGCAGGTTGTCCCCCTCTTGGTCTGTATCCTCGAAGTTGAGCAGCTTTGGCCTCTGTACTGGGACATTGCACCTTAATTTTTCCCATGCGAGGAAGTGGATGGTTGAGACAAGCTGGCATGAGGTGACAAACGGAAGCATGGAAGTTGAATGGAACCACGACTCCCTGTGGCTGCCAGTATCAGTGGAAGTCACGCATACTGCACGTGATTCGACGCGTCTGGTCAGTGGTCACTCTCCGCGACTGACGGACTCCCTGGCTGCCACTTGTCTTACAATGAGACGGCAATCTGTACCTCCTCTTCCCCGGTTTCGAGCTCCTCTGGGGATGTGAGGAGTGCTATTGCAGACTCTCATAGCTCGTCGCTGCGGTGCCTCGAGGAAGAAGACCCAACAAACTGGCCATCATGTCCATGTTCCGCACTGGCAGCGGCAGCACGAGTGAGCGCAAGGCATCGCGAGGATGTTACGCAGTCGCTATAGGCCGCAAACCTGGCATATACGCAGAGTGGTGAGTAGTTTATGCATTCTTGCACCTAGGCCCTCGCGTTCGAACTCAACATCCGCGAGGTCTGCCTGCGAAGCCCAGGTCCTAAACTTCATGGGAGGCAAATACAGGAAGTTTCTCGAGCTCAAGGATGCCGAGGCCTGGCTCCGAAAGAACAATCCATCTGCTCCTCTCACTCTCCGACAAGGGCCATCCGACTCTATCTCCTCTCACCTCGCCGCTGCTCCAGCACCGTCCATACCGTCGAATGTACCCCCAACCTCACACTCGGCAGACTTTTCAAGCATCTCAGCAAGTATCCCTCATGCTCGGGTCAATGAATATGCCAGGCCTGCCGCAATCGTTCAAACTCCAGTAGCTGTTGCACCCACTTGTGTACCTCCAAGCATCTCTGCTCCCCCCGCCATAACATGTTCTGCCGACTCTCAGCCTTTGGTGATCTATACGGATGGATCGAGCAGAGGGAACGGGACGGCCGGATCGAGAGCGGGTGTGGGTGTCTGGTGGGGAGACCAAGATCCACGGTAGGCCTCTCCATTACCCCTCCTCGTGCGAAGTTGGCTACAACAAGGGTTTCCGCACAGTAACCTTGCTGAGCGGTGTCCCGGGCCTCAAACGAACAACTCTGCGGAGCTGAATGTGTGTACGTTCGCCCCTCGCACCGATTCCCGACGTTAAACGCACGTGTACGCAGGCGATCATCCGTGCTCTTGAGACTGCGCCAAATGACCGACCGCTGATCATCAAGTCAGACTCGGACTACAGCATCAAAAGTATGTACTTTGCTCGGAGCTAAGTGTAGCTGGAGCTCAGCCTCTCGGCAGGTCTCACTGTCTACCTCGCAAACTGGAAGAACAATGGGTGGAGGACCGCAGGTGGCCAGCCCGTGAAGAATCTAAACCTCATCAAGTACGCCGACATCTTGATCACGGAAAGACGTCGCGTGTACCAGCAATCCGTGCGTAGTCCACCTCCACGGCTTTTTTCACAACGCAAACTTATCGTTAAACCCTTGTAGATCGAGCTCTTCAAAGTTGCTGGACACTCCGGCGAAATGGGCAATGAAGGCGCGGATGCGCTCGCGAACGCCGGGGCCGTGAAGCCGAAGTACCAGACCGCGACTGGGAAGGCCTGATCAGACGCACCACCGAGCGCATGAACGCCGCTCTGCAACACAGCTCGACGATGACAACTCGCAGCGCTCCTGCGATGACGTCGGCGCCGCCCCAACGAGCCGCTCCTGCCGCCCCCACCTTCTCCAGGACCGCAAGTGCCCCGACCGTATCTGCGTCGACTAGCGGGACGACGTTCAGCACGCCGTCGTCTTCACGGTCCTCCCGCCTCAGGGCGGCCATCGAAGCGACTCTTGCCGCTTCGCCAACCCCTCCGCCTCCCGCTCGCATCGGCAAGCCTACACGTTGCTGTTGAAGAGGGACCGATAACCCACGGGAGACCGGACGTCGTCATTTCGCATCAAGAGCTTGAGGTACGTGTCCGTCCGCCGTCCCTTGTGTCTGTACGTCCGCTCAATCCATGCTCAGCGGTACGCGGAATGTCTGCTTCCTACAAGGAACTCCTTCTCGAAGCGCAAGAGCAAGGGATTATCTGAGCCACTCGTCTCTTTCTTGAATTACATAAAATGATATGGTCACGTTGGATTTGTGCGTTCTCGTGGACAGGAGGAACTTCTCTCGGATATACTTATATTACCCAACCCAAACGATGTACGGATGTTTCCCAGATGGCATAGCTCGTTCATTCAGTTTCAGCTCGGCGTGGCACAGGAACAGTCCGTTCAGACGTCGGAATCATCAATATTAAATTTCGTGATCTCCGCATGCTAAAGTCCAAGCTGCTACTATCCTCGAAACTCTAAAACCCATTCACAAGCCCAACACAGCAAGCAACTTGTCGAAATCCGGCGAACCCAGCCCAGTGACCTGCAAAGAACGCAACCCGTCAGCGAGTGACCACACGCGCAGCCAGACGAGAGACCACCGGGTCCCAGCCCTCCACCGCGTCGAACCCTCGGGGCTCCGCGTCGCCCGAGCACTGGATCGAGCTGTTCCCAGCGACGACGTCCGTGAACGCCCCCCGCGCCTCGCCGTACAGCCACGGGTTGAGCCACCCGAGCGGCGGCCGCCCCGCGCTCGCCAGCCGGTCGTTCAGCAGCGCGACGATGCTGGACACGACCGGCGTGGACGCGCTCGTGCCCTCGATCGCGAAGGGGCCGTCCTCCTCGATCAGGTAGAAGTCCGCCTTCGCCGCGATGTCGGGGAACCCGCGCCCGCTCGCGTTGAACCGGCCCGCGTTCGGGTTCGGGGAGGAAAGGTAGGCGGACACCGCGGCGTCTTGGAAGGCGGGGCGGGCGTAGTAGTTGGAGAAGCCGCCGCTGGAGCCGGTCCAGGCGTCTTCGGGGCCGCGGCGCCCTCTGGGTGCCGCCGACGGAGGTCACGCTGATGAAGGGACGGGATGAGTCTGTGAAGCCAAGGGGAGGGAGGAGGGGAGAGAGACGGACTATGGGCAGTTGGACGGGAAAGTGGGTGCGAAAGCGTCAGTGCCGGGGCAGCCGACCCCACTGTCGCCGGACGCATACACGATAGAGACTCCGCGCGCGCCGAGTTGCGCATACACTTGACAGAGTTTGCTGCGTAAGGTCGTCTCAGCACTATCCTTCCGTGAGACGTTCAGCAAGAATACTCACTCGGCGATTTCTGGCGTAAGGGAGCTCTCTGGCATGCCATAGCTGGTGGAGAGGACTCGCGGGGGTTCATCGAGACTGAGCAAATAATTGGCCTCGTCGAGGAAGCCCTCCAGAGGTCCATCCTGGAAGTGGAATCCAATGAAGTAATACACGACAGGAACCTCGGTGGCGAGGCCCACAGTGTACTGGATATCGAGTTCCTGGGGATTTCTAAGCACAATGCAAACGGTGTTAAGCAACAGAACTCACCCCCTCAGAAACGGACGGCCCCGTTTGGGTGTTGTTCCCACCGTCGATACCGACCGACGTGAAGTTTGTGTTGGGATCCATGTCCGGGCGGAATTTCACGAGGAAGTCATGGAGGTAGTCGTAATGCGCGTTGTTCCCATATAAACCGGTGACACCCAGGAAGAGGTCTTTGTTCACGGCAGGCGTCAGCGGGATGTTGTAGAGGGCCTGCAGACACGAGGGGAAGTTGTCTTCATCGCACGAAGGAGTGGAGTGGCGAGGGACAGGGGTGTGGAAGGCTCGGCGACGTGTCGCTGACTTGGCAGAAGGCTCAATGGTGTTAGCGACAGGGAAACTACAGGGTATGAGCGCGACGTTATGACACGGCCAGGCAATCGCTTACACGACAGTGGGGTGGATGATATCAACGTGGCCCTGCAGCTCGTCCGGGAGAGTGTACGACATGGTCCGCACGGCTTGCTTTCCCGTCGCTTCGTTTGTGAATACCGTGAAATCGGCGTTAAGCAGCTGGTTTGCCTTGCTAACCGGGATATCCACGCTGACCCAGTCGCCAGTGGGGGAGATAGACGTCGCAGCGAGACCACTCGCAGTCAGCCACGCGTTAACAGCTTCCGTAGTCTCATTCTTTGGCGCGACGAAGGCTTCAACCTGATTAAAGGCGCTTAATGTGGTTTCCATACTTTACAATGAAGGACTGACCTGCGCCTTGGTCAAATGCTCTCCATACTGCGGGCTTGAGGGATCGCTGACGGCGTAAAGGGCGTCGACCAAGCTGCTCGAGTCGGCTTGCGCGAGCGCGAAGCGCAGCTTGAGGGTTGTGTCCGAGGGCGCAGGTCCTAGAGCAGCGAAGCCCACGGGTGTGGAGTCACGCTTCTCGTGAGTAGGTCTTGAAGGAACAGCAAGAGTGACGCCGACGAGAGTGAGCGCGAGGAGCAACTTGAACGAGGACATGATGGACAGTAGGGCTCCTTGCAGAAAAAGATGGGGTCTCCTTAATCATGAAAGACGACGGGCGAAGGCTGAAGTAGTGCAGCGAGCGGCTGAGCGGCTCGGTCATGTCTTCCCGCTTGTGCACGCAAGATCCGGGAAATCTGGCGAATTTCATACACTCGAGACCTTCAGCAGCGGACTGGCATTCCCGGCCAGAAAAATTGGCCTACGCACAGAAGGAGGAGTGAGTGTTACGCGATCTACAATAGACTCATCCCAGGACTTACAACGGCGATCGTGGCTGAGTACAGGGAGGACATCATAGGAGGAACCGTTTATGCCATCCGCCACGATGGGGGAGCATCACGCGTTGCCTGGGAGCTGTCGGTATGTAATTGCTCGCACACGTCGCATCACATTAAGTCCCGGTTGCAGAGAGTGAGGGCAGGCCCCTTGACTCGGGAGGGTTCCCGAGTGTCGGCTTGGAAGCCGAGAGTATCCGTCTCGGTTTAGCAAATTGGCGACGACAAAATTGTCTGCGCAAGGACGACGGCATAAAGAGCCCGTACAGTCGTGGTCGATGAGAATTGGTTGGGAGTTGGAAGGTCTTCATGAGTCAAGAATATGCGAGATTTGCAAATGGCATACGTACAAGACGCAGACACTTTTCGGCCCGCGCAGGGGTCCGACAAGAGTTCAACATCCTTGAGTTCTGTGAGGCAACTTGCATTATTTGCGAGGCGGATGATGCATAGGCGCACTTCTTGTTCATGAACCTTTGAATGCCAGATGCCAGGAGGCTTGGGATGGGGCAAGCATATATAGGATGTTGATGGAGGTTGTGTCTGAGGGACTCGGCGCCTGCACAGTGCAATCGCTCGAAGTTTTGCACGTTTACTCGCTCCTTATCGTCGTTCTCTAGATCTGCGACACCGTCTCCCACCTCTTCCAGACTCCTTCGCCCGTCCTCCAAACCCAATCCCACCTGCCCACGCACTCCTGCACGCCCTCCTCCGCGCCGGTGGCCTCGCGTTCGCTCGCGCTCCCCGGCACGTTCTCCGCCTAGGTCGACCAAACCCAGGTGGCACCGCGCATGGTTCCTGGCGCTTGCTGGCCCGCCTCAGCCGGGCACAGGCCCATACCACCACCACCACCACCACGTACGGTTACTGCGAGACAGGCATCGCACTGGAATTTCGCCCCGATTAAGCATAGGTAAGCATTGCGCTGTTGCGCTTTCGTGGTTGCCGGGAAGATGTAAAGCCCCCCGAGCCAACAGTCCATCTGTGATTGGCCACCGTACACGATACTAGTAAATGATGTAGCAAAACATCATGTATCCGATCGACAAATACGAGACCCAGTGCTGCGTTTCGTGAGATAGATGAGAAAACTCGATGTCGCGAGTACACCGTCAAGACAGACGAGATAGCGGGCGCATATAGAGACAGATATCTGCTTAGCATAAGAGACCGTAGAAACGGATGCGGACGCAACCTGCTCCGGGGGACAAGGAACACACTGCCGGTTGGCAGAGCGGGCGACGGAAGCAAGCGGTGTCAGAGAGTATCTTACCGCCGGAACTGGGACGCGCGGGGTAGGACGACCATGAGGGCGCGGGTGAAGGTCTGCAGACTTTAAAGTTAGCGCCAGACCCAAGTAACTCGGTCCAGGACACTCACATAGGAACGGCGGGGGACGCGTTCTCTTTGCCGTCCCGCGCAATGAACGTGCCGGTGATGCCCTTGCACGCGGACTTGCACGACTCGCGCATAGGAGGCTGGATCCTGTCGAACTGTAGGGAGTAGCCGGGGGGCGCTGCATCGACGCGAACGCAGGGGGGAGCATCGACCACAGAGGCAACAGAGCACCGCCGGACGCCGCCGCCGCCAAGCATCTACAGTAAGCATTAGACTGAATCAACGACGGCGCGCTCATCGTGATCATCGTGTCGTCCTCCTTGACTGGCTGTGTTGGCTCGCCTCGCTCATGATCGACAGCGGACCAAAGCACTGGCCGCCGATGTACCGACCAGTGTCATTCCCTTCTGGATGCTGGAGAGGAATCTGCTTGGAGGTGTCGCCGCGGGGTCGGCCCTGCGCTCTGCGGGAGAAGCGCGGCGCACGGCGGGGGTCTTGTGGTGTGACTGCATGTACGACGGGTCAGCACCGAAGATGGACTCTGCGAACGAGCTGCGCTTGTTGATCTTGTCAAAGAGCGAGTCGTCCAAGCGGAGCGTGATTGATACCGAGAGGGATCCATGATCGAGGATCGAATCCCACAGCGTCCAGATGATCTCCTCCGGCTCGCCTTCCAGGGACGCTGAGATCGCACTGGGCAGCGCGTCATGCGCGGTGTCGGACATCTTGTCTTCGAGGCCGGGGCGCACGGCGCGCCGCTCAGAGTAGTCGTTGAAAATCGAGTCGAATCTGAAGTCGCGCGTGTGCGGGTTCCAGGGGTTGCGCGAGCTGTTGCCGTGGCCCTTGACTGCCGCCCGCACCGTCCATCGCGTACGAGAGTGACGGGAAGTGGAAGCCCAAGGCATCGCTGTCCACACGGAGATGAGGCTTGTTGTGATGGATGAAGGAGAACGTGTCGTCGACGGTTTACGTTGAGATCGAGATGTGATCCATCGAGGGCGACCTGTTGGGCTCATCGCGATCGAAGTCGAAGGGATCTTGAACGCCGTCCCGGACAACCGCGCCGTAGGATGAGACTGAGGCGATGCTGAAAAGGGATATGTCTCGCGAGTGCTTGGTGGGACGGTACGTTGCGTTCGGGGGCGGGTGGAAGCTAGAGCGCTGGTCATGGAATTCGAAGCCGCGGCGAACCTCGTCGAAGGAGTTGCTGCGCTGTTATTGAAGTGGACAGATATCTGGGGGCGATGCTTCGACTTCATGTCGTTGTTCTGGGACGGCTCCTCTGGAAGAATATCGATTGTTTAGACCATGACAGGCGGGGTGATGTCGGAAAGCGTGAGCAATGGCTTCGCGATGTCCGAGTCCGTCGTTTTATCCGGAGACGGCTTGCCGCCGAACTCAAACTGCGTGTGGAGGCGCCAATCGGACGGCTTCGACTGACGAGCGCGTTCCGGTGGGCGGGCGAGGCCATTGAGGTGTGGACCGTGGCGACGTAGACGAGCGACGCGATCGCGGTTACGGTGAACTCGTCCCTTGTCGCGCGCGGCCAGATCGGTGAGCTAGACGTTCGATGCGCCGTTCGTTGGGGCCTTCAACGCGACGGGGAACCACATGGCGGAGCCTTCCAACGGGCCCGGGCTCGAGGGAAACGTCGAGGCAACCGTTTCGCATAAGATGGGGAACACGAGGTTCTTCGCTTCCGTTGGGGGCGGTAGCAACTTCGCTGTCGCGCGTATCTCGCCAGACGGCCATCTGTATAGTCCCAAGTGGGTGTCGAAATCGAGCTCTTTCGCCGTGTCGATTGGGGTTTATCCGAAGCTAATTAGGAGCATGGTCGGACCACAGTATCGTCGGCCTCGGGAGGGGTTCCAGCGATGCCCGCGCGGAGGAACTGCAGAGGCGCATCATCAACTCCCAAAATCTCTTGCGAGTAAACGAGGCCGGAGATACTCCGCCCCAGGAGGTGAGCTTTTCTCGCACCGCGTCGCGATCATCATTGACGGAGCTTCAGTTCGGACTGGTTGAAAATGGTTGGATGAATCACAAGCTGGGGCGCATGGGTTCATGAGCACGACTCACAGCTTGGTCCGACAGTACGGAAAGGCTCACATGGAGGTATTCTTCTGGCACAGCGTGCAGTGCCGCTCGCGCGCTTCCTCGCCTCCTTGATCGCGCGCGCGCAGATCCTGCAGAACTTCCCCACTGGCGCGCGCTGGTCGAAGATGACCGATCCTTCGGGACGGTCGGCTCCGGGCGAGATCAACGAGCTGTTGTGGTCATCTGGCAGCAGCCGCACCCTTTGGTCTTCGCCGAGTCCGAGTTCCGCGCCACCAGGTTCCGCGCGACGCTCGACAAGTGGCATGACGTTGGTGCACGCGACGAACTGGATGGATCATGGCAGTGTCCCTCCGCCGGAGCGCGAGCACCGGTTTCTTCAACCTCGGACCGCCGGTGTACGTCGTGAGCGAAGACGCGGAACCCAGCGCGTACTGGAGGTTCGGCTTGGAGCATGCTGCGATGTGGATGAAACGGCTAGCGGATGAAGTGCCGAGCGCGGAGACGGGGGTGCGGGAGAACCTAGCGCCACTGCCACCGGATGATGGGCTGTATTCGGGTTACGAGGGTATCCCGAGCGACTTCTGGGACACGTTGACGTACAGGAATGACCACCCAGCATTGGTTGGGCTGGCTGCCGCGGACAGCGAACGTCAGCTTGGACGTCGCGAAGGCGACCGCCGAAAAAGTGTAGACGCACTGAAACATCAGCAATCGCGGGGGAGAAGTGCCAGCAAGAATTGTGTCCTGAGCGCGAATGGTGGCTGGCGTCGCGGAAACAAATGCAGGTGGGGTTCCGATGTCGGCAATGTCCGCTGCGCGGCGGAGAAGGCGATCGAGTGGCAGTTGCATACATCCGCTTTTTGAGGTGACGATATAGGGATACCAGTGGGCGAGGTGCCGACGCCCTATTTTCCTGGGGTGGGGTCGCTGCTGTTTGCAATGCCCATGATGACAGCTGGCTGGGATGGGAGTGTCGGGAGTGCGCCGGGATTTCCTGGGCCTGAAGCGGGGTGGAACGTGCTTATCGAAGGTCTAAACCGGGCGATGTGAGGTGGGTTGGCTGGCCACGCGTTTGAACCGTGTGCGCATTAGAATCTTTTTCACTTCCTGAGCCTCCTGCGGGGAAGAGAGGCTGCAGCGTGATTTTCTGGAACTCCGATTGCAGTGCAAGACGCGTGCAGAGATAGGGTGCCTGTCAATGGGTGAGTATATGCGGACTGAATGCGGGCCATGTAACAGCTAAACCTTAGAGAGCAAGACGAGGTGATACTGACTGACTGTTGCGAGGACAGCATGAACGTATGCATTTGATGTGAGACAGAAGCAGTTGTAGGCAAAGGGACCGTCGCGACGGCAGACGCGCGCCGCAATCACTTGCACCAGTTGCCGTCATGGATCACGTCTTCGTGGTGTTCGCACACACGCGCTTTGCGGCAGAGGGCTCGATGGAAGAGAAGACGGGCGGTCCTCGAATAGATGGGTGTATGTATCCGGATGTCGAGCATGAGGAGGGTGAGGCGAGGCGAGATGGCGGGACGTTCTCCCGGCGGTGTTGGCAGGCGGTGTGCGAGATTGGGTTTCGTTCGTTGGCCATGGCGATGGGGAACCGGATGGTCGTCGGTGTCCGGCGCCCGCGCCTTCGCGGGGACACCCATCCGCGGCGCACGACAGCGCACGACGCCTTCACGATTTGTAGTCTGCAGCAAAAGGGTGGAGGGCAGTGGTGCGCGAGGGTAGTCGTGGATAAGGGTGTGCGCTGAGATCAACACTGTGCCTGGGTCAATGACCTATGGCCACGGGCGCGTGCCCGGACTATATCCACCTCTTCCTCCATCTCCACCACCACCTTCTGTACTCCTGCCCCCCACCATGCCGACGCTCGCCCCCGAACCCGCCCTCTCCTCCCTCAGCACCGGCGCCGACGCCCTCCGCTCTCTCGACGCGCCCGCTCCCAACCACGGCCCTTCTGCCGCCGAGCTCCGGCACATCACCTCCACCACCCACCTCGCAAGCCCTGCTCGCGAGCGCAAGCTCTCAAATCGCACCTCGGGCCACTTGCGCACCCACCGCCTTGGCTCGCGTTCTCCCGCTTCCATTCCCTCCTCCCCAACCTCGGTGTAAGTCCTCTCATCACCCATCCCCGCGATCGGTTTTGCGCCGTGCTCACCACGATGCCCCAACAGCCACTCCTCTTCCTCCGCAATTTTCGAGCGCGACATCGAGCCCATCGCATCCCCTCATTCCTACTCCTCTGACCCCCACCACATCCCTCGCGCCAAGTTCACCGAGGAGATTGAACGCTCCGTGCCCTCTGTGCTTGATAGCGCCGCTGCTGTCCTCGCCTCCAGCACTGACGATGATGACCTCGACACCATTTCTATCGTCACTCCTGCCCCATTGGAGCCTGTCGGCTACCAAAGTGGCTTCACGAGTCCCATATCAAGGTTGAGCAGTCGGAGCCCCAGTCCCTCGGGAGGCAATCGCCGTAGTTTGCTCTTCAGCAACTCTCTTCCCGGTTCTCCGCCCAAGCCCATCCAAGGTTCGCCCCCTCCCCGCCCCATGGTCCAAACCGGCCCTGTACCCCTCGCACATGTGTCCGGTCCGCAGTCTACGGTTACGCCGACTCCGTCGTCAGCGCACTTCTCCGCTGCATCGGATTCGGAGTCCAACTCTTCCTCTCCTACGACTGCTACCCACACCGAGCATCCCCTGCACGGGCTTAACAACCTGTCGGTCGCGGTTCCGGCTGCTTTGGGCTCGCATCCCCCTTCACCGAAGAATGTTAACAAGCGGCTTTCGTTCATCTCGTACATGGACCTTCTTTCCTCCACTCCTGCCTCCGCCGTCCCGTTGTCGACTCTCACGTCCTCCGCGATCGTGTCGGAGCCCCCTCCTCACATCCCGAGCGTGATCGGACACCCGCAAGCACAATATGCCGCAAGCTCGAGCGGAGGCAGCATTCACGGAGCGCCGACATATGTCCTGGAGCGCGACGGCGTCTCGGGAGTGATAGATGACGTCGGTGGTGAGTGGGAACGGGAAGGCCTCGGGAAGGGTCTCGAAGAGCGCCTTGAAGGCCTCATGGCGGCGACCGCAGTGCCTTCCAAGGCCTAGCCGTCGAAGCCCCCCTCGACAATCGCCACGACGCAGGTGACGGGCGATGCGGACCGGGACATCCGTGATGTTCTGCGCCCACTCGCTCGTCCGCCTCTTCACGACTCTCACGACTTTCTCCCGACCCGGATGATTCACAACGACTTCCCTTGGTCTTTGGATGAAATCAGTCGCCTTCGGTTCTACGGCCTCCCCCAATTTTCGTCGATGTTCGATCATGATCAGCACGACCTACCTCTGGACCGTTCGCCAACAAGCTACGTTACCTTCCTCTTAATTGTTCTGTTCAGCCAATGGTTTTGTGCTTTATCCACCTCGCCTCCCCGTTATGAATCCCTCCACCGTGAACCATGTCCTCTTCACGCGCATGTCGCTCGTATCCTTTTCCCACTCTTCGCGTCCTCCACGGGACCTCAGCACAAACTCCATGGCTTTTTCATTTTATTTATTCCTCTTTCAAACGAATCAACGCCAACGTTACATGTACATCTAATCTCAATGTCCCGGATCTCGTGTCCCACTTCTCTATTTCCGCAGGGTCTCTCCTGATATGCCAAACTCCTGCTCAACGATACTGTACGATCCTGATACGGCCGCCAAGTAGCTCGCTGTCCTCCTAAAACTCCTGCCCGTCCCCCCTCATCCTTGCCGTACTCGACCTCTTCGTCCCCCTCTGCCCTTCGTCTTCATCCCCCGGAGCCTTCAAAGATGCGACAGGCGGACGTCTTTCCGTCCCCTTCGACCCTGAAATTATGCCTCCCGCTCCTATACTTTTCTCCTCGTTATGCCCCGACGTCCCTGGATGAAGTGTATTGCTTGTACGTTCTCCCCCTGGCCCCAGCATTTCGTAGGGATAAACAATCCAGTTATTGTCACGAGAGCTCTGCCTCCGCCGCCACTTCCGTTTCACCGCCTCACGTGCAGCTTGCCGGATGATCCTGTTTCCTAGAGTCCTGAGGCCTGAACGGCATTCCGAGTCGGTCGCGCTCCGCCCGCGGGCGTTTTGAATGGGAGCCTTGTCACCCCGTGTGTAAGTACGCCCTTGTTCATCATGACGGCACTCGCTCACGAGCGTGCGCTGGGATTCGCGGCGTATTCTTGGACGCCTCGCGGAGGCGGAGATAAGGCCGCGGGTCGCCGGGTACTCACATATGCAGGATTTCAACACGTGCGGCTGGTGGTCGCCGTCGTGACGGCAAGGGCACTCGGCCAGCCTCCCCGGACCGCGCCCCCCATGCGGGCTTGTCGGCGGTAGAGAGGAGGAGCACTGAACACTTGGCGTTTAGTGCGACGGCGAAGAGGACGAGGATCTAGTAGAACGACTTGATCGCTTGGGATAGTGGACGTCATCTGCAGATGACGACGGGGAGCACGCGGTGGTATGAAAGCGTATGATGTTTACAGACATGCAAAGGTCGGGGGTACATAATCGTGAGTAAGTACCTGGACCAACAAGTATACACCCGAAGTCTCATCGCGACACCACCGAGACCAGTTGAAGTATAGGAGGACACGGAGAGGAGGCCGGTCGGGAGGAGGTGAGTATCGTATGACGTAGCCACGCCCACGACGCTCCCGTGCCATCAGATCCGCCGCAGGTACGACCAGGCCAGGGACGCGGTCAAGTCGCCGAGGCCCGACGTCGACGTCGGCGTCAATCGAGACGGAGGACGGCTTGACGTCCGACAGGCACGGCCGCACTTCGAAGGCGCAGCGGCGGCGGCGCGGACCTCGTTCTCGCAGCACACCGCCCGGTGGGCTGGGGGCTCCGTCGAGACCTTGCACCAGAGGCTGCTGGTGCTCGGAGAAGCCATCGGACCCGGTGCTCGCACTCCGTGGGCGGGCGGAGAGTAAGACGTTGGCATCCGGCGCCTGAGGGCGGCCCGAGCGTCAGCTGCAGCCACGTGGCGCGGGCCGCCGAAGGTGACAGGTGTGCCTCAGGTGGGACTGGGTCAGCCTCTTGTCTGGACTCTGACTGGTGCTCGGAGGAAGCCGTTGCGGGAAGGTGACAGCGCGCGAGTGACGGCCATCGGCGATGGGGGGAGGAGTTCCGGTATATCGTCGCCGACGTCGCCGAGGGTACCAGGCTCTTGTGACGGTTCGAATCCAAGGTCGTGGTTTGGGACACCGAGGGCGGCGGTGTGAAGGTTGAGGGGCGAGCGAGCAGCGGTGTTGAACTGGACGATATCACGGGTGGTGACGCGACTTGGAGGATACCTCATTGCATGATCATGCAAGCGACGACCGTGGGGTCAGTATCTTGAGAAGAGGGCCAGTGAAGAGCGGTAGTTTGCTTCTGTGGATGATATTGCTAAGTCTAAGCCACCTCGTCGGAGAAGATCAATGTGATAGAGGATCCCCACAGTGCCGCCACAAGACCTGCCTATCTACAAAGAAATTGTCGGCGCAGAGGCTATAGGAGGCTGGAGTCGCAAGTTCGGTTACGGACCAGGTGAAGGGAATCCGAACGACGAACGTCCTTGATTGGCTGCAATACTGCTGAGAAAAGGGGGTGGGAAGCGTTGGTGAGGAGAAAGATTTTTCGTGGGTGTCAGATTTGCGTCACAAGTCCAAAGAGCAATCCATGTACGCTGTAAGCATTGGCGTCAAGCTTTTGGGCCGGCTTGGGCCCGCCGAAAGAGCGGCTGGGTTCATCAAGCCCGGGGCGTTGATGGGTAAGTCAGCCCGGTAAGAAATGGGTCAAAGATTCCTCCGCAATGGTGAGCCGCAACGCGGATGGGCGCAATAGGACTGGTACGCTGCTACAATCGGACCGCAGAATTTCCGGTAGGTAAAAAATACCTGCATAGTTTGATAGGCGAAGTGAGCAGCGGAAGCTGTAGGCGGAAGCGGAAGCGGAAGCGTACCGTGTGGATCGCAGTATTCTTGAGTGACTGCAGGCCAGGCGCAGCCCTAGGCTTGCGAAAGAAGGCGCACGAGGCATGGCGACAGATGCTGGGCCGTGCGCGCGGACTCCCCCAGCCCGCCACGGTCCCGAGGCGCTGAGCTTGCGCGATGGTGACACATCGACTGGCGGGTGACAGTGCACGGTGGGAGCGGTGTGTTGCTCGTCTTCCCGTTGGTTCCCAGAGCAAGATCAGCGAGCAGAGACCGCGCAGGACGGAGGCTGGCGCACGGCTGGCTGGTGGGAGGAGGGAGGATCGAGGCACGGCGCGCGTCTAGCTATAATGGCCAGGAAAATGGCCTTGGCGCTATGACAAGACTGGTACCGAGGGAGGCGAGCTGACCCCGGCCAGGACACCTGCCGCTCCCCGTCTTCCTCCCTGTCAGGCTCTTCTCTCCACCCTCATCCTCCCCGCCGACCCGCCCCCCGCGCTCGACGCCGTCCCTCCGTCGAGCTCGCCCTCCCTCCTTGTTCCCGGCACCGCCATGTCCGAGCACTTCCCGTCCTCAGAGGCGCCCGACACCCCGCGCTCCTCCGAGTCGCGCTCGACAACTCCAGACGACGCCGTCCACCCAACAAGTCCCCACACACCCTCCTTCGACTCCCCCCTCCTCTCCCCGAACTCAAGGGACCATGCCTTTCCCCGCGCCCAGGCCCAGGCACGGTCAATCTCCGCCGCATTCACTTCCTCTCCCCTCAATCCCAACAGTCCCATCGGCACACGCTCCCGTCCGGTCTCTCGGGGGAGCACCTACTTCAATCGCATCGCGTCGGAGGATGTCCAGGCTCTTAGCCAGTATGGCTCTTTCGGTGCGGGTACCCGCGGCTCCATGGTTCTTTACCGTCTTGCCTCCGACGACACGGGCACCGAGGCCCTCCTTCCTCCCAAGACTCCCCTCTACAATCGGGACTCGGTAGTCTCCTCCTCGGGCGACTCCGTCTTCTCTCTTTCCTCGGATTCAAGGTTCCCCACAGGTCCTCCCGCACAGCGCGGTTTCGTTCCTTACGCATACGACCCCGACATGGAAAAGGATGTTCCCGATGACGACGACGACGACCTCCACAAGCCTGAGTACGGGCGCGGCAAACGTTCATATTGCTCTCTTCGCGGCATTCTGAACGTTACCGTCATCATCATCCTTATCCTCGCCCTCTTGACCCTCTTCATCTGCTACCCGATGCTCGACTTCTTCCAGAACGAAGCGCGCAATCTGGCTATCACTGCCAACACTGCGATCAACGGAACTGGACAGTCCGCAACGGATGTTCCGTCGTGAGTGTCTTCTGTTGATCCATGAGGGACGGCAAGGTGACGATGAGCCGTTGTAGTTTCAAGATACCTAAACCCATAGACGACGACACCCCGGAGGACGCGAAGTCGCGGACTGGGTTCGACGGAGAGCAGTACGAGCTCGTCTTCTCCGATGAGTTCAACCTCGATGGGCGCACCTTCTTCCCCGGAGACGATCCTTACTGGGAGGCAGTGGACATCTGGTACGGTGCGACGGCAGACCAGGAGTGGTATGACCCCAGGCAGGTCATCACAAAGAATGGCGCTCTCCAGATAACCATGGAGCAAGTGACGGACACCTCCTTGAACCACAATCTTCCCTACCGGAGTGGCATGCTGCAGAGCTGGAACAAGTTCTGTTTCACGAGCGGATACATCGAGGTGGCGATGACCCTTCCGGGTCCGACCTCCAGCACCCGGGCTACGTGAGTCTCCTCTCATCTCCGACCGCACAATGCTGACGGCTGGTTAGTGGCCGGGTGCGTGGACCATGGGCAACCTCGGCCGACCCGGTTACAGGGCGACGACGGACGGTACCTGGCCGTACTCGTGAGTGTTTTCGTTCGTTTGCTTCCTCAGCTTCGTGATGCGAATGCTATGTATAGATACGACTCTTGCGACGTTGGCACGTTCCCGAACCAAACGTTTGCCGACGGTTCAGGCCCCGCCGCCGCTTTGAACTCGGCGGCTTCGCGGACAAAGTACAACAACGAACTGTCGTGGCTCCCAGGCCAGCGTCTCTCGTGAGTTCCTCTCGTTCATATGGTCTACTGTGTATTCATTCAGCCTGCATGCGCACCATACAGTTCCTGCACATGTCCAGGAGAGGATCACCCTGGACCTTCCAACTCGAAGGGTCGTGGAGTGCCGGAGATTGACATTATCGAGGCCGAGGCAAACAAGACGAGTCTTATTGGTCAGGTTGCGTCTCAATCGGCTCAATTCGCGCCGTTCAGCCACGACTACACCTACATCAACGACACTCAAGACGCATGGTGGGTCTACGACGAGAGCGTTACACGTCCTAATGACTACAAGTGCGTACACGTGAATTTCTTATGGATGGATTAGTGGCTCATCATGCGTTTGTCTCAGGGGTTCGGCCATGTAAGTCGCGCAGAGAGCTGCACGGAACCTCCCGTTACTGACCTGAGACACTAGCCAACAAGCCGTGTCTGGCCTATCCAACCTACCCGACGACATGTTCCAAGGCTCCGGTGCCAACTTCAGGACTCTCGGATTTGAGTATTGGGCGAACCCGTCCCAACGGGACGAGGGATTCATCACTTGGCAAGTGGACGGCAAGGCTACCGTTCGCGTGGGAGCGTCAGCAATGGCTGCCGATTCTATAACTCAGGTCGGGCAACGCATTATTCCCGAGGAGCCGATGGTAAGCGTCATTGAGTGTCAGAATGCGGGCTCAGTATTCACCGATCCTTTCTAGTCCATCGTCCTGAACTTGGGTATTTCCAGTAAGCGTCCGCTTGATTCATGCTTGGCGATTGCGCTCAACCCCATTTTAGGCAACTGGCAAACGATCGACCTGACCACCATGGAGTTCCCTGCCATCATGCAGATCGATTACGTGCGCGTATACCAACGATCGGGGTCGACAAACGTAGGTTGCGACCCCCCAGATTACCCAACGAAGGACTACATCGAGAAACACCCGGAGGCGTACTCGAGTGCGTTCCGCCTTTCCCGTATGCCGAGCCTACACTCACCTGCCAACTCTCGCAGACGCGGACCTCTTGTCATGGGCGCAGCCATCACCAGCAGGTGCAGGGTACGCGTGGCCCAAAAACTCGGCAGTACGTATTGTGACATATCTTCATGCCATGACCTGACGTCATGCGTTGCAGTACGCTGGCAGTTGCTAGTTGATCGGACTCTTTGGAAGATTGGATCTCTGTGCTATCGTCTGGACAGCGTCATAACCTAACAGTAACAATATCCTGCCCTGTGTCACGAGCCTACTGGCACCCCATGTCCTATTTGTACACATCGCCGCTCCTTTACCCCCGCGCCCAAGCTGAGGGATTATCACTACGCTACTTGTACCGTCTCTGCACGGGCGACGTCCCCTCGCCTTGCTCATTCATCCGCATCCCCCACTTCCTCGAAGGTCTGCCCCACCCTTCACCTCCGCCTATCCACGCCACAGTAGCCGTTCCACAGCTTCCCGATCCCCTCCCCTCCCACCACATCTTGCTCTACTGTACCTATACATCGCAGGGGCTCGGCACCCAGGGACACTCTCTCCACCATCCTCGTCATCATCCGTCACTTCACGTTCGTTCTCGCTGACATCGCACCTCGATATATCCCTACGTACCCCACGCTCTAGTACGCTACACACGGTTTGGGTCTCTCTAATCCGTTCATCCACTGTGGACCCTCTTGGTACATACGCCCCCATACACATACGGGCGTGCACTCGCACTCGATCTTTTCACTCTCGCAGCCTTCCTCAGGAGCGGTTTTTGTTCATCGTCCACGACGTCCGAGCTACGTTCACGTTCGCGTTTGTGTCCAGCTATCGATGCGTCGACGGTAGGTTGACTGCCCGTTCCTCGATTCACTTTTGGTCCCCACGGCAGTCTCGAATAATTCACACGTTTGTATTGTACCCTCTGCGATTCCCCTTGCGCGCGCTGTCTTTTGTTTTGTTTTTTCTCCGCGCAGCACACATAGTATACCGTCGCCCGCTCTCTCCCTACTGCACGCCCGTCGTTATCGCCAGCCCTGAAACCCCGAATCTCTCGCACCCATCGCCTCTTGTCATGCTTGCCTTTTGAAGTGTTTTCCTTGCAGCTGTCTACTTGACCCGGGTATCGGTCGGTGCATACTTCAGATGCCTGTGTATGCGGCGTACGCACGGCCTGGTACTGAAGCCATGACTTGGCCATGACGGTCGACCTTCTAAGGATATCGAGAAAGGCATCTCAACTCATAGCGAGTAGTTGAAGGTTATCACCGGGGTCCGGGAGCCTGATATATATTGAACGTCACATAGAGCAGGGCTTACATACAACTACGCGGGGAGACTCCGCCGTCCAGCTCGTCGTCGCCCTTCTGATTAGCAGAGCAGGCCGACCCCAGCGGCCGGATGGGAGCGTTTAAATGTGGTGTTGTTCGGAGATGTCGTCGAGTAAAATTCGTCTGTTGAGAGCAAGAAGTGAGGACACGATGTAATCGTGTTCGCGTAGATAATCTTTGAACGTTGAACGTTGCAGAAGGAGATGAAGGTGCGGTTGAGCACCAATGTTCGACGTACGCCCCGCTCTGACCACTACGCCGCCGCATACTACGACGGTGCGCGAGTGGTACTTAATGGACATGCCGTTCAAAGACGGGACACCCCACGCGATGATGCCTGTGCATGAAGGTACCCACCTCAGACCCACATTGGATCGAAGGCGCAGGGACCGACGGAAGAGTACCATTCGGTGGCCCAGCTGCCGGGGTGAGCAGTAAGATTACGTAATACTTTCCCACTCGGCCCGACGATGTCTCTCATTCCGGGCCATCGACTCCAGGCTCCAGCTCGTACTACCCGCCACATGTTGTCCATGTCGTCTCTTAGCCTCATGGTCTACTCACTCGTCATGGAGTCCTCCAACTGAGCTTCCATGCTACCTCGTGGGGCACCATGAGACCAATTCCGCATGCACATAACGCGAACACATCTGCGCCTAAACATTGAATGTTGAATATCGAGCCGCCCAAGTGCGTATTGTTCATCCTCCACCAGGTGGTGCTCTACGGTGCGCATATGCCCCATTTAAACGCTCACCATCTCGTTCGACGCGCATGGCACACGGCATCACTGCCTTCTTCGGTTTCGAGGACCGGGTCGGGACTTACAATCAGGTCACGGACCCCGCCATCCCGGACGCGGAGCAGCGCGCGGCGTGCACTTGTCGCACTCCGTGAGTAGAACGAGGCCCAGCAAGGAAGCGACATGGGCGTGACCGTCCTGTGGACGACGCACGGGATGTCTGCCCTGACCAAAAAAACGGGCGTTCTACCTCGGACCCGACAGTTCACAAGGGGGATGGGAGGACGTAGAGGCGCGACTGCTCTGGTGCGATCGTTCCCTATGGACGGACGTGCGCGTGAGGTGCCAAACTGCTTGATGGCGGGCTGGTGGCGGCGCGGGAGGAGGGCAAGGCGGTGCGCAAAGTGCAGGCCGTGCACTTCCGATATGGTGCGTGACGTTGTCCGTCAGTTATAAACTTTCCACCACCCAATCTTCACTCTTCGAAGGCGCATTGGGGAGCACAACTTGCGATCGCGCACAGTCCCTCGCCGACGCTGCCACAATGTGCCAGCGCGGCCGGAGTCGGTGCGCGGCCCCGAGTCCATCACCGCTCCAGGGCTAGCGGTTTATGTTCACCATCTCGATAGCTAGCCGGACATTCTACTTACCCTGCACCGCCACGACTTATCCTCAGCCGATACGCCTGCTTCAGTCGCGCAATCAAAATGCCCTGGGTTGCTAAAGTCTGGCCGTATCTTGGCCCAGTATGACCTGGTAACGCTCGGATGTTGTGCTTCGCTCTCGGATGTCAAAAAACTTGTTCATATGTCCACGTACGTTATCTCGTTGCATCCTCCACTCTTGGCCGCTCTTCCTTGCATATAGAACGACCGGCCGACTCACACCCCGGACAGGAATGACCTCAGCACCGGGCCTGTTGCGGCATCTCAAGATCTCATCAGTCTTCTGTGTCGCTACAACGCTGCAGATCAGCGTCGCGCGGGGTGGTCGTCGGCGGCCATCGTGGGCGCTCTTCGTCAATGATCAAACAGGAGGGAGTGATCTGCACTGCTTCCAGGCCACAGGTCAGTGCATGAATCGTCCCCTGCTCACTGCATTTTGTTTCCAGCGTTTTGGCTCAGGCATTCTTTGCAGTTGTCGCCGCTCGGCATACATATGTTCTGAGTTGCGTAGCTGAACTCTGAGTCCGACGGATCAAACGGACGGAGATGTGGAGATCAGCCGGCAACAGGCGCGAATCCGCGCCCGGCGGTGAGCACGGGTACACGGCCGCATCAAACCATTTCGATATCCCTTCGCGACGCGCGCCAGCCTGAGCCTGGGGAGGTATATAGGGCGGTCAAATCGCAGGCGAGGACCCCCAAGGGCTGCGCCTCCGACCACTCACGTTCCACGACCCATTCCGTCTTCGTCTTCGTCTTTTCCCCGTTCTCGTTCTCTTCGCCCGGCCCTTCTTTTGGCCTTTTCACCCTCGAGGCGTTTTCTTTCGTCTTTCGTTCGCCTCGGTCGGACTGTTCTTCTTCGTCGCTCTTCAGCCAAAACACACTTCCTCTTCCCAAAACAACCAAACAAGCACTTTCAAGATGCCTTACGTTCGCTCCCGCAAGTTCTGCTGCTGCCTGCCCGTCCGGTTCGGCGTCTTCTGCGAGGCGCTGCTCGGGCTCGGGCTCGGTGGGTTCGCCGCCATCGCCGCGTTCCTCTCGATCCAACAAGTCAGTGAGTATCTGTTTCCGCTTTTTCTTCCTGTGGCGCCTCGGCGCGGATGCGCGACGTGATGCGGTCCGGAAACGCGGCTGACGGACGCGCGATTGCAGTGGCCGGCAAGCTCCCCGACGTATCGCACGACGAGCTGATCGCGCTCTGGATCGTGGCGGTCACGATGACGCTCTTCGCGTTCACCGGTCTCATGGGGTGAGTCCTCCTCGTCCTCTTCCCCCACGCGGCTGTCCCGTGGGCGCGGCGCGGCGCCCGAGCGCCCGTGCCCCGCCCGCACGACGGGATGGGATGGGACCGCACGTTGGGAACCGCCTCTGACTGACGTCGTCGCGCCCAGGCTGATCGGCTCGATCGGGCGCATCCGCGGGCTGGTGTCGCTGTACGCGAGCGTGATCACGTTCGTGACCGTCGCGAACGTCGTCGGCGGGATCTACGTCATCTACCAGCTCTTCCACGCCGCGGGCGCGGAGCAGGTCGCCAAGTGCGAGGCGGACGCGCAGGGCGGGAAGACGGACGTGAACCACTTCGTGTGCGACGAGGGCTTCAAGGTCGGCCGCACGGTCGCCATCGTCGTCTACGTCATCTTCTGGCTCATCGAGATCTGTGCGTCGTCTCTCTTTTTTTTCTCGGGTTCGAGAGCTGACGCGCACGTTGGGCAGACGGCTGCTTCATCGCGTTCTGGTACGTGTCGCAGCTCACCGAGGAGAAGGACGCGGAGCTGCTCGCGAGCGCGGCGGAGAAGCAGACCGCCGCGAACGTCACCGTCGTCGCCCAGCCCGCGTACGCCTTCTCCCAGACGCCCAACGCCTACGCCCCGCCCACGACCACGTACGGCGAGTACCCCGCGAGCCGCGTCTAGGTGCAGAGAGGAGGGGAAGAGAAAGGGCGAGGAGAGAGAGAGGGCAGGCTGGGGTTTTCTTTTTTCGACGCTCCCTCCGTTTGAAGAAGGATCGAGCTTGGACGGCATTGGCGGCGTAATTCCCCCTTGCCTCCTTCGGGTCGAGTTATGTAACTTATTGGACGTGAGACGGCCGTCGCTCGCGTTCGCCGGGCTCAGGAGCCGCGGTGGACGAGGGTGGCGGTTGGTGGTTTGTACAAATAAAGAGCAGCACAAGCCCCACACCTCCGTCTGGGGAAATTTCGAACGCATCCGCCTCCTCTGCTTCGCTACGGGACCTTGAGGCTCGGCCGGGGGCGCAAGTTCGTGACCGGACGATGCGGGCGGGCTGGTCTCCCCCGCATTCCGTTTGGTTGCACCACGCTTTGGTACATGGACCGAGTGCATCTCGGAACCCATGTGTTGGCATCACTACGGTGCGGCAGGTCATCAGGAAACCCGCCGAGTAAGACTAGCTCCTCAGCGTCGCGCAGTCACTAGTGGACGTCTGACGGAATTCGTCTGCTGGTATAGAGACAACGGAGTGCGCGCTTCAATCCAGCGGCCGCCGGCGAGGAAACAGGGCTGAGCGGCGACGGAGCCCGTCACGACGTCGGAGCCGACGGAAATCCATCGAGTAAATCATCAGCGTAGCATACACAGATAAAACGAAAAGTCCGTATGCAATATCTGGAGCAGAGTTACCACTGCAAAACCCCGAGAGCCTGCTCGTCTAAACGCGCTTCACGCGACGGATGATCATTGGCATCTGGCTGCCCTTCTCGGGCTCGCCCTGGATGATCGGCCGCTGGACGATCGCGGACTTCTTCTGAATACTCTCGGCTGGCACCGCCAGCTCGAACTCGAACGCGCGGATGAGCGCGAAGAGCAGCGCCTTCATCCTGTCGTCGCAGAACACCCGTCAGCCCAGCTTCCGCGCGCCGCGAGACATATATACGCACTCGATGAGCGAGAACCGGTAGCCGATGCACGCGCGCGGACCCCCGATGAACGACATGATGTGCGCCCACACGCCCGGGACGCCGGACACGCCCTCGGGCACGCTCGCCCACCGCTCCGGGCGGAACGCGAACGCGTCCGCGCCCCACAGCTCCGTGCTCCGGTTGATCGCGAGCACGGGCACGACGACGGGCGTGCCCTTCGTCACGCGCACGCTCGTCCGCGCGACGCCCGCGCGGTCGACGAACGGCTCCGCGAGCGGGATCACGTCGTCCTCCTGCGCCTCGCGGAAGATCGTCGGCACGGGCGCGTGCACGCGCAGCGTCTCGCGCACGACCATGTCCAGGTACGGCAGCGCCGCGAGCTCGTCCATGCTCGGGGTGTCCGTCGGCACGGCGAGGAGCTCCGCGCGGAGCTTGTCCTGGATCGCGGGTGCGAGCGCGAGCGCGAAGAGCGCCCAGGTCGTGGACGTGCTCGTGGTCTCGTGGCCCGCGACGAGGAACGTGGGGACCTCTGTGCGAGCGGGGCCGTGTGAGCGCAAGAGGGATGAGGAGGACGGGACACGTACGGTCGACGACCTCGTCGTCGGTGAGCCGCTGGCTGTCGGGGATGTCGGTCGCCATGTTCGCCTTGAGGAGGAGGGTGAGGAGGTCGCGCCCGCGCACGTCGCTGCGCGCGACGCCGTCCTTCTCCGCCTTGCCCTCCGCGGTCTCGCGCCGGATCGCGGCCTTCTTCTCTGCGATGAGCTCGAGCCCGATCCGGCGCATGACCGCCTGCGCGTTGTTCGCCTCCCTCATGCGGGCGTCGGGCTGGGATGCGGTTAGCGCGCGGGAGACGATGAGACGGCGCGGGGGAGACGCACGAAGTGCCTGAGGACGGGGAAGATGAAGCGAAGGATCTGGAGCATGGTGACACCACTCGGGCTGAAAATGGTGCTGAATGCTTTGCTGAGCTCGTTCGGCTCGCCGTCGCGGGGGTTGAGGGAGTCGAACTTGTAGTTGAAGCCCGCGAGGCCGATCACGTCGAGTGTCATCCGGCTGAGCCAGCTGAGGACGTCGAGTCGCGCGGACTGGCCATCGGCAGCGTCGATTTCGCGTGCCCAGACGTCGCGGAGCTAAAGAAAACCGTACGTGTCAGCAAAGACGTTCTGTCGCATGAGGGAGGTCATGTTCTGTGCAGGTATGGGACCACCTGGTCTTCTGGTGAGCTGGGAGGAGATGGTGGAAAGAGAACAAGCCGCGACCCGCAGGCGCTAAATGCTCAGCTGTTGTGGGCGGGCCCTCTCTCGACATATGACCCGAGTATATAGGATCGCCGTCTTTGCACTATCCCTTTGCGCTATGAAGATAGCATGGACCACGCCACGCTTCAGCACGGTTTTGTATGGCGAACCACACAACAAACCAGCACAGACTTGCGCAGAGACCGAGACCGCGGCAGGAAACCTAGCACGGTCATGGTCTATGGCTCATCCGATTTTGCCTATCGTGTCACGGGCCAGTATCAAACCTGCTGGGACATTGCGGGCACACGAACCTCGTTTGACTTGTCGACAAAGATCCCGGTGAGCTCCCGGATCTGGGCTGGGCCGAAGGCGGGGTTCATGATGCGTCGCTGCTTCCGGTGCGTTTCGCCCTCAGTGGCGAGCACGCCGTTGCCGATGATCTGGATAAGAGCCCCTCTTTGCTGGACCGGCTTTTGGTAGACGTTGGAGTGCGTCAGGACGTGGTTCACGGCGCGGAGGTCCATCGTCCACAGGCGGCCGACCTGTTGACATTGTCAACTGCGGTTCTCACGGGAAATCCCCTGGCCACGTACGCCGAGGAAAGCCTTGTAGGTGATGGTCTTGGAGTTGGCCTCCTTGACCCAGCGCTCCTGGGGGACAGCATGGTCCTCTTGGTCGATGGCACGACCGTTTCCGCGGAACCAGCTCTCGTTCGCGGGACCGGGAATGTGTTTGAGCGGGGAGTTGAATTCGCGGTAGATGATGGGAACGAGTTTCCAAGACACCAGCCGACGATAGCGAGAGCGGCGAGACCAAATAGCTTGGTGAGGGCAAGAAGTAGTGTGAGGTACATGTCTGGGTGTTTAGGTAAAGAGCGAAAGGAAACGAGGATGGATGTGGATGGACTTCGGAGGAGAGGAAGGTGAGAAGATATCTAGATGTATAGCAACTGAGTGTGTACGTGGCCGTGGCTGTACCTTCTTGAGACAGGTACCTGTGGTGAGGGGGCCGAGGATGCGTCTTCAGTTCGGCAAGGCGGATGGTTTATACCGACGTCGGTCACTTAGCGAGCAGCGTGATTGAGTGACTACTGCAAGCCGGGCTCTCGGGAAAGTGGCCCAGGTTTACTGCGGAGCGCAGCGGCCCGGCGCAGCGACCACTGCCAATCTGCCAGTGCCATCATCCGCACAGAACTAATGGAGGCAGGAATTCACTGCGCCTCGGACTCTGGAAGGTCGATGATAGGAGGGTTCGAGAACATATGGGCGTGGGCGGGGAAGGTGCCCGCTGACCCGGGCTGGTTCTGAGTAGACGACCGCTGGGAGGGCATCATCACCTGCTCGTCCACCTGCCCGTGCTCTCCACCCCCGGCTCAGTTCCCTTCACGGCCAACGCCCCTTTATAGTCCCACCGCCCTCGCGCGAGCCCCCTGCTTCCACCCACCACCACCAACACTTCCGCGTTTCCGTTCTCTCCGCTGCTCTCCCTCGGCTTTAAGCTTCACCACGATGGGTTCATGTGCCTTCCTCGAGCTTTCCGTAACGGCACTCCTCCCGGGCGACCCCGATTTTGACGCGTTGCCTGATGGACGCCATCCCGTCCTCCCCTTTCCCTCGACGTCCCCCTCACCGGCAACGACTCCGATCTGATAGGCTCGGACGCATGCCCCGTCGGGGGAAGGCTGGGGCCTTGTCGGGTTCGTGTGAGCTATCATCCTCATGTTGCCCGGCCTGATGAGCGTCGCCTTCTCAGCAGATAACTGCACTCTCATCCTAATGCGCTTCCATCCGTTTCCACAGCGGCCAGAAGACGCAGAGTGGAGTATATGAGCCCAGGCGAGGTCCAGACTACCGAGAAGGCGTGCGGTAGAAGGTTTCCGGGAGGAGGGCTGTTTGCGGGGGGAGGACCCAGACGCCAAGCACGTGCCGCCATCCGTAATCTGCGCCGCCGCTGGCCGGAACGCGGAGATCTGAGTCGCGACCGACTCCGGAAAGCGACGGAATCGCCGGGCACGATAGCCCAGCGTGCTCTGTTTTGCCAACCACAGAAAAAGTCGTGCCGACTCGACACCCGCAATCTTCGTCCCTTACCCCGCAGGTACTCCCCCACCCCCATCCTCACTCGCTCTCGGACGAGCAAGACCTGTCTCCCACCCCTCCGTACGTGTCGCAATGACGACCAACCTCCTTCCCTCAACTACGACATCCTCTCGTCCATCCTCCCTCTAGTCGATGCGAACGACGCCGCTCAACTTGCGCTGGCCTCTCGCTCTGCCTACCGCCTCGCACTTCCCCGTTTCCTCGCAGACGTCACCATCGGTGGACTATACCACAAGCCGGGCAACAGCGCCGTCACCCAGCTCACCGCATTCTGCAACTTCCTCCTCGGCCCCGCTCCCGCATGGCATGGCGCCCCCACCGCTCGCCTCGATGATCTCCGCACTCTCGAGGTGATGCGTGATGCGTGCGCGTCCGCCGCAAGGACGGCGGCTACGCCATCGACCAGTCCGCCGTCTCCCTTCTCTCCGCCGTGCTCGCGCGCGCGCACAGCCTGCAGCGGCTCACGCTCTGGGGCTCGGACGCGCTCTTCACCGCCGACCCCGACTTCGCGCAGGGCAGCAGCCCCTCCATCGAGACCCTCGTCCTCGGCGGGGACATCGCCCCGCTCCCTGTCCTCGCCAAAGCGTTCCCGAACGTCCGCGAGCTTATCTTCCTCGGCGTCAACGGGTCGTGTGCCCCCAACTGGGCGTTCTTCCAGCCCGACGCGAACAGCGACGCCCTGGGGCCCTGGCAGAACACTCTCGAGCGCGTCGACACGGGCTTCGCAGTCATGCCGCTCCAGTGCCCCGTCAAGCGTGTCGTCGTCAGGGAGCCGGTCATGGACGGGTTCGACCACCTATACCCGGCCCGAGAGTTCCTCGGACATGCTCAGCCCGTCGTACTCTCCCTCCTGTGAGCAACCGGTGCTCTCCCGAAGAGCTCGGAAGCATCCTGGAGCCGGCCGCCGCGAGGCTCAGGTTCTTGGAGTTGACGGGAGATCGGTGCGAAGGTCTCAAGGAGAGCGCAGAATGGCGAGGGTACGTCTGTCTTCCCGTTGCGCGGGCCTGCCAGTCTGATGGCACTGTGCGTGTAGGTCCGTGTCGTCTGCGCTCGCTCTCGTGCCGTTCCTCAACCTTCGCGGTCTGTCGCTCTCCGTCACCCCCGCCGTACTCCTACGTCTCTGGTGGAAGGCCGAAGGCGAGCGGCCTCCTGCGCCCCCCGAAGCCATACGAACCGTCGACTTCCATGCCATCGCACAAGCAGTCGCCGAGAGCGCGCCCTCGCTCCAATTCATCACCATCGACCTCACCCGTCAGAGGGAGCCCTGGATCGGAGCGTGCTTCGTTCTCGGTGCACGAAACCGGGCGGGTGACGCGGCGGGTGGAGCGGATGACCGCAGAAGCTGGAGCCGCAACCGTGGCGCGGATGCGTGCGTTCAACCAGTACGATTGAGGTCAGTGGGTGGTGTGTTTGCTTGCTAGATTTCGTCTTGTGCTCACGATGACGCACAGGCTCCTTTTCCACGCCCATCCTATAGACTTTCATACGGTTCCGGATGAAGGACCATGCATAGAATAGACCTGGCGGGTTTTAATGCCTATATAATCACCGCTAGGATGTGATTCCTCTCTATGAGTTACCCTTCGATACAGACTAGACTTCGATACACCACGCGGACCCCCGTGTGCCCTAGATGACCGTTTTCAGGCCTTTGGCTCTATTAATGTCCTTTGACGACTCGGGACGACTCGGAAGCGCGACAGCTCTACTGGCGCGGCAGCATTGTAGTTATACATGATTGTTTGCACTGCTAGTATGATTATGCGTACACGTCTTCCCTCCGTCTCTGTGCACCCTTCGGCCTAGTGCGCTCTCGTCTCAGCTCGAGGCTCAGGCCTTCCCGTGTTTCGGCGAGGAGCTCAGTAGCTAAAACCCTTTGCACCCTCGGAAGACTCGCCCACGGCGTCCGCAAACTACCTGGCGATCCCGTCGGACATCGCGCCGCTGTCCGAGGTGACGTTCACCTGCACGCACGGTCGGTCAGCTCCGGGGACGTCGCGCGGGCCAAAGCGGGGCCCACGCACCATGTCGAAGCCCTCCTTGGCGCGCTTCGCGGCCTGCGTGCCCCGGTGCAGTAGATCGCGCTGGGCACGCCACACACATACACAGTTAGTAACAGGGTTTGGGCGCGGGAGGGACCGGAAGGAGAGGCGGAGGGGGACGGACCACTTCTTGCCCGCGGCGTGCGCCTTGGCGAGGATCGTCTGGATCACCGTCTCCGCCTCGGGGTGCGGGTCGGGCGAGGGCGGCGGGAGGCCGAGCGCGAGCGAGAGGTCGTACGGGCCGATGAAGACGCCGTCTGCGAACGCGAGTCAGCGCTTGCATTACCCTTCCTTTCCACTCCAGATTCGACGGGGAAAGGCGGCTGGAGGGAAGGAGGGAAGGGAATGAAATAGAGCACGCACCGAGGCCGTCGACGGCGAGGATCTCGTCGAGGTTCGCGACCCCGTCGCGCGTCTCGATCTGGACGAGGACGAGGACGGCGTCGTTCGCGTGCGCGAGGTACTCGCCCGGCGTGACGTCCGCGCCCCACGCGTGCTGCGTGAACGGGCTCCCGAATCCGCGCACGCCCTGTGGGGGGAAGCGGGCGGCAGCGACGACGGACTTGGCCTGCGCCCCGGTGGAGACCTGCAGGCGGTAAGCACTCAGCACTCAGCACCCCGCAGACGGTCTCGCGCTCCCTCCGCCCCCCGCACGCTCCGTCCGCGGCCTCGTTCGCACGAACGTGGATGGGAAGCTAAAACGCACCATGGGCACGAGCACCCCGCGCGCGCCCTGGTCGAGCGCGTACTTGATCTGCCACCCCGCGGAGCCGTCCGCGCACGCGCCCGTCGCGGGGATGCGCACGATCGTGCTCGGCGCGCGGGGCCCGAGCGCGGCGACGGCGGCGATGCTCTCGCCCGCGCCGGGGTGGAGCGCGGTCATGCCGTGCTCGCAGTCGACGACGAGCCAGGCGAGGTGCGGGGACGCGGCGGCGGCGGTGCGCGCGGAGAGCGCGCCGGGGAGGGTGAGCCACGCGCCGAACGCGGGGCCGCCGGCGCGGAGGGCGTGCAGGAGCGGGTGGGCGAGCTTGGAGGCCATCGCGGTTTGGAGGACGGGGGAAGGAGGTGGGGGAGGGAGAGGGAGAGGGGGAGAGGACGCACCTGGGAACGTGGTCGTGGCTGGCTCTGAGAGAGTCAGTCCGCTCTGAGAAGGCGAGCTAAGACTGGGTCACGCGGGTGCGTCATGCGCCCGTCGCGTTGAGGCTTAGAGGTTCGCGGACTGCAGTTCTGATTGAGAGGTCGGATTTCAGCATGAACGACGCAAGCGTTGTCGCGGAGGATAGGAAGACGACAAGGAGCGAGTGCACGTGCGAGCAGCGCTCGAGAGCTTCACCGTAGCGGCGCTCGCCTCCGGCACACTTCCATCAACATCCGATATGCGAACCCCATCTCAAACCTCCTGGCATCCGCCATTCAAAGAATCCCCCTTCTCGCTATCAATGCAAGTTGCCCACAGAACTCTAGGATGTTGAGCTCTTGTCGGACCCCTGCGCGGGCCGAAAAGCTCCTGCGTCTTGAGTCACCACTTGCCGTCGTCCTTGGACAGACATTTTCGTCGTCGACAAATTGCTAACCCGGGGCAGATACTACTATGTTCGTTCCCTACCTTCTGAGGGTCTCCCGACACCATTCTAACCGTTGGAACCGAGACTAGTTCTAGGTCTGCTCAATAGTGATGCTCAATTCTCAACTTGCCCTCGCCATCACCAGGATGTACTTAGCACGTTCGCGTACTCGAGCGCCAGTGATGCGGAAATGATCGCCGGTGATGTGGTCTTCGGGCTGTTGCTTGCCTTTTGGGTACGACTTTGTCTCCTCCCACGCAGGCATTCCCAGCTCATCGGCCTCAGAGATGAATGGAGAAGATCACGACACATGCAGTCAGCGCGATGTCAGGCGTTGTAGGTGACGAATTGTCAGAGAGGAAAGTAGGAAACTTCAAAAATCCAAGGCGGCGCGGCGCCACCCCGCCGCCGCCGATGCATAATGCATAATATGCGACCACTCAAGCACCCGCTGAAGCGCGCGATTCGAGCATACCCGCGCCGGGTTCCTGGCTGCCCGGGCACGCGAACGCGCTATCGACAACACTTCGTCCATCACTCTCTGGCAGTCTCTGCTAATCTCTACAACCGGGACTCAATGCGATGCGATTTCCTCCCCATGCTCGAGGCTGTTGTAGCCACCGTCGCCATTGTAAGTCCTGGGATGCTTCTATGTAGCACTCACTCCTCGTTCTGACCGTAGGCCAAGACATCTGGCCGGGAAGTTCAGCCCGCTGCCATGGGGTTTTTCGACTGTATGAAATTCGCCAGATCTCCCGTGCACAAGCGGGATAGTATGCCCGAGCCGCCTAGTCGCCCGCTGCGCTACTTCAGCCTTCGACCGTCGTCCCTCGCGAGCCAGGAGACCCACCGTCGCCCATCATGTCCGTTTTCAAGCTTCTCCTCGCGCTCACTCTCGTCGGCGTCACTCTTGCGGCTCCTTCAAGACCTGTTGCCCACGAGAAGCGCGACTCCACACCCGTGGGCTTCGCTGCTCTAGGACCTGCCCACTCGGACACAACCCTCAAGCTGCGCTTCGCGCTCGCGCAAGCCGACTCGAGCAGCTTGGTCGACGCCCTTTACGCCGTCAGCGATCCCGCAAGCCCACAGTATGGAGAGCATTTGACCAAGGCGCAGGTCAGTCCTTCATTGTAAAGTATGGAAACCACATTAAGCGCCTTTAATCAGGTTGAAGCCTTCGTCGCGCCAAAGAATGAGACTACGGAAGCTGTTAACGCGTGGCTGACTGCGAGTGGTCTCGCTGCGACGTCTATCTCCCCCACTGGCGACTGGGTCAGCGTGGATATCCCGGTTAGCAAGGCAAACCAGCTGCTTAACGCCGATTTCACGGTATTCACAAACGAAGCGACGGGAAAGCAAGCCGTGCGGACGATGTCGTACTCTCTCCCGGACGAGTTGCGGGGCCACGTTGATCTCATCCACCCCACTGTCGTGTAAGCGATTACCTGGCTGTGTTATAACGTCGCGCTCATACCCCGTAGTTTCCCTATCGCCAAAACCATCGACCCTTCCGTCAAGTCAGCGGCACGTCGCCGAACCTTCCACACCCCTGTCCCCCGCCAGTTCACTCCTTCATGCGATGACGACAACTTCCCCTCGTGTCTGCAGGCCCTCTACAACATCCCACTGACGCCTGCCGTGAACAAAGACCTCTTCCTGGGTGTCACCGGTTTCTACGGGAACAGCGCGCACTACGAGTACCTCAATGAATTTCTTGTGCAATTCCGCCCAGACATGGATCCCAACACCAACTTCACGTCGGTCGGTATCGACGGCGGAGAAAACACCCAAACGGGGCCGTCCGCTTCTGAGGGGGTAAGTTTTGCTGTTCATAGCCATCTACACTGCGCTCAGAAATCTCCAGGAACTCGATATCCAGTACACTGTGGGCCTCGCCACCGGGGTTCCTGTCGTGTATTACTTTATTGGTTTCGACTACCAGGATGGTCCTCTGGAGGGCTTCCTCGACGAGGCCAATTATTTACTCAGTCTCGATCATCCCCCGCAAGTCCTCTCCACCAGCTATGGGATGCAAGAGAGCTCCCTTACGCCAGAACTCACCGAGTGCGTATTCTTGCTGAGTGTCTCATTGAAGGGGGATGCTGAGACGACCTCATGCAGCAAACTCTGTCAAGTGTATGCGCAACTCGGCGCGCGCGGAGTCTCTATCGTGTACGCGTCCGGCGACAGTGGGGTCGGCTGTTCCGACACCGACGCCTTTGCACCCACTTTCCCGTCCAACTGCCCATAGTCCGTCTCTCTCCTCTCCTCCCTCCTCTCCGCTTTACTGAATGATACCGTCCCTTCGTCAGCGTGACCTCCGTCGGCGGCACCCAGAACGGCGCCGCGGCACCCGAAGACGCCTGGGTCGGCTCCGGCGGCGGCTTCTCGAACTACTACCCCCGCCCCGCCTACCAAGACGCCGCGGTGTCCGCCTACCTCGCCTCCCCGAACCCGAACGCGGGCCGGTTCAACGCGAGCGGGCGCGGGTTCCCCGACATCGCGGCGAAGGCGGACTTCTACCTGATCGAGGCCGCCGGGCTCTTCGCGGTCCAGGGAACCAGCGCGTCCACCCCGGTCGTCGCCAGCGTCGTCGCGCTGCTGAACGACCGGCTGGCGAGCGCGGGGCGGCCGCCGCTCGGGTTCTTGAACCCGTGGCTGTACGGCGAGGCGCGGGGGGCGTTCAGGACGTCGTCGCGGGCAACAGCTCGATCCAGTGCTCGGACGACTCCGATCCGGACGGTGGTGATCCGGACGGCGGGGATTCGTCTGACAGTGAGTCCGACAGCGAGTCGTCGACAGTGACTCGGACGACAGCGACTCGGACGACGATGAGTCGGACAAAGGAAAGGCGGACAAAGGAAAGTCGGGCAAGGGAAAGTCGGGCAAGGGAAAGTCGAGCAAAGGAAAGTCGGACGACGCCGAGCCGGGTGAAATTGAGCCCCAAGGGTTTGACGCGGTAGTGGGCTGGGATCCGGTGAGTCCCTCGTTTGGCTGCGCGTGTGTTCGACCGCTGACGGGTTGCGCTCATTCTCAGGTCACTGGGCTGGGTTCTCCAGATTTCAATAAGTTGCTTGCCGTGTTGGGCTTGTGAATGGCGGACATCTACGGGCTTGAGGATTTGTATGGACATTAGCAGCTTGAAATTGGACATGTGGACTGTTGACGATTCCGGTGTCTGAACTGACTGCTTTCCGTACCACGCTGGGCTGGAAGCTGGAGCCATGCCGTCTGCAAAACATCCGTACATTGATTGGGTTGGGTGATACAAGTACATCCGCGAGAACTTCCTGCTTTCCATGAGAACGCACCAATCCAACGTAACCATATCACTCCAGGTGACTAAAAAAGTAACGAGTAGTTCACATAACCCCTTGCTCCTGTGCTTCGAGAAGGAGTTCATCGTCTGATAGCAGACAGTCAGCGTACCACTGTGCATGGACGTGAGCGGGCGTGCACACACCAGAAACGGTGGACGGAAACGTACCTCGAGCTCTTTCTGCAAAATGACGGCGTCCGGTCTCCCATGGATTCTCGGTTCCTCCTCAACTTCAACATGCGGGGCAGCACGTGTTGGTTCGCTGATGCGATTGGGAGGCCGAGGGGCTGGCGGAGCGGCGAGAGACGCTTCGATGGCCGCCCTGAGGCAGGATAACCGTGAAGACGACGACGTGCCGAACGTCGTCTCGCTCGTCGACGCAGATACGGTTGGAGCACTTGCAGTCCTGGATGAGGTGGGGGTGGCAGGAGCGGCTCGTTCAGGCGGCACCGACGATGTCGCGGGAGCGCTGCGAGTTGTCATCGTCGAGTTGTGTTGCAAAGCGGCGTGCATGCGCTCAGTGGTGCGTCTGGTCAGGCCTTCCCAGTCGCGGTCTGGTACTTCAGGCTTCACGGCCCCGGCGTTCGCGAGCGCATCCGCGCCTTCGTTGCCCTTTTCACCTGAGTGTCCAGCAACTTTGAACAGCTCGATCTGCAAGGGTTTGATGATAAGTTCGTGTTGTGCGGAAAGGGATACGCACGGATTGCTGGTACACGCAACGTCTTTCGGTGATCAAGAGGTCGGCGTACTTGATGAGGTTCGAATTCTTCACGGGCTGGCCGCCCGCGGTTCTCCACCCATTGTTCTTCCAGTTTGCGAGGTAGACAGTGAGACCTGCCGAGAGGCTGAGCTCCAGCTACACTTAGCTCCGAGCAAAGTACACACTTTTGATACTGTAGTCCGAGTCTGACTTGATGATCAGCGGTCGGTCATTTGGCGCAGTCTCAAGAGCACGGATGATCGCCTACGTGCACATGCGCTCAACGTCAGCAACTGGTGCGAGGGGCGAATGTACGCACATTCAGCTCCGCGGAGTTGTTCGTTTGAGGCCCGGGACACCGCTCAGCAAGGTTGCTGTGCAGAAACACGCCTGTTACAGCCAAGTTCGCGCGAGCAAGGGTAACGGAGAAGCCCACCGTGGATCTTGGTCTCCCCACCAGACACCTACACCCGCCCTCGACCCGGCCGTCCCGTTCCCTCTGCTCGATCCATCCGTGTAGATCACCAAAGGCTGAGGGTCGGCCGAACAGGTTATGGCAGGGGGAGCAGAGATGCTTGGAGGTGCACGAGTGGGTGCAACAACAACTGGAGCGTGAACAATTGCGGTAGGCCTGGCATGTTCGTTGACCCGAGAATGAGAGACACTTGCTGAGATGCTAGGGAAGCCTGTCGAGTATGGGGTCGTGGGCGCATTCGACGGCATGGACGGTGCTGGGGCAGCGGCGAGGTGAGAGGATATAGAGTCGGAGGCCACTTGTCGGAGGGTGAGAGGAGCAGATGGGTTGTTCTTTCGGAGCCAGGCCTCGGCATCCTTGAGCTCGAGAAACTTCCTGTATTTGCCTCCCATGAAGTTCAGGACCTGGGCTTCGCAGTCAGACCTCGCGGATGTCGGGTTCGAACGCGAGGGTCTGTGCACGAGAGGGCATAAACTACTCACCACTCTGCATATATGCCAGGTTTGCGACCTATGGCGACTGCGTAGCATCCCCGCGATGCCTTGCGCTCACTCGTGCTGCCGCTCCTGCGAGCGCTGCGGAACATGGACATGACCAGTTCGTTCGGTCTTCTGCCTCGACGGGAAAGCGGGAAACGGAGGGTAGTCGTATGTCGTCGCCTAGATGGGGCAGCACTCCAACCGTCGCGACTCGAAAGACAGGGGTAATTACACCAGACGCGACGACTAGTGCGTCCGGAAGGGGAGAGTGCAGAAAAAGGCGAAGGACCTGGGCGCGCTCTTACCTGGAAGGCGCTCCATCAGCAAAAGGTGTTTTCCACGGTAGCGCCCGATAGCACGCGACACTGCCATATCGGGACAGGTCGTCTATTGTCCGCGCGACAAATGATGGCAGTAGAACGGTAGCAGCTGATATTCATTCGGCTTTGATATGACATTTGATCACATTCCGTGGCCGCATACAGGATATGATGGATCTACTACAGGCACTAGTAGTTTAGACAAAAAGCTGCAGTCGATGATATGTTGATGATAGTAGACGATCATGCGCTCCTCCAAGGGTGATCCATGGCGCGCGCGGGGTGCATGAGAAGTCTGCATTGAGCTATACGGTTGGTTCGTGAGCGCGCGAATGGTGCGCGCGGCAGAGAACGCGGTGCGCGTGAGCCTCGAGGATATAAGTATACGGCCTCACCGAGTCACCGCGCAGCCACTCCACCAACTCTGGCTTCCTAGCGCAAATACAGTCCTGCAAACACGTTGGAACTTGGGGCGCTGCCGGCAGTGGTCGGGTGCAAGTCGTGCACGACCTTGCCTGTCAAGCGACGCCGAGCCTAGTTCGGCCCAGCTGCCAGTGAACTCCCAATAAGGAATGTTCTGCTCCCGGGCCCCATCCTCCTCGATATCCAATGATTCGACAAGCTATGACCTCTGCAGCTTGAAGCTCTACCAATGCGACTGGGAAGAGGTCTTGAGATAAGGCCGTTGACGTTAGACGATGGAAGATTGGCGTTGAAAGCGATC